GCGATGGAGGATTTGGCGACAAGCGCTGCCGCTTATTCGGAGGAATGCCGCTGCCCATAGTCGGGGACAGGGCGGTAGGAGACTGCTGGTAGTTCTGCGGGGAGAAGGCGCGCGGCTGTTGGTGCTGGTTCAGATTCTGCGTTTGCACGGGCGGCGGGGGCTGCTGGCCCGGCGGAGGATACTGGTAGTTGTTCGGGTAGGCCATGGTGGGCAGCTCGTCCCTTTCGGGGAGTCGCGCTGGCAAAGGGAATCTATCGGCGCGTCATCCGGCGGCAGTGTATTGAGGGCTCGGTAGCGCTTGCGATGGGACGTGTTCTTGGGGCAGGCGAGGGGGGTTGAGTTGGCAGGCGCGTCGATGTTGGTGATGTCGCGGTCGATAGAGCGGACGATGAATCTGAATGACGAGCACGGACAAAGTCTTGGCGGTCGCGCGCCAGACAAAGAGAGCCGTAACGGTCAATCAACTACCACTCCCTTCTCACTCGACGCTGCCACGACTTCTCTCCCACCCTTGGGCTTTTCCATTGAGGCGTTGAATATCCCTGCGACACTAATCCACGATTAATGAGCTAGGTCCAGGCGCTGGTTGTAGATATCTTACGCGTTCTTCTTCCGCTCCCACCTGGGCATCCACCGACCCCGTAGCCTCACCTCCGTCGCCCGCATACCGCGTAGTAAATCATCCACATCCCAACCCACACAACTATGGCGTCGAAGAGAAAGGCGACGGCTATGGCGCCCGAGGATGAGGACCCAATAGATCCTTCCGACGAGCTCATGTTTCTCTGCTTAGGAGGCGGTAACGAGGTCGGTCGGTCGTGTCACATCATCCAATACAAGGGCAAGACGGTCATGGTGCGCATTCAGGACTCGCATACTCTACGGCAACTATACTAACGAGGGACAGCTTGATGCCGGTATGCATCCCGCACACGAAGGCTTGTCCGCCATGCCTTTTTACGATGATTTCGATCTTAGCACCGTAGACGTGCTACTAATTTCACAGTATGTATACGCGCGTCTTGCTTGCCATGGTAGTTGGGGTTCGGCGCATCACTGGAGTCGGACCAAGAGCGCGCAAAGGGCACTCGCAATACAGCGACTTGTATATCACTATGAATGGAATATTATTTGCTTCCTCCCGCTCGACTTCGATGATGTGCCCCTCCCTGGTTCCCACCAATGTATTTACAACTTTGGGCGCTTCTCCCAGGCTCACCCTGAGCCTTCTAGTCGTCCTCCAGCATGCTGACATCAGGCTAGTTTCCACGTCGACCATGCTGCCTCTCTACCCTATGTACTTGCGAAGACCAACTTCAAGGGCCGCGTATTCATGACACATCCGACCAAGGCCATCTACAAATGGCTTATCCAAGACTCTGTCCGTGTCGGTAACATGTCGAGCAATTCCGAGACAAAAATCCAAATGTACACCGAGGCGGACCACCTCAACACCTATCCCATGATTGAGTCAATCGACTTTTACACCACACACACCGTCTCCGGTGTACGGATAACACCTTACCCAGCCGGTCACGTTCTTGGAGCGGCCATGTTCCTTATGGAAATCGCGGGCCTTAAGATCCTGTTTACCGGCGACTACTCGCGGGAAGACGATCGACATTTGGTATCAGCTTCAGTACCTTCGGGCGTAAAGATCGACGTCCTCATCACCGAGTCAACATTCGGTATCTCGATGCATACACCACGTGTCGAGCGAGAAGCCCAGCTCATGAAGGCCATTACCGATGTTCTTAACCGCGGTGGCCGAGCCCTACTCCCAGTCTTTGCCCTGGGACGAGCCCAGGAACTCCTACTTATTCTTGACGAATATTGGAGCAAGCATCCAGAAGTTCAGAAGATACCCATATACTACAACTCTAGCTTAGCTCGTAAGTGTATGCAGGTCTACCAAACGTACGTCTCCGCCATGAACGATAACATCAAACGTCTCTTCGCCGAGCGCATGGCCGAAGCCGAAGCTGAAGGAGATACTGGCCGTCGTGGAGCTTGGGATTTCAAATTTGTCCGTTCACTCAAGAGTCTGGAGCGTTTCGACGATTTAGGTGGATGTGTCATGCTTGCCTCGCCGGGTATGATGCAGTCCGGCACATCGCGCGAGCTGCTTGAGCGATGGGCGCCCGACCCAAGGAATGGTGTCATCATCACCGGTTACTCTGTCGAAGGCACCATGGCAAAACAGATCGTTCACGAGCCGGACCAGATCCCAGCAATCATGTCTCGCGCTAGTAACGCAGCACGCCGGCCAGGTCAGAGGGAGAATGAACAGGCCATGATTCCCCGACGGTGCACGGTTCAGGAGTACAGTTTCGCCGCGCACGTTGATGGAAAAGAGAATATGGAGTTCGTGCAAGAAGTCGCTGCTCCTGTCGTTGTAAGTCTAGCTTAGTCCACTTCCATGGCGAAGACCATGTACTAACTGAATCTCAGATCCTTGTTCATGGCGAAAAGGGTAACATGACACGTTTGAAGTCTAAACTTCTTTCTTTCAACGCCCAGAAAGCCGTCCCCACGAAGATTTACTCGCCCGCCAATTGCGAGGAACTTCGCATCCCATTCAAGACCGACAAGATCGCGAAAGTAGTTGGAAAGCTGGCATCTATTGCTCCGCCTTTACCTCGCTCTCTGTCTTCCAATGGTGAAGGTGAGGCTGCTGAAGACCAGGAAGGGGAGAAGGTGGACATGATCAGTGGAGTGCTTGTCCAGAATGACTTCAAGATCTCTCTCATGGCGCCAGAAGATCTCAAAGAATATGCCGGTCTGACTACAACAACCATTATGTGCCGTCAGCACCTTACTCTGTCAGCCGCCGGTATCGACCTTATACGATGGGCGCTCGAAGGAACCTTTGGCGCTATCAAAGAGAGCAGCCTCACAGATGCTGCCGTTGACGGCAAGATGAATGGCAACGGTACAAGTCACAAGGAAGAAGCAGATGAAGAAGTCAGCCGAACAGAAACCAAGTTCACAGTAATGGATTGCGTAAACGTCCTGATCAAGAACGGAGGAAGAGTAGAAGTAGAGTGGGAAGGCAACGTCATCAACGACGGTATCGCCGATGCCGTTCTAGCCGTCCTCTTCACAGTCGAATCCTCACCTGCAGCTGTCCGACGTAAGTCTATTCCCCCACCCTCTTACTGAGTATACTAACCCGCGCCTTAGAATCCTCAAAACAGCACTCCCACAGCCACGCGTCCCAACCAGAACAAGACGACATAACCACCACAAAGTTAACCCACCGCTTCAAGAAACCCCACCCCCACCGCACGACCGATCCTTCCACTCGCCTGGCTCGCCTCTTCCTCTTCCTCGAAGCCCAATTCGGCGAAGAAGCCGTCCGGCCCATCACCCTCCCCCGCAACAGCACCACAACCGCCACTACAAACGGCACCCCAGCCGCCAACCCCGACTCCATGGATACCTCCACGCCCGACTCCACGGAGCCTTCCAACATCACCGCGCTTCCCCCTCCCATCGCACCAGACGACCAGTTGTCTGCGGAGGACAAGACGGAGTTGAAGCGACTACATAATCTGGGTATACCGGTTCCGGGTGTGGAGATCAAGTTTGATAAGTTTGTGGCGAAGGTTTGGTTGGAGGATTTGGATGTCGAGTGTGCTAATAATGCGCTGAGGGCGAGGGTCAAGGCTGTGGTTGAGAGGGGGGTGGAGACAGTTAGTGGGTTGTGGCGGTAAAGCGGGGGAGATACGGGAGGAGGCTTGGGGTGTTGAGGAAAGAAGGAAGAGAATGAGATAACGGGGAGGAGGCATTCTGACATTCAATCAACGTGGAAGGAATTTCATTTTTTTCTTGAGATTACTTTATGGAGGATTTCGATTCGTGGGGTTCACTAGCATACTAGAAAGTTTAAACAGCAGTAACCTCAATCTCGCGATGATCATCCAAACCAAGCAGCCCTTCTTCGTTTCCGTGTCTGTGCCCGCGAGCTGGCGAGCCGCTTGAGCCCAGGTCCAGGAAGAAGCATACCAATCCTATCCCTCCAAATGCCAATCCAGAACCTCCAACATAGCCTTTCCATCATGCGTGGGTCGCAGTACCGGCGTCGCAGGCATGGGCGGCGTAATATGCGACTGTATATACCGAATCGCCCTCAACAACAGCTTGGAGTGTTGAACAGATCGCAAAGCGGAGCGCTCTGTGAGATCGACATTTTCCCATTCCATCATGTCGATTTCTGTACTTGATGTGGGTGAAGAAGAGTGTGAAGTTTGCGACTTTGATGTTGGCGCATCAATGGGTGGGGTATCGAGGGACGTAGTTGATGTAGTTGAATATGTGGATACCGAATACATTGAAGTATTCGAAGATGATGTCCGTGACGAAGCCCTTGAAGGATGGGCGGACGGGAACGGAGACGGCGAGAAATGAGGCTCGGATGGCATGATGGCGAGCTCGTACTCTTCGGCGGATTTTGGCTCTCGAGATTTTGGCCTGGCGGTATTGAAGTGCGCGTGGACGAGTTGTGAGAGCATCGTAACTGAAACCTTGAATGATTTCGGATGGTGGTAGGTGAAGAGCGTTGTGTGAAGAGTCTTTGGAAGGGTCTTGTGACTTTTGTGAAAGACTTGTGTAAAAGAGGTTTGTGAAGAGTCGAGCGTGAAATTCTGAATCAGTCACGGCGACCTATGTTTACATACTCTGGTGTATATGGTGAACCGTGGACGTGATATACTGTTTAATGTAGACATGCGCGATCCATGGTTGTGGTCGATAATCACACTGGCCTGATTGGCCAATTTGACGCATCTCAGCCATGTGACTAGCATACGTAGAACGAATAGGAAGAACTATTGCTGTGATATTTTCGATGCAAAATCTTCACTGCGTGAGCATGGATAGTGCATCCCACGTACCTGCTGTAGCATTGATTGTAGGAGAAAGTGACGGCTGGAGTATACATATGTAGTCCAGCCATGGTCTTGTGCGAGCAGAGTCTGCACCAGTATTACCCCAATAAAATGTTAGAACGTCAGTCAGCTTACGATGCTTTAATACATGGTACTGAAGTACCACAAATCAGTGCAAGGAGTTTACGTGGTTCTGAGGCATTAGCGCGGTTGCGTGAACGGTTGCCTCAGGCCAATCCGGACACCGCCGATGACTGCGAACAGGAAGATTTCGATGAGCGCTTTACTTTCGAAAAAGGCGGAGTAGTACCCTCGTCGACTCGATATGATGAAGAATATGCGGTGCCGGACATCGATCTCGAGGATATCAAAGCCCGGCTCGACGACCTATGTCGGGCAGAACATGCATCATGCCTGCCGCATTCTGATATCGATGAAGAAGTGGCGGATGGAAAACTGTACCGGGATGTGGCAGCGGCGTTAAGGGCTGTTGAGTCAGGCATGAACACCTCAATCCTAGAGCGAATCAGGAACGCAGACGGACCAAATGACCGGGTATTCGACGACTTACTTGCTCCGTTACGTTCGGAACCACTACTATTGGGGACCGAAGAGTCAGAAGAACACATGTTAGATGCGATACTCACTTGGAACAAGCGCGTTGCCGAGAAGCATAACAACGACTTGACCGAGCGCCAGACCTTTATTGCCACTCTCAGGGAAAGGGTAAAGGTTGTCGACAAGATTTTGGCGATCGTTAGTGACAACAGAAATAGCAATCAGGACAATGAGACTGGACAGAATGGTATTCTGGAACCTTCTCAACGTCGAATACTGAAAGCTATCCATGCATACCGGCCAGAAACCAATGGTTTCAAGACTCAGGATCCATTTAACATGCTTATCATTATGTTAGCGCACATTCGACAGGAGGAATTCGAGCTTGCCAATAAGGACGATGGCATTTACCTTGCTCTCAAGGTGCTGAGCGGACAGGAACAACTGGAGCACCGATTCGACCGTGAGAAGAAGAGACGTGCGTACCAAAAGAAGAGAAAGGACGCAGAGGAAATTGGCGATAGAGAGGAAGTAAAGCGATACGAAATTAAATGGAAAGCCCATAACAAGAAGCTCGTAGAAAGAGCACGGCAAGGACTGATGGCCAAGATTCAATGCGCAAGGAAGAATTTGAGGACGGCCGGAATTGACGAGCTGCTGGATTTGGCTGTGCTTCGATCAGCACAGCCACGTGCCTCTAGAGAAGCTCATCCAGGTGTCAACACTCCGTTGCTGGCAGAGATATTGGACAAGTGCGCACAAACAGACGACTATGACAATCTTAACCATGAGTTTGCAGAGCACTTCCCGCATCTGGAGACTAAGCTGGAAGTGACTGCGAACAATGCGCGAGACATGAATACAGTTCATGACATGGTTTTGTTCCGGATGGTGAAGCTCGCTGGTGCTGATCTAAGAGGTCTTGACAGGGTTGAGAGAGAAAGATTGATGACGGCGCGCCTGAATGATCCCGTTACGGCAACGGTGATTGAGGAAACACTGGAAGGCGTGGCGGACACACGCCGAGCTGCGAAGCAGGTGCTCGAGCAGCTTGGGCTGACAGGGCAACCCATACGTGAATTGCTGGAAGCTGTAACGACGAAACGCGACGACCTGGCTGAGTTGACACGCTTGATCAATCGTGAGGAATGTCCGAATACCAGCAGGGTGATTCAAGAGGAGGAGTAACAGCAAGAAGGGAATGTTGACGATGCTGGCGGAGATAACGCTCTTAATTCCGGTTGTTGAGGTTGGCTGATTCCGATCGATCTCAGTTCGTCGCTTCATGTATGTCAATTTTCGCGTCTCGTAAGGCTGAACGCCAACGGTGCCTGGCTTGAGTGATGTATAATAATGCGCAATTTGAGTACTACCATAGCACCAACCTGCGCATCGGGATTCGGGTGCGGGATTAATTGATGCCAATGGGCACGCACTAAGGCGCGGTGATGTGAATGGAGGGTGTGCGACAGGGCGGATATCCGGATTGGAGTCGGGAAAGAACGGGTCCAGCGCCAAGCACAAAACTTCTCATCAACTATCGCGGCTTTCTAGCCTCCGCCTGTCCATCTTCACCACCACCAAACCTCTCCACTCCACTTCCTTCGCTTCTGCCATCCATACCAGCGAAATGGCCACCTCTCCTCCCCCCACCTCCACCGGCTCCAGCAAGGTCGATGCCGCAAAGGCTAAGCTTGCGGCCGCCGACCCTACCGCGCCCACTGGCCTTGCCCTGTACTCGCGATTCGCTTTCGCCGGTGCCGTCTGCTGCTCCGTCACCCACGGAGCCCTCACACCCGTCGATGTGTACGTTGTGCCGCCCCTCGATGGCTCGGGACGATGCCAATGGCTGTATCGCACACGCTTTGCGACAGTTGACAGGTATCGAAAATGACGACAGAATGCCAAGCTAACATGTGCAACAGCGTCAAGACCAGGATACAACTTGACCCCGTCACCTACAACACCGGTCTGATCGGTGGCTTCAAGAAGACCATCGCCAATGAGGGTATGGGCGCTGTCTGGACCGGTTTCGGTCCTACCGCTGCCGGTTACTTCCTCCAGGGTGCCTTCAAGTTCGGAGGTTACGAGTTCTTCAAGCAGCAGTCCATCAACCTCGTCGGTTACGAGACTGCCGCCAACAACCGCACTGCCGTCTACCTCGCCTCTGCCGCCGTCGCTGAGTTCTTCGCCGATGTCGCCCTCTGCCCTCTCGAGGCTACCCGTATCCGTCTCGTCGGTGACCCAACCTTCGCTAACGGTCTCGTTGGTGGATTCTCCAAGATCCTGAAGAACGAGGGTGTCGGTGCCTTCTACTCTGGTTTCGGACCCATCCTGTTCAAGCAGTACGTATAATTCCTCTGATTGGAAGGTGGTTTGCGGCTAATCATCCACCAGGGTTCCCTACACCATGGCCAAGTTCGCCGTCTTCGAGAAGGTCAACGAGGCTATCTACTCCGTTGTCGACAAGAGCCAAACCTCCAACGGCATGCAGACCGTCTACAACTTGAGCTCTGGTATCATTGCCGGTTTCGCCGCCGCCATCATCTCCCAGCCCGCCGACACTATGCTCTCCAGGATTAACAAGACCAAGGGTCTTCCCGGAGAGGGAACCACCTCCCGTTTGATCAAGATCGCCAAGGAGCTCGGTCTCCGTGGATCTTTCGGTGGTATCGGTGCCCGTCTTTTCATGGTCGGTACTCTGACCGCTGGTCAGTTCGCCATCTATGGTAAGTTCCTTCACTCCTACTCTTTACAGCTTTAACTAAGCCCGATTAGGCGATATCAAGAAGGCGCTAGGCGCAACAGGCGGTGTCGAGATCGCTAAGACTAACTAAGTTTTCGTCTCCTGCGATGCGGAGAGAGTGACGGAGGAGATGATACCAAGACAGCCATGACAGCGGGTCTCGAGGTGGACTTGTCACACAAAAAGTCTGTCTTTTCTTGCATAATGGCTGGCATGGGTTTGTTCGATATCACATTTCTTCTATGTGTTTTGCGTTTATTTGCAGTCATTCAAGTTAGATCTTGCTTCGCTTAGACGGCGATTTTATGTAACAGTACGATCGAGTAGGAAACGCACTGCACAATAGACCCAACTCATAATGCCCAGCCACTGCAATTCTAGTGAGGCCAAATGGTACTGACAGGACAATGGTTTGTTGATGTGCCTGGTGGCAATTATAGAAATCGGGATTTTATCATGTTCACGGTTTAGGTGACGGAAGCAGATTGCACTACTACAACACTGTAATCGTGCAAAAGAAAGAGCAGACTGACGGATCTCTCGGTATCGAACTTCATCTACCAATCACTGGCCGACTCTCCTGCAATAACCGACCCGGGACGACCTACAGCGTCATAACATGGCGGGTCCCAACCAGTTCCACTTCATACACCCCAAGAAGCCATGCATCCCAATTACTGCAAAGAAGCTCCGCATTTCGAGCCTTCGAGAAAGTTACCTGGCGGCCGACCACCAATGTGTCGTCCTGGCGTCCTCGTCCGTGAAATCTGCTCCGTCTCTATTGCGGCTAAGGTGCGAATTAACAGCACAGTCGTCGAAGTAACAAGTCAGTAGCTTGGTTACATCGTCATCTTTCTTGGTCATGAAACATACATGCGATCTCATGTGGTCGCCTCTCCCATTGTTCGAGGGAATGGTTGACCCACACAGCACGAATTTCCCCTTCCGGACTGTCTGAAATTGGCAGGGGATGCTTAGAGATGATGCTGAGTCAAGGATCTGTACTGCTTCTTGGATAGCAGCCTCCCTCGCGCAAGCGTAGGTGTGCTTGTGCGCGTGGTGCGGAGGAGTGAGGTCCTCGCCACGAAAAATACAATCATAACTCCCTGGAAATGGTTCTTCACCGATAGCGAAGGCGTCGGTAGTGTGGCAGATGCTGTATCACTGCAACATGACGGCACACACCTGTCCCTTCGTCTTGCAGGCGGTAATCCCCTCAATCATGTCGTTGTATACGGAATGTTCCTTGATGGATTGAGCACCGTTCTTTAACGAGCCTCGAAGCATGTCAACCCACTGGCGGTGGTGGAACGTGTGTCGAGAGTCCTACAACTCTGTGTAGATATGCGTTTTGCTGTATGACTCTACCACAAGTAGTGGCGAGGCGGCTCAAAGTTCATTCCATCTAAGCAGTATAGAGGAATACATGGCATTGAGATAAGAAGAATCTGATTGGCTTGGTGGGTCTGGGAGGTACTCGCAGTGTCGATATTTGCTAAAACAATGTCATTGAGCAAAATGCTCTCTGAAGATCACCGTGTGGTCTCTGACAAGGTGAGTGCGACTTTTCCTGGCCGGTTTTTTCTTGTGGCGGACATTGACATCTCTGATCACCCCATCATGAAGGAGTTTGGTTGGATGAAAGCCATCAAGCTTGTGGCCCATGGTGATTTCCACTGCTTTCTTGCTTTCCAACAACCAGGTCATACCATGTTTTCTTGGTCTTTTTATTGCGCTCATTGTAGTTCACGACAGGTCTACAGCGACTCGTGAAGAACTAATATGACATATTGAAACATCGTACTTTGCCAGTGTTGTTGGGAGAATCGTCGTATCTCGGACTGCAAACCCGCGGAGGCATGTGTCTCGAGATTTTATGTATCATCTGGTCGACCTTAGAAGAGAATCGTGGGTGGAGGAGTTGTGCAAGATAGTCGGACAGGAGGACTTGATGATCTTAAGAGCTATTTGAAGAAGTACGATTGTTGTTCGCCCAGACGCGATGATAAGGCACAGGCCCCCAATCGATCCATGGATGCGTTAATTCGTGGGATATTTGTTTTTGAGGCATCGGGAAACTGACACGTCTTTAGAATAGCCGCCGGGAGTCAATACGTGTCTCAGTTATTTGATGTTATACCACTCAGTGAGCGTAACGGGGCGATGTTGGTGTAATAGAGGGCTTCTCACGTCAGCCCCGCTTGCTATCGGTGATGCCGCGTCGCTTCGCCGACTGGCAGCTCCCACCTGCACAGCTGCAGTATGTCAGCCTTTCCTGGGCATCCTCAGCCTCACCATCAGTAGCTCCTGATGCATTCTTATATACTGGCCGGTTGGGCCATTTCGGTAGCTCAGCGACGTTGTCACGAGGTTTGCCCATCCCCCACAGTTTTCTCTCGAGTTCCTCAAGAGGCTTCCCGGGTGCAGCCAACCGCATTGAGTAACGAACCCGCAAGCTACCCATGACAGAGCTGTTACTCAGCTTCTCATCAGCAATCCAGGGCCAGCATTCCTCCTTCTGTGCAAGTCGCAACTTGCTTCTGCATCGAGGCTCTTCGTCGCTTAATGCGAAGGATTTCCGGTGTAGCTAGCCAATGTCCGACCGCCCGGGCGCAACATCTCGCGATTTTGCATTTCAAACCTATGACCAAGCAGGTGGAGCATCGCAACAGCACCCACAGCACTTCTACGGTGGCTATCATGCCGAGCTCGACACAAACGCCCCCGAGGCCGCGAGCCAGGCGCATAGCCATGACTTCGCCGCGGGGTATCACGACTACAATGCGGCACAGCACCCAGTGATGGCAGGACAGTTCGCAGGCTTGGGCTTTGGCTCGTCTGTGCCTACAGGCTGGGACGCAATCGACTTCACCGACTTCACCGACCAGTATGAGCCGCAGGGAGAACTTGTCCAAGAATATCAAAGCCAAGTAGATCCCATAAACAACTTCAATATCCCACTTCCTGTCTCCGCGGGCGAAGCGGCATACCAGGCATTTTCCCAGAGCCAGAGCGTTACTCCAGCGCCAAATGTCGCGCAGAGCCAGAATCAATCGTCGCCTCCACTGCCACCGGCTCCAGCACAACAGCAACAGAGGCCGGCTATCCAAGCGGGTACGAAGAGGAAGGTCGATACAGATTCTCCTTCAGCCGCACAGCAAGATAGTACCGCGGCGGAGAACCCCCCGAAGCGCCAGAACGTGTCGCGACAACCATCCGACGCCTCAGCTGCTTCGCCAGTCGTAACAGCCCCGGCCGACGCTCAAACCCCAGCCATGACGCGCACCGCTGCCACCACCGAAACCACACCCCGACAAGTGTCACGAGAGAACACAAATACAGAGCGACGGAAGGAGCAGAGTAAAGGAACGGGGCCACAGGGAAGGGTCATCGATGTCTCGACGCCACGTAGAGTGCCTGGGTCGCCCGGCGCACTCGACACCCTTCCTGCCGGCAAGGTGTTTCCCATACAGATCGGGTCAGAGCTGTTCAGACTGTCAGGAGCGTCGATTTCGTCAGATGGTAAGTATGCGCTGAAGACATCACGACGGAACAGCAACTAAGACTATTAGAGCACCCTCACACTTTTCGCATTTCTTCGGCCAGCAACTGCATGACAATGGCGGTCGTGCTGGTGGCGTGAGGACGCTGTACATCGACCGCGATCCAGATACATTTCGCGATATCGCGCTGCACCTCCAGGGCTACCACATTACACCAAGAGATGGCGAACATTTCGTCAAGCTGTATGCAGATGCGCAGTTCTACTCGCGTAAGCTCAGCCATGAGTAGCCAAAGAGCTCGATGCTGACTTTAGCAGTGCCTCGTCTGACCAAACAGCTGTTCAGCACCGACATCTTCGTGCGCATCGGAGGAACACCATTCCAGATACAACGCGGTCTCTTCTCTGCCCCCGGAGACAGCCCGAACTATTTCTCGCTAGGCTTTGCGCATTTCTTCTCGACGCCAAACGAGGCGTTCCCGGGACTAGATCGCGATGTCTTGCTTCGGCCGCCGTCTATCAAGCCTCCTTCGGTGCCGAGTAGAGACGGGGAGGTCTTTCGCGAGCTCATACAATTACTGCAGGGCTACAATGTCGAGATCCGAAGCGATGCGCATCGCTCTCGCCTACTGAGGGATGCGCGATACTTCCATCTCAAAGGCCTAGAGCAAAAGCTCATACCCTGCGACATATCGTATAACCTAAAACGTCAGGAGTCTGAGATCCTGATCCGTCTTGAAGACATCCGACAATCGGGTATCTCCTTTACTCCTGATAAAGACCTCGGCGAGTCTGGATCAGGAAGCGAGTCCGGTTCGGAAACCGTATCTCGTGCGCAGTCAACTAGTGTTCCACCAAACCCTCTACTCGTCAATAAGGTTGCAAGCCCCGCGCCATCAACGGCAAGCAGCAGTGCGGTTTTGAAGGCGGGACATGTGTCGTACGCTCGACCCTATACAGACGACCATGCGCATAGCAACATTCTCGTCGTGGAAATCGCGTCAACAGAGGCCACAACCCTGTTTCTTCCCATGAAGAGAACGAACTGTTTAAGTTCTGAATTTGGAATTGAACTTCGTGCCACTTTTCACGATTCAACTCTCGCACGAGTAACGTCTCTCTTCTCCGTCATAGCCTCTAAGATGGGCTTACCCGCTACACAACCCTTAGGACTCATGTACCTACAATCTGGTGCCGGGGTCGCCGCCCAACCCGTCAGCCCAGCCAACTCAGGCGTCAGCGAACGTCGCGTCCGTGTACAAGTCGATCAAGATAGCGCCCTAGAGATTGACGGATCACCAGCGGAGCTCGCGGTCGATGAATACGGCTGCTACGGCATTCGCAGCATAGATCAAAAGAACAAATGGTTCTGGGGTGTGAGTCGAGGGCCAAGCGCTGAAGATGAACAATGGACAGTCAGACGCGCGCACTGGCGTATCCGCGTCGAACCTGCAGAGGACGACGCCGATGGAAAGAAGATGCAAGTCATCTTGTGCGCAGTCAAACTTGAAGCTTTTACCAGCCAGCGGCCACGCAATTCTTCAAGGAAGTTCTTGGGTGGTGGCTAGCATAGTGGGTCAAGCGGGCCAGGGGTGACGCAGGCTCTCGCAAATGTATAGTCGACCTGCCAATATAAGGATATTCTCCAACCAACTCTTCCACATACGACCATAGGAACAAGTCAATAGCGCTTCCCGTTCGCTCAGCGGTACTCAAGCTTGTTACCGGCAGATTAGTAGTCAGGTGGGTGACCACTGGCGAATCCCCGCTGTTGTATGTTTTTGACCTTTTTTGACCCACTAACGTCAATCTGAACTACCGAGCTTGTGCCGACATGATAGGAACAAGTTGCTAAGTTTCTCTGCTTAGTCCTTGCAAGACGTATACGCTGGCTATTTGCAGCTTGTGTGCTAAGCACGAAATGCATTTAGACTTCTCATCATTTTCACTACGGCTCACAACTATCGAGTCTTTTTTGTTTCGTTCAAATAACGTTACATGACAGTCTTTTTGCTTACCAAACATACACAGGTTGTCTAACTAGTTATAGTGTTTCGATTCTTACCGAGGACAGCTCACACACGACACCACTACACCCCCACACGAGCCGCTCCGTGACGTAGAGCGACACATATCGGCCGAGTAGCATAAGCAATCGAGTCTATGCTAAGTTAATAATCCAAAACAAGCTCTAGAGCCCAGACGGCGACGGCGCACAGTCATTGCGAAAGAGAGACTCCAACACCGCCACAGAAACTAACACATGCAACTGGAGGACATTGCCCGAAAGAGGCTTTGACAAGTGGCTTTGATACGCGAGTGAACGGTTTAGGACGAAGTGGCGTAAGCTTAAGGTCACGGCCAAGACATACGGCTTGCTTACAATGATTTTGCGCGTTGCGGAGACGAACTTGATCACGAGTACAGCGTCTAATTTGTTCTCGCACAGACTAATACGCACGGAAAGACGTGGGGTATCGATGCTCGAGCGGAAGGTGCCGACGACGTTGTTGTCATCTGCTCACTCAACAACACCCTTTCATATTGAAGGTCACGTGTGACGCGTCTATTGGTGTGTAACTTGAGCTTGGTCTAAACCAAGGTCAGTGTGGGCTGCGTGTTTTGGAGAGTTGCTTCGTCGCACTGGACACTGACGAACATTGTAGTCAGGAGCAAGCTCTTCACCCAGAAAACGTCATGATAACGCCATCTCTTGTCCCTAAACGCGTGTGCACTCTGACAGTGCGCACAAGAAGAGTCATGTTTACGAGTTCTGGGAAATGTACATTCCATCGCGGGCACCACCGTGGTTTTAGGCGACAATAGTCAAAAGCGTGCCACCGAAAACAAAGCCCTTACAATCCTCCATCGATGTTGTCGAAATTGATGGGTGAACTACCCAGTAAACTCTTCGTCTTGAACATTCAAGACCAAAGCTTTGAATGTCATTTGGCGAACACAAGCTCCCGCGATGGTCCTGAGCTCAAGCTCACCAAGCTACCCAATGCTTATTGATTCTCACAGTCATGTAGGCGTCCGTCCTCGTACCATCACCACCACCACCTACATCATGTCTCGTCTATTTTGCACATAAGCAGGCATTCATAGTTAGTCTGCTGATGTGAAGTTCATAGCCATGAAAACAAGCACGTCCAATAAGTTTCGACGATCGCTGTATCCGGTATCATTTCTAGTGTCACACGGGTAGAAGTTGTTGGTTTTGACGCGTGTATGATCAGACGTGGCTGGAATAGACCGGGCGTACACAACGCCTTGACGACAAGCTGAAGTGAGAATGAGAAGAAAGGTTGCCGCTCAAGAAGCTCTGTATAGAAGCATATAAGGAAGGCCAACATCCTGCCAGGAGCACCTCACCACACTCTCATCTTCTCAATCAACCTCAATCACAACAATATAACCGGCAAAATGCACTCCATCCTCATCACCACCTTCCTGGCTACTCTCGCAGTAGCCAACCCAATCGCTCCCGGGCCTCCTTACCACTCCAAGCGGGCCATAAACCCCAACACTGTCAACGCCCTCACCGCTGCCGAACTAACCACCCAGCGCAACGCCCTCCTCCTCGCGCAGTCCGAAACCGCGCGCGAAGCCATCCTCTTCCCCAACCCACCTAACGCCGCAAACGACACTTTCCAATTCATCAACAACACCGTCACACCCCCTACAGCCGGCTCCATCTTCCTGTCCACCATCAACAACTTCCCGGCACTGGGCTCCACCGGCCTCGCAGCTGCCGTGGGTTTCGTCAACCCATGTGGTCTCAACACGCCGCATTGGCACCCTCGATCCAACGAGTTCCTCACCGTCGTTCAAGGAACACTGATCGGTGCACTCCTTCTCGAGAACGACAGCGGTTTCGGCAACGTTGTCGGCGGTGTACCACCCGTTCGCGGTCCATACCAGCAGATCGAAACCACACTCTCCAACTACACAGGTATGCTCTTCCCCAAGGGCCTCATCCACTGGCAGTTCAACCCCGAGTGCGAGCCGGCTGTTTTCGTCGCGGGCTTCGATGTCAACGACCCTGGCCGTGTTGAAGCTGCTAGAGGCTTCTTTTCGGGTACACCGGATGAGGTTCTTGAGGCGAGTGCAGGTTACAGTGAGTTTTTGACGCCGGAACAAATTGCGGGGTTGAGGCCGCAGTTGACGAGCGATTTCACGGCTATTGTGGAGAGTTGCGCGAAGAAGTGTGGGATTCCTTACAAGCCTGAGTCTTCGTCGACGGCGAGTGCGAGTGCGTACCCCACGGCTACGAGTGGGTACTAGAGTTGGGTGACCAGCGAGTGCAGTGGCTCGGTGTAGAGTGAGGTCGGAGGTAGGGTCTTACAGGAAGATGTAATCGATTGTTTAAGGGTAGGTGACGGAGTCCATGGTTAGATCGCGCTTTCTTTTGTATATAGACACTCGTTAGACTGATTTTAGTATGCAATATAGACGAGAGATAAATTCAGAGCTCTCAGGGAGATGTTTCAAGTATCCCTTAACGTGCTTGCCGGTCTGAGTTATCTCTCGACTGAGAACGTAGTAGAGGCTACATGGCTGGCAACGCTTGAAGTCAGCAACTGTCCACAAAGTGAGTTTCCTACCCATCACCAGACAGTGCGAATACATCCTGGCTTCATGATGGACCGTCACCTTCTGAACCCATGCTATTGTGTATCCTCCACGCGCTACTCCATATATTCGACCTGCAAAGCAGTATATACATCTTGAGACCAGATTCTCATCTACAACTTCGTGTCACTAAACGGAACGTATTTCTCTCCACTCGCCTCCTCCACCCTCTTCGCAGCACTCTTATACGCATCCCTCTTCTGCAGCCTCCTCATGTACTCGTACAACTTGGGGTAGCTCGTCTCGCTCAACGGCAGCCGCTGCGTGGCACCCTCAAGTCCGAAATGGATCATGATATCGGCAGCTGTGAGCTTGTCGCTGCAGAAGAACTCGCCCTTGCTGGGAGATTTGACGAGGTAGTCCTCGAGGAAGTCGAAGTGCGTCTTCAGCTCTGGGTCGACGAAGCCAGAGTCGATCTTACCGGCGACGCCGTTGGTGATGGGCTTGAGGAAGAAGGGTACGGGGGCATTTTTTATGTCTAGGTGGTGGTCAATGAACTGGAGTGGGAAAAGTGGCCGGGATTTACCTACTTCCGGTGACTAGCGCCAGGATCAGGACGGTGAAGAGACTACCTTCAGTGTAGTCCATCAGGAACTAGATTAGTGTCAGCTTTCTGGCCTCTTCATAGTCGATAGTTTTCGGGGGAAGTTTGTGTAACAAATGCAGAGAAGCCAGCGTTCGCGCTTATGTTCATGTGCATCAGGACGTCTCTGCGCCGACAGATTTCATCATACCTTGTATCTCATCCACTCCTCAGTCTCAGCGCCAAGCACGCCGTCCTGTCCCTCAGGGTACCGCTTGGGAACCAAGTCCTTGCCAAAATGGTCGCAGATGTACTCCATAATTGTCTCACTCTCCGCAATGACGATATCCTTTTCGGAGTTTGCGGGCCTGATGGTAACACATGGTGACTTTCCCAACGGATGGATGGCCTTTAGCTCAGGACCCGCGCGCTTGTTCTCATCGCGCTTGTGCACGGCGATGTCGTACTCAAGGCCAAGCTCTTCGAGCAGCCATACCACGCGCTGGCCACGGGATTTGTTCAACCTATTTGGTTGATTAGTCGTGGTTGCTGATGGCGATGGCGCAATGCGGTGGGACCGCACGGGGATGACAGGCATGTGACAGACTTGGTAACTTACCAATGAACGGTGATCTTTGCTCCCTGCTGGTTCGACATGTTTGCGGCGATTCTTAGTAGTTGTGAAGTTGAGATATGCGAATAGTGTGTATTCTAGAACGTGAATGCAATGATGAGATGAAGTTTTCAATACCACCGAGGTTCTTCGACGGCTTTATCTGATGCCGTCACAAGCTTCGGCGTTCAGCCCATCGGTGGTTGGCTGCCCGCTCGGGCACTCGGGCAGCTGTTTTAGTGTCTGTTTCGCCGACCCTCCCAGCACCTCATCCAAGGAAGAAAATGGACAGGCACGCTGAAGTCTACATTACTTTTGAAGCCAAGAGTTTGTAGAACCCCAAGGTAATGCAGTCTTCTTAGTGTGTCTTTATAAATGTACTTCGTCGTAGGGTATACCTAGGTAAGTGTCCAGCTTGTCCCTTGAATGGGGTGGCAGCATCGATGAGTAGCCGGGATTCGGGATTGATGGCTACTAGATACAGTACTTCTGTAGACACTGAGGGTGTGTAAGACGGGGCGATTCGGTTGTGATGTGGTCCAGGTTTGCCGCGTGATGTCGAACTCGCGGCTGTAGCGACTTGGATGTGAGACACGGCGACTCTCGGGAGTCTGTAGATAAATCAACGACATATAGGGCGTAATGAATGTCTCGAGAAGACTTAGTCAGAAAGCGCGTTGTTCACAGTGACTGTACGCGATGCTACCTAGGTATGCTGAAGCGCCAAGACCCAGCGGCACTTACCGCATCTCCGCCGACCTCATCGCGCGCACCTAGTCAACCCCAAGCTCACCAACTGCGCAACACTTCCACACGCGCAAGAGTCAGCAAACATGCAGCCAACTTTCCGCCGAATGGCGGGCCACAACCACGGCAGTGCGTATTATCGCGGAGAGGACCAATGTGGGCGCAATCGCTAACCGTACGCAGTGATCCACGCGGATCCCGCCATTATCAAATGGGCCAGTACGTTCACCACCGACCCCGCATCCTGAAGACCTCTACTGTACCCAGAAAACTGGCGCGTTGAAAACAAGGAATGGCCTCAAAGGCGCAAGAGTCTCGACATGGGTAATGGAGGAGGGGGATACCCAATACGCGGTACTGACGAGGAACAGACATGACCGTCAACCGCCACAAGTACTTCCGCTGGACGAAGCGCACAGCTTGGCTCACATTCGCCTACGTCGTCTTGGTACCGGGTATGCTGGGCACGGCAGGATACATGACCGAGGTGAGTTTGGGGAAGCACGCATTTGGGCGGGGAGGGGTTGCGGCATTCGAGACGCTGTGTATTTGGAAAGCAAGACGGATGGATGCTGACAAAGATTTCTAGGGCAAGTGGGACATGCGCGGCAAGCGGAGGGGCGACATGATCTCCGAGTTCTAGGCATTATCATTGGAAGAACAACGCGCGGAGGAACGGGCGCTGTGTACATATGGAGAATATCATGGCATCACAGAAGCCGTACAGTCCTTTCTATCGCTTGCAAATGAGCGAAAAAATCAGCAAGCATGGGCTAGTTGCTGCATACGGAACGATGAGACTCTGAGAACGTCAGGTTCTTTGTGACCCCAGGAGGTCTTCAGACATCTGTGACTTGACCGATCTACCCCTCATCAACTGCCATGACTACTACCAATATCACACGCACATTCATGGGCGTTCGCTCGATAAGACTGTATCCTGCTAGATTGCCGCGTCGGTAGATGAATACGCAAGGCTATATCCTAGTCCATGGCTGGGTGGGCTTTGGCGCAATTGTTATTTGCGAAGAGGAGGAGAGAAGGTCTCCTGATGACCTCTACTTTCTAAAGAATTGCCTATACAAACATCAAGGCTATAAAGTGTGGCCAGAGCCGCTGTTGATAGGCACTTTATCAGCATTTACCATGACGAATTCTCAACAGGATCGGGTCTCCGATGGTGCGCAACATGTCGCTACCATACATTCGTCAAAGGACTTTTCTCCATTGCTAAAGCTTCCAGATGGTAAGATATCGTGGACCGATGACTGATGTTGTTCGTTGTTTGCTGAGCTTCTCTAGAAATACGAAATATGGTATACGAATACCTCCTAGCATCAACACTACATCTAGTCAGCAGGGGCCACATGCCACTTATCCAGTTTGCAAACATATGCACACAGATACGATGCGAATTCCAGCCAATGCTGCTATCCCAGCACGTTGTGAACATCGATAACGCATGCCGCTACATCGAGACGTTTCTCATCGCCACGAATTTCGACATCAAGCACTACGAGAAGTTTGAGCCTGTGAGAAAGGTACATATTGGGGTCATACAAAAAAGGGATGGCACATTTCTCATCAGCGACCTCGTGCCACTCTTGCGACTTCTCATCAACCATCCAATGGATGTCAAGGTTACTTTCGACCACGATCCAGATACCCCTCTTGAGTCCTTAGAGAAGCTCTTGCGATATCGAAGCGAGTACCGGACATCGTTGCTCAATCGCTGCGACCTCGTGGACATGTTGAGATTCAGCGCGCAGTCATTGGGTGGTGCGTTTCCTGTGTATATCAATGCGGGTCTCAGAGAACAAGGCAACGGGTGGGCTACGTCTTCCAAATCCTACGATATCAGCTGTAGTAACCTCGTTGGTCCTCGCGAGACGCGCATCGAGAAGATACATATCTTCGAAGGTCGGAAAGGTCGTCTGATGATAGGTCTGTCGCGGGTTTCTGACGCAAAATGACAGCACAAGGTAAGTTCATGCAAAGAGATCGGAAGGAGGCGGGTGGCTATTCCTTCCTCTAACGGCGTGTACCCGGAGACGTGCGTGCCAAATACGTCACCCAGTCAACCCTTCAGTACCACACGAGCTCGTTCTTCTCATTTGTTATCCGCATTCTGTACCCGAGAAGCATACAGTATAGTTCGATGAATTGAAAGACGAATTGTAGTTCCCGTAAATACCTCCGGGATGCAGTGTTCCCCAGCATGGTTGCAGGGAAACGAGCTTGTCGTAGCCCAGCCTCCACCAACCTCTCACATTCTCCAGCCATCCATGTGCAATTTTACAACACGACGTCTCTTTACTGATCGACCTTGCATGCATCTGTTGAGGCCACATGTTCGCGTTATGCATGGACGGCGCCTACCGCTCTGGCTGACGCCCTATGTTGCTAAGGGAACAGTGGCCGTTGTCGCGATCTAATGTTATCGAAAACAAAAAAGCACGCTCCATTCCTATACGTCGAATATTTCATGCCTTAGCGAAGAGACGCATAAAGTTCTCGGAAGTTGTAAGTTGTGCCTGACAGCTGCACAGCGTCGAAGACTCCACAGTTGTACCTTGCTGTCGGCGCCTCACATCTACCCGAGCAACATATGTAGCACGTTTCTGAGGCGACAGCAGTAACACAGCGCTCGGAAGCCAACGTGGCTAGTAGCACCAGCCGCATGGATCACCTCACGTGTTTTGCTCGCACGCGAGGTTGCACATCACCGCTATCGTTAATCTCATTTCGATCACCAGCTACTACGTTCACCTGCAGAAGACTTGCAGTCGACACAGGTTACACAGTGGCGGATGTAGGCGTTGAGGCGTTCTGCATTTGTAATCCATGTAGACGCGCGGTTGTCTAGGTACCCTGCTGCTAATCTTCATGGCAGGACTAGGTATCTTGTCGCCACGAAGACTCCGCGGGATGATCACAATGCAGGAACGGATGGAAAGTGTCCCATAAGTAGTCTCTTAGTTAGCCGACAAGGAGAAACATACTCGCCTAATGTTTAATATTTGGTCTTGAGCTACGAGGAATATCTTTATTACGTGTTGTCCCTCCAAAAGTAACATCTTTGCTAGAAGAATTCGCGGTATTCAGTGCTTACAAAGACCTTGCACCGAAAGCAATGTGTGAGTCTGGGTAATGTTGCAATTTCGCGTGCGTTCTTCCAGTGACCAGTTTTTTTGTACCTCCGTTAATGGGGGCAGTGGCCATTCCACATGGTAGATCATGGAGACACGAGGGCAGGGTCATAGCTAATTTGCACGATCCAAATTACCGGGTGATCTAAAGAATGAAGTCATATAGCTTCCGCTATCCATGTAGACCGGAAGATTGATTTCATGTCGAGGATCAATTTGATTGAGATAGCCGACAAGATTAAACGACTCTGTGCAGATATGGGACTTGTTTACCCGACTTGATGGAGAAGCCTGCTACCAAACCCCTGTGGTGTCCTTAGAGGAACTCCGCAACCGGGTTTTACTACGGTTCACAGCATGCAGCCACAAGCGGGGATTGGGCAGTCCGAGCGTCCCACTTAAAGGCCAAAGGTTGACGCCAAAGTTTGTTCTTCGGCGCAAATATAGCTCTATGAACATTGCGCGCGCCTTAAAGATGATTAGACATCGGTTCGCAGGCGATATATGCCAAGTTGTTAGTTGAGCCTCAAGACACATAGTCGCGCACCCGCGCGAAGCAGACGTATTCGGCAAATAGTAACTTTGGTTGGAAAATGCATCTACCTGACCGACTTTCGGTGAGCATGAATGAACCTAGGTAAGGCTGATTTCTCACATAGGGAAATGCCATGAAAAATTGCGAGCTGAACGTCAGTCTTGCTGCACTATGCAGGTAAGCAGACGCACCTCATTCCTCCAATATTGTGGCGTTCTTTGCTGTCAGTGTTCAAAGATCCGACATGGACAGTACTGCACCAAATCTGACACAATGCCGTTAGTCGTTCGCTTCTGTCAAAACCTTCGTGTTGGTACTGGTAACATGCAGATAGTGGACGATGCGCAGTGCTGGCAAGGATGACGTGGGAGCGACTCTGTGGTATCTTCGCACCCTTGGAGAATATTAGCTTTACCGCTGCTAAGCATTGGTGACATGATTCCACCCAGTACTCTCAATCCTGAAGAGTGCATGGCCTTATGGTCTTCACCCGGCGTTATTTCCTTCCCTCAGACCACATATGGAAGGATGCATCCGCTTCAGCCGTGTATCCAGAGTGGCAACACTGAGACATTGCGATCTAATTCGAGACAAGGAGACATCGCCGACACAATGGCGCCTGTGGCTATCCAAGACCGCCGGTACAGCTCTGGTGCATATCAATAGTCTGATTTTGGCCCTGAACGTCATGGAAACGGTGCGGCACGTTGTGAAGGAGGCGATTCCAGCCGACTTGGGGCGCCTAACTAAGCGCAAACTGCACATTCCTTGATGAAGGCATGTTCTCAGTGGTCAGTGTTGCGATGTGGTGATGTTGTGGTCGGCCCATGAGGTCCGGCCCCCCTCACGAACTCCGACACAGCATGGAAGGCTAGTCCAGTCTAGGCTTGGCGTAAGCGCCAAATGGCACAGATCGTCTCGAGATGTTGGCTCGCTCGCGCTTCTAGGATCCTTATTCCTCTCGCTTCACGACCATCAAGCTTTACAAGCACCGGGGACGGCTCTCGATTCCATGGTCAGCTCGGGCGATTGTTCTGCACACTACCCATAGCGGCATCCACTCCCTGTATCTAGATGTTAACCGACGCCTCGCGCGCCCCACTTTCTGCGCGACCCAAGGCACATCACCGCTTGCTGCTGCATCACAGACTGCTCAGGCTGCCGCTGCCATGTACGGCTCAGCACTTGCTGCAGCTGTACCGAGTATCCAGCCCGCTCTCTTTAGTTCATGTGCCGCCGAGGCTCGGTAGATCCAGCTGCATTCAGTCGTGTAACACGAGCTATGCCGACATTTGAGACGAAAGCGACCACTCAAAAATCTCCGTTCATCTACTTAGGGCTGAAATGCAACCGTATCTTACGCTCACAGCTCTGGGCAGGCCCTCATACTAAGCCCACGTCCTTACCGTTCATGGGCCGTAGACCGCACTCACGGCGATCTTGGACGCTTCTTGCGGCAACAGTCTCTACATGGAGTGATCATACCACTAACTAGTGGTGGGAACTCTCCACTGCTGGCATCGGTAGCCTTTCGGGCTATCAATCGGCCCACTAGAGAAGCAGGGCAATGTTGCCATGCTGAAGATATAATCACTCGTACCACCCTTTGTTAATCAAACCAGCCAGCCTTCGCTTTTCGTTTACAGCTTGATCTGCGCCTATCTGCACTCGTTGACCTCGTGCGTAAAGGGTCTGGCAGCTGTCGTTTACATTTACGTTCTTTCATTCCTCCTTCCATAATCCACAATGGTTGTTTCAATCTTCAGATTGGCCACCGCCGTAGGGCTTTTCCTTCCTTCGGTGACATCGTTTGCTGTACCATCCGTCGAGCACCTCACACCCAGGCTACCAGAAGTTCCTTGGAAGAAGGATGGTCTTTGGAGTGGACGCGAGAAACGAGACGGTTACAAAACCAACTGTAACCATGGCCCACAATCGAGAGGGTGCTGGAATGGCGACTTCAGTATCGACACGGATATGGACCTTCATTGGCCGAACACCGGAAAGACTGTCAAATATCACTTGACTATCTCGAACGCCACCGGAGCCCCCGATGGGTTTGAAAGGCCAGTTCTACTGATCAATGGTCAAACGCCAGGACCTGTGAGTGGAACACTTTGCTTCAAGCTGTTCCCTTGCTAATATCTTGCAGACTATCTTGGCGGACTGGGGCGATGATCTTGAGATCACTGTAACTAACAATCTCCAAAACAACGGCACTGGACTGCACTGGCATGGCCTCAGGCAACTTGGTTCAAACGAGCAGGACGGAGTGAACGGTATCACTGAATGTCCAATCGCGCCTGGCGACTCCAAGGTCTACAAGTTCAAAGCCACACAGTACGGCACAACCGTAAGTTGCTTTTCATTGCGCATTACATGAGTGGAGCATGTCTGACAGCTGTAGTGGTATCATTCGCATTACTCCGTACAATACGGCGATGGCCTTGTAGGTCCCTTGGTCATCCGAGGACCAGCAACAGCGAACTACGACATTGATCTTGGTGCGCTGCCAATGACAGATTGGTTCCACGCAAGCACTTTCACCGTGAACGCTGCAGCTGTCCATGCGAACGGCCCTCCGATTGCGGACAACATTCTCATCAACGGCACCATGACGTCAGCCGCAGGAGGAAAGTACGCCGAGACAATCCTTACCCCAGGAAAGGCGCATTTGCTGCGCCTAGTCAATACCGGTATCAACAACTACCTCCACGTGGGTCTCGATGGTCATAAGTTCAAGGTTATTTCCGCCGATTTCACACCCATCGAGCCATTCGAGACTGACAACCTCATTCTCTCAGTCGGTAAGTTGCTCCGACCCGTTTTTTATCTGTCTGCCCGCCCGTTGCGGTGCCCACAACGTCCGTGTGTGCAACGCGCCCTCAACCACGAGAATGCACCCACGATAACTATTGCCGTGGAACGTTCCACTGACATGGTCACCAGGTCAACGCTATGAAGTCATTATCAACGCAACCGAGCCTGTTGGCAATTACTGGTGGCGAGTAGGTACTGGTGGTCGATGTGATGGCCCCAACGCAAATGCGGCAAACATCAGGAGTATCTTCCGATATGCTGGCGCTCCCGCTGTACAGCCTAACTCGACCGGCAACGTTCTACCGGTGGGTTGCTACGACGAGACCAGTATCGTCCCATACGCCAAGACGACCGTTCCCCAGGAGATGCCCGAATCGTTGACGTTCGGCTTCAACGACAATTACACGACCGACGTAACGCAAACCCAGGGTCTTGTGCAGTGGCTTGTCAATGGCAATCCGATGGCGATTGACCTCGATCGACCCACCCTACAGCACGTGCTGGACGGCAATGTTACATATGGCAACAACCGTCATGTGTTTGAAGTCGATGAGAAGCACAAGGTAAGTCTCTTTTGCTCATACTGCTATCCTCATGACTAACGGCTTTTGCAGTGGCAGTACTGGGTCATCCAACAGGATACCACCAACAACACTGCGCCTCCACTACCTCATCCTATTCATCTCCACGGCCACGACTTCTACGTTCTGGATCAACAGGAGAACGCAGTGTGGAACGGCGACATATCCCGCCTCAAGACCGACAATCCCATTCGCCGTGACACGGCCAGCCTCCCCGCCAGAGGCTACCTTGTTCTGGCGTTCGAGTCTGACAATCCCGGAGCATGGCTGATGCACTGCCACATTCCCTTCCATGTGGCTGCTGGTCTCGGTGTTCAGTTCCTCGAGCGCTCGTCTGAGATCAAGGCCAAGGATGGTTTCGCTGAGATGCAAAGAACTTGTAAGAACTGGCAGACGTACCATAGGGAGTTCCACCCCAACGGCATCCTATTCCCTGGAGATTCTGGGCTTCGGAGATAGTCCTTCGTCCATTGCTATGTCGCGTATCTCATTCGATGTATCCTTTCTTCTTTTTTCATTTACTTCGCACGACATTCCGTCGTGCATGCCTGGGCAAGACGGCGTTTCATTATCGCATGACAAACATGTGCTGCTTATCCGCGAAACCTTATCTATGGTAATAATGATAATTTTGAAACGAACAACACGTTCTATCAAGCTCTCCTTCATCACTGTGAGATCCATGCTATGTTTGAGTATGCCCGTACAACTCCAGATCATCATTAATGCCTCTCTGGGTTTCTGCGTAGAACTCGGTCACGTACCCAAATCCCCTTATCGCATTCTCAGCCTACCCTCGTAGATCAGCATCTTAACACCTCATTTTCCATTGTCGGAGCAACTATGCCGATGTTGTGATGCAAGTTGACGTTCCGTGCGCTACCCGTTGCTTTTCCTTGGTACAACCTCGGCCCCTAGCCCCGGCGTGCAGGATGCAAACGCGGTACAACTATAAGTACTTAAAAGCGCGTAGCATTAGCTAGGTCAAAATGTGTTGGAGCCGGGCTCCCGGGAAAAGGAAGAGGAACGTCAAGAGCTAGGTGCCACGCCAACCTAGGAACATCTTGAACAGATCTGCAGCCTACATCGACGTAGAAACGTGCAAAGTAGGTAACCTAACGTTGATTTAGGCTCTAGATCTGTTTAGTATTTTTTCTTGTTTAGGGTGGTGCAATCGTGAAGAGTTGGCGGCAAAGCTAGGCTATGTACTAGAGGGCCAGGGGGCTGGGAGTGTTATTGTTTTCTCCAAACTCTTCGCGAAGAGCGTTTGGGACGAAAGAGGTACCCGGCCTGTTTTTCTGGGGTGGTGCGTGTTCCTGCGTTGGTAAATGTGCTGCGCGAGGAAAGTCACTGATTGATGACGTCGAAACGAATTATTCAAGGGCAAATAGCATGTTTTCCTTTGAGTATTTGTAATGTAGATGTACCGTGCAGGTATCTATTGGATTCGAGATGGTAGTAGTAGCGAACAAGAATGTAAACACTCAAGTATGACACGGAACGGGTCGGTCAACGCTATCTCGCATCCGCGCGCGACGAAGGAACCATCAACCTCTCAATCCTCCTGCCCGCTGTTCTTGATATCGCGTGCGCGTTCTTCTTCGACTTACTAAGGGATTGAACATATGAGAAACGTTGATTCACTCCGCCCATTTGGTTCAGACGTAGCAAACGTTGCTGCCTAGGACCAGATAGGTCAGCACGTGAACTCACAGGGCTGGCGTCTCCCCTCTGCATACATAAATGCTCGCTCTCCCCCTTCCTCCCCTTACTACATCTCATGGAGTTTCTCAATCGCTCGCGTTCAACCGCACAAGAGAAATCTCATTCTTTCCAGGCCTCCCGCCTCCTACCTGGGCACCTACGTGCTGCTCGATGCGCCCCCTCCATCCAGTAGTCAGTATTGTCGTCTACTGAGGTTCCGCCGGATTTTGCTCCTCCACACGTGTGCCGCAAACGAAAGTGGGCAATGCGACCGAAAGGTCGACGCACGTTGGAGAAGAAAGTGTGCTGTGGGTAACTGTGGGCAAAGCGATCGAGAGATCTACGCACGTTAAAACAGAGTTATATGCGCTGCAGGCAACTGCAGGCAATGCGAACTGAGAAGTTCGACGCATATAGCTCTATATAAAGCATGTACCGCATGCAAATGTAGGCAATGCGGACCGAAAGGTTCGACGCATGTCTGCGACGTGTGCTACAGGCGGCTGTGGGCAAAGCGAATCAAAAGGTTCGACGCACGGAGGGAACCGTGTACCGCAAGTAAACTTGCGGTAAAGATGGACATGGTTCATCGCACGGCGAGGGATATGCAGCATGCGAGAGCTGGCTGCGAGCGTTTCGCTCATATGGTAGGCGAAAGCCGATACCATGATCCTTCTTCATACTGCACAGATGCGTGTCGATCCGCAGTCACTGAAGACATCTTTTTCGTTGAGTCTTGGCTCTTGCAGCCAGTCTTGAAGAAGAGGATAGATGAAGTATCGAGGTAGGGACGGGAGGTGTACAGTAATGCGGGCTACTTCATATTGTAACATTCACCATCAGCCGTTGAGACTTGCCATTGCATAGTTCATCCATCGATGAACTCTTCCTTTCTTGCTTCTATCCTGACCCTCTTTCAACTCTTCCTCGTGTTTGATCTCATTCTTCTCTTTTTCGGCTTTGCGCTGCTCTTCTAGTTTCACTTGCTTTTCCACTGTTAGAAGTTAGATTGCAACTCTACATTCTGATCAGAAGGGTTGATGTACACTCTGCTTTGCTGTACGACTTTTGCCCAACTCCTGCGATATCCATGACGATGACTCGAGCAAGATGCGTTGATGACCGTGAAAAGGTAACGTGTTTCTGGATAAAAAGTGTAGGTCAGCGAGGGCGTGCTGTCGTGGATACGGTGTAGCTTTAAGTGTATACAGTGATGATCGAAGGATTCGCTTCGATGCAGGTGGCAGGGCTGAGCTCTGCCTGCGCCATAAGACATAGTACGAACTAGCCGTAATCAGCAACGACAATGCGGAGGCACATGCGCCGCTACATAACGAGTAATGAAGGTCAGCAGAATGAATCGATGCTTCGTAGTCATATTATGATTGGTACTTCTATGCTAGACAACAACACTAAAGTTCATTGCCCGCGTGGTCTCCATATCATCCTCATCTTCATTGCAAGCCATCGCACAATGCGAAATGGCCACAATATGTCTTCTATTGCATGAAATTCTCAACATCAGAGAAAGTCAAGCATCCATTCGAAACCTATTTCTTGGAAGCGACTTTGGCGAGGTCGGCAAGGGCTTCGCGGCGCTTGAACTTGGCATCCTGGATTACGCCTATATGTGTCAGTCTCGGTCCAGTATAAGAAGATTTCCCTTCACTTACTGGCATCGGCATCGCTACTGAAGTTGCCAGACCATGTGATGAAGGTCTTGTTCTCGTGTGTGCCGGAGGTGACGGGGTATACGCGGATGGTGGATACGACGGAGGAGTAAGAGAGCTCGGGCTTGGAAGTGATGACGGAGTATGTGATGAAGTGGTCGATGGACTAAAACCACGAGTCAGTGTTTGATAGACTTGTTTGCATTACTGCATCACTTACGGAGTGCTCCTCCTGCTTGACCTCAAGCTCGGTGCCGTCCTTGAAGGTCCACTTGACAATGTCGGTCTCTTCCGATGTGCCCTTGACGAACTCGCTCTTGTCGAGCTTGGACCAGAACTTGCTGAAGTCCTGGAGCTTGATCAGGTGCCAGACATCGCTGAAAGACGCGTCAATGACGGCTGACTCGCTGACGGAGGTGGAGGTGGGGATAGATCCAGACATATTGGTTTGGGCGGTACAGTTAGGGACTTGGTAATTGGTTATGGGGGTTTACGGGTGATATAATGAAGATTGGTAGTCAGGGTCGTGGGCAGAAGAAGAAGTTTGGTGGGGCTCGCAGTTTGTTGCAGACTAATAGCGTCATAGCACCCTGCACTTTGGAAAGCTGCAGCTACCCCTCCTCCACATCGCTCTTGCTCGACATCGCCACTAAGCGCGTTCATCCTGATATATTATGACATATAAGTGCCCTTTCCTTTCTTCAGTACCCTGGTATAAGAGATACACAAGACAACAGCTCTCCGCTTGGCTCCCTACCACACGACTGAGAACCGTATGTTTACCTAGGTAAGAATTACAAGACCTTGCGCGACTACAACATTCCAGACTACGGAAAGTGCCTTTCTCAGATAGCGCTGTATACTGCAGTACGCTACAACATTCGTCAATTCTTCTTGATTTCATGCGTTGTATGCGGCCCGGGTGGTCTTGTCACCACTTCCGACACTCTCTACAACCTTGAGCACCTCCACTCATTTCCTTTCGAAATCATTCCAACACATTCTCCATTTGCTTTTGCATGCGGGCAAGTGATACTTCCGCCGCCGTTCATGACCTATCCCGAGAGCCCAGCATACACCACCGTGCAATGCCTGTGGCCAATCACAATCCTACCGCCACAGCCACAGCCACATCGGAGGAAATCAAGCTCCGATCTGCTAGCCGTCTGAACGCGCAACGCCCGTTTGCCTGCTCACCACCTAGCCACGCGGCACTCTAGGCACGCGGTCTCGAAGCCTATCGTCGATGATCCTTCTGGTAACTTCTTTGAGCTTCTCTAGCATTCCTAAAATGATGGGTGATTGGTCTCTGCATGCAAATGGTGCGATTGGTAACCCGAAAGGCTGCCCGTATGGGTGGCAAGTAAGTCAAAGGAGGGGTGCACATACGTACGTTCGCACGTGCGACTTGATGCCTGGAGCCGTTTGCTTTGTATAAGACGCCCAAAGAGGTAGGCTCTAACATTGAATCAACCATCACACTTCCTCAACCCACTTTACTATACGAATCATCATCATGCCATCAATCGCATACATGAACAACTCCGCTCCTTTTTGGGACTTTATCGCTGGTCTCGAGCAGCAAGGCTCGCAGCACCCATTCTTTGCACAAAACCGTAACGACGGTACCGAAAACGATCGCGAGATGCCAACCCAAGACGCTCAGGATCCCTTTGCTCCATTCAGATGGGGTCAGTTCTTTGGTGGCGAAAGGGGAATGCCTCACCGTGGCGGGCCTCCTCACGATCGTCCCGAACATCGTCATGAGAGAGCCACTGGCGAGCCAAACCAAGAACGTAGTGAACAGAAGGAGGCCGAAAATGATGCCACTATGAACGCCGAGTACGACAATGGTGAAGGCCCATCGGGCAACTCTGGGTCTGACAATGATGCTCATAACGGCGGCCGACCACATGGTCGCTGGGGTGGAGGACGTCGAGGACGCTGCGGTCATGGCGGCCCTGGAGGCTCCGGCCCACACCACCACCCCCATCCCCACGGAGGCCCACCTCGTCATGGACCACACCATCGGGGCCATCGCGGAGGCTGGGGCCCATGGGCACGCGGAGGACCTTTCGGAGGCATGGGCGGCGGACCTTCTGGTGCTGGGCGTAACGCCTGGAACTCTTTTGACCCCTCCACCTTTGCCGCCCAGTTGTTCAACCAGTTCACGGACAGTCACCCCTCCAATACTGACAACGCCACCAAGCCTAACGAGGCCGAAGACTACACACCCGATGCCGATATCTTTGACACCGAGTCTGCCTACGTCGTCCACGTCTCGCTCCCGGGGGCCAAGAAGGAGGATGTTGGTGTAAACTGGGATGCTGAGAAGAGCGAGCTCAGCATCGCTGGCGTGACATACCGCCCTGGTGACGAAGAGTTCTTGAAGACACTTGCCTTGAACGAGCGCAAGGTTGGAGCTTTCGAGAGGAAGATTCGCCTTGGGACGAGGGCAAACCCGGCTAGTGTTGATGCCGAAGGTATCACAGCGAAGCTTGAGGATGGCGTGCTCAGAGTCGAGGTCCCGAAGCTGGACTCTGGGTACGTTGAGATCCGCAAGGTGGATATCGAATAGGTGAAGGCTGTCATGATTGCAGGTCGATATGGAAACCGCGGGGTTATCGCACGTTATGGATAGTTTGATTTCGGGCGTCTTGATTCATAGTATTGCTTATAATATATCTTCCCAAAAACCCTGTCGTCTACATATACGATCTCATACTTGTTCGGTCTTTCTTCTACATACGCAAGCCAGGCAATGCAAGACCATCCTAATCAATGAGAGGGAAGTACAGCCTTTTCAAGGGGGACATCAAGTACACTGCCTTCTGCAAAGGTAATGAAGAGATACTGCTAGAGGAATATAAAGAACCAAGGCGGCTACATCGATGCTGGACGTTATCTTACTACCTTTTACAATCTGTTGTAGGCTGCATGGACTAACTTGGTTTCTCGTGGTGATAGTGAAAATCACATCATGTGCCTCACCTAGTTCCAAATTCACCAGCTCGTGGGGCATAACGTCAGTGAAAAGATTGGTTCAAAACCAGCGCTCACCTTCAATAGCTAGGCGCGCTACTTAGGTCCAAGTTTGTGCCACATCAAACGCGTCCCATTACCTTTGTCTTTCAACTCCAATCTACACCACACCAGGGAGTTCAGTTATCGCACTTCTCTAAGCCATGACTCCTCTTGCCGAGCTCACTCCACCAATAGACCAACCCCGTCGGTTCCCGACAGTCGAAGACGAGACTCCTGCTAGTGAAGCCAGTCAGATAGCAACGACCATGTCGACCTCTGGGTCATCTGCGGCTACAGAAAGAACAACCACCGCTTCTAATGCAGCAGCTGTCGAACCACCACCTCATGACATTGCTGACGTCGTCCTCGCTTCGCGATCCGAGCACACAAAGCCTCAGTCCATGGACGCCGCTACTGAGAGCGCGGACGCAGAAACGTCTCACGCCTGCTTTGCTAAACGCGACACTCATACGCCTTCTCAATGTTCCATCCGATCTGGACATGGCTACACCTCTTTCCAACATACATCGCCAGAACAAGTCTCTTCGATCTTCCCAGCCGAGCTTCCGCCGCGTCCTCCACCAAAGCAATCCTTCTTAAAGCGGCTGCAAGGTGTTTCTGCGCGCCCTGCTCAGACCGAAAAACTAATGTCCCACGATCACACCTACCGAACGCCCGACATCGAGATGGCTGCGCTCAGTGAGGCTCCGCGCTCTCACGGTGTTGACCGGTTTCGAAGCCTGACATTCTGGCTCTTGATTATGCTTGGAATGTCGTTGAGCAGTATCGTTGGAATGGTCATCCATTGGGCTGTGACCCATAGGGAGTGACGGTTTGAGGCACTACCTGGCTGAGGTGGCTGCGGGAGTGAAGCATTGGGGTTGGAGAAGCGGAGGTCATGGAGGCCATCGGGACTTCTTACGGACGTGTGGTAAAGCACGCGCATATTCTGGTATTGCGTAAAGATGGATGTCTTGCAAGCGCTCAGGTTTGGGAGCGACTAGTACCACAGGGGAAGCTAGCGATAATACATTCCGGTGTCTAGGCGGAAGGTACTGCTGCGAATAATAAATGAATGCTTTCAATTAAGGACTTCTCCTGCAATCTAGTGCTCAGTTCAAGATCTTCGCTGCTTCTAGGCGTCAAAGTCCTTTCGCAGGTGCTCAAATTGCTACATCAATAATATCTCTCTCAAAGAGTGCTCAATCCTTTACCTGATTGAACACTCCAAAATACATCAGTAAGGATGGAAAACGACATATATCCCTCCTACTACCTTACTCTTTTCCCTGCAGACCTCCCTCCACGTCCCAAAATGAAGCACGACATTATCAATCGTGCAGTACAACTATACAACGTACGTAAGCTATACATAGAAGGCCTATTATTAGCTTATACTATAGTTATAAGTAGTAAGAGTAAAGAAGCTATACTATAATTATGTAGCTTAGCGCTATTAGAGGTACTTATAGAGAGTATATATTTACTTCTTACCTTTAAACAAGACTTTTTTAGTTAAGTATAGTTTTTATATAGTCTATATACTTATACTACAGTTATAAGGCGTATTTAGTAACTTATAGAGTTATACTATATATATCTCTACTTACTCTAGGCTGTACGTACCCCTAATAGCCCCTAATTGTGCTGTATTACGAAACGATGGAAACGCTGTTATCGTCAATGTCTTCTTTGTTCTCTTTCTCTCCAAAAAGGCCCAGAGTACCAAAAATTGAAGACGAGCTTGAATGCTGTTGATTCACAACGCAGGAAATTGCAGAATGCAAGGCAAGGCAGGAATTATGGGATGAGATACACCGAGGTTGACTATTGGCTTTCCAGGTCTCTAGGAGATCAGAGTAGATTGAGACGAAGACAAGAGATAACGGATGAGCCGACAGCGCTTTAATGAACCATAATAATGAAGTTCATGGGAGGACAAGCTTCGAAAGATGGTCGCGCAATATACCCAGTTTGCATTACTATGGACTATATATGTGGACTGCTTAGATTGGCAAAATAGAGCTAGATCTGGTACCTAGAACGGTGGTTTCTCAACGAATTGATCGTTGACTTCAAGTTAGTATAAAGTAGACACCGACAAGAGACCAGACTTTAATGATCGTCGTATGTCATAGCTTCCGTGGGGACTTGACTGAACGAAGTCGGTCCCCCCACGTCAAAACTAAATACAAGTCCTTTGTATCCAATGTATCCAAACCACTGCTTCTTCCGTCCAGGATGATGTTGCAAACGAATGACACTCATCCCAAACAAGTGCCTACTATAGTAAGCGGCTCAGGAGAAACACAAGGTCGTGACCATCAGTGCTGTTGAATGCCATGCACGTATATCTCTTGTGGTAGGGACGATCTATGACAACATTCGTCAGCTGAACTCACGATATACTGTGGTTCTGATGTGGTACTCACAAGATCTATCTACCCTGGTTGCAGAGGTACATGTGCTTGCAACTTTCCGCAGACATCCACTTGTAAAACGGCTTGTCAAGAACAACGTCGTGAGGCATGGCAGAATCCTGCACCTGAAGCCAAGGCTTTGCTTCAAGCTCTTCGGGCGTGGCTTGGGCCTTTTGTTCTTCTATCTTGTAGTACCAGGCTCGCCAAGGTTGGTCTAGGTCTGGGGCAGGTTGCCAGTCGGGACGGTCGAACATTTCGGACGCGGTACTGTGTAGATGGAACTATAAAGGGTAAATTGATGGTTGACTAGAGACAGTCCAGAAGAGAACGAGGGTCTAACAAAGTGGGCGATGCAGTACAAACACTTATTTAGCAGCCAAACCAAAGAGCGGGTATGAGGCTGAATGAGGGGTAAACGTTATCAGCAAAACGCCTGAAGCAATCATGTTGTAATGCGTTGACCGGCGAAAGCTAGTCGCGTACTACATGACCAGGTCTGCTGCTGCACACAAGTGCCGCATATACACAGTCGACCAATTAATCACGGACGAGAGAAAGGTAAGGCAACTTCAGCGCCCGATACGCTTGTTGTTGATGCAGCCGTGTGTGACGAGGCTTGCATGTACAGATTGACGGTTGGACCGAACGGCTCCTTGTCCTCTAATCTCACAGCCTCTTGACTCACCGGTCGAGTAGCTCAGGGCTACACTGCCGTGGTGATTTGCTTTTCCTCGTTAATCACTTACTGAATCCGGCGTTCTTCGTGCTGGATCGCTTGGTCATGCGCAACTGCGATGCGGATGAGTGCATATCCGTATGAACGATTGGCTGAGACGTACTGTCTCAGCGAAGCGTCTGTGATGAACACGAACTCATGAGGGTGGCCATTTCCGAGCCTTTCTACACTGGAAGATTTCGTGGCTGTTCAGGCTGTGGGGGCGGTACAAGGCTGAATCCTGGCCCCTCGCCAACGTTTGGAAGGCTGAGGCGACACATCCCTCTTGGTACTTTGAAGGATGCTCGTAGCTTGTTTTGACCAGAGTGAAGGCATAATCTAGGTGGAAAGACAACAGCACCACTTCACCCTTACCCGGCATGCTTTCATCTAGACGAATCGCAATCAACCAAGGCTAGATTGGATTTCTTTTTGCGTAGGCGCGTTTGCGATTGGCATGGCTGCGAATCGGGCCTCTGAACATGAAGTAAGTATATTTTGATGGTGTTTTTCTTATTCTCATAGGATGGCGATGGCTGAAATGTACAGCGTGTCAATGTGTTGACGCAGCAAGCTTGCCCAGGTGGTGAGAGCTCTATTTACTGATTTCTGGCTGATGCCCAAACGACTAGCGCAACTCCATTTGCGGCTACGGCTGCCACTGCCCCTCCAACGCGACCCCGCAGCCCAGAGTGGGACAGAGCTATCGCGGCGTGCAAGAACAGGCTTCAACACAATGACTGGAGTGAAATTGAGAAGTTCAGATCAGCTGGAGAGCTGCAAGATTTCGTGGATGGCCTACAAAAGAAGTACAGCGACAAGCGCATGAACAAGTTCCTCCGTCGATGTCATCGCATCATTGACCACCTCAGACCATTTTCGAAAGCAATCGACGTCTTTGTTCAATCAGATCCCACTGTATCATGCCTTGTGTGGGGTAGTATCAGGGTCGTCCTTGAGGTGAGCTATATCTAGTAGACATGGGTCACATTCTGATCGTTTGCGGCTACTGACCGCACGCAACAAACAGATAGCTACCATTACGGATGAGGTGGTCGAGCTTGTGGCCACAACTCTAGAGAAGGTCTGCCGCCACTTTCCCAGGTTTCAACGGCTACATGCAGTGTTCCCGATGGCTCCAGCATATGAAAGGGCGCTCGTGCGTTTGTACGAAAGTTTCGCGGAATTCTCGATATACATAATCAACTACCTCCGTACCAATACTATCAGTAAGTATAAGACTACAGAACATATTGTTACAGCCACACTGGCTAACTTTTACGCAGAGAACATTGCCAAAAGTGTCTTGGGAAAGCTCAAACATAAGCTCAAGAAAAAGAGTGACAGGATCGGCGTCCAAATCGAAGAGATGCAAGAAGAAGGGCGTGTAGCAGCACAGGAAGTGGCTAAAACACGCCAAGATACACTCGAAAGTCTGCTCAAAGCGCCGCCGGACGACTTCTCGGGAGTCAAGCCAGCGAAGTATATTCCGCATTCCAAGAATCAGGGTTTTGTCGGGCGTGAGCAGGAGCTTAAACAACTGAGGACGTACCTCATTCAACCTCCCATACATCGAGCGCAACTATCTCCAGCAGCCAACGCCAACATCAATACATCCCAGTTGATACCCAAAGCAGTTGTGCTTCACGGTCTTGGTGGCCAAGGGAAGTCAGAACTCGCACTACAGTTTGCGTACGAGACCTGGGCCGACTTCGATTCTATCCTATGGGTTGCAGCCGAGACGCCACAGAAGACTCAAACATCCTTCTCGAAAATTGCACGCACCCTGAACATGCCATCAGCACGCTCCAATTCTACTGCTGATGCCACTAAGATGAGCGGCGATGTTCTTCAATGGCTCCGTAAAACGTCGAGTTCCTGGTTGGTCATATTTGACAACGCACCCGACGAGGACTACAAGTTTTTGCAAGAAGACTATTGGCCTCAGGGTACGTCTGGTTCCATCTTGATAACGACTCGTGCAGCCCGCTTGGAGCGGGAGTTTAGCATTCCGCACCATATACCTCTAGGCCCATTGGGCGTTAAGGCATCGATTGAGATGTTGCTGGGTCGCCTACCAGAGCGCACGACCTCGCAAGCACAAGATACTGCCGAAGAGTTAGCGAATCGTCTTGGTCATCTCCCGCTAGCTTTGAGCCAGATGTCAGGCTATATTGAGGAATCAGGTTTTTCACTCAGCTCGCTTCTTGCTACATACGATAGCTTCGGCAACCGCTCGGAACTTCACAGCAAATCCAAACCAAGCTCAACCACAGCCTACAAGCATACTATGGCGACTGTTTGGGAAATGAACGTCGCTTTGTTGAAGAGCAATCACGCAGATGCAGCTCGAACTCTTAGTTTGCTTGCATTCTGGGACCCTGATGGTAAAAACAACCTCGAGATTATCGTAATAAGAGTTCTTAATGTCTGATATCTTTCCAGGCATCCCTCAATCATCTTTGAAAGACACATCACAAGAAGTCAACCTTGTGAAAGACTTCCAGTACCTCTCACAACCATTGCCATGGGGTGACAGCATACAGGCTTTGCAAAAGCATCATCTTGTTACGGTCGACCGTGCCAAAGACATTCTCAAGATACATCGAGTTCTTCAAGACTTCTCGATCACCAAGCTGGACGATAGTCTCAAAGCTGACGCTTTTGTTACAACCATACAACTTCTGCATCATGATTTTCCAACAAAGAGTCTTGCGCAAAAGAGGGGATTCGAAGAGATTCGAAAGCTGGGGGACCAGTTTTATCCGCATGTACTCACAGCTCTAAGCAGATACAGAGACCTCAAGCTTCACCTAGCCCCTTCCCCGGAACTTTACGACCTGCTGGAGCACCTTTTCTGGTAAGATCTTCTCTCCAGCTTCCTGACCTCGCTCCCTTTGCGAATTTCAGAGCCTGCATGACGCAAACTTCCGTCCCATCTAGATAGAATGCTCACCGCTCTCTAGGTATCTGCATCATCGTGGGCTGTACAAAACAGCTGAGCCTTATTTTGAGATTGCGCGTAACATCTACAACGAGGAACGAGACACTAACCTGACAAAACTTGCATTCCTCGAAGGCACGCTGGGGACCATACATCGTAACTCGGACGATGCAGGAGGTGCGGTAAAGTACTTTAGTGAAGAAATCCGACTTTATGAAGAGGCGATCAACAGCGGTGTGATTGAGGCCCACAACGAAAAGGTCGCCATTGCCTACGAACATATGGCTGTCGCGACACAACAACTTGGTCACTACGATGAGGCTTTCATATGGCATGACAAGAATCTTGCAATCCTGCTGAAATACTATAAGGACGATGTCATCAATCTTGCTATCGCATTTGTGAACAAGTGCTGGGCTTTGTGGAAGACCGGCAAGCTGGATGAAGCGGAGCAGACGCTAAATTGGGTATTAGCAACATCGCAAACCGCATTGGATGTCAATAGTCAGGACTTCCAGGCATGCCGCGCGTGAGTGTGCTCGAACGAGGCGTTCACATCCACATTACTATGATTGAATCTGGGCTGATTTCTGAATAGCCGGAATTTTGCTTTGCGGGTGCTCGGAAACGTATATCTTGCACAGCAAAGATGGGAGGCCGCTTTCGATACGCACAAACTTGCTTTCAAGCTTCAAGTACAGACTTGGGGTGAGAAACATTTCGAGACCGGCGTTCTGTTTCACCGGATTGGTTGTCACTATGAGTGGAGAGGCGATACCAATGGGGCTATGTAAGTAAGGTTCACGCTGCAGCGCACACCCGATCTGACTGTGTCCAGTGAGCAATTTCGTGCCGCACTGGCCATCTTCGAGACGACCCACGTCTCCATGGAGTCGCACATTATCCGGACGCGGTACAAACTCGGTTCAGTGCTTGTACGCTACGGCGACCCGCTCGAAGGCGAAAAGCTGATGGATCAAGCAAGGCATGGTAGATATACCCTCAAGGGCATCGACCCAGGGGTGGACGATGACATGGATGCTTATGATATGTTGGTCCCTTATTGGGCTTGGTGAGCTTCAGACCTATAGAGCGTTATGCGTCGCTTTAGCAATAAGTCATTGTCTTTTCTGTATGTTGTCTTGATCAACATATCGGTATCATACATATGTTGGCGCAGGAATGCATACGTGCAGACTGTTAAAAAGGTGAGCGTAGAGTGCACGCCACCTGGGCACGCCAGGTGCATAATGAGTGCCTGAGGTCTTGCCAAAATGCATAGGTAAGCAAATGAGTTCAACGCGTAATAGACGACAACGTCAGTCACAAGGAAATGAGGTCTGGTAGTCAGATTACAAGTAGTTCCGAAACGCCGAGATTGATGAAAACTTCGATAGTTGGGGGGTCACCGTGATGTCCAGTGCTGACGGAGGGCTTATCGATACTGGCACTACATGACTCGCGCGAGCTATCGAAATCACATCATCAACTCGAAATCCACGAACACAACTTTGCTTTGAGAGCTATCGCGTCCCCATATCGTGACTATCGCATCCCCACATCGTGACTATCGCCATCCGACAACGGGACGATCGCCAGGAACCGGCTATAATGCACGATGATTTACACCGCAATCCGCGAACTTGGGTTCGGCCTGACAGGCGCGCCGAGCATTGGCATGCAGTCGCTTCTGGGCATCGTCACTTCTGTGGACAAAACCCATGTGGACCTTCCTCTTTGCGCAAAGAGCGGAGCTAGTCAGGACCATGGAAACTACCATGGCTGGTCTCTTATCGCGAGAAGTCAGCACTATAAAGTAGAGCTGGTGAGTCGGACATGTCGATTGTACTTGCGTAGCCTCAGCCAACTAACGCGACCATGCACATCTCTCGCGTAGCCGCAGCCACGGCTGTCCTCGCCGGCAGCGTTTCTGCTGTAAACTTCACCGGCGATGTTGTGAATGGCGTCCCGGTCATCAGCGGTCTCGAACTCGCTGATGTGCCTCCGCAAACCGTGTCCAAGTACTACATGCGAGCGGGTGAGCTCAATGGCGGGCATCCCGTGCACATCCCCATCATGGTTGCGCGAGGAACCCCGGAGAGTCTGCACACGGGCAAGAAGCTGTCGCTCTCAGCTTCCATCCACGGCGATGAGTTGAACCCGGTTCGCGTGGTTCAGCGCATGTTTGAGCAGCTTCAAGACCAAGTCGCGACGCTCAATGGCACAGGTATATATATTGAATCTTCGTATAGATCATTGCTGACGTTCATCGAGTCATTGGCATCCCGACGGTCAACCCCATGGGAATCTACCTCAACCAGCGAAACTACTTCACGTCTGGCGCCAGTGGTTCTCTCACGAACGTCAACCGCATCTTCCCGGGTGTCTCGGCCATGGAAGGAGGCAGTGGCCCCGACATCTTGGCGTACAACATCTGGAACCAGATTTGGGCCAACACATCAAATGTTGACGTCGGTATTGACCTGCGTAAGGCCTACCACATTCAATCCGGAGCAAAGCAATACTAACATCATTGCAGATACACCCAGCTCCGGCGGAGAGACTTCGCTGTGGTGCTACTCCGACTTCCGCCTCCCCTACGTCGAGCGCCTCGCCAAACTCCTCCAACCCGATACCCTCAAGATTGATCCTGGTGAGCCAGGGTCCATCGAGACAACCTTTGTCGATTACGGCATTCCCTCGCTCACGGTAGAGATGGGACAAGCAAAGGTCTGGAACAATAGCCTGATTGACCGCGTAGTCGACTACGTGAACCGCGTCATGGTCGACCTCAAGATGACGGGTACAAACGAGACCGTGGAGCCAGATCTCAGCAACACATACATGATCACCACCTTCCACGACACGTGGTCGCAATACGGAGGCTTCGTTGAGAGGCTCGTACAGGTCGATGAGCCAGTCACCAAGGGCCAGCCTATCGCCCACATCCGCAACCCCTTTGGTGACATTATCGAGACGCTACTTTCACCAGAGACTGGACGTATGTTCCAGAGCCCCCGGGATCCCAGCATCGAGCCTGGTGGCAGTGTCGGACAAATCGCATACAACAGCACGGATCCGGAGTGTGCTGACGGGTGCATCCTTTCGGGACCTCAACGTAGGCGATGATCCCGCATACAATACTCAAATCTAGCAGACACTTTAAATCAATGCTGCGCACACATTGGGTCGCCGTTTCGACCATATACATTCTGTTCACTACGATGAAACGGAAATCACTGCTTGATTGTGTGTTTGCTTTCCTACAAATATTTAGCCGCTCTCCCATCCACTCTTACAAAAACATATCCTTCCGCGTGTTTCGTCGGATGAGAAGTATGCATTATGTGAGCACTGTGCAATCTCCTCAGACGACTGTCCCTTAATCGGACGTGTAGCAGACACAACGAATCTCGACGCTCTCTCTCATCTCAGCCAGAATGTTCGTTTCGTGATGGGGAAAAGCTGCGTGCGCACAATCTAGCGAGACTCAAAGTTAGTGACATGATTTGCATACTGTCAATCCCTACTTACAGTCTGCTGCATTCGGGTTTGAGTCCATTTGCTTCATGATCCATACCTCATGTGGCATCATGTCACTGGCGAAGTACCAACGGTGTTTGTCGTTGTAGTAGATGTTGCAACCCTCACCGATTGAGTCTGCGTATACCTGATCCACATCGACAATGTCACTTGAGTCGCAGCTCCGGTAGTCGCATACGGCTAGAGGCCAGTCTTTCACCGGCCCATTAAGAGGCTTCCACACCCTGAGTCTATTAACATATAATCTCTTTGGATGAGAGTCTGACAAGCGTACCCTATCATCTGCGTACGGCCTTTCCGCGGGTCGAGACCTGCCTTCTCAAGCGAAAGAAGAGCTTGTTTGACACGTTCGCCTCGAGACGAGTCTGGCACTGTCAGCAACTGTCTCACTGTTTGTATCGCAATATCACACAAGAAACCTACCGACGTGAACAGCCCGGATAGGTTGAACATGCTTCTCTTGAAATTGCGCTGCGGGGAACTCAGGAGTGCGTCGACGTATCTGTTGATCAGGTCAGTAACATGTTCGAGTAGAACATATCTGGCTCTTCCCACCGTGCAGTCATACACCTCTACCCAGGTCACGCCTAACTTCTTCTTCAGAAAGTCCTCGATCTCCTTGAAATATGTCTTGGAGTTCTCGCGGAAGTCTTCGAAGTCTTCATGATTGAACCGTGTCTGGAATTTCGCAAGCTCGAAACCATATTCGTCAAGTTTGAACTGCGACTCTCGTCCGCGTATATCTTCAATGCTCACGTTGTAATAGTCAAACTCAAGGTTGGTTTGTTTGGCTTCAGGTATGTCGTCGATAGGGAAACGGATGAAGAAAGGCTTCTCGTGTTTAAAACGATCGTCGTACTTCAGGTAACAAAGACTGCCAGCACTCTGGACGGGGTTCACGAGAGTCATGATCGTAGTATGGTATCAGCGTGAGTCTGTTAACAGTCTAGTTTGCCTTGCGTGGTGACTGCCTCCGCTTTTTACGCGATGTCCCGCTATGCGGCTCTGGACACACGGAAGGCTCGACCGGAATCGTCTGACCGGTCTGTTGAGGGGCAATGCCATTGGCGTTCAGCCTGCTTCGTTGTCAACGCATTACTATGCACCAAGAGAGCGGGCAACCATTGCCTTGCGCCACCTCATATGTACACTGCATGTCGCCTGAGTTCATCACATAACCCCTGTACTGTCCCGTCGTGGGGGCCAGGGTAAAGCCGCAGTCGTACACACTTGGTGACGATTACCCAGCCTTTCGACTCTTCTTCCTGCTCAAAACTCATGCTTCGTTCACTGCGTCGTTCAGTATTTTCATCCCTTCACAGACCGAACCTGCGATCAACGATGTCCACGTTTCCTACTGCGACGCTTACTCGCGTCGGAACGATTCCGTACTATGTCCCATCGAGCTTAGCGCCAATACCCGCAGATTCCCGCCGCCTGATCTTTGGCAACGCGCCTGATTTCAGCGACGGGCCTCTCCCAATATCTTTGTTGGTCTTCGAAGACGCAACGCATGCCTCGCATTCAGTCCTGTCCTCAACCGTCAACTCTTGGCTCCAGACAGACGATGTATTCAATGCGGATTTTCTTCAACATGTGTACTTCCTATTCCTCACGCAGACTGATGCATTTGATCTGGACGAGTCGAGCATCGGCATACTGAACGACTGGAAGACTCAAAGCGTACATGCTGTGTCGGTGAACTCGACTGCGCACGATGATAGTTTTCGTGGTGGGCCATATTTTGCCTCGAATGTTGGCATTCGGGAAGCATGGCGTTTGTTCGAAGACGCCAACGAAGCTTTCCAGTTTCCAGTGGTTCCAGATGAGCATAGAGACAATACGTGCGTACTTCCGTATACCAACATCATCCACATCTGGCTCTACTGATAAGTTGTTCTCAGATTCAACATCCCCGGAACAGCTGCTGTTCCAGTTCCCAGTCGTTGCTATTATGATCGACCTTCCAATACCAAGCCTCTATCTGGCATGAGAATAGCTATCAAGGATAATATTGATCTGAAAGGGGTGCGAACAAGCGCCGGTAACCGTGCCTATCAAGCTCTCTATGCAGAGAAAGCACGTAGCGCTGTGTGTGTTGAGAAGCTTATAGAGGCCGGGGCAGTGATTGTAGGAAAAACAAAGACAGTTCAATTCGCTTCCGGAGAAAATGCCCGGGATTGGATTGACTTTTTTCCGCCCTTCAGTCCTAGGGGCGATGGGTATCAAGACCCTGGTTGCAGTAGCGCGGGAAGCGCCACTGCAGCATCGGCGTACGACTGGATAGACGCCACTTTGGGAACCGATAGTCAGTCAATCTACTGTTCGAAATCTTATACAACTAACGAGTTCTCAGCATTTGGGAGTGTGGTAGGTCCTGCGGCTGATCATGGCGTATTTGGACTTCGACCTTCTTTAGGGAGCATATCGACGGAGGGCACCGTACCAGTCTCAAAGTGAAAATACACCATGAGTCTCATCTGTACATCAAACTAACACGTGCACAGGCTAATCGATACGGTCGGCTTCTTCACACGCAGCATTCAGATAGCTACGGCTCTGTCTCGAACGTTGGGTGCTCGCGACATTACCAGCAACTTGTGCGCGGCCAGTATCGAGCTGTTGTACCCTACTGATGTCTTCTCCGGATCCGACGAGATGTATCTATCTCATATTGAGCCTTTCATACGCCATTTGGAAGAATTTCTCCAGGCCAAACGGAAGAAGCTTGACGTGGACGGCCTTTTCAGGCAACAAGCTGTCGTTGGTGGGAGCTCACTGAAGGAGTACCTAGATACCGTGAGCATCTCGGCTTTCATTCTCTCGAATCCTTGCTGACGCACATAGCAGACCGTTGCTCATATTCAGCTGTACGACTGCTACCAGAACTGCCTACCATTCCTCCGCGACTACAAACAAATCTTTCACAAGAAGGCATTCGCCGACCCGTATATCGAGTACAAATGGTCTGTCATTATGGTGGAGACGAAGTACACTTGAGCTAATCGTTCGGCCAGGTCTCTTGGCAAGAACCTCACGGTAGAACAATATGAGCAAGCCGTCAAGGAGCGAAACACCTTTGGAGATTGGATGCGTACTGCCATACTACCGCAACCATCCGATGGAAAGACTTTAGACAAGATACTCATCTTTCCGAACGGAGACACCGAACCCTTCGATCGACATGAGTATCTCAAGTAAGCGAGCTGGTGAAAAAATGAGCTACACAAAGCTGACATCGCGCAGAAGATCACTGGAGGAAGGCGCGAGCAAGAAGCAAGGCTTTGGATATAAGCCAAATGTTATGGCTGTTCTTGCGGGCTTGCCATTCTTCACCATTCCCTGTAAGCCACGATCTACGAGAGTACGATCCAAGGCTTGACTCACACATCTCAGATGGCCAGTATCCGTATAAATCGGCAGTTACGGGTAACGTAGAATACCTCCCTGGTGCCATTGCCGTAGTAGGCCCACAAGGTATGTTCATCGATGGTTGTGTTCAATGGAATGATCTGTTAACAATTTTAAGGGAGTGAAAGCGCCATGCTCGAGCTTCTCCAAGAGTTTTTGGAACGAACTCCCGAGATGCGTGATACTGTGTTGACCGGGCCAACTTCGTTTCCGGTGGATCATAAAGCGTCTCCTTCGCTTTGAAGCCAGAGGGTGATTAAGGCGTATACACTTGTTCCCGGTTCATATATAGACATCTGCGCTGGATTAGTTCCTATACTCTTCTTGTAGCACGACTCGCGTGCAGGAGACTCTGTCAATGGAGACGCGTCTGCTACCACTGAGCACTATATCGCGTGACGGAGCGTTAAGACAAGTACATGAGATGAAGCAAGTGGGTATCATCAAAGAAGTGTTCAAGTCCAGTTTAGCCCTCTACTGGTATCGAAAAGGTCGTACAATAAGGGTGAATGTAAGCGACGGAGCGTAATGAACATCCTCAAATAGAGCGTGAACCAAGCTTTGGTGAATACAATAATCGCTCGCTCGCATCACTGAAGTAAACGGTGGTGATGTGGTGTCCTCGCTCGATCATTTCATTACTTCTGTCTAACCTCAGGCTATTGTAGCATCCAAGACAATATTTTGATGCTTCAGCAGAGACTGATCAATACAGCCCTGCTGCAACTCATGCGATCATACAACCATCCTTCATGAAGAATACATCTAAGCAGAGGAAGGTTCCCTTTCCTGAGCAGGGGGGCCACCAACGTTACCCCTCTGGCCAGTAGGTACATCGTCGAGATTCCTCTGAGCCGCATGTGTAGGGTCATCCTTCAGTGACCTGATACCACCACCAGTTGTCTGGTCCTTAACGTTGCTAGCCAGGCCGGTCAGGCCCTGGCCCTTCCTGGATCCATCGTGGAGGTCTTGAGATGTCTGACCTTGGCCTGGGTGGCCGAGACCAGTGTGGACGTCACCTGAAGTGGCGCCCTGAAGGGTGTCGGAGGCTTGGTGGTACAACTTTTGGTTGTTTAGGTCAGGGTTGGGCTGGAAGGTCTTGGATGCTGGGGCGGTGCCAGCGGGGAGGGTTTGTGCGTTGAACTCTGGGACGGCATCATTACCAACGAGCTTTCCGGGTTGATGCTGAGGTTTGTTAGTCTGGTTCAACGATCTCGTTAGGGAGAGCTTGGTGTCGTTGATCGAGGCTTCAATGAGTCCAGAAGACAACGACGTGAAGACATGTAACCATATCAATGAAACTTGTGTATACTTACACCACCTGACATGAGGGGCTCACTGGGCGCAACGTGTCCAGCAAATTGGCGGCCATCGCTGACAGCATCGGGGTTCTGGTTCTGGCTCATGTTTGCGATGTGTATTTGATATGTAGCGCGAGCTTTGAACTGTAGTGAATGGGCAAATGTGAAGATTGCTGGGTAGGAAGATGAGTGTCGTGTGCTATGTGAAGTAAACTTCCAACATGGGCTTTCTATAATCCCATATGATAGCGTCACCACCTTTGACATCAAGTCGACGTCATGTCAAGCCGCGCTAGTTAAGCCATCCGTGGTGATGGGCTCTGCTGACAAGAGCGGGTACCTGACGTCGGCAACTTGATCCGGTGTTCTGCGATTCGATCAGACTTTGCTTGGTGATCGCCGATGATTAAAGGTCGAGGGTGATGGGGGATTGTGTTGAGTGAAAGGAACACTGTCGGAACAGCATTCCGAAAATTCCGATGTTGCGATCGACTGACGCGAATGTAGCACCATGACGTACATGAAATAGAGAAAAACCTTGGCTACAGTAACAAATCGCGTAAGTGAACGAACCTTGTAGCGTTTGCGACAAGAATACGTTAGCTGTTGGCAATAGAACTGTATCTATACACACAAGGTAATTGAGGTCACACCTTAGCAACGCAGTGCTATCTGCTTGCAGCCATCTTCGTGTATGGATACAGCCTTGTCTGCGCATCACCTCTTCTAGCAGGTGGGTAAACGATGGCGTCTGGACTGGATTGGAACCATACGCATGACCCACGTCTGTCGCGACCACTGACATGACCTGTTTGGTAGGGTCAGCCGCAAGTACGCCACAGTCAGTGGGGCTTCTGTAGTGAGCCTGCTAATAACAGCCTAACATGACTGTTGCAGCTGCGTCTCTGAAGCAAAATACTGAACTCAAAAATCCAAATGATGATTTTGACCAGACTTCATAACTTTTGTGTATTGCTTGGCCATTGGCTTCAAGAGCATGGAAACTCTGACAAGCTGTAATAGTGTGGACACCATTTCTGTGTCATAATTGCGTTTTGCATCTGCCTCGTGGGTATCGTACTGGGTATCACTGCCCGTCCAACGTCCCTGATCCTCGCCGCTGCTCTGCCCAGAGCCTGCCGCCCTAGGTCTGGAGCAAGAAGTGAATATCTCTTAATCGTCTCTTGCTCATTCCTCCTCCTGTATGAACGGATTCGGGATTTCTTCGCTTCCGTCGACGGGGGAGATGACGACCAGAAGAGTGCCGCGCGCGACAATGAGGCCAAGCTTGCGATACCGGATGTTGCCGTCCTCGTCTGGGTCAAGTCAGCTAGGTCATTGTGCAGTGATGCCTCAAGTACATACCAGTCAGGGCTTCTTTGACCTCATCCAGAACAAGGTTCATAAGCTGGTCGTAGCCTTTGAGTGTGCCAATGACTGCAAGATGTTAGCTCCCAGCGCTCCTTCGCCATTGTCCCGCCTTGCATACCTTCTCGTCCACCACTGAACTTGACGGTGATCTGCTTGTCCATGTACTTGCTCAGGTCAAGAATGTTCTCTTTCTTGGGGCGCTCAGCCTGTCCGCCTGCACCTCCCGCTTGTGCACCGCCACGGCCGCCACCTCGTCCCCCGCGGTCGCCGCCCCGACCTCCGCCTCGACCCCGGAATGCGCCTCGCTCAGACATGGTAGTAGCGTGGGGAGAAAGAGACGCGTTTTGGATGTTGAAGCTTATGGTGACGTGCAGCAGCCGCGCCCAGTAAGAGGTAGTGGTCTGTGCCGTTCCGGGAAAGGCTCCTCCCGCCCCACATTCCGGTCACGTGCAGTGGCTTTGGTGTCAGGCGACGCAGGGGTGGAGATATCATTTCCGCCATGCTTCCAGACCTCCGCCGTGATGTGGCGCTTGGATCGTAGCAGCTAGATTCACCCAGGACGCGTGGGCCTGCGGCATTTTTCGTCATCCCTCCAGACGACTACGACGCCAGCCCGGGGTCTTCGGTGTCGGCCTCTTCTCTCAGACGGCACCTCACACACTTCTGCCACAGGCTTGAGGACGTCTGCAAATAGCCTGTCGTGACTGTCCGCCCGTTGCAGCGCCTTCAGTGGCTGTCTGCCGGAGGGGCGGCAGGATCTGAATCATCTGCGATGCGCATTCATTGCAGGTCGGCGCCGGGGCCGCTGCTAGCTGCAGACGCGTATTGATTGGCTGGGAGGCGTACTCTGCAAAGCTCTTTCTTATTTCCGGTGATGCGTGCCTTCCCTTGTCCGCCCCTCTGCGTTCCGTTCGGAGCTCTTCAGCCACCGAGCAGCCGTTTGGCTTTCCACCCTCGCCCTCGCATCTCTCGCTGCGATTCTCTCGTGCGTTATGTATCTTGTCCTGTAATTCGGGCCTTCGCGACTAGACGCGAGCGCCTGCAGTGTGCTGAGCTGTTCCTCGCCTAGCGTCCTCCGCTCCACCCTCGAATCTCTGCCATCCGTCCACTCCGCCCTCGCAGTAATCATCAACCTGGTATCCCTCCCACCCAAGCCAAGGTATGGCCAACGCGGAATCGCACGCTGCGGCTGAGCGCACCATGTCGTCGCATCCACCGCAACACCATGTGCCGCCTCTGCCCGCCGACCTCAAGCGCAAACGCAGTCCTTCGCATGAGATGCACCTGGCTGCGGCCGCGCCTGTCCCCAAAGCCGCTAAGACCCACAACCACCTCCAGATCAACTACCTCGCAAGACACCTCGAGAAGGACCTGCCGCTGATAACGAATGATGACACCCTACCCAATATCCTCTCGGTCCTTAGCGACTACCAGGGCGTGCTCGATCGCCATGAGAGCATGGCCTGCAACCTTGGCGCAAGACCGTTGGGACCCATCCTGATCAAGCGATTCGAGCGGCTATTCGACGGACCGCCGCGCGTGCTTAAGAGTCACGGAAAGGATGGGACCACTGTGACTTGGCTGGACGTGGTCGAGTTTGCGCGCAATAAGCCGGAGCAGTTCCAGCTGGATCAGATGAGCGAAGGTGTGCGCGTCTGCCAGTTTTACACGAAGCAGTGCCGGGTCCAGATCTCAGAGGAGGATTTCGTCTTGATATCATCTGGCATCCCGCAGAAGATGATCCCACCTCAACCTATCATCGAAGACGAGGAGAAGGAGCTGGGCACAATGGAGATACTGGAGAAGAATCTGAGCCAGATATGTTCACTTGCCGATCAGGGTGAGTGTGACCGACTACCACTAACCTACATCGACATTGGCTAACATCGCACAGTCGCTGCCCGCACTCGGCAGCTCAACCATAGACTGAAGGGCCGCAAGCAGGCTATACTCGATCGAAGAGCGACCGCGAGCCCAGCTCCTACAATTCCTCGGCCCACGAGCCCCTCGAACGTCGCCCTTATGAACGGCGGCAGCTCGAGCGCCCCGAGCTCAGGGTACAGCCAGGCGCATGGCCAAGCGCACACTCAGGCTTCCCAGACATCACCTGGCGGCGGCGGTGGTTTCGTCGCAGTCAATGCGCGTCAACATCATGAAGCCAACGGCCACGGTCACGGTCACGGCCACAGTCATAGTCGCGGTCATGGCACTTCGTCATCTACCCGGCATGAATTGTTGGCCAAGTTCCACACCACGAATGGTCGGAGTTCGTCCTCGCAGCCGCCCAATAGCACAGCTGATGTGCGAAGGCCGTCCGTAGGCAGCCATACCAACTCTCACCCCTCTACCCCGGCAGCGATTCCCACAAGGGCTGTTCCCAAGCCCGCAGATTGTCCTCAGGGGTCCCTGCAGCACATTGGAAGACCATCGCAACCCCTCAACGAGTCTGAGCTGCATTCCATGATGAACTCGCCCGTGCCGATACCAAACACTCCATCCAACCTACTTCCTGCCTCAAGTCAACGCGCCAGTCAGCAACCCGAAAAGGACGATGGGGGCCCTTTCAAGGTTGAGATGGTACACAGGATGGAAGGATTGGCCAAGGGTGAACGCATAATACCACCGTGTGATCGCTGCCGGAGATTACACATGGACTGTCTGAAGAACCTCACGGCATGTGTGGGCTGTACAAAGAAACATGCCAAGTGCTCGTGGAAAGAGGTCAAGGAGGGAGAGTTGCGTGGCGGCTACACGTACCCGCCTGGCACCACCAGCAATGGCCAGAGTGAGACTAGTGACCACGAGAGTGGCGACCGCGCAAGCACGGCGAGTCCCGCTGCAATGATGAGTCCTTCGAATCATGGGCTTACGCCATCACACATCCCGCACGGTAACGGTCAGCACACTCCGCAGCATCAGCAAGTTCATCATCCGTCAGACCAGCATACGCAACCACCCCCACAACAGCGCGATGGCTCGCACGATGCACGGGTACCATCGGGCCGCAATACCCCCCATGAGCGGGAGCGGGAACGTAACGTAGAGACACAGCTCCAAGAAGCTGCACAGTCTAGCCTCGCACACGCCAACGCTCGGTTGGGTGGGTCCGAAGGCAAAGGTCCTACCATGGTTGCTTGAACTTTGTCGCCACCTTTGTAGGCTTGCCAGTCTCTGTTCTACTGTCACATCAGAAAAGTGTCAGAAGTTTTACCAACTGAGCGCAAGAATATGTTTCTCGATTGCATTTCTTTGTATATTTGTTGCATGATACCATATTCGCTCTTGCTTTGGTTTCTAGGCTTGGGCAGCAGGTTCTCCCCTTCTTCGTGCTTTACTTTGCCACTTTTCATGAACGATCAATTTACAATACAATCGCTATAACTGAAGCTGTGCCTACCCGCATAACATCGAAAATTTTGACACCGTGAAGAGAAGCGTGAGTGGAACAGTATTCAAGACTGTGTGATGCACGGGCATATATGTTCCATTACTTCTTCCTTGCTATCCAGAAAGAAGGACGATATGTAGACTGCAGCATACTACGCGTGTTGGATATATAACCTGTCTCAATCGTCCCATGCTCCTGCCTCTCCATCACAAAACCAAAGTGCTCGACCAGTGCTACGACTTCGTCGTTTGTGAGTTCCACCGAGCCAGGATCCCCGATTCCCGCATCGACATCGGCTCGTCTCCTTTCATCCTCTGTTGCCTCGTCTTCACCTTCGTCTCTCCGCGGTGGCGCATGCCATAGTAAAGGGCCAAGGTTGATCCAGAGACCGCCGGACTTTAGACAGTTGTGAACAGCCTCGATGTACCGGATAATGTTCGGTGCAGTGTCAATGAAGAAGACGGTTGCTACCGCATCGAACTCTCCTGCGTAATCCTCCAGGCTATAGACGACGCAGAAGTCGCCCGTTGACATACTCATTCGCTCACTTGCCGGCACTTGTGAAGGCCCCTCTTTCGCCAGCTCTGTCGCTGGATGTACATCCGGCACAGTGACCGTTCTCAGTTGATCTTCCCGAGAGACGTGATTCGAGCTGTTCAGTGTCCAAGGAGCGATCTTGAACTGCCCAGCTCCTTTGGTCTCGTTCAAGACTAACGCGCTTGCCATGAGCATATGGTACGAGATCTCATTCCCCTCCACGCTGAAACCAGCACTGCAGATATCGAAGACTAAACGCCCAAGTCCAACACCTGGGACCAAGACTTTGAGATTTGCGCGATCTGAATCTGAAACTGTGCCAGTGCGTGACGTGAATTCCTGCTCTAGCGCCGCCACAACAGGATCGAAGCACTTGGTCCTCTCCAATGCGCCCTCTTCACTCCACTCTCTCCAGAACTGATTGACGCAACTTCGCGCTTTCTCAGCGTCACCTTGGCTGGTCTTTACTCCTAGCTCGTCCATTACGATGTTGAAGATCTTGTACTCATCATTTGCATACTTCTCTGGCACTATCGAAGCCACCCAGTCGCTGTCTAAATTGGGTGCTAAGAATGCTTTAAAGCCGGCGGCAAAGATGGCCTCGGCGAGTTCAGCATTGCTGTCGATTAAGTCATCGACTTGAGAGAGCGTTGACAGGAGAGAGAAGGGTGGGCGGGATAGCAGTGTCCAGTGGGCTTGAGGTAGGGAGTAGAAGGCGCGTCGGCGGAGGTGTGTTCCGTTGTAGTGAGCGAGGCGGCGGTATGAGCTACCCTGGGATCAGTGTTTCTGCTTATGAGTATATGTTGCAGAGGCATGTGGGTGTGTACCGGAAGGAGTCTAGGACTGATATGATGAGTTTTTGTTCCTCGGGGTCGGTGGAGGGGTCGTAGGGTTCTTGCATCTCCGCCTCCATGTCTCATCCGACAGATCAATGATTTCACAACCTCTTCTTCGAGTTTGCAGCTCTTTTGTCCGTTTTGGCGCGTTCGCGCAATGGCCTAGTCTTCTAAGTTGATGTTGTCTGGTACCAGTAAAACGAGGGGAAACTTAGTTCCTTAGTCTTATTGCAATGGAGCGTCCTTCAGTTAATTGTGGTATATGCAACACGACTGAGGGTGCTCTCACACAAGTACTTTGTTGCGGGGACAATCTCGCGGGTGAGGTTCGCGATGTTGCCCCACCTGCCTCTGTCCATCATCGCAACTTCACTCTCAACAATCCGTGTCAACACCCGCAATGGCTGCTTCAACTATGAACGACAACGCGTCGCACGCGCCTATCGAAATCTCGTTCCCCCTTCCAAAGTCGCCACACACGAACATCCACCTTCAGCTCACCAACAATGGCCAGAACCTACTGATCTTCCTTACTACCGCAACTGCCGAATCCGCGTCCTCTGCACCTCTAGGTTCTTTCGTATACGCGATGCCGAATGTAAGACACCACATATAATCTACTCACCCTCGCAAGTATGTGCGCTAATGGATTTTCACAGAGAGCCAAACCAGCCGAAACCCTCAGCACTCCCCTCTACACCCACGGTGGGACACTAGACTTCGCGACTCGGTTATCCAAGGTCCTCGCACGCAAGACAGGGAAGCCGGTATATGTGGGCAACTCTTCGAGCTTCGCAAGTGCGGGCATGGGAGGAACAGTGGAGGAAGAGATGGAGGGCTTCCGGAGAGTGGTTGAGGTTGTGATGGGGCTGCTGAAGAAGGACGAAGAGTAGGCAGAGCTAGCAGGCTCTGGAGTGGTTATACACGTGGCCACATTGCAAACGGGGCTGGCAAGGCCTGCAGATTAGAGGTCCATCACAACAAGATGCATGTGAAAAAGGCTGTGTTGATGGTATCATCCATGGATAAAGCTACACGACCAGAGTCGCTGGTCTAGGCTCAATGCCTCCCTCCTCTTCGATCCGCCCATAGGCATCAAGGTCTCTATCGAAACTCCATAACTGCTTACTCCTGGCCAAGTCTCTCCTTAGCACTCTGCTTGGCCTCGTCAGAGGTGTTGGGGTTGTTCAAAGTAGCCTTGAGACCACCGGCGACGTTATTGGGGTTCTTGTCACCACCGGAGGATGAGACAGCATTGGCGTCCCCACCGTTCTCGATCTCCTGGAGCACCTCCTTGGAGTGCTGCTTGGACTCGTCGGAAGTGTCTAGAGCGTGTTAGTATTAAGTCTGGCAAGAGGCGGAGCGAAAGACGTACTGGGGTTGTTGAGGTTGGCCTTGTGGCCTCCGACGACGTTTCCTGGGTTGGCAGACATGTTGATGTTTATGGGTGAAGGTTTTGTGTTGGGTGATTGGAAGTGTTGTGGAAGATGGGAAGATGGTTGAATGGTTGAGTGGTTGAGTTGGATGATGGGTATGAAGTGAACGAACCTAGGTGTTCTTATACACATTCAGCTGTCTTCACGTAGCGTGTCTCCTATGCTTCTGAGGACGCAATGCGAGGTATCGTACGATCGACGTCTATCTCATGGAGTTTGCTACGTCAACGATCGGGTTTCTGCATGCTTGGATAGGCCTGAGATTAGCAGATCTCTCGTCTCACTGCGTTACCCGCTGCCGCGCAGGCTGAAAAGTCTAGGCTCCAGGCACGATGTCGCTGTCACTAGCCGTTTGCGTTCAGTGAAGAGGTCATGATTAAAGGGGTCTTCCAGGAACTCCTCTCGATCCGTGATAGTCCAGGGCGAACCGTCAATGAGTGTGGCTACCAAGTGGACCGGAACATGGGGAAGTTTCAGGCACAGCCATCTACATCATGGTCAATAGCAAATGCCATATCTCTAGTTCCTGGAGACCCCTCTCACTAGGCGATCGATCTTAGATCGAGCATGCAGGTCCCCGATTAGTACGTAGAGATATGTCGCCATAGGCACGGGAAGAGGACCTGGATGTACTAGTCGAAACTTTACTGCAACGCTCTGAGCCTCCCAATGCACTTTGGACAAAGATGCGATGTGATTGAATGGCATGGTTGACGTCATTGACGCGTGCATGTGATCTGGCGTCAACGCGAACGCGACCTCGGGATGCTAGCGTCAACTGCTGCATGCAGCCATCTCGCGTTCTGACCGCTCAACCATCGCGATCAACACCTCCTATGGCGTCTGGTATGCTCACCGTTACTACGAAGAACAACTGACTCACAGCGGCATGTTACCGCAAGCGCAATATTGCTTTTGTTCGACCGTCATCGTGTTCGTCATGCCTCCGCTCTGGCCAGCATCTGTGCGTCCAGGCTGACACTTCCTCGCACACCGACTAGCTGCGGCTTAGCCGTGACACCTCGATTCGCGAAATGCGGGCAAGTGGAATGCGCCCAGGGAAGGATGGTATTTTTTTTACCGATCACCCAGGAGTTACAGAGACCACAGTTATGTCAGACCATGTCACGTGCTTGTGTTCTCTTCATCTTTACGCGTCCACAACAGCGTTTCAGCAGGTGCGTCATTGCAGACTGGTTTCAGATAATTTCCTCCATCGCCTGTCATATCGCTGATAGAATGCCTTGGTCCCCGTTGACGATGTGTCTTCTCAGTCATGCAGATCAGGACCATGCCAAGCTGATACGGAACCTTACACGGGTGAGCTTGGAGACATTGTGTCGTCGCTCCACATACTCAATGTCCTTCTCCCGGTTTTCAAGTCAAGAGTACTTCGTGTTGGTCTCGGGAACTATCCCTGAATCGTCTAGCAAAGCTGCGTTCCCACCCGAAACGGAGAAGGAATTGTATAGTTTCCATCAATGATGCTTGCCTAATATATCGGCGGCTCAGCTATTCCTCGATTCACAATCTCCAATCTCTTTAACAGCACGAATGTGTTGATTACGTCTACTGCGTATCAAGGCCAGTCTTTCGCGCCCGAAACCATAATCTTACTACAACTTCTGTGTCACGAACGGCAAGTCGCCGGTAAGAACACCTTCGCATATTCTTATCGACGCTCGCGCAAGTAATGATATCGAAACATGGGCCTATCGGAAATGATGAACGCGCGGTCTCATTCAATTGTCCTTTGGAGATATCCACACCGCTCGGTACCAACGTCGTAGAATAGTTCAGCTGCGCAATCAAGCGGCATCCATCAATGGTCATTCACGTATCGAGAAGCCGCGAGCCAATGACATGGTACCTGAAATAGACTCTACGAAGTCCAGCGTAAAGAGTATTGGTAACGTATGCCTCAAGACTTTGAAGGCGACATGTAAGCAGCTCTTTACGCAGTTGTAGCCAATGTGTCGGCTGCTGTCAAATGCGTGTGAGTATGAGAACCGATAGTCAGGTCATTGTCCCGTCCATACTGCGGTTTAGTATGTACACTTTGCTTGTATATCAGCGCTCCGTGTATGCTACACGTCTTCTAGCGATGACTCACACATTCCCGATCGCTCATTGCCGCCTTTCAATGCCTGTCGCGGATGATCAGATCAGCCATGGAACGCATTCTGTAAGCAAAGAAAATTCGTTTCACCAGAAACACAAACACCAAACTTATCCTACCGCGAAACACGATTGCGTAAGCATATGTTAAGCACTCACTTGAAGCAACTCCAATGACCGGTAATTAAGAGGGATTTGCTGCAGTCCAAGCTAATTAAGGGTCCTTCTTAGCTATCCCGGAGCCCGACGCATCTCCGCGACAGCTGAAGGCGATGAACTCAAGGTCAGATATTTCGGCTCTAGCCACCGATGAACATATTAGGATGACCATGGGAATAGCATGGGACTTCTGCGATAAGCGTGTGCCTACGGCTTTCCTGGAAGTGCACAAGATTCACGGGCGGGCTCTGTAGTATATGTGGCTGTATGACGGCGTCCTCACCGCTGTCCAAATTCCTCGAGATCCGTAGCAACCCGATATCTGAGATCAGATGGCCGCCATCATCGCAGGTCGCATTAAATGGCGTGCCTCGCATCCGCCTTTGGTAATCTTCTGGAAGGAAGGAACAGTCCACAAAGCGACATCCCTGCCTGAGTTATCCACTAACTCATCAAGCGAGCGTAACCCTATCGCTGACAAACTCTCCGAACACCACGCCCACACACTCCATTGGACATTACCACCTTGTAGCTGTCCTTTCATGCGACGGCGATGACTTCATGCATACAGATCGGGTCGCAGATTCCTGCATAACAGGATGCGGGCGCGCGGCCTCGAGTGCCAGCTTGGCGGGAGCTGAGTAACATCCTTCCGTAGTGACTACACCTCGTGTTAACACAGCTAATATTAGCGACCGTTAGTGCCTCTGACTCGTTGGCGCATTCGACACGAACATTGCAGGTATCGATTCTATTGGACTAACCACCTACTTCTCCAATGGAGTTTTGAAATGCGCCAAAATGATTATCGCAAATCGAAACAGTCAATCGGCCATACCGAGCGTAGTAGTCGCTAACCGGGGTCGCGCCAAATGCGCAACGGCAAAGTCGCGTGAGCGCCTCAAGTCACGAATACGACCCGCGTTAAACCTTCGGCCGGCTCTTTACCGTACCTGACTATTTGCAATGCTTACCAGAGTGAAGACATGGCGGTTCCTTGGGGAGCCACCCGATACGAGAAGACACCAGAAGGAAACTTGATTGTGTATATCTTCGGCGAAGTGAAGAATGATACGTCAACAAGTTATACCACAATACAGGTCTATCACACATAGCGTTAAAGACTTTCTCTTACGCATGCCAATAAGCGGATCGATCTCACCACACATAACTTCCCTCTACATACACGTGCCAGTTGTTGTGCTTGCGGCTCAAATAAGCATCTTACGACAGCAGCCCTACAGTATCCCGCTGCACACTCGCTACCGGTGTCTACACAACTCTTCAAGAAGGATATAGTCCGGACGCCACACGTCTAAAAAGGTTCCCTCCGTGCACGCTCGATACCCACTCACCGGTCCCGCCGCAGTCTCACTTCCTTCTCCAACTGGCCGGAGACAACCTTATGACACGATACCGAACTTTCAGTACCGACACTACGGATGCTTGGATCGCCTACTCACAAGAACGATACGCTTGACTCCGAAGCGTAGAGGAACAAGCCACATTCTGGATTATGCACCACGGGATCGTCTCGAACCTCTCGATAATTCCTCTGTTTAGATACCAGTCTTGCTATTTTCGATCTTCGGTGATCAGGAAGCCGGGCCTCCATAAGATTATAACTCGGGGCCAGGGAAGAGGGTTTGGAAATATAAGGTCTGGAAACCTTCAAATTGAAGTCTCATTATCAACAACGATACTCCAATCAAAACCACCACCAACACTCTTTCGCCTCTCTCACCAACTCTTGTCACAACACTCAGTCAGCATTGACATCACACTCGCACCATTTCTATTGTCGGAGTTAAGCACAAGCACAGCTGTCTTCTCTTCTGATATATATGAGCAACTGCCCACCCGCTACAAACAGTCCATCAAATTCTCCAGAGTTTATCAGTACCCACACTACCACAGAAGCAGCTGATATAACCATCTCTTCTACATCAAATCGAGACTCGACGGAAACTCCTCAATCCACGACTGAACAATCTTTCTCAACGCCTACGATCGTCATCACAAGATCACCTACTTCACGAACGCCAACTCCAGACTCCAGTGCTAGACAAAGTCGTCCCCTAACCTTACGCTATCACTCCGGATCTACCTCGACTTCACAGCCGCTAAGACCCCAAGGCTCTTCTAGCCTTCACCAACGTTCACGACGATCTCAATCAGAGCCACTTGAAACCAGAAACATCACAGCCAACACCATGTCTTCCTCTGGATCCTCCCCATCAGGTACCTCGACCGCCGGCAGCAACTCCGGATCCGGTCAGCTCCCATACGCTCCATTTCCGTATCCGATGCCTGCCAACCCTCGTGGTGGGTCGGGCCAAGGCAAATAGATGTCTTCGCCCTTGCTACACTACTGCATCGCATGAACGGCGGCTCTTGGCTTCAGCGATTTGACGGACACGAATTCCCTTTTGCACATCAACGGCTCACTGCTTGTGAGCCATTCTCCTTCCAATGTCTCAAGATTTCAGGTCTCGCCCCGGTATTGCATGGCATGAAGACATCGCACTTTTGGCATCACGAATACCCTCTTCTTCTTTAGATTCCCTATGTCTGCCCTTTTTTGGCGCGCTCTACACTCTTTTCCCTCTCGAAGTTGTATCTCTATCTGTTATTTTTCCAAATTCCTTTCCCTCCACTCGTTGTCTCCATCTCACAGTCGCTTGGCTTTGCGTCCATACGGATGGGTCAAGGCTTTCTCATTCAGACCAGCTCGCATGGGTGGCGTTCGTTTTATCCCGCACTCTAGCTGTCACTTGTCGATCGAATCGATTTCACACATCCTTTGCTTTCGGGCCGTTGCTGCTTGTACTAGCGCGTTGGCTATCGATTGTATGGGTGCGGCTCGATACGAGAGATTCCCAGGGCAGGTACTTCGGCCACTCTCGTAAACCTCGTTCTGAATCCTCACGATATCTATTCTTGCATCCTCTGGAGTTACGGTGTGTGGAGATAGATCTATAGACTAGACACTAGACAGATGCTAGCTCGAAAAATGTACAAGATACTTCCAAGCTATTGCCCGTGACATTTCTATTTTTAGGTCGGCCCAGGTATTGCAGCCCGTATCCAAAAGGTGGCTCCGTGGAGTCGAAAGATACGATACTGACAGCCACCCGTGATGTACATACGACCTGGCTATCGAAAATGACAGTTGAGAACTAAGCGAGGTGGATTGCATGAAGAGCCAATACCACGCTGCAGAAGATACCTCCATTGCCGAATGTGAGGCGGTAATAAGTCCGGCGTCTCATCCCCGAGCTGAAGGAGTATAGATGCCCGGCAGCCCAGAGTTTGCATAATTGACTTGGCGCACGAGCTCTGGTGAGCTGATGTCGTTCACTGAAAGGGTGCTGAGAGGTTGGGAAGGTGATGGTTGATCATGGGCGATCTGATGGGCGGAGATTCAGGACCGCCGATCTGACTAAGCAGCGGCCGTTTGAGTCGTGCAGCGTCATTCGCGCCAACTTTCCTCTACGAGTCGGTTCACGCGACATCGCGACATTGCTGCCCTGATCAAGTGACGCTGCGACCCTGCAGAGTCTCTCTTTCACGTCTTGGGATCCATCCACCGAACGCCTCGTGCCTTCCCGCTCGACGTCGCGACAGTCGCAAAACAGCCAACGGTTGCCTCCCTGATCCTCATCATCTCCGTAACGCCGTATCCGTCCCCGAAGCTCCACCGTCATCCTTCCATCAACCACGACCCTCGCATCACCTACCAGCGCCACCATGGCACCATCGCGGTCCCGAGCGCCACTGCTCTCAATCCTCGCCCTCACATCCCTTCTCCCCTACACAGCCTATGCCTTTGACTGTAAAGACATCCTCGCAGATGGCCAGCACTTCAACTTCAAAGAGCTTGGCGGCCCGCACGTAGTTCATTACAAGGAGTCTGATATCGCCAAAGAACTTGAGTGGAAGTACAACTTTACCATCGACATCTGCAACAATCTCAAATGGCACAAAGGCGGCAGTCTGGCGACCGAGTGCCATCACGGGACAAGGGTGTGTGGAATCAGAGAGAATATCGATTTGAGCAGTGACGATAACTCCACCATCACTCCCATCGACATCGCCGGAACATATGCGACGCAGAATGGGAGGAAGATCGATGCCAAGTTTGAGAATCTGGGCCACTCCAAGAGCAACAATGATGCAGGACTAGAGGGTGTCAGGGCAACGTTGAACGGGGGCAGATTCCCCTTCGATGACCGGAAGGATGGCATAAACCAACGTGCGATCATCGAATTTGTCTGCGACAAGGAGAGGACGGGACTGGAAGGTGACGAGATGGACAAGAGCCCGCACGAGGATGGCGATAAAGAAGATGACGGTGACGACAAGAAGGATGATAAGAAGGAGGGTGATGACAAGAAAGAAGAGAAGCTGAGGAGGAGAGAAGAGAACAGCAAGGGCAAGTGTGAGGACAGCGACAACAGTCTGCGCTTCTGTGGTTACGAGATGGAGACGGAAGAGAAAGACAAGAAAGTTCAGACACTGCGACTGGAATGGCGGACCAAGTACGCCTGTGCGGATGCGCCGTCGCCGGACGGTGGCTCCCACTGGGGCTTCTTTGGCTGGTTCTTCATCATGTGAGTTGCATGCCCTCCACCTCTACGTTTTCACAGTATTCTAACAAGTATCCAGCCTCTTCCTCGCGATCGCTGCCTACCTTATCTTCGGCTCATGGCTTAACTACAACAGGTACGGAGCGCGCGGATGGGACCTTCTGCCCCATGGAGACACAATTCGCGACATCCCGTACATTGCAAAAGATTTCGCGAGGAAGGTCATGGGGACTGTACAGGGAGGCGGAAGCAGAGGAGGCTATGCTGCCGTGTAGAGCAACATGTCAATATCCTGGGATGGAATACCGTGGTGCAGGGATGCAGGAGATGCTTTGTAGGATACGCCATGTGAGGAGGAAAGAGCATACAAGGCGCTGGAGTTATGATTTTGGCTTTTGATCAGCACTTGCGACACTTACCTAGAATTTGAGAGATGCGGAATGAGGAATGGGACCCAACCGTTGGATGTCTATCGAGTTAACATTTGCGTCAATAGTCAATGCTATCTTGAGCTTCCCATCAATATCCTGCGTTCGAGAGCACTGTTGGATTGCTGCCGCCTTTGTTGTATATTCACGTACACAATGTTACATGCATTGAAATTGTGGGAAGTTATATACTGTCGTCAGGTTTCAAGAATCAGGTGAAATAATCTCTCATTCTCCCCGGCGTCAACTATGCAATTACCCAACATCAAGATCATGCTTGCAAGAAGTCAGTCCACGTCCAAGCCGCGTCGCCCAAAGAAATCCGTAAGTTTCAGCCCGGAGACTAGGTTTGAGCCAGGCCGGGCTATACATCGATGGAAGCGCAAAAGTCCCACGTACTCGGCTGGGAAGCACAGTTGCCCACCACATGTCGGAGACTGGCTGGACACGAGCTTGATGGGCAACGAATTGGAACAGCTTCTCAACTTCAAAGTCCACGCCATCTTCCATGTCCGCGATGCAGACGAAATTGATGCTCTGTATAACTCCTTCCACGCGCAGATGCGAGCATGTCAACCGCTTCTTCCAGGCTTCGAAACACGTCTTAGGGACCATCCGCTCTGTGAAGAAGTCTACAAAATTTACGAGGATTTGACCGCAAGTGGCGTCGCCTTTTCTAGCCTTAGCAGAGAAGACTGGACGCGGGCGAAGGTCTTGATTCTCTACGAAGATCAAAACGATAAGTCTATTACCTTCCAGTTTATCAATGATACTCAGGAAGATCTAGAAGCTCGCGAGCATATACTCGAGTTACAGCGGACTGTGCCTGCGAATAATGTCGGAATACCAAGGACGGCTAGACTGAGGAAGTGGAGGGATGAGTGGTTCGTTGATATGTTCGGTCCAGGTGAGTATACATAGTGAGCACTTGGTATGTGAGGGATACACAATATTACAGTAAAGAGGCTAGAATTCTGGGTGTGAGGCCAGTGATGCACTCACTGCATACGGCAACACTGGAATGAAGCTCCAGCGCTGCAACCTTTTCAATGCAGGGTTCGTCATACCGCCTCGGTTGCGTTGGCTTTATGCCGATGGCAAAAACCGCAGTGAACGACAGGGCTCACCCAGAGTTGACTGCGCGGCCCCGATTAAAAAATCACCTTTTGTTCCCAAATACGGTTCAGGTACAACCATTCCAGAACCACATACATTGTCTTTCAACACATACTCAATCACGACAGTGAATAACAATGTCGGCTGGAACGCCGGCAGTCAATGCCCTGATGTTGGCAAGCTTACTTCAAGACAAACTTCAAGTTACGCAGTCCTCTCCATCTACCCAGGATAATTTTACCCGCCATAGTCACACCGAAGCGCGACTGTCTGCCGCGGAGTGCCATTCACCACTTTCGTTTGATAGCACTCCTGGGAATCTTAGCAACTTGGACGGCAATGGTCGTCGCGTCGCGACTAGATGTGGGCATTTGCTTCACCCCAACAGAGACCACGATGACGAATACTGCCCAGTGTGCAAGGTTATAGCTTATCTGAATCTACTTCGGCGCATCACGAAAGATTGGAATGGCGAAGGGGGCCCTTGGCGGTCACCGACAGGTCAATGTACTGACAATAGAGAGGCTTACTGCAATATCTGGCACAAAAGAAGACTTGAGCTTGCACAGCTCATGACGCGTTATCAAGACGGCGCAGAGAATGAAGCACGCTGGGAAGAAGAGCACCCGAAAGAGATCGGCTTTCAAGGCATGCTCAGGAGGTAATGCAGTGGTCATTGCGCGTGCCATGTCAAGGTATCCCGCCTGTGTAAGGACTGGCGACGTCGCAGATCCACACTGCCGCACCAATACTCCAACACTGTTACCTAGAGCGACTACAAACGATCACATCCCTTTACCGAAAGCAAAAGCTCCAAAGACAAGGCGTGTTCAATTCGAGTCCGACACGAACTTCGAAAGCAGTCGGCGCCGTGAAAATTACCTGCGCAGCGCAAAGGCATACGTACCGGGAAAACATGCGGCGTCCTCATCGAGCACTCTGATCAATATTTCGAACATACTCAACGACCTCTTCAACACTCGGCAGCTCAAGATCATTAGGGAGTTGGATTGCCCTTGGAATATCGAGCTCGTCGACGCCATCGCTTTGTCCAACCATGAGGGCATCGTCGAACTGCATCCTCGGTGGCCCGAGATCCGCGACAAGATATTGTGTATACACGAAGGGAAAGATCAAGTGCCGAAAAAGGCATTTGTGAAAAGTCTGAGTACTGCGGATTACCTACTCGTGAACTATCAGTTGGTCGAGCTTGTGGAGATTCTAGAATGCTCGCAAAAGTACGAAGAAGCGTGGGAGAAACAACACCCGAGCGACGTAGGGTGTATGTGGACTACCAACAGCTCCTCGAAGGCGCGAACACGTCGGAAGACAGATGAGTAGCATGACTGCGACGCACATTAGGTTTGTAGAACGTTGCACAGTAACGTATTGAACTGTCTAGACCTGGAATGTGTACAGCCAGTGGCAATGGTAGAGACCTCGGGACGAAGTTCGCGCCACGTGCCGAAAGACGCGTCAGTTTCGCGCCGGGCGATGCAGGCTACTTTGACCCGCCGCGTTTCCATCTTCTTTGTTCACCCTGTCTGTGCCACTGCTCAATAAAGGGTTCTATGTTTAAAGGACCCTGCAACCTCGCGCATGAACTGAGATGCCCAGTCAAGGCGTGAGGGCTCCAGGCAGGCGTCAGGCCCCATGTGCAGCGATGCGTGCTCGACGGCGGGCCGGCTACGCATGTCACCGGCAACAGCACTCTCCAAGGATCGAGGCATCCCGTCGCAGCCTTGCGCTAGGCTTTGTACAGCTCTAGCACTCCGCCCAGATGCTTTGTTCGTCGCGATATAAAGCATGCGACGTGTCTGTTGAGAGTCATCCCATCTCAACGCCGCTTGCAGCATGGCTCTCATTACGCTGCCACCGGAGCTCAAGCTAAACATAGCTGACTGTTTGGACCCGGACTCGACTCTCAATTTTGCCCTTACCTGCAAAGACCATGCAACACTGTTCAAATCCCTGTTGGGGCAGCATGCACGACTACTTGCGGAATGGAAGGTCATCGACACGACTGATGCTCGTACGCTTCTTTGGGAAATCTTGAGAGACATAATAGCAAGTCCTCGCCTAGGGTGGTACATCAGGGAACTCAATCTTCCGCCGAGCCGGCAATACAATTGGAATGCGAACGAGAGTTTGTTTGACCCCCACCCAAAGAACGGCGTTGGACCAACCGAAGAAGACAAGGCCTTGTTCATCGAGGCAGCAAGGGGGCTACAAGACCTGTATCCCGGTTTCGGGGTAGAAAACCTGAGGCTGCAGAGACGATACTCTCACACAATCAGGTTTTTACCGCGCCCGTACGACACGATTGGCTCTATCGAAGATCGGATTCACGCAGGCTTCGAGGACGCCATAATCGCAATCCTTTTGCACTATCTACCTTATCTCACGACCATCAGACATTCAGAGGTCGCTATGGAAGATTGTCTGGAGCTTGTTCTATGGCAGATCGCGTTAGGATACAAGGACCCGCTCAAGGCACCAAAGCTTCCTCTACAACGTCTTAAAACGGTCTCTTTGCGTTACGCTCTAGGGGAAGGATGCAGTTCTCCTGATTGGGCGTGTTTTTATCTCAGTATCCCTTCGGTAAAGACTTTTGCAGCGCAAGCAATGGGTGGTTCGCCTAGCGAGGACGTCCTTCGCACTTTGTTTCCCAAAGGTGCTGCTCCGTGCTCCAACGTAGTAGAGCTATTCTTCCGATATTGTGTATTCGATGTAGATGGCCTGGCAACCATACTCGCGAACATTCGGCATCTGGAAAAGCTAGCATACAACGGTGGCGGTGCCGAGGTGTGCGAATCGAGCTTTTACGAACCGAAAAGAGTTATTCGAGCTATTGCTACACACGCCAGTCGCTCGTTGGAGGAGCTCATGCTCAGCGAGGAGGACACAGATGTAAGTCACCAACCTCCGTCAATGTTCCAAACTGATTTCAATTGATAGAGTGAGCCTCCCGAGGATGGCCCAGCGATTATTTCTCTCCGAGAGTTCCAGAAGCTCCGTGTGCTCCACTGTTCGTGGCCCATGCTTCGCCCCGAGCCCGGAAAAGAGGAAGACCTTGACCACGATGAGCCGCTAGAACAAGGTTATTACCAAAAGGAGGATTACGAACAGATTGATGTCGACTTCGACGTAAGGACCATTCTCCCAGAGTCATTAGAAGAGCTCTTCATGAACGGCTATTTTGACGCTTATGAGGAATGGGATTACATGGAAAATGCATTCAAGGCCCCAAGCGCCTTCACGCCACGCCTGACTTTGGAGAAGACCTGTATCCAGAATGGTGATTGGAGTGATCGAATCGGTACGGCAGAGGCTCCGGACGGAGTCTGGTCTCATCCGCTCGGTCGCCTTTTTGAAGGTCATGATATTTGAAATCGACAAACTATTTGCCTCATTCTCGCTTGTAACGAGAACACCAAATATCGGAACTGTTTGCGCTTGCTGGGCATACGAGAATTACTATAATAGTGCGCACGGCTCCTCTTCGTCCATCGCAGCGCCTCCTCTTGTCGCAGTGACGCACTGAAAAAATGGCCAGCCGCCAAGAAACACGGCGAGGACTAAGGGAGGGCTGGAGCCTGGACACCTCTCTCGCATGTATATATACAAGTGCATATGCAGCAGCTTTACAAAAGATCTTATACCACACCTTTACACAGCACACCTCCACAGCGCGCGCTTCTTCCGATACCTCTACTGTCATTTATCGAGCGAACATCTAGCGCCAGACTTCAACAGCAGATCTCCCCCAAAACAATATCACGATGGCTCCCCGAGCCATCTATACATTTGGAGGCCGCTACAAAAGCATCAACGCTGTGGAAGATGCGCCATTCGCAGAATTCATCTCAGTGAGAGAGACCGGGCTCAAGTTCAACGTCGTCCACCCAATCCCGGTTGCGTATCTGCGTGATCTAGACCCCCGTGAACGCGATGCGGTCCACAAATACATTCATTCTCAGCTATTTAACAACAGCTACAAAGACGTCGGGTTTATTGAAGCTGCAGAAGAGACCTTGAGTTTGTTGGAGACGGTCCAACAGGATATGGATCGCGATCGCTCGACCACTGTGGAACCCACGACGACGGATGCGACCAGCGACCGGACATACCACACGGCAAGAGATTACCAAGAGTCCCACAGCAACCATCGCTCGATGGTCCACTTGAAGGGTGAATCCCATACTACGCGCGGCTTACGACCAGGTGCCTCTAAGCGTTCTCGCAATATAGACGCCTGGAAGAAAAACGTCCCGCGTGGCCACGCTCCACCATCGGTCAGCCAACGAAGCTCGTGTCTGCCATCTGAAAGAGCGAGCGAATCACAATCATCAAGCCCTAGCAGGATGCGAAGGCCTAGCAGGCACATTGACTTCCTCAAGGACGCAAAGCTCGACAAAAAGACGCGCGTCATAGTCGTGGAACACAGCGTTGCTAGCCACGAGCTGGCGCTTCAAGAACAGCACCTCGCCCGTCTTGAGTCGCTTGCTTTGACCGTCACCAGCGCAGCTGCGCGGCGCGATCTATACGCTGCCATTCGAAAGGCTCACACTGCAATCGAGAAGGTGCGCGTCCTCGAACGTAAGTGCAAAGGCGCTCTCTCTGACTCCAGGGCACTCGTAGTGGATGCTCTTGAGCTTGCTGATGATCTTTGGGAGACGTCAGAAGCAGACGCGGAAGAAGTATCAACCGTTTCTTGTCCGACAATGGTTTTTTCGTCGACACAGCGGAGCACATCCACTGCCCCGTCGGAGCAGGAATCCTCAGTGCCGGCCCGTTTTGCCTCTGCCTCGGAAGTTGTTTCACTGAAGAAGGAACTGCGAAAGATCGACAACGATCTTTCGGACGCGATGAGGACTCTAAACAAGGTCATCACTCGATCACGTAACCGAGAGGTCGTGATCGAAAGCATAGACCGCGCACGGGTATGCCTCGACAAGATTCACATTATAGGAGAGCGCTTTTCGGGCTTGGATGACGAAAAGATACGCAAATTCGGATTTGCCACGCTTGCCATTGCAAGGATAAGGCATCAAGAAGCTATGCGCGTTCTGGATGAAGCCAAGCAAGAGGCACATCGATTAGACGGCCCTACGCAGGCAATAGATAGTAGAGCAACGCGAGAAACCGAGCGCCAACAGACTTCGCGAACAGAAGAAGAGCTCGACCAAACTATACATCGTATCTCTCAACTTGAGTTCGTTGACGCCGGAGAGCTTTTGCAGCAGCAACAAGACGCTCTTGATCAGCTTGCGCAGCACAGGCTTACTGAGACGTACAACAGACGGGGCCCAACGAGCAATAGCTTGTATGATCAGTTTCTTCAGGCAGGCGCTCCCGAAGTTTACGGAGAGCCAACGTCGTCAGCGTCGGGTTTGCCGCCACCTCCGCTCCAGGATTGGGGTCAGTACTCGTATGCACAATCTTCGGGAAGAATTTTGTTCTGGGACGTTTGGGAATAGCCATTGTCACGTGACGTACACACGCAAAGTATGTAGAGAATATAATAGAAACCTTGCATGACCCTTTCTCAACTGTACTTCACACAACAGTGGCGTTTTGATGAACATCTCTATAACATATCACCAAAATCTCTGCAGCTCAGATATCTAGGCATTAGAGAGTGGTTTAAGATGCTTCCAGTATCCTCCAGCAGGTATGACGGTGTAGATGCGTCCTAACTCCGACTAAGGGACAAAAGAAGGCAGCGAAGAGAGCTGCCAAGAAACGCGGTGCATCAGCTACTAAGGAGAACCCTTCGAGTAGCGTAGAGTATGCGCTAGTGGGTACTATCAAGCCTTTGCAGCTCGACACGCCCGCTATCCCTTTCACACCTACCCAGGACAGCGCAACATCGACACGGGATGTTGCTGTTTCCACTCCTCAGCACTCCTGACTTATGTCGTCTGAAGATATCGTCGCTGCTCCATCTATCTCAATCGCATCACAGCAGTTATCATCATCGAGCACGGATGTTCTTGGGTCTCAATCTTCAGGCCCTTCGCCTATGTTGTCTGCACTGCCTTTAGAGTCCCTGGGCAGCTTCAACCGTGACTTCACCTTCTCAGCTCTCACTGGCGTTACTAGGTTTTGTGAACGCTCAACAATCGCTAACGTTTCCAACTACGAGCGTATATACTCCTCCCTCAAGGATACTAAGAACATTGAGGATAGAAATCCAACTTCGTTAGCTTTCAGCGAAGTCTTCGTGAACGAACTATCCAGTCCTGTGGTTATGACCGCTGCAGTACCGGGCGAAGCTTTCAAGGAAACCTTGTCACGAACGTCTGACACGACAGAGTCATCAGTCCCCACGCAGCTCAAGGCTGCCACGACTGACAACGCCCCAGCACCTGTGTACACATCCAAATATCCATTCACAGCTGCTGATGTCAAAAAAGAGCTAGAGGTTTGCCCGGACTATGCAAGTCATGTATGAGCTCTTGTATCATACTGCGAACCGAGTCCAATCAGCCATGCTCAGGAACATGATGTCTACGAGACTGACACCGGCCTCTCACTTGAAAGCATACTTGGTAGGCGGATGTTCTTGGCAAGTGCGGATGGTGTGACCCAATGCATCGCCTACGACAAGCTCCTACACGACGTCGAGATTATCAAAGACGATGGTGGTGCAGACTTCGACTCAGTCACATCTCCGAGTAGGATGTGCCCTGACGAATGCAAAAACGCATGTCATGAGACCTCCGAGTCTATTGGTTGTTGCATCGAGGACACTCAAGTAGTTTCCGCCATTCGCGACAGGTTTTGCAATGCGAAGGACAGTGCGGGACTGGAGGACATCGAAGTACCTGGCCGGTGTTTGCACCCAAGCCAGAAGTGTAGTTCTGATCGTGAGGAGGTTTCGAGCTATTCGGGCAGTTCGGGTTTCGGTTCGGACGATGCTGTATCGTTCAGTACTGGGAAGTGTGAAGTGGTTGCGACGCACCCGACAAGCCTCCAAACTACCGCACGCTCAGGCAGCAAAGACGAGGTTCATGACGTATCACCAAACGAGGGCCCTTACTGAAGAGCTTGCGAAGACAGTGTCGACTAGCTCACATGGTCCTGACGAGTCCGACTGTGCTTCCGAGTTGAGTCGCATGCGTCTAAGTCCAGAGTCTCTCTTTTCCTGTCTGGAGGTCATGGAGGCCAGAGACAGCGGCAAAGCCACGCGAGACGCCGTTGTCACCGCATTCCTGCAGCTTGTCAATATCGAGCGAAAGATGCGAGGAGCTCGTACCTTGTCGTCGGCATGCACAGCACAAAGCGTGCTGAGCAGTGGGATCCTTCCGCACACAATCATGCTTGAAACTACGACTGTTGCGTCCTTGGTTGCACAGCTGTGCTTTGACGAGAAAGATGAGGTCGAGATGGCTGACGTGTACGCGGCTTGGGATCGGTTGGGCCGTGAGGAAGTGCAACAGCAACGGATAGCTTCTGGAGGCAGTATGGGTGTATTGGGCAGAGTTCGGGCTGGCTCTCATGGGACTACGAGCTTCAGTGGGGCATGTTTAACAGATGAGTCTAGGTGAATGAAGAGATGTAGAGCGTCTAGACATATCATCTGTCGCGATGCTTTGGGTCATCTAAACGTTCATGTTGGCTTCTCCCTGTGCAGATAATGCTTTGATAATATGACATACATTCGTTCGACACAGTTCTTCTTTCCAATCTTCTCTGCGATACGACCGATCAGTTGCGTGGGAAAGTACAGAAATTGTTCGGCTAGGTTATCACGCGTTCTAATTTTGCACTGAGACATATTGCACGCTCCACTCGTATGAACCGGACAGCTGATCTTCCAGGCCGTATCGCCTGTGCAGCCGCAGTGTGGCAAAAAACGACAAGGCTTTTCAGGGGTCGGTGGTAAGCAGGAGTTTTGGTGGATCATGAAATGACTTCGGAAAGCACACTCGGCAAGATCTGATAGATTCTGCACCTGGCTGAAACAGTACAAAATCTTGGAAGGCCGATATCGTTGAGAGAAGCAGACAGCCTAGTCATAGAAGGACAAGAATCTACATCGGTATACAGCAGCGGCTGAAATTCCCGTTGCCACATAACAGGATGCAGGTACTCCTTTCCACCGTGGTGTATTACTGTAAACCGGGTCGAATCCCTGCCTACGTCCTTCATGTTTCCTTCTTCCGCGATGATGCCGTGATAGCCATCGGATGGACCGACCCTGATCTACGCGCCGTCAAGGACATGGCTGGGTAAATTCGTACGACGTACAGATGCCACCGGCTTGCCAGCTAATATGAAGCATTCGGCGGTCTTGGATCTAGAGAACTGGGCAAGTTGCGCGACCTACAAGCGCAGCCGTAGTGCCCCGATGCTGTACGCGAAGCCGTTAGTGCTGTATACTGGTGGTCGCTTCGAATAGTGTTCCACCAGCAGTTCATCCTGTAGTCCATGTTGTTAGTCAGATACTATCGTGTCGATCGCCTAACTAAGTACAGGCGATCAACGCAGAATGAGACTTCGTGAAGTGATGATCTCTAAACGATGAAAGTGTGAGGAGTTCATGAACTTCAATACACTTCCAGGGGTACCTTGAGCTGTCAGTAATAACACCATCATTATGCGTTCATGTGGTGCATAGTAACATTGCTTTCATGTACTCACCGACCTCGAGATCCACTCATGCACTCCACACATCATCTCCGCTCAAGATACCCACCGCGCTTGGCATGTCTTACCGGGATCGGTAGAAAAGCCGGCTACTATACATCTTGGCAGATGCTCTTCATCCGGTGGTTATCCTGAGTTTGCCGAGGCTTCCCGCCATGAGCGCCCAATGTTTCATCACGTGCGCCACTGTCGCTAACAATATCATCGCCTACATGACATTAGCGCGACGGGTGTTCCTTCCAAGCTTCGTTGTCTTCCGAGGAGTGTGGGGTAAGGCGACCACCTGTACCCTAGTGGCGTTCTGTTATATTAACATCCTGTGAACCGGGTTGAGAAAGCGCGTAAAGCCCGGATCAGCGATATTATCTTTGTGGTGTCGTGCAGATGTGTGCAAGGGGCATGGATCTTTGTGCTCTTCTATCTTTTCCATGATTACCGAGGCCGGTCACTGAACGGTGCAGCTTGCCGTGTTGGTGGTTCCTAGGCCGTTCTAGTCAGTGCGCTGGGCGTGCTTTTCGAAATGAGAGGACTGGAACACACCATCGTCTTTGACACCAAGACGGATGTAGACAGAGGCGAGATGATACCTCATGACCACCAAAGGCGACTTCTTCCAGCGATTCAGGCTCATCTCTACCTCGAAGTCGACATATAAGCTCGCTGCTTCTCGCAGTCCAGTACCATCACCGCATCCAGCACAGATCTCCAACTCAGCTCAACATGGTCTCTTTCAAGTCTCTCCTTCTCGCCGCTGTGGCTACCACCAGCGTGCTCGCCGCTCCCTTCGACTTCCTCACTGAGCGTGACGATGGCAACGCAACTGCTCTTGAGAAGCGTCAGTCCACTCCCAGCTCTGAGGGCTACAACAACGGTTACTTCTACTCGTGGTGGACTGATGGCGGTGGTTCCGCTCAGTACACCATGGGAGAGGGCAGCAAGTACTCCGTGACCTGGAGGAACACCGGCAACTTCGTCGGTGGCAAGGGATGGAACCCTGGAACTGGCCGGTATGTCACCTGGAAGAACTAAGCTTCATCAACTGCTGATCCCCAATCCTAGCACGATCAACTACGGCGGATCCTTCCAACCTCAGGGCAACGGCTACCTTGCCGTCTACGGTTGGACCCGCAACCCGCTTGTGGAGTACTACGTGATCGAGTCTTACGGCACCTACAACCCCAGCAGCGGATCCCAGCGTAAGGGCAGCTTCCAGACTGACGGCGGTACCTACGAAGTTTCCACCTCCACCCGTACTAACCAGCCTTCCATCGATGGAACGAGGACCTTTCAGCAGTACTGGTAAGTTGACAAGCAACATGTGGACGTTGGACGCACACTGACGAAACTCCCAGGTCTGTCCGCACGCAGAAGCGCGTCGGTGGCAGCGTCAACATGCAGAACCACTTCAATGCCTGGGCTCGTTACGGCATGAACTTGGGTCAGCACTACTACCAGATTGTCGCTACTGAGGGTTACCAGTCGTCTGGCAGCTCGGAGATCTATGTGCAGACTTCTTAAGTTAGACAGGATCGCGGATAATCGGATGAGTAGTCGTTGTGCAAGAACAGACAATCGCGGCGCTTCGGTTGCTTTCCGAATTACACTGTAGATACGGGCGATACGGGTCGTTCGAACTAGTCCGTAATTTGTCAATATAATCGCTCGTTCAAATATCGTTCGCTTTGCACTGCCTACATTTACTTCCTTTTCTCCCACATCCCTGCAATCGGTCTTCCAAGAAATCGTGTCGGCCACCTTCTAGAATTGGCCAAGCTTTCCTCGCGTTGTGGCTGCATGCCAAGCTCAAAACGTGGTTGCCAAGGTAGGAGATATATTACTTGTGGGCCATGATCTCGCAAGCGGAAATAACGTCCACCGGCCGAGGGGGCGTTCTGAACGGCTAGATGTGGCGTCCGTCTGTGCTGGAAGTCGTTACGGGTCTCCTCATCCGTGAGGCCTCCAATTCAGAGGACCATTCTTTGGGCATGAGGAAATCGAGTGCTGAGCAAAGTTGGACGTGTTCCATGGCAGGGCCCAATCTCCGAGGACCTACTGCGTCGTCGCCAGTACGCGATTGACCGGATATGCAACTGCATGGTATCGACACTGAGGTGCTATTAGTCAAGTGACGATGGGATACATCGAGATCTGTGAGGAACAACGCAGTACAGCAACTTCCCGCTAGCAAGTCGTGATATGCTGCTGTCCATGCTCATATCTGGAACCGGCTTCTTGCCGACGGGTCCACCCGCTCAATATACTATCGTCGATCGCGATGATCACGATGATCGCCACAGGGAGAGTGTTAGGCAGTCGACGACATGTCTGCTATAATCGTCGCCATGTCATCGGACAGCTGAGAGTCCTGATACACGATGTTGGCGCTACTGGACCGCTGTCGTCAGCATGATGATGGCCATCTGTAGGTGATGAGCTTTTGGGTCAACGATCGAGACGTCCAACAGAAATTCGCTACTTTCAGTTTACCATCCTTATTGTTACCAGTCAGACTCTCTGTTCGCGTTAACCTAACGGGTGTGTGACCTACACTGTGACCTTCTCATTCTTGTAGTCTGATCTCTTCAGAGGTTGGTCGCCGCTATGTGATCATGTGGCGCAACCTGAAGTCCTCGTCACTTGCAGGAGCGATCAATCGGCTCCTACCTGGGTCAGGATAATGAACACTGCTCTTCCCCTTCTTGCTGCTATGCGACTGCCTCACTGTCGACTGAACTCATTTCAGCCCAGCCTTCATCTACCGCGCCTTCGGAGGCACACAACCACAAACTCGACTTCCACCCAAACCGCCTCTCGTTTCAAGAACATTCTTTCTATCGTTACTTCCCATCTACTAGACGAGCCTCACGACTCAGCCTCCCTCCCAATAGGCACGCCATTCTCCAGGATGGCAAAGTCGAAGTTCCTATCCGTGTCGGCCAAGAAGAAAGCGGACAAGTTGGCGGCTCAGGCGAGTGAGCTTGCATTCTATAACGTCTTGCTCTGCACAGATATGTTCCTTCTCAGTATTCTTTCCGTAGACCTTGAGCTAACATAGTGTAATAGCGTCAGAGGCTCCGCAGACGCCTGCCTGGAACAAGGTGGCCGGCATTGGCAAGGACAGCGTGGGTGTCAGGATCGAAGACACTCGCCCCATCGTACCTCGCGTAGCTGGTCTTTGATCGGGAAAGACTGTTGAGCCCACCATGGAGCATCGAGAAGCTCCAGATTTGGCTGCGAATTCGACCGCTACGCTCGCGGGAGTCTTGTTCGAACAGTCCGAAACCGTTGCGAAGGAACTGAATGAGTGGATAACGATACAGCACAAGCAGGCTAGGACCAAAAGCGCTTCCGAGAAGTTCGAGTCGAAGACCGTTAGGAAACCTTGAGTGGCGCGCAGGTCATGGGTAGATGGAGCCAGGAGGGACGGAATGACTTCTCAAACCTAGGCGGACAGACATCGGCATGTAGATCGACATCGAAATGATAAAGTTCAAAAGCGTTTGGGATTGGTCGTAGTGAACGGCGTGAGTGATCGTGGTAGACGCGTGAACCTTGGAAGTATGACGATGGGAAGTCGCGGATGCGCCTTACCCGATTGGGCGTCCTGGTACACAAGCCATCCAGGTACAACGTTTATCCATCACGACAATGATTGAGCGAATACCATGATACTGACACATCATTATCATATCTTCATTGAGCGGTGTGATTCCTCACCATGTACATGTATACCCGTCTCCTCATATATACACGCACACCTACATCTTATTGAACACGTTCGTACCCGTCACATACTCCTCAGTCCCCTCTCTCTTCCGACTCTCCGTGACATTCTCATAAGTCTCCTCAGTGATAATAAGCTCATCGCTCAAGCTCTCCAACAACACACTGCTCTCCGCTTCCGCGCCCGCCATGTAATCAAAGCTTTCGCCAGACTCACTGCCCGCTTTCTCGAATACATCAGCACCGCCATCGAACCACCGGGCTTGCTCGCCTATCCAGTCGACTCCACCAGTACGTCGATCGCGGCGTACAACTTCCTTTTCTTCGAGGGGTAGTAGAGGGAGATCGGTCTTGGGAGGGAGGATGGTGCGACGGTGCCAGGCGCCGAGGAACATGCCTTCGGGATCGACTTCGTTGCGGACGCGGTTGTATTCGTCTAGGTCATTGCCGTATACAGAGGAAAGGTAGGTATGGTCGACGGATTGAAAGTTCTTCGCCCAATGAGGTCGGCCGTTGTACTCTTTCATCAGGTGTTCGAAGGCCTGGTAGTAGCGTTCGCGGCAAGGAGGGTCCTGACCGTAGGGGCGGTAGAGCGTTGCGTTGAGGTACAGAGCAGGCTGATCGGGATATGAGGTATCAAGGAACGGACGCGGTTCTCGATTGACGGTGTTTGCGATGCGGACTTCGATAGGCGAGTGGACGTAGAGACCTTTGGTGCTGAAGGGAATGCCAGAAGATTGCTCGTCACCGTGTAGCCAGTCTGTCAGTCGCGACAATACCTCGGGACCTTTATCGAGAGGAACGCTCCACTCGTTGACGAATTGCGAGTAGAGACAGTTCATCAACAGTTCCGTGCGCTGCTCGCCAACCGCAGAGATGAGAGCACCGTCCTTGAAACCGTATTGCATGCCAAAGACGAACCACTCAACCCAAGGCAGGAAGCGCGGGACATACTGCGATATCCAGAGAAGAATGTGGTACGTGTGGAAGCCAACGCTGCCGCCGTACCAGTTGTACTCCGGCTGCCGATGTGCCTTGTCTGTCTTGTCCGCCCGCCATACGACTGCACGCTTCATGTACGGTAGCCACCATACTCGCGTGAACTCGCTTGATGTCCAAAGCTCGTTGTTCCAGTCTGCCAAAACGTCTTCAATCGGTAGTATGGTTTGTATCCATTCGACGTTGTTCGCTTCGATCATTTGGAACTCGATTTCGACGATAATGCCCAATGCGCCTAGCGATACGAGCGCTGCGCGGAAGAGATCTGGCGATTGCTGAGGTGAGCAGCGTACCGCTTGGCCGTTCGCCAGTACTATCCGGAGACTCTGAACGCGGTCGGAGAGGAGGCCGTGGTTGTATGAACTGCCGTGCGTCGCCGTCGCAATCGCTCCCGCCAGCGATTGATCGTCGATGGATCCGAGATTCGGCATCGTCAAGCCGTGACTCTTCGCTTGGAGGTTAAGATTGTGTAGGCGTATTCCAGCCTGTACTGTCATCGTCTTGCGCTCCTTGTCCACGTTCAACACCTCCTTGTAGTCATCGAGATTGATCATCCATGCCGACGTGCACGTTATATCTGAGGGCGAATGCCCGCATCCTACAGTGACTACGCGCCTTCGCATACGTCTTGCGAGGTTAACAACCTTCTGTACCTCCCGGAGGCTTTGCGGCCGGATGTAGAGCTCCGGTCGCGAATGGAACGTGCGAGCCCATGTGTGGTGGATATGTGACTGAGATGCGCGGAAGGGAACGTCGGGGTCCGTACGGTCCAACTCAATATTGAAGCGTGGCGGCATCATGACGCCGGATAGAGGCGACTGCGCCATCCTCGTGGTGTTGAGAATACACGACGCATGAGTCGAGATGGTGGCGTACACATGAAAGAATGTCGCGATCGAAGGGTCCCGATGACGTTAGCGGCATATCAGTCTGGACCCCGCCAGAGCACGATAATATCTCGGAGCTATCTCGGGGGTATCGTAGCTTTGTGTACAGGCCAACACTTGGATGCGCGTACGCGATTTTCTAAAGTGCACTCTTTAACCACAACGTTTTACATCCATACATTCGCGCTACAGTGTCAAGAAATGTATTATTTTCTGGTAGGTACAAGTTGTCGAAATTGATGAAATCTTGTCATTGTGGAATGTATCCACTATTCGTTTTATTCTTGGAATTCTATCGAATTCGACGACTTGTACCTAACCAGACAATGATAAATGTTCCAAGATATTGAGCCCGCCAAAGTCTATTTCGTCGTCCGTTATCCGCCGCCTCTACCGTAGTAGTTGTCCCAAGTCCGACAGATGATCACAAAACAGGATCCCTCCCATGGCCCATCCCTACATCTACAACTTCGACTGAACCTTCTCCTCCCTACCCTTCAAACCCGGATGTTGAGTGATAATCGGCCTTGTAACCGCAAAGAAAGCGGTACCACCCGACTTACTCGAGAACTGCGCCTTTGAGCCCACGTGGAAGAAAGCAAAGTCGCCCGCAACAAGGTGATGTGTGACGCCGGTTGCCTCGTCTAGTACGTCGATTTGGCCGTTGAGAACGTACTTGGTCTCCTCGTAGTCGTAGGTGGGGATGTTGCGTGTGGGGCCGGCTTTGATGCGGTAGAATCCTGAGGTCAGGTATGTGGGAGAGTCGGTGGTTTGGGTGCGGATGCTAGGGGAGGTTAGATGGAAGTGCTAGGTAATTCGTGTAGTGGAGTTATGGAGAGGTTGGTGTTGTGTGGTGTAGTGGTTTGATAGACATACGAGTGGAAGTCTGCGACGATGGCGCTCTCACCCTCGGGGATGGGGATGTACTCATGCCCCGCGCCCTTGATGATGGTGAGAGGTACGTATTTTTGAGACACTGCAACTTGGTAAGTATGTCTCTTCTGGTCGACGCAGAATTGATTGAAGTGGTGTCGCTACTTACTAGCTGGTAATATGTGTGTGGTGTTGTGTTTGAAGGAGAAGTTGGGGGATTCGTGAGTTAATTATCTAATCTTCAGCGCCAAATACGTTTGTTCATATACAGAGACCAAGCTGCAACTGAGAACTACTTTAGCTCCGTTGAGCACCGATTGCTGCCTACCCCTTCTTCTCCTCTCCGTGATATTTGTCCGCATTGGGTAAGTCGTGCCGGGTGGCCTAGCGTAGACAACCTGACCTTGTACTCGTCAAATACAACTTGAGATCCACCTTGATTTGAAATCCGATTGGAGATTCGACAGAAGATCTATCGTGTATTGTGTGATATGCGGCGAGATTCGTGGTGCAGGTATGGGGAAAGGACCTGGCGCTAGCGCAATCTATCTTCGATGTTGACCTCGGGAGCCGTCATCATCGCTCCATCACACGCAACGGTCGCGGACTTGTTCTCAAAAACTGGGCGCTTGGCGTTCTTCAGGTGATATCGTTTCATAGCCATACGCACCGATGATCAAGCATGGCCGCCATCTACTCTATAACTCTTGATCAAAGAAACCCCAGTGCGCAACTCAAACACAGCGCCCAGATTGTTCCAGTGACGATATAACGTCTAATAGCACATGTCCCAAATAAACGCGAATTTCAAAACGTCCAGAAACGCAAACACAAGCTCCATCTCAGCCCGTCCCCGACAAGAAAGTAACAACGCCGGTCAACACGGGACGGCCACCCCAGCCCCACACCATCTAAGGCGCCAAACCACCATCCTCATAATGAAACAGTTCCCTCAAAAATCTCCACGAAGAAACATACAGATGCGTAACACAATGCGTCTCTAAGAAACACAGCGCTTGGTCCCAAGGCAAGCCACCTGTCCTCATCAACCCCTCAAGTATATCCTTGAGCTGCGTATCCAGCGGCCGGAAAAGGCGCGTGATCTCTGCAGCTGAAATTCTGGAGGAGTGAACATTGTTCAGCGTAAAGCCTGTACTGGTAAACTTCCAGCGGATGGCACTCTGGATTATCCGGAATGCCACGGTGTATTGGCTGTAGAGGGTGTCGCCGGGCATCTCGTATAGTTTGGTAATGCGGGCGTGCATGAGGTCTACGAAGTTGGCCATCGAGCCGGGGATAATGAGGGCGGTGGTTGGATATGGGATAACACTTTCTGGCTTTCCTCCTCGCTCATGGGAGATTTGGGTCGATGTGCCAGCGGCTGAGAGGGTCCATGGCTGTAATTGACAGTCAGGTCTTGGTCATTTGTAGACGTGGTGGAAAGCGTCTTACCTACTTCCGCAAAGCCAAACGCTTCGAGCGTTTGAAAGATGGCGAGGCAATATTCCTTCATCGCATCAAAATGCTGTTTCCTTCGTGTTAGTCTACGGCTTGAATCCAGAGTCACCAGGAGTTGGTCGCTGAATATATTGGCAACCTTTTCGTTCTCATGTATGTGTTCCTGGTCCGAGGGTTCTTTGCATCCACGAAGTTCTGGACGCTGGAGTTACAGGGCGTTGGCGGCGTCTCCGCGATCGCATGCTCGCAGTAGACATAAGGTATCGTTGCAGCGATCTTGCCAGTCTAGTAGTTGTGTCTCAACTTCCTCTCTAGGGATGGGTTTCTTCCTCAAACATGGGCTGCTTTCGCGTGTGCAGTTGTCACAATCGCATTTGTCGCAGTCGCTGCTGAAGTGATCTCGAAGAGGACAGGTGAAGCATACGAACTTCTCCAGATTCTCGCAGTCCAATTTAGAAGTGGTTACTTGCTTGTAGTCGCCGCAAAAGTGCCGTGATGGTATAGCTGTCATCGCGTTCGTTCTGCATATAGGATATACTGCAGAGGTGGTGAGAGGTAGGGAATAAGAGATACTGATGCAGATGCTGGACCCGCAAAAAGACTGAGCAAGTGAGAGATCTTGATGTGAAGGCGAAACAAGAACGCAAGATAACAGGACGCAGGTAATCGTAACGCCAAGCTCCTGTGTTACCTAGGTAGCAAACGGACCTCGAGGTGATCGCGAGTTGGGCAAAGTGTGACAAGTAAAGTACTGAGCGTAGTGGCCATGGATCTCTCGCATTTTGCACTTTTGTAGCGAGATCGACGAGAATCCTATGCGAGCAAACGATTCGTCGTTTCTTGTCATGGGCCAATGACTACCGCAACGGGATACCTTCATCCCCACCATCGTCCAGAGTGTCCATCTCGTCTCCACCAAAGCCTTCACTACCAACGTCATCGCCGACATCAAAGCGCATAAACTTCTCGTTCTTCGCTTCAGCTGTATAATGGTCAGCACTGTCTTTAACACAAAACGCGTCAAGGGATACTTACTACCCCACTCCACAACCTGTCCATCTTGAACCTCGCAGTCCTTAAGAACAGTCTTGTCGCCGTCTTTAGCATCGCCGCCCTCCATTTTACATCTCCGGCCCAGTATGCAGTCTGTGAGTTGTACGTTTGGTCCAATTTCGACTCCGTCCATCAACAGACATCGCAATAGCCTCGCGCCCTCGCTAATCTTGCAGTTCGGACCGATGACGCTTTCCTTGATGTTCGTCTTCTCTTCTACGATGACGTTGTCCGCTAAGAGTGAGTTCTCGGCTTCTACGCGGCATTTTCGGGGAATGGACTCCTTGTGGACGATCTTCGACTGATGGGCGAATGGTGATGCTGCTTCTTTGCCGACTTCCTCAATCGACTGCAGCTTAGCCAGGCGGAGTGAAACGGTAAGCAGAAGATGTGAGTCGTCTACACGGCGAATAAGGGGTTCGGCTGGTCCCGACGGTTGGACGTAAGCAAGAATCGGTGGTACCGTAAGTTTCGAGTTTGCGGTGAGTGATTTTGCGGATTCGGGTATGCTGGAGGATTTTGTGACTCGCGAAGCGAGTGTTGTGGGGGCCTTCAAGTCGGATTCTGTGTTACCGCCTGAGTATGTGGTGCTGAATTTGGATACATCGATCTCTTCCTCGACAACTTGCGACCCGTGATCCGACTCCTCATCCTCGCCCTGAAGTATTTGCCGCAGGCCCAACTTGTCTCCTAGACCGTTTTGCCAGCCTGCTTTCGCCCACCATCCCAAGACCTCCTCACTAATACTCTCGAATTTTTCGTTCTTCTTGATCATCTCAATAACCCAGTATGGGAAGAAGTAAATGTGGGCATCGCGGTGGGTCGTAAGCATCCTTATCCGCGCATGCTGACGAATGAGTGAATGCCGCAGTGGGAATGTCTTGTTCTCTTCTGTGATGTCGTTCAGCGTGTCTGTGGGTACGGAGTAGACCAGTTTCGAGATGTTGCGGCGCAGCGAGTCTGTCGGAACTGGGACGATGGGCGTAGGTAGCGGTGTTGTCGCAATGAAATCCGTCTCCTCCTTCTTCCTGCTGCCTTCTCCTTTGGTCTGGTACCATACGCCCATCCCACCTCTTCTTCCGAGCTTCTCTCCGCCAGCGCCGAAAGCAATCTTGCTGCCGTTGTGATCTAGTCCACCACTAGCTCCTGCGAACCCGCCCTGTTCTACCATCCATGCGTCTGCCAAGGCTGTGCCATCCAGTTCGCACACGAGATCGCATGGCAATACTATGAAGTCGCCCTTGATAACATTTTGTAGCTCAGGTAGCCGGAAGAGGTCGCCCGTACTTGTCTGGTGTGAAAGGTCTTTCGGTGCAAGGATGTCTGGCTTCGGCGAAGGGAGGGTTGTTAGGTGTGGGTTCTGCGACATGGCAGCCTCAATGGCTTCTAATGACTCTGGTGGTGTCACTACTGTGATGTCTTCAAAATGTTAGTACAAAATACAAAAGACAGATGCGCGTAATGGTATACCTGTGACGCCCATGCGATAGCACCATTCCAGGGGATACCAGACCATAGGCCTATTAGCAATGGGCAACAGGGCCTTTGGTATCTCCTTGGGCGTGGATGTGAAGGTACTAAAGGAAGCACCAGGTCCGCACAGAATGAGGGCCTGGAAGCCCGGCGCGGGCAGACTCGTCGCGTGAGGCATCGTGCGTATATGCGGTGGTCGTCGCGATATGAGCGCGGGATCGTGCCTCTGGATCTATATTGGTCCTTGCTGGATAGAAGGCGCTATTTCTGGCTTCGCCTGTGGGACGGTATTGGCGTATGTCCGCCGAGTGACGCTGCAGGTACAAAAGACGTGTGGGGTGTTAGAGTCACCCCGCCGCCAAAAGTTCGAGGGCTGACTCACGCACAGTCGCCGAGGCGTGCAGGCATGTGTCAAGCAGGCAAGCAAGCTTCAGCTCCCAGCCACTCGCCCTGGCCTGCGCCCGTCAACAACAGGGAAGCAGCCGAGCGGCAGCGGCTGACGACCAAAACAACAATCTCGAACCCGCTACCCGACGCCCGACCCGCCACAAAACATTCACGATACCATGACCTGAGGCCATGTCGTCCTTCAACTACGACCGCTACGACCGCCGTCAAAACAACTCGCGCAACCGCGGCGCCCTCGGCTTCTACGTTCCTCTGATCCTCACCGTCACCGTCGCAACCGCCGGTCTTGCAGCCTGGGTATGGAGTGCGCGCGAGGATAGCCGCGATTACTCGTCGGATGACGATCTTTCGTACGGCGAAGATTCAGCACATGAAAAGCGACAGGGCAGGGCGCCTGCAGCACGCGATGTCTCTGGCTTCCCGGTAGGGGAAGGGGGCGGTGAGGGCTATGGCTACGGCGATGGCACACTCCTCGGCCGCGCACAAGGCGTCATCCGTCGCACACCATCGCCACAGCAGCTCTTCGATACTGTGAGCAAGAAGACAGCAGCGGGCTGGGCGGCGGCGGGTGCTGCAGCTGGTGCGGCGCTCGCTTCCATTCGCGAGGAAGACAAGGACGAAGCTTTTGGCGACCACTCTCGCTGGACTGAAGAGGCCACCATAAGGAGGAATGTCGAGGCGCAGAGCCGGGACAGCAATGCCGCAGTCGATGTGCAGGCACGAAGCTTCGCGGCGAGCGTGCGGAAGGCTGAAGGCAGAGGCGAAAGCTACGGGGGAAGGAGGAAGACAGTAGTCTTGGTCGTCAGCGCAGAGAGTCTGATGGACCGGGTGGACGACGACGAGAGCTCATACCGCGAAGAAAACGCTGTAAGCATTCCATCTCGTTTCCCTTCTCACGTGCCAGAAACTAACAGCTTGCAGACCATCCTCTCCCACCTCCCCGACACCGACTTCTCCCGAACCAAGCTCTTCGTCCTCATCTACTCCCCATCGCTGCGTTCGCGTCCACAATCCCGCGCCAACTCTCGCACTGGCTCATCCTCGCTCGGCGACTCATACTCTGCCATCAGCACACCTGCACGCACACCAGGCGAGGAGTTGTCGTCCGTCGAACCCGTCATCTACACACCAGCACCCAGCACCAGGGGCTCTGACAACTCGCTCTGGAACACACTCCACTCCCAGGCACTTCGCCTCGTCGAGGACCCTGCCATGGTCATGCCTTTCAACACCACCACTGGATTCGTTCACATGCTCAGGCATCTCGGACCGGAGCTTGTCTACGTAGTCGACGCATTGAGCGGCGTCAACGGTCAGAACATCGACGATGTTAGGAAGTGGGTTGGGCAGACCATTGTCGTTGTTGGTGGTGATGGCACTGGTCTTGGTGGGCTCGTTGACACCGACGACGAGGGCCCTATGCGCAAGGGCAAGGAGAGCGAGCACACCGTCAGGTGGTGGCAGGTTCGCAACGATATGATCGGGCTGGGCAAGGGCGTCGAGGTGGTGGATGCCTCCAGACTTGAAGATGACTATGAGAGGAGGGTCAGTGGACGCGACTAGGTCCATTTGCTTTGGCGCTGTCCTGGGGTTTGACGATCAAATGTGTATAGGAACTTTTCGCGATGCTTGTATCTGATTAACGACGAATATACCATGCTTTTTGACATTCTGAAACATACAAGTGAGAAAAGTGAATCAAGTAAAGATGCCGACTAACACGCCGTCGCCATGGGTGGCCAGAAGTCGTGTCGCATTGTGCTGCATACTCTTGAGAGACTGAAGTCTATGCCCAAGCGGAGCTCATCACGCGGAGTTTATAAGATATATAGTGTTAAAACTTAATAACTTGATATTGCCTAAGATCATGTAGACGTGTGCCATAAAATTTTCCTTGTGAATCCCATTTGGAACGCCTCAACGCCGATTCGTGAGATGATAGCGCGGGGAATCTACATCTGAACACGGAGCAGGTAACGGAGCTTGACCTGAGCGACGTCGTAGGCGATGTACTCGTTGTATTGCAAGTACGCGTTGGGTACGTTGGTAGCGCCAGGCCGTGTCGATACATCAGGCTAGTATCATGATTAGCTGTGAACACAGAACCGAGAGTGAGCGCTTGCTTACCATCATGCATCCTTTAAGGGCCGGGTTCACGCAGCCCGCATCCTTCCACTTGCTTGGGCCAGTCTGTCCCATACCAAATGTGCTGTGTAGGCCCTTCTTGATGGCATCCTCTCCGGCAGTATATGATGCGTCGGTAAGCTCGTGCATTGGGTTGCCGAGCTCAGCTTCGCAGAGAAGAAGCAGAGCTGTGCCTCCAGAATTGTACGAAGCGCAGTAGTTGGCGGATTTTGAAGACATATCGGCGAGATATATACCTTTGCCAAACATGTATCCGCTGACAGGGGCTTCGGGTGGTGCGATTCTAAGACCTTGACCCAAAATACCACCATAGTTGGTGACTCGGGATCCGTGCCAAAGCAAGCGGCGGTTGCTTGCGATCTTCGCATACTTGCTCTTGTCGAAACGGTCGAATTCTCCTTGACGCTCGATGCGGAAAATCTCTTGTACTTTGTAGCTGACATGATGTGTCTTGCCCTTTGAGTTGTTGAGATACTCGTCAATCTCAACAAATTCGCGACTCTTGTGTTCAAGGGGAGTCATTTCGTTCATGCCAAGTCCCTGGAACTGTTTGTCGAGCTTGTTCACATCGCTCTTGTCCTTCAGTTGGTCCTTAAGCATGGCAGCAGTTTCTTTCATGTCTGAAAGACTCTCGAGTAGCTCAATCTCCTTCTTAAGGAGTGTGATGTCTCGAATGACCGGTGGGCGATTGCGACCGAAGGCATGTGGGATTAGAGAGAAGTATTGGTTCGACAGGCGTTCAACCTCTGCCCTAGAGTCATTGTCATTTTCGTCGATGAGCACGGAGAGGTCCTTCAGGGTCTGAAAACCACGAGCGATAGTGCCTTTGCTGAGTTTGCCTAGTGGGAGCTTGTTTGCGTCATAGTTGAGGGCGGTCATAGTTTGATTGAAGTAATCCTAGGAAATGTTAGCCTGGCGCATACATATCAGTGTATCTTAATGAATGAACGCGTCCTAAGAAAATTTACGCTCCAAGCTCCATCATAACTTTTCAGAATGCGATACGAATTGAAGCCACTCTAGTGACGCCAAAAGAAAGCACTGGGTTCTTACCTGGTTGAAGATGAGCTTCATGAGATCCTGGACAGGGGGAGACAAGGTGCTATCAGGCGTAGCGCCGTTCTTAGTATCGTCGGCATCAGCGCCAGCATCAGCATCGCCGTCGTCGTCGTCGTCGTCGTCCGAGTCAGGATTGTAGGACCGCTCTACGTAGGCGTATTTGCCAGCTTTCGGCTCTTCACCGCGGTCTGCCCACTTGAGGCCAGACTTGTCCTTGAACTTTTTCTCAAACTCCTGCATGGCAGTGTTGAGGCTTCCATTGCCAAGCATTTTCATCTGGCCACGGTCGCCGACTCGCCCCCAGCGCGTCCACGTCTGGTAGCTGGAGCCATCGGTGAGAAGCTTTGTACGTTAATAGAGCATAGTTGTACGTGTAGATCCATACGAACCTGGACTTTGTAGAACTTGTCTAAAGCAGTCAGCATACGTGCTTAGAATCCTGGCGCGACTGTCACTACTCACTGTTGTTTTCAGACGAGTTTGTTTGATTGAGTGACGCGTCGTAGATCGTGCCGTCGTTATTGTCAATGTAGACTCGCCAGCTAGCTAGAGGGCAATGTTCGTCTACAGAGATTGCAATCTGCTTGGACTTTGCGTTCTGTCCATCGCCGACTTTGGCATTCTCCTTGATCTTAGGCTTCTTGGCTTCCTGCTGTGCAGTCGCTGGTGGCGAGGCAGATGACGCCGCGCGCTTCTTTGACCCGTTCTGGACAGAGGCAGGAGCTGGCGCCGCCGCCGCCGCAGCAGACAACAGATATTGCGACTCAGGAGCATAAGAATCTGCCCCAACGTCAATTTGAAGATCTTCATTAAGATCTGAGAAGCATGTTGCGGTTCTGAGTGCGTCGGAATGTTGTGGACTTACCTGCCCTCTCGCATTCGTCGAGCCATTCGAGGGTAACGATCGACACGTTCTGAGCAGCAGCAGTCTTGACTTTGGTGGAATTGCTCTCAAAGTCTTTTTGCGTTGCGATGAGGTGCGTCGTGTCCGGTGTGACGCTCGACAGGAATTCGGCGCCGAGTGACGTTATACGCGCCTGTAGTGTCGATTGAGTTACTCCACCCGGGAAGCGGCCAGATGCCGCGATGGACAATCCAGTAAGTGGATCGGCCGCTGGTGCGGCTTTCTGGGCAGCTTTGCGAGCCATTGATACGATTGATGCGATTGGGGTCGAGAAAGACGGGATGCAGCTGGATTGAAGGTGCCGAATGGCTATTTGAACATTTGTTTGACACGGGACCAGGCGGCCGATGAGACGATGGAAGGGACGCCCTTAGGCATCAGCGCCCAACGCGGACTAGCGTCCATTTCTGCCTTCGCGAGATCGACGCGTGCACACATGATAAGACGACCTCGGGAGTCGTGCCACACCTGGGCAAGCACCCGTGGCCCTGCATCGTCAACACGACAGCAAACTTCACTCGCCAACGTCGCTTCCTACCAAGATGGCGTCGCTTCTCACGATACCTTTGGAATTGCTGGTCGCGGTTTCAGAATACCTTCCTACTGAAGATCTTGGTTCATTTCGTCTAGCATGCAAACAAACCGAGAAGTCGCTTTATGAATGGTTCACCAAAGAGTTCTTCTCCAAGAAGCAGTTCATGCTCACGCACAAGAGCCTGCAAGCGCTCATCGACATATCCAAGCATGTCAGTCTTTCCAAGAAGCTGTCACACATCATCATTGCCACCAATGTCTACAGCGAGATACCACTACGCTTCAAGGATGACGACGCCGCTACACGCTATATTCAGGGCTACGAGGACCAGAAAACTCTTTTGGGTACTGGAATCGACCGCGAAATGCTTACGGAGGCTTTCGAGCGTCTCGAGAACCTCACCACCGTCGGCATCCGCGACTTCAACGCAGCCAATCGAGTTCGCGACGGCAAGAGCTGGAGCTCCTGGGGCGCAACTACCGTCCATCGCGAAACCGGTATTGAGCTACGGTTCGCCGATCGCGATTCTTTCGCACAGGATGTCGGCACTCGCTTCACGTCTCGCGTCTTCTCCAGTGTGTTGTACGCTTTGGGCAAAGCCAACCGACGACCTCCTGAGTTCGAGGTGTTGCTTCGTCAGCGTGGCCTGCCCGACACGGCATTTTTCCTTCCAGAATATATTCGACCTGTAGTAGAGCCCATATTGCAGAACACAAGCACGTTACTCTTGAACGTGGACCTCAAGCCTCGTTACCTGCACACCCATAGCAACGGAACGTCTGCAGATCCAAACGCCGGACGCTCACTTCGGCGCTTCCTACATTTTACTCCCAATCTCGTACATCTCCGCCTGAACTTCGAGAAACATCTGGTGGCCAATAACGAGGACTTTCTGCAGTGGTTGGGTACTCCAGACCACATTGCCAGCTCAAGTAAAGCAACTTTCCTTGACCCTGCTCCAGTTTCTCTACCGCTCTTGAAGAAGCTCGAGCTTGGTCAGCTAAGCGCTCGGGCTGATATTTTGTTCAACTTTATCTCCAAGTTCGCGCCGACTCTGGAAGATCTGAGCCTTTGGAGGATGAATATCCCCGCCGTAGTCGCTCCACCTCACGGACACAAGCCTAATTTTTGGCGCGACTTGTTCAGCAAACTGTCCAAAACGCCGCGACTTGCTCTTACTCATCTTAAAGTCGGCATGTTGCAGCAAGACCACATGTATGTGACTTTTAAGAGCGAAGATGCAGACAACGATTTGGACATCCCAGTCCCGGCGGAAAAGGTGAAGGAGCATACTGGGGCAGACATGGGCAAGTTTTGGGAGGATTTACAGGAAGAGGTCACAGTGGCGTGGCCCGAGGCGGTGCCTGTGGATCTTGATGCGAGCGAAGATGACGATGAAGATGATGACGAAGAGATGGAAGATGAAGAAGACGATGATGAACATGACAGTGATGAGTGAGGCGAGTGCTTAGGTAGTTTCATGATGTTACGATCCATACTCCCATATTACAACCTTTCCTTCCCTAGGCGATGGTTGCATGAAGTCGCCTTTCATGTACATGTTGCATAAAACACTTCTACAATACTGTCGCAATGACCTCTTTGTTCAAGAATAGTAGTGTACAGCTGGCTTCCCAAACTAAACATGTCGCTCATCTGACCAAACAACTCTCCTTCCTCAAGTCTAGGCGCAAGGCCCAGAGCTCAATGAAAAAGACGACAAGATACCGTTGACAGACACGCATCACTGAAGCGCACGATACACAAACAGCACTGCGAACAGTGCGTGTTGATTGCCTGAAAGAACGAGAATCACCTCGTCCTCTCTCCAATTCCCAAGGCCCTCGGAGTATCAGAATGACTGCCTGTGATCAGATTGAATGCGATTCCACCTTTCATCTTTGTGGTGACCTCTAATCTTTCCCTGTTGACCCGCTTGGCAGAAACCACCAGTATACCAGACCAAAGATCGGTCTGGTTGGGACGACGAGGCGCTCTGGGCGGGTCTCGAAGTCGCTGACAACCAACCCATCTAGCGAGTGTCGTCGTACCCTGCCACGTGGGACCCCGTACGTAAGTCGGGCACGACAGTATGACCTCCAGTAACCCAGCTTAGCTGACAACCACTTGGCGGTTGCACCAGCTTAGCTAACATGCGAGTTGAACATGAGACCTTCTCATGGCAGCAGTGTTCTGCGAATCAACTGAAGAGAAAAGAAGAAGTCAAAGTGGGCGGGGAGCAGCGGTTTCTATACCCGGAGGGCGGCGCCAAGATCTTACGGCGCTGGGCGTCAGTCATACCCGTGGTGACTGCGGCTACGGCGAGGCAGCCGGTTCTCACTCTCACTTCGTACCTAGATAGGTTAGACCCAAATCATGCGCTCGTGAAGACTGTTTGATCATCAGAATGGACTAATAGTACGCAAAGGTTCTTGGGCAACTCGTCCTTCACGCCGGGGTTGAGCTCCCGATTACGTAGTTCTTGGAGGCAAAACAGTCGAGACCTTGCCTGTCACCCGAAAACAGCTCTTTCCCTAGCTTTCACGATGCTTGGCATTCCCTCCTACCATAAATTCAGGCACCGCCCTTAGCAAAGCAACCAATTCGATCCCCACATCCAGTCGTTTCCAAATGATCACCTCAAAGATGGCGCCTGTAAAGACCGAGGCCCAGATCATCGTCGGCCTACAAGAGCATATCATCGTCCTCGAAAAGCGCCTGTGGAAAAAGAAGAAGGGAGAGGACACCGATGACGACGATGACGAAGACGTCGCTCCAATCTTCTCCAACACCTCCGAGACCCAGCTCGCCCTACTCTCTTCGCCAACAAGGCTGCCGAGAATCGAGCCCAACACTGCTGGACATGGCTGTCAACGTATTCAGCGCCTATCGACAGGCGTTTAGTAAAGCGACCCAGTGCTGAATGCCTCCAGGGTGGACTGTGGTGATAGGGCTGGGTTTGGATTTGACATCGACAACCTCCTCGGTCGGCCTTGAGGGTGGGGATATGGCTTTGTTTCGACATTGGCGACCTCCTAGATAGACTGAAGAATGGTGTTACTTGGCTTACGGCGTTGAGAACCTCCTAGGAGGGCTATGGAAGAAGGGTGTTCCGGTGCTAATCTTTCGCAATACCCATTGCTTTGTAGTCTCACTAGTAAAAATGAATACTTGCTGTTGCACATGGGACGATGGACCAAGTAGAGTGGTGTGAAGACCTATCAAGGTGACGAAGAGAGAAAATAGCAAATAATCTGATGACCTGAATGAACAAAGTAATGAGAAGAAAGACATCTTCGTGGGTAGATTGACGCAATACCGTCTTCTATGAAGTCTTTAGGATGTCTCTTAGGCTTCTGCGAAGATATGAGATCCTCCAGGGCTATCACAAAGGCCTTTGCCTGGGTGGCAATGGAGCGATGTCAGCTTCCCCGCCCTCTCTAAAATGGCGATCTTTTCTGAGAGCACAGATCCGATGTAAATGCTTGCTAAAACAAACGAAATCCCACAGCCGGTCGGATGTCTGTGCGACATTACTCAGTCTGACATATTGGGTACGTGCCTCGTAGAGCTATGTGTTGACCGGTTCACCGGTCAAGATATTTCCAGCCAATCAGCATCATTTTTGCAATAGACACCTTGCGATTTCCTTTCTCTTTCCTGGAATGACCCGAAATCGGTGTAGGTCCCATCGTGTCACCTATCAAATGCAGTGAGCATGCTGCAGATGTCCACATGAGTTGAGGTTGCCGCTTGACACGACCTCGCCTTGTGTCGCACGATAGATGGGCAGCGGAAGCAGGCGCAGGCGCGGGGTCTTAACGCAACATGGGCATTTTCGTCGGGCCTACACGTTTGGAGGCGCACTGCAGTCATGATGCCAGTCTGCTCAAAGAGACTATCGTCGACAGCACCAGTCAGTTTATAGATGTAAGGGGCTGAATACGTTAACAGTGTTCACGATCTTAGCTGCCGGTTGACTGACCGGAGAGCTTCGAGATGGCACGTGCACTATGCGGTGGCTTTACCGGTGAGATCCTCGACAACACTAAAACGCCGGTCACATCTCAATCGGAGCTCAGCCCTTTCGCAATCGCAGTTCTTCCCCGAGGCAGCACGAGGTACCAAGATGGAAGTTCTAGATGCGAAAGGTCTCTCTGAGCGCCTGAGATGGGAAGACAATGAGTACTGGCTGCACCTCGAGGCTGAGACTCCGTTTGAGAAGTATCCCGGTCAGTCTGAGGAGATGGGCGTGGGTCGCGCATTGAGCTAACGTTGCGCAGCAAAACAACATGCGCGGAGAGTGCAAGAGAAGTTGGGTGTTGAAGAAGGCTTGATCTACCTACCGGGTCAACCAGCGAGGAACAACGAAGATAGCGACATGCCAGCACCCTTCCGACAACGCCGATATTTCTATTACTTGAGCGGGTGCGTTGATCTGGGAGTAAATGAGGATCGTGCTGATGGTATGAAGATGTAATGAGCCTGACTGCCATCTGACATACGACACGCGACGCGACGAATTGTCCTTGTTCATTCCCCGCATCAGGCCTGAGCGCGTCATCTGGAACGGTCGTGGCTCCACCCTAGCAGAGGCACTCATGAAGTACGATGTCGATCAAGTCTTCTACGCAGATGAGCTTGAGTACGCCGTACAAGGGTGGGCGATCGGTAACCGACAGGCTGGCATCTACGTCCTGCACCAGTCATCGCAATTCCCCGGCTGCGACAATCTGAAGCCCCGTATCGATTCGATAGCCCTTCGGTCAGCCATGAACGTATGTCGCATGATCAAGGATGATCACGAGATCAAGCTTATTCGGAAAGCGAACGACATCAGCTCGCAAGCGCACCGAGAGATCCTTGCTAACATTACGAAATTCAAGAATGAGGCACAGGTGGAGGGATTGTTCATGGATGTGTGCATATCGCAGCAAGCGAAGCAACAGGCTTATGATCCCATCGCTGCTTCCGGACCGAACGCCGGAACCCTTCACTATGACGCGAACAATGAAGATCTCGCAGGTCGTCAACTCATGTGTTTAGATGCAGGATGCGAGTATGAGCTATATGCAAGTGACATCACCCGCACCTTCCCGCTGTCTACTTCTTGGCCAAGCAAGGAAGCCGAGAATATCTATAAGCTGGTCCAACGTATGCAGGAAACATGCATTGAACGACTAGAGCCTGGCGTGAGATATCTGGATCTGCACATTATGGCACATCAGATCGCTATCGATGGGCTACTGCAGCTGGGAATCCTTCACCGCGGAACGAAAGAAGAAATCTACAAGGCTGGTACAAGTAGAGCGTTCTTTCCCCATGGTCTTGGACATCATATAGGCCTTGAAGTGCATGACGTAGGCCAGGCACAACTGATGAGTGTAAGAAGAGGGAAGCCAGTGTACCAGCAGGCAAGTTCAATCAATTCGAATACTGATCAGTCGCTAACAGAATGCCAGGCACCATCCCTTTATCCACAGGATTTCCATGTCCCGATATATGACTCTGAGACTTGCCTCGCGCCAACCGATCCCCAAAGCAGCCATCTCGAAGAAGGCATGGTTGTCACAGTCGAGCCTGGCATCTACTTTTCTGCATACGCTCTACAACACTTCTATCTTTCATCGCCCGTACACTCCAAGTACATCAATATTGAGGTACTGAAGCGCTACATGCCCGTGGGCGGTGTTCGCATAGAAGACGACATTCTCATCACCTCCTCTGGTTACGAGAACTTGACTACAGCCCCCAAAGGCGACGCAATGATCGAAGTTATCCGGCACGGAAAGAAAGGTGCTGTGGACGGGCCGGATTCCGACTTCACTCCACTACGGCGACCGAGCAGTCCCATTGAGCCAACTCTGCGACGAGCGCCGGGCATTTCTACAAAGGCACCACCACAACACTTACAAAAGCCGCTCGCCAGAGCTGCGACCCTTCCCGCAGACTTCGCTCAACAACGCAACACAGACTTCGCGCCCTTGGCAGGCCCCTCGCTCTTCTCGAACTTTTCACGCTCAATGACCACGGAAGAAAAGATCCAACAGTGGCAGCTTAAGCGTAGTCCAGTGACGATCGCGTCTCTCCCCCCAGTCAACGCGAAGAAATCGAATCCGGTATGTGGTGAGATGAATCCGAACTTCCATCATGTTTACATGAGCAACGCTTCCAGTCCGGCGTTCTCATCCCAATCGACCCCACAGTTTGGGGAAACACCTTCGTGCCAGAATTGCGCAATTCTCGTACAAACGCTGGATCGCCTACGTCAAAACCTTACATCCTCTGTGCAAAGCTCCTCGAAGCGCGAGGTCAAGCCTACTTACGAGGCCGATCTGAGAAGTAAGAACGCCGAGCGAGTATACGATGACACTCCAGCAATACCGCCACGCATTGGCGAGCTGTCTGTTGGCGCTTCGGCGTGCACCGTAAGCCTCGATAAGAACCAGAGAATTCCACTTCCTCCACCTCAGCCTGATACTAGTAGGTCAGTAGATACAAGAGCAGCGCAATGGGCTAGACGCTCCGGCGCAGCTCCTCGTGTACTTCCGGTTCGCGTCCAAAATCTGGACAGCCAATTGTCACAAGCATACCTTCAGGGCGAGGAATCCACAGCTAAAGCGAACCTTGTCTCACGGCACCGTCAAATCCCCGCAGCCGCTGAAATTCCTCCACGATTTAGACGTCGCACTCATAGGAAACTTCCCGACCCTGTACCGTCTCCGCAAGCTCTAGAACCGGAAGCTACACGGCAGAAGTTAGAGTCTCTTCGACTGAGACTTGATTCGCTGGAGGAGGGGGCGCGGATAAAGAAACAACAGCAAGACCAAACTATGTTGCCCGAACGGTTTCTCGCCTCAAGACCGTCAATGCCAGTCTTGATGTCCCAAAATCCATGGCAGCAGCACCATAGACCTACCGCCGCGAGAGGCTCTGGCGATAGGACGTCACGTAACCTGGAAATTCTTGACATTGATAGATCCCGGCTTGAACGCTTAGAGGAGAGCGAGCGACAGAGGCGCTTAGAGCGTGATGCATTGACCAGAGATACGTTCTTTTTACGTTAATGACACAACGGTCGGTTTTATTTTACCAGCTGCGGCAAAGCCAAATACGTTCTCTTTACCTTCTCGGTTCTGCTTTTACAAACAATATACGTTTTATTACACTCTAACCCGATTCAAACCACCCTACACCTGGCATTCACTGCGCCTTGGTCACATGGTACTCACATTCTGCTCTGCACACGTGCTCGTCAAGATAGCAGTTGCACAGTCCTCACACTCCTTTCTCTTCTTATACTCCATCCATCTCACATACCCGATTAGATGTTCTCGTCGAGCTAAGCGTCGGACTTTGATTGAGTCGAGATCTTGAGATGACGCACGATGAGCTGTAGGCAGAAAATAGAGCGAGACAAAATCGTATCGCTATTCGTTCTTTGTTTGATACATTCAGACTGCGTCCTTCTTTTCTGTGTCATGAATTGGGAAATTCCTAACGCGCCGATAGAATGCGATACGCTCGAGCTCGCTCACAATACCTCTGCGTAAACACGCTTTTCAGGAATCAGGTATCTCACCTGGATGCGATAATTTGAGCACCCTCAGTTTCACCTCAATCAAATCAAGTTTGTTCCCATAGGTCGCGGACTTAAACAACTTGATCTCTATCGGATCAGTCGCAGTAACACCAGCTCCGTCTTGCCAGAAAGCATCCACTCTGCAGTGTATCCGTAGCTTCTTGAACTTGGTGCTCTTTGGAAGTAAATGACCGAGCCTTACAAACCTCATGAGGCTGCCTTGACTAGCCTCCAGCATCAAACGCGGTGTGGTCTTGGTCAACCGCATAGGAACTTTGAAGTATAGCTCCTGGAGGTGCGCAAGCAGATTGAAAATATCAACAATGTATCTTTGCTGACCTCGATCTATACCATCTCCGTTCTCGACCCGACTGTGAAGAAGCAGCTGTTGCATCGCTTCATCGCGTACCTGAGCATTGACTAAGATGGACCTGGGCAGGCTACCGTGTTTTGAAGAATTTGCAAGGCTATGCCGGATCTCTTGGATTCATCACGCATATCGATGTCGTAGGTGTCGCTATGCAGAGGATATCAAAAACATTTGACACTGTCTGCGTGCAGCGAGCCCCTAAAGTGTCGGTAAACCAGATTGCAAAGTTCCCGAGGGAGCTGGAATAATGGGAAGATTATCGGTTCCATCAAGTTGGTCGCCATACATAGCCATCTTACCATCTTTGTGTGCGGAGAGATCAGATGTAAATATCTCTGACCTGCGTGCGCTTGATGGGTAGCAAACCGGTTCGGATCACGAGAAACCTAGGCCTAACTTGTCACAAGGAAATGTTATCAGCAGGAGATGAACAATATGGTAGTCGTTGCTGTCACCACTTCGCCGTGCCGTCTTGTAAGCACCTTCCAGCTGGTGGCGTTATTAGGTGTCTACGACATCCGGTTCTGACGCTGCGAGATTTCTGAACACTTTGTCGTCTCCCTGCAAACTCAAGCGCGGCAGCGCAAAGGGAAGCTAACAGCAACCAAAAAGTAGGAGAAGTAGTGGGCCAGTAATTCAAGGTCATCGGTGTCGAGGAAAAAGAACCTTGGAAGAGATGAAAGTTGTAAACGCAAGGCTGTTAACTTCCGAGATAAGCGTTGATGTGGGGCGCAAGTATCAACATGGGGTCACCCCACTCTTGACCTAACCTTCGTCCTTCGAACATCATCCATGGATGTTCCACCTCGGTCCTTCTCGTCCTCATTTCGGTAGTAAGCATTGCGACAAGCTTCAACTCTTAGGGTCGCAGCCTCTTGAATATTGCTCCATCTTCGTTGCCGACGGTAGTTGGGGTCAAAGTTCCAAGTGAAAAGGCATGATCAGAAGCATCGTGGATTATCTGCAGCTATATGCATACAAATCTGGCCCCGATAGGCAGGTGTCTCTGTTTGTAGGAGCACGAACATATCATTGGCTCATTGCATCCCTGATGCCGTCTCGGCGCACGACGTATCTCTTGGACCGTTACAGCGGTATCTACCTGTGCACATACTTCTGTATCGCAATGTACAAATATCCCCAAACCCCGACGCTCTCGCACATGCCCATCATTCGCTTCCGTGACTTGCTTTTGAAAACGACAGCCTGCGATGAGGATCACCTTCGCATTTGCAGCAGCATACCTGCTTTCCATTGCGAGATGTGCATGCGTACCCGACTACGCCGACAAGATACTGTCTGACCCCCTGGCACTCCAACACCCGGCAGTGATTGCAGCATTCGAGCAAGTTCAGCGCAACCTCTCGGCTTTATACGTCAACACCACTCGCGATGGACTCAGCTTCGCCGTTGTACGTACAGGTCCAATCTCACTAAAAGGCTCATCTCTCACGATAACAAGGTCCATGCGTCAAGCCCGAAACCAGCATATGTGTTCAACAACGGAACATTGAAGTTCAACGAGACTGATGTGAGCCCAACCGAGGCAAATGTGGTGACAAGCGATTCGATATTCCGCCTGATGTCCTGTTCAAAAAATGTCGCCATGGCCTCTGCTCTGGTCATCGAAAACCAGCTCAGACAAAACTCTTCATCGTCTTCATCTCTGTTAACCATTGACACGCCCGTTCGCGAACTGCTCCCTTCTTTTGGTCTGCCGGAGAGAGACTGGAACGACGGCGGCAGCGAGATTACACTGCGCATGCTTGCGAGTCATACAGCGGGTATACCAAGGGAAAGCTACAGTACTGGCTTCAACATGATCCTTAGTACCGGAAAAGCAGATTCACCAACTATCGGAGCTGCATGGGCGGGCGAGACTGCTCAGGATGTAATTGATGGGATAGCGATGAAGAATCTCATGTTTGCGCCAGGCCAGAGGGCAGCTTGTAAGCAGATACGTTCTATGAACGAGACGTGTACTAACATACATGAACAGACTCGAATGCTGGTTTGGGTATTCTAGGAGGTGAGTCGATATTTCATGCGACTGATGAGAAAATTGACTAATCGACTACCAGCCGCTGTAGCCACATACTACAACAACGTCACTTCCTCATCTCTCACCTGGTCGGAGCTGACATCTCGGGAACTCCTTCAGCGATTGAACATGACTCACAGCTTCTTTGGTACTGTTCCACAGGATCTTCTCCCAGACATAAGCGTGCCGGGCGGTGACAGTTGGGTCGATTTGATCGTCGGCGAGGGCTACGACCCAGCGGCCGGCATGTGGGGTTCTGCAAACGACCTCGCCAAGTATATCCATGGCCTATGGCTCACGCTCGAGCCTACACTCATCACGCCCTTCCAGCGTCGTCAGGTCATGAAGCCAAGTGTCGTACTTCCAGACGGCAGACAGCAGAGCGGCCCAGGCTGGGAGATTGAGATGTTGACCTTACCGACGAGTGAGAATGCTAGTCTGGCGGAAGACAGTATGAAGACATATAGCATCTTTGGCAAGTCCGGTGATGGAGGAGGCTGGCATAGCTGGATCGACACCATACCAAATCTCGGTTACGGAATAATCGTGCTCGTGCAAGGATCTGGTCTGGCCGACTACGCAGGCATCTCGACGGGTACCATCAGAGATACGGTACATAATATCCTTGCACCTGCTTTCGCCGAGGCCTTGAGCACAAGAACGGGGGAGCGATTTGCAGGGTTTTACAGCGCGGGTGAAGATACTGGACTCATTGCTGATGAAGTCGCCACCGCACTCTCAAATTCCTCGACTTACGCCAATCTTGAGACTAAAGACCAGATCTTGTACCTTCGCTCGCTCACAGTGAACGGCTCATCCGCGCTCGAAGCTATAGATCGCCTGTCTTGGACCGCGGATGCCCAGCCACGCTACTTCTCTACACCTGAAGGGGTTGTCTTAGAGCCGGCGGAGGGCGTAGGCGAGACAAATGAATTCGGACCTGGAGCGCAGGTTTGGAGAATGATCTTTCCAGGATTAGCATCGTGCGATTGGTTCGACTTCGATGGCTATCATGACAGCAATGGGTGGCCTGTAAGCAAGGTTGTCCTTATTGAGAATGACGCAGGGGTCGAGCTGCACTACCCACCATTCGACATTACCGTTAGCCGAATGAAGATACACAAATGAGACTTCTCACCAAAGTTCTGTACAGGTGTCTCGCCGTGAGTCGGTGCTATGGACACAAGGCTCCGCTCCTGTATTAGTCAGCCGTGCTCGGCATCACGCGCGGAGTTCCCCTATCAACACGTTACTCTCCCTCCGCGTCGACAACCTCCGCTATCCGAGCACAACGCCAACCATTTCTTGACATAGACAACCTAACTGCCAGCTCGAATGCGACACCGAAACTATACCCCTGGCTACCGACTGCATCAATACAGCTGCCCGGGGTAATCTTCGGGCAAACATGCACGATGCTACTGCAGAAGCTCGCGCCATCATCGATGCCTTCCACAACAATGTAGCTGAAACCGAAAGGCAACAGCGTGAGCTGGAGACCCAGGAGAGTGACCAGCACTTCCACGACATGTACAGTCCATGCAACCCATCATCGACGTTCCATGATCTCCAATGTGGCCACCGAATTCAGACGGAGTATACTGCAAGCTGTGGTGTGACCTGTGCACGGCCCAAGCAAGGCAAACCGTTCGCCTGCCCGGCTTGCCTGATCGATGTAGTGCGTGCGGAAGTAGCTCTCGACAGTCTCACTCTTGGCTCCAGTGATGACGCCGCCATGGACGATACCGGGCTAGTTCAAGAGGACAGGATACAATACTTCGCAGACAAGTACGTCGCGGCAATGCTGAAGAAGGGGTATCGCGGGTGTAAAGCCGTGCAAAAGATCGATGAACCTCGCATGCAATTCTTTGATCAATTCATGCGTCAGGACGGGTTTGGAGGAGTGGAGGATGCGCCTTCAGACGGGGTGACTGCGAGGCCGCGGAAACGCCCTGGTGCTGGCGGCGGCCATAGACAGCCTGCCAAGCTGGATGCAGTATATCGAAAGAAGCCTGGGACATGGGATTATCGCGATCCGACTAGAAGCCAGCCAGTTCTGGGGAAAGCTGCGCGCGAAGATCCAGGCGATTACAATAACGAGGATACGGAAGGCGGTAAGGAGATGACAAACGATGCTGTGGAGGTGGCGCATTCGGGACAATCCGCTGATGCATGTGTCGATCTTGTTCCACAGTCAGAAGCAGCCGAGGCTGTACTAAAGGCGATGGAAGCATTTGCTAGGCTTTCCACGTGGTGAGTGAGCACGGCAGATCTTCCAGTACCCAGAGATGTAGTGTTTAGAGATCTTCAATTGTATTTCGAATAGTCCATGAGCTCGGACGAAGGGTCATCTCGGAGTAGACATTGCCGGCTGACATCGAAAACCGTCGCTCAAAGCCCGACATCGACAGAGGCATCCCAATGACAGAAGACAAATCATGCCTGGAATGTGAAAAATCTTGCCTCAAGTGTGAACCAAACAGGGGTCAAAGGGATGTGGGGAGGATGTGTTTGACTGAAGACTGTAGCTTTCTTGCTAAAGTCTGTGCGCGGCCGATGATGTCAGCATTCTGCGATAGATTCCCCAGACTCAATCTTCAGCACCTACCGTGTTCAATCATCATCAGCGCGCACGTTCTTCCATATTCCCGAGCCTTGCAGCGGTTATTGACACTTTACGAACTTCTATTGCCGACTTTGCGCGTACAACGTCTCGTCACGAACGCCTCACTCGCGTGGCTGTCGATCGCTAAATTGAGTTTTGACATGGTAAGTCCCGCAGCGAGCGCAACCCTATTCGAAGGCTGCGAAAATCCCCGGTTAGCAACTGCAAAACGACAAGCATCCGTTGGTCTTGGTAGGGCCTTTTAAGGGTTTAGCGGTGCTCAAGTGGTTATTGAGACGTCCGTTAGCCTTAGCCTAGGTCCGCCTCTTACTCGCGACAGGAATCGTTCGTAGGGCGACTGCATGTTTGACGCCTCGATGCTAACCTGGAACTGCGGTTGCAAATCCTCGGTAGTTGTGACAAGCTCACCTAATGCAGTCGCACACTATGGCGTCTTGTCGTTGAAGCTTTCCATGATTGCGCATCGCTCCATGATCGTCATGGATTTTGCCTCGAGGTTGGGTTCAGAACTAGCTTTCCTTGACATGCATCACCATGATGTTGTAAGACGAATTTGCGCACGATTGTGCATGGATTGTTGGACATCGACATCTCAACGCACTCGGGAGTCTCCTCATTTTCGACGAAATTCCTGGCCCAGGGTCATTGATCACAACCGACCACCAGCCGTTTTCCAGTGGGGACATCTCAGATCGGCAGGCACAGGTAGGTGTGAATGATTCTAGCTCGACTACTAGCGAGTGGCATCGGCAATCCTACCCCAAGAGTCGCTTCGCTTTTGGGCAAGCTCAAGCTCCATACGCTCGCGTGGATCATTTACCGCTACAGCGGGTCGCGCGATCTTCAAACACCTGCAGAAGCAACGCCAACAAACGTCCTGTTACACATGCCACGTGTGCGATCAAACCTCCCTGCCTCATGGTGATCAAAGATCAGCGTTCCACGATGCAAGGCGTTTGCAGGCCCAGTATAGCCTTCAATTGCGCTCACTGTTAAGCGCCCCCGGGTTTCTACATTATGCCACACTTACCAGGGCTATGCGCAAAACTGCAGCAATTTGTTAATGTCGCGAAGTTGACGGCACATGACTCCGCCTTGTAACCTCCGATGTTCACCGCAACTTCCTTGAAAGCTGCCACGGGGGGAGCCTAATAATGGATGGAGTCGGCGAAATAGCCCATATACGCCATGCAAGACTAGGGGACCCGTACTGTGGCGTAGATCACTCCATAGTGTTTGAGGTGCGGGAAGATATGGACCCCGCTAACCACTAGCAGGGTCATTGGTCTTGGACCCCCGACTCTTGTGTATAGATCTGGCTCATATCCCGGGTGCCGTTTCTGTTTGCGATGGTCAGTTCTTGTCTCATTCACCCCCCACAGCTAGGCCTGCTGCTACTACGCCGGTAATTCCCAACATGGACGGAAACACCCTGGGATCCTATGGCGGGAGCCTCGTCGCTCGTGCAGGCGGTTTACACCCCCCACCAGAAGTCATGCTCAGTTGGCCAAGACCGAATTATGTCGACCCAGAGGAACGAGGTTGGGGAACCCCGATACTGCTCATGGTAGTCTTGGGCATCACCTTCCTGGTATACTGTGCGCGGATGTGGGCAAGGCTGGTTATATCCAAGAATACGGGACTCGACGACATACTGGTCAGCATAGCAATGCTGCCGCTGTTTGGCCTGACCATATCAAGTGTACTTGGTAAGTACCCCTCCTTTTTGAGGTGGCCTTTGCTGATATACATAGGCATTCGCATCTATGGCTTCCAATGGCACGTTTGGGATCAGACCAAAGAAACGCTAGTAACAACAAGAGAGATCGCTTTCGCCATCGAACTTAACTACATGTTAACGTCGACGCTGATTAAAGTCTCGATCCTTTGCTTCTACCGCCGCATTGGTGATCGTTTGACGAATCAGTTTATTTACTGTAAGTGGATATTAACAGTCAGCTTGATGTACGTAGAAACTAACGTCTTTCTCTAGGGGTCTACGGCATGATCGTCTTCTGCATCGTCTACGGCATCGTCTTTACTATTGCCATCGTCTTCACATGTACACCGGTCATAGGATTCTTTCGCCTCTTCGACATATCCTGGAGACTGCAGAACGAACTGACGTGCCGCAACGAGGGCGCCCTCATCGTCGCATGCGCGGTGATTTCATTGTTCCAGGACTTCGTCATCTGCCTGCTACCGGTACTTCTGATTTGGAATCTTCAGATCAGCAAACGTCAGAAGATCGGCCTTTGTGCCATTTTCGGCGTGGGCCTGATAACATGCATCTGCGGTATAATGCGAACATTCTATGCTGCGAAGCTATACTACTGTAAGGATTTATTCCCAAAGATCCGGTTTCGGCAAAGCTAACCTTCTGATCTAGTCACATACGACATCACCTGGGCAGCATACTCTGGCTGGATCTGGACGACACTCGAAGCCCAGCTAGCCGTGATGTGCGCTTCGGCGCCCTCACTTAAAGTCTTCCTCGGTCGCTATTTCAGCATGTACACCTCGCGCGCTGGCTACTCTCAGACTGGTATTCCTGGCCAAGCGTCCGGTCCGTCGTCAAACACGCTATCGCAAGGCTTCACCGCGAAAGCATCCCAGCACTCGACACAACAATCACAGTGCACTGCTGGATCGATTCGTGGAGACGTTCCGCTGGAAGGCATTCATATAAACCATAAGTTGGATGTCAAGGTTGAAGAGCGGGATGATTACGAACGAGCGAGCCTTCACAGCACGAAGGAGCTTACTGCGCTACCAATGTCCATACAGCCGGGTTGGCGAGATGGCTGCAGGACAGTTTGCGCGGCACTCCGACCGAGCAGCAGAGGCATATCAGCAAATCGTAGTCGAACTCGCGATGGCGATGTCGAAGCTGGCCGTGCTTACTGAGTGGGGTATGCTTCTTCGGTTGCTGGATATCTGTCTCTATAACCTTTACCCTCGTTTCGTCGACCTTCTTTTACGGTTTCTCTAGACCCATATACATTTTCCTTTTATCTGATTCAGAAGGAGAAAGACATTCGACGAGCATGCCACGGCATCACAGATGTTTCTCATTTGAGAAGCGCACATGATCAGGCCACGATGGCCACCAACGCCTCGTTGCATACTTTCGTCATGAATTGCACATGACATATACCCATTTATCTTTCCTTATTGTTACTGGCGACATCCTGGATTACTGGTAGAAGCACGAAGAGTACAGATCGAACTACATTAGAGCCTCTTAATATTAGACCTTCTTTGTCCACTCATCTGGAGAGATTTCTTGACGCAAAGAATTCCGATAAACAGGTGTCTCGACCCCATTCGACTACTGAAGTAATGACTTCATTGCAGCCTCAGCCTCCTCCTTATTTCCACAGATCAACCCACCCCTCTCATCCGTATCCTCCACCGCAGTCTCAAGCACCCTCTTGCCCGTCGCAGAATCTAACGCCGCACCTCCAGCACACTCCATAATCAGCGCGATAGGCGCAAGTTCATAGAGTCGCCTTAGTTTGGCTTTGCTCTGCTCTGTGACCGGAGAGATGTAAACACCATGACCCTTGACCAACGCATGGACAACATCTGGAACAAGCCCGCCGCTATACCGCAGCGTGTACTTTTGCATGATGAAACGGTTTATCAGATTCAGGTACCTCTGGTCTTCGGCTGCGGCGCGCATGTTTGCGGGGGCGAAATACCGCGTCTTCACCTCAGAGGCCTGCGTCAACTGTACGTCTGGGCGGATGACTTGCATGGTGCCGTCGTCTGCGTATCCGACTTCGAAACATGATCCCTTGGTTCCCGGCAGACGGAGGGCGACGATGGCGGTAGTACGTGGGCCTAGTACGCCTAGAATGGAGGCGATTTGCTTTGTGTCGGGCGGTTGATGTAAGGCTGAGGCTCCTTCCCAGACTCCGATTATCGTGCCTACACTCCAGTTTGGTGCGATGATGGAGGAGCCATCTAGTGGGTCGAAGGCTAGCGTGTAGACTTCTTTCCCTTGGTCTTCGCTGCTCGTAGACTTCGATGACTTTTCGACAGGGTCTTCTTCACTGGACGCTGTTACGATTGCTGGGCATGCATCGATGGTTTTGCGGATCGCTTCTTCGGCCAGCACGTCCACATTCAATTGGTCGTCGCCAAAGGCATTGGCGGTTCCCACTTGGGTTACGGATGGGGAGGTGCGCAGGTGTCCGGCTATTGTGTGGATTGAGCTGAGAAGTTTTGGGAGGACTGCATCGCGCAGTTGAGGGTGTGAAGAGGCGATGAGGGAGTTTAGATGGGTTGGTACATCCACAGGCTGCGACATTTTGGAAAGTTATGGGTTATCGAGTTTGATTGAGAAAGTAGAAGTGACTGTTAAGCTATGCGCTTTCAACACGGAAAGAAGAAATTCTGCGTCTGCTAGTGTTCATCGGAGTGTGACGTCGTGGTGTGGAGTTGCGGAAGCTCTGCCCGTCTAGCAGCTCCATAAGCATCCACCGCGACTAACATTGGTTTCTCGGCCCTATCCGCATCTCCCCGAGCACTGCGACGCGTCCATAGGTACTTTGATGTTGGAGATGCTTCCTTTTGGTCGTTCGAGGTGGGGGGTAACGAGCGGGGTAGCTCGGGAAGCTTCCAAGGTTAGCTGCCATCACGGCAAGCTTCAGAAGCTCATGCGCCATCTCTTTCTTCTTTTATCTCCCTTGAAGTTCATTCCGTCGTTGATCCCCGCTCGTTGCTTCTCCCTTTATCTACTCACAATGCCCCAAACACTCAAAATCGCATCCGCGCAATCACGCACGCTGTCAACAACCGCCGAGACTCTCGCCGCTCTCGAAGCGACAACGAAGCGCGCCGCATCCCAAGGCATCGATGTCCTCCTATTTCCCGAAGCATACCTGGGTGGATATCCTCGTACTTGCGCTTTTGGCGCTGCGGTTGGCGGCCGCGCACCCGAAGGTCGCGAGCAGTTCCTGCACTATTTCCACGATGCTGTCGATATGGGCGACACACCGAGCGGCGCTGGGCAAGATTGGCTAGACCGGAAGCTTGAGTTGCCAAGAGGGAAGGAATATAGGGGTGATGGGACACGAGAGGAGCTGGAGAGAATAGCAAGAGAGACGGGTGTCTTTGTTGTTACGGGGCTTGTGGAGAAGTCTGGTGGCACACTATACTGCGGAGTTGTGTTCGTCGATCCAAAGATGGGGGTCTTGGGGAAGAGAAGGAAAGTCATGCCGACGGGCAGTGAAAGGCTGATTTGGGGCATGGGAAGTGCGAGTACACTGAGGGCGGTAACAACGGAAATCAGGGGTGTGAAGCTGTGTATGGGGTCGGCGATTTGCTGGGAGAACTATATGCCATTGCTGAGGCAGAGCTTGTACAGCCAGAACGTCAACCTGTGGTTTGCGCCGACAGCAGATGCGCGTGATGCTTGGGCGTCGCTGATGCGGACGGTAGGCTGCGAAGGCCGATGCTTCGTGGTTAGCGCAAATCAATGCGTCAAGAAGAAACACCTCCCCGAATGGATCACCGGCAGAACACAATCACAGAGCGTTGAGAGCGGTGAAAGCAGAAGTGGCGTCGGCAGGAGTATCTCGCAACAGAGCAATGGACTCGCTGGCAGACGGCGAAGCACCATCACGAAAACGCCAGACGGTCATGAAATCTGCATACCAATACCGGAAGGACAGGCCACTGAGGGCGATTCATCGGCGATTGACTCTTCATCGACTATGGAAGATGCGCTCAGCCCCAAGCAGCAACCTTTCTCGCAACCCCAGTCATCGTCTACGGACGGCGAGGAGTTTGTTTCTCGCGGCGGCTCTATGATAGTATCACCTTTGGGCGAGGTGCTTGCTGGACCAGTATGGGAGAAAGAGGATGAGCTGTTAGTCGCAGACGTCGATTTTGACGATTGTGAGCGTGGCAGACTCGACTTCGACTCTGGCGGAAGCTATTCGCGAATGGACAGCTTCAAGCTCAGTGTTGAGGGCCTTGATCTGAATCCTCCGCCGATGTAAACTATCTCAACTTCAACAACAGGTCTATGAGGCTGAAGACCTTAATGCATCTTTCCGCCACTACTCGGGTGAGAGCTGAAGGTGACCTACGCAACGTCCATGAAACAGTCGGCTTTTCAGAATTATATTTAGCTGAACTGTTCTTCCAAGACTTGACTCGACCCAAGCACGTAGGCGCCCATGATTATCTGACTACCTCTTTTGGACTAGGTCATGATTGGCAGATTAGGTGGGCCTGAGGCTGCCAGCTACCCCTCATGCTTACTTGACGGCCAAACGTTCCCAACCATCCGTTCCCCTAGGAGAGACACCCAAGATATTCACAGCATATCACAGACCCCCCAACTTACATCCGCGAAACATTGCTACGCTTTTCGTCCTAGAGTCCATGAAATGACGACGCGCAAGAACCTCATCATTGACACTGACTTGCATAGCGATGTCGAGTACGCATAGCCTCGTCCTCATATTATAAGAAGCTTACTAGTGTACTAGTGATGCGGGCGCATTGCTGCTAGGCGCAACTCTCCCCAATGTCAACCTTCTTGGTGTCAACGTCAACCATCCCTGTTCATACTCTGCCCTCGCAGCGTCTGCTATTGTGGCACATTATGGACACCCGAACACACCTATTGGTATTCGTCGTCCAATGAACGACGTAAGGTTCTTTGACGCCTGGGATCACAAGCGCGGCGAGTACACGAGTAAAGTGGCCTACCACTGGTCCGGAGGCACTCTACCATGGGGAAAGGCAGACAAAGCATGGGATCCAGTTGTCTTGTACAGAAAGCTACTCTCTGAATCAGAAGACGGAAGCGTCACGATTGCTTCCATCGGCTTCCTCGACAATGTCCGTCTTTAGAACGTGGCTTTTGCCAATTGACAGCCGGTTGCTAAATCCTACAGTTGTCTGGACTTCTCAACTCCAAACCCGATGAGTACTCTCAGCTCGACGGTCGCGAGCTTGCCAGGACTAAAGTAGCAGAGCTCGTCGTCATGGGTGGCAAGTATCCGAAAGGTCGTAGTTGGAACTTCTGGGGCTCCAAGCCTGCCCTTGCCGCTCATGTATTAGACACATGGGACGGCCCAATAACGTTTGTAGGCACTACTGTCGGCAAAGATGTACTGGTAGGCGGGCCGCTCATAAGGAGTGATCTGGAAGATGACCCAATCCGAATGGCTTACATCTACTATGGTTTCGGGAAGCCGCTACCTAGTTGGGATCCACTTGTAAGTGTCTATATGTGGATCGCTCATGAGGTACAATTTGACCGCGTTTAGACTGTTCTGTATGCTGCGAATGGCCTAGGGGACATGTTCGACGTTGCAGAAGACTGTGGCTACAATAAGATCAACGCCGAAGATGGTTCAAATGAATGGATATATGACGGCGTCTCGAAGGGACGGCGAACTCTGAAACTGAAAGTCAGCAATGAAACCGCTGCGGCCGAGCTGGACTGTCTGTTTTTGGACGCTGCGCGAAAATACTCTAAGCACACAGGCACCGCCTAGATTGTCGAAAAGCTATCATAGACTCGAATCAATCTCAGATACATACAACAACGATCAAATGTACCCATATCCTATGTAACTAGCACGCGACGCCAGTGGCCCGTTGATCCGTTGAAAGTTGCTAAGAAGTCTGGCTGTTGGGTTCCATGGCTGCACCTCCAGAAAACGAAATGTACGACAGGATAACGAGCAGTAGATGTGTACATGTCAAGCCCAGATGGTGCTAGCGGAAGATCCACGCGTGCTGCGTGACCAACAGCGATGACGTTGGCTGCAGGGTCCATGCTTCGCCCCAGCCTCATCAAGATCCAACCGCGGCCGCTATCTAGACGCCAGCCTCGACCACTACCAGAGCTCTCCACTCTCCACAGCAACCCCAACCATCCTTCCCCAACTTCGAATTCACACCGAAGTTGTGTCCATCGTGTTTATCGCGCGACAACAACATCACTACAGCCCGTCTCTCGTACCGCAGCTGTCTTCACCGCCGCCATGCAGCTCACCACCATCTTCCTCGCCGCGCTGAGCGCGGTCTCCGTTACCGCATCGCCCTCATGGATGGGTGGCGACCAGGTCACCATCAAGGAGGAGTACAAGGTCCCAGGCGACAACCCCCTGTACTTCTGCGGCGACCCAGCCGACGACCTTCTGAAGATTGAGAAGGTCGACCTGAGCCCCAACCCACCCAAGCCGTACGTGATCCTTGTTGAAGTATTGAGAAGCTGCGCAATCGCACACGTGAAAGCTTCGCGAATATCGAGAGCGTAAACTCAGAAGCTAACTTAAACACAGTGGCGAGAAGCTTAGCATCAAGGCCACAGGCGACTTCAAGGAGGAGGTCGGTGAGGGTTTCAAGATGCACCTGCAAGTCAAGTACGGCCTCATCACACTCATCAACCAAAACGCGGATGGTTGTGAAACGATAAAGAAGGGAGACCTCGAGTGCCCGCTCAAGAAGGGCGAGATGAGCTTGACCAAGGACGTTGATCTGCCCAGGGAGATTCCTCCGGTACGTTTCAAGCTGTGATGGAAACGAAAAGGTACTAACAATATACCAGGGCACATACACCGTCCTCGCCGACGTCTTCACCGCAGAGGGCGACAAGATCACCTGCCTCACCGCCAAGATCGCTTTCCACCGGTAAATTGCCTCACTTCGTAACGACTCTACAATATACGATGAGCAACGAGGATGTCTGATATTTAACCATGCAGGGGAAACTCGGAGGAAAGTAATGTAGGCAGTGGCAGCAAGATCAAGATGGGACAACCCAGGGTTCAGATGAGTGGACCTTTGGCTGGCTTGGTACAGGAGCGTTTAAGGCGGAGGAACGAGCTGTAAATCATGTTGGCGGATTTCCCTATATTTTGACTCGCGATACCAGCACGTGTCGATTGTAAGCCTTGGTTTCAATGTTTCTCAACCATGTTTCCCAGTATAATTCACATGCCAATTTCAAACTCACATTGGTATTACGAGGTAAAGGCAGTAAAGCAGTTCATCGGCAAACATATGAACTTGTTTACTGCAGGTACCTCGCAACAACAGTGCCAGTTCAAGTTTGATGCATGGCATGTGGATAAAGAACGTAATGACCGATTAATGTAGATACGATGGACATGCATATACTTCATGGCTTCATTCTCCGACTTGTATGCATTGTGGTGGATATCATATTTATTGACGTATAGCTTGTATGCACAGATGACTGCTGGCGACACATTCTTGGTACCCATCCACGAGTAATGTGTGCTGGGGCTGCCATGTTCCGCCAGTCTGCTACATCCGATGTCTACTCTCCGAATAACCTCCTCACCCTCTTCAGCACACTGTCCTTCTCGGGGTCGTAAGGGTGATCTTTCGATGGAATCTCGAGGAGGGAGGGAAAGGCAGCGGTGTATGTCTCGACTCGGTGTCGTATCTTCTCGGCGATCTATGGGTGGTTAGCCATGTCTCAGTCTACAAGTCCGAAGAAGCTCCAGTATTCCTCTAGATCCCAGGATTATGTCCGGGGCGCATAAGACGTACGTGCTGGTTGATGAGCAGAATCGCGATATCCTTGCGCTCGCTGGTGAAGCGGTCGAATGCAGCTTCGATGGTCGCGGTCTCGGTCTTTGCGTCTACAACGAGGAAGTTCTTCTGGCTGTCCGGTGGCTGAGTAACATGCTACGATACCCGTCAGTCTTCTGTCTACGTCGCGTATCGCAGTCGAGGATAGCTTACGCCTACGCCTGCAAGCAGCATGCCCGTGCAAGTGTCCTACGACTGGTTAGCGCCTCTGATCCGGCAAATGGGGAAGCCGCGAGATGCACACCTCATCGCCTATTACGGCGAGGAACTGCCTGTCCTTGTACTGTGCCGCGGATGCTGCCATATTGAGATTGTAGTGAGGCAGCTGTCGTGAGGTCGGAGCTTGGCTGCACTGAAGCTGGAGCTCCCGCGCGCCGTCGTCATGGGCGGGACCAGGGCCTAGTCCGCGTTAGGCCAACTGTTTGTACTGTCGCTTCTTTCACCCTTCGCGCTTTCTTCATTGTCGCCGCACCACCATGACTTGAGCCTTGCTGCTACCCCACTTCTTCTCTCCTCTCTTCTACAACCCGAGTCTCGCCCTTAGCACTTATAATCGTAATACCATCGCGCCATGCCTCCCCTCGTGCGCCGCGCACCGCTCTCGGAACGCATCAAAGCCTACTTCGACCTGTCCGACTGGCTCATCTGGATCTCTGAAGAACTCAACAGCTCTGACTGGGAGGACTTCGCATCCGCATATGCGCTCTACATCGGCTTCGGCGCAAACCTCCTCTTCGTACTCGCTCAGGCCAACAGCGGCGCATCCACGGCTTCGGACGACGATGGTGTCTTCAACGAGGTGCAGGGTCCCGGATGGATAAAGTGGATCATGGGCTTGCTGGTCTTAGTCTTGGGCGCAGCCAGCTTTGGCAACGCGTTTATGGTCTGGGGTAAGAGGAGGTATTACCGTCTCTTCGAGCAGAGTGTGGATGTTGCGCCACAGACCCCCAGCGCAAAGCGCGTCCGAGTCGACTCATCGCCTGCCGCAGCAAGCCCGATGCAGTTGGTGAGAGGATTGGTACAGAACAACGCGGCGAGCAGAGCACATCCTGTCGAGGGCAGGGACGTCTGGGAAGTCGCCGTTTGGGACCCAAACCCGCTATGCCTGGAGCTGTTCTGCCTGTTCAGCCCGTTGCATGTGGTGCTTTACTACTTCAACCTCCCAGTCGCTCCCTTAGATCCCAGACCGAGCGTCAGGGTGACCACGACAATCTTCATCGGAGCCGCGCTCTCACTGCATCTTTGGTGGCTTAGGAGCTCCTTTATGCAGCAGGCCAAGGACAACTCTCTTATTAGTCGCCAGGTGCTTCACGAGTACGACAGCAAATTCGTCCACCCCTCACTACAGAAGCCATGCCGCGATGTCGGAATCCAGACCATCTCGACAAACCGAACCCGAGACTCGAGCGTCGGTGTCAAGGGTAGTAGCCACGGACTTGCGAGCTCAATCGTCACATATACACCAACCACTATTGTGAACCGCAAAACCTTCCGCACAAACCCGAATGTAAGCTATGCCTCGCAGTACGACCCTGATAACATGGAATCACCATCTGTCACACGCTCCTCGAGACGAAGATCCTCGGTCCACCAAGATCGTAGCACATCACAATACACAACCACCTCCACAGCCACAGACGCCGACTTTTCCTCTCCAATACGACCCTCGCAAACGCCCAATCCCTTCCGTCAAGCACCTACCATCCCCCGAACCAACACCAAGCCCGCCGACGGCGGATACCTGGGGATCAACACCCATGCCGCGTCTCCTTTACGAAAGTCGGCAAGTGCAAACTTCTCAAGAGATGGCGAGAGGAGCGCCAGCCGTGGCAGGGATAGCCTTGGTGGCGCTTTCGAGCGCAGGGCTAGTCCGAGCAAGCGGGATGTCAGCCCTCTGAAGAGAATAAGTCTTGGCAATCTGGGCGCTGAGAGGGAGAGGAGCGAGAAGACTCTAGGCCAGTCGGCGAGCTTGGGCAGGAGTAGCCAGTATGGAAGCCTTGGTGTCGGACGAAGGGAGAGCGGAAGGTACTGAAGAAGTACGGCTCAGTGTGTGTTCATGTAAGAACCCGAGGTCCGCACGAAGAAGTGCGTGTACAGTAGTAAGATGTGAGTTCGTTCAGTTCATGTATATTTTACTATCTACAATACCCAAGATGAGCGACCATCATGGCGCTCTTCCATTACAGAATCTCATTAATCACATAGCTCAATGTGTACCTTTTTTTGAACACTCAGCGATCACCATGGGATTATCGGCAAACGTTTTCGAAACACTCACTCATGTGTGCATGTCACGTTTCCGCTTGGCCAGTCCATCTATATAAATGTCCACCCATCCCTCATACATTCTTCCTTCATCACTCCACAGTTCTTACTTATTTCCAAAACCCAGGACCTCTTCGTACATGTCTGCCTTCATGTTTCTTCAAAATGGAAAAGCACAAACGTGATGGCGTTCGCGTTGTGGCCATCCCTTATATTCAAAAGATCAGCATTTTGGGGCCATGTGCTCCTATGAGAGTGGACCGCCAAAAATACGATTAACCAACCCATGTTTCGCACTGTCGACATGATCTTCTGACATTCGTCTCCGAGACGACGCTCAACACATTCAAACTCCTACCGTGGCTGGAAATTTCTTCTCCATCAATGAACCCCAAAAGATCATATTCCGAATTCCTGGCCTCTCTGTCGATGATTTATCTCTGTCTTTTCGAAAACTACAGACGAATCCATATATGTGCGCCCTGGTCGGCTGCTGTGTTCGATTACAACTGCTCAAAACACAACGACCATCGGCGATATGAGGCTGTCACCTAAAAAGCAAGGTTCAAGCGCCCTATGTTCTTTGCTGGCAGATTGACTCCTCGCTCAACAAATACCCGACTTTTTGGAGAGACTACATACCTCTGCTCCATGTACTGAGGCTCTCTTCTCTCCTCACAACGTTTCTCTACCATCGAAGACCAAAAAACAGATAAACACTCTGTCATGACGGGCGCTTTTTCCAGAACAAGGAATACTTCCATTATGGAGCGGATCTCCAGTTCTCCAAAAACCAGAGACATTAGTAGAGATGTAGAAAAAGATGTCATGCGTTACGATCTTGTTATTGAGTAAGAACAACGGCGTTCTTACAGCGTGTTGTTAATTGACTTCAAAACATTTGACGCGCATTTCTATGTGCAGCAGGCACGCACTTCTGCAACGTTTTAACCGTTAAGCTGGAAGCTGGTCTTGGCACCGGGACATATAAAAGACTTTTGTACGCTCTTTCAAAGTCTTTTTCTTCATTGATACCTATTCCACTTTCACCAAAAACTGGATGTCAAGCCCTGATATCTGCTGAGTGCTCCAAAATAGAGTACGCGTGCATCGTATGGAGTGTGTTCTCTTCCGTCAAAAGCCTCAACGGTCAATCTTATTTAAAGAGGTAGTCAACGCTTTGATTTAAGCGCTGCAGAGATATTCTCATGCGCCGGAGATCTAGATCAAAAACCTAGCGACAACCCGGAATGTCTTTCCTGCGCTGTAAGCCAAAATATGGCGGCACGATGCCTGATGGCTAGATATTGAAAGTTTGATCATGATATGACAGCCAGTGTTCCACATCTAAAAGATATCCCTCGTTCCGCATCCTGCATAGATGCCATCGTGTTCACAGATCTGTGATTCCTTGTCTTGCGGCATGCGTACCCGCTGCATTCAGCTTCCAGAAAATTTGCTCAAAATCATAGTACTGGAAGCTCATGGTTTGTTCTTCCACCGTCTGATCAAAAGACGACCAGACGACCATCATGACTGTGCGATCGCGATCGCAAACGAATTATCCTACACCGCCAGCTGTCTCTGTTCCTTCTCTCCGTCGTCTGACACACGTGTCAAAACATGTCTAAAGATAGAAGGAAAAAGCAACGTGCGACAGCGAAGCTTGTGTTATTCTCAGCCCTACAAGCATCATCCCGCTCAACGGGCACATTCTTCGTTTTTCCCACACCGTTTTGTCTAAAAGACTTGAGGGGATCCGCATGCTTGTAGAAATGCGTTGAGGGTACGTCATGGGATAGTGTTGGGAAAGTACACGCGGCCTCGCATGCGTTGGTCTCGTATAGATTGGATTGTCGGGTCCCAGTAAAAAAAGATACATGGTGTTGTCGAAATCTTGATCGTTGGTGTCGACTCATGCAAAAATGATGTCACAGGCATCTTACAATGAATTTGGGCGTAGTGTTTGAAGTTATTGAATGCATTTCGTAGCTAATGGATATATACAAAAAAGGTGTATCAAAACATGGTTTTGCAAGAGGCATGAAACCTCTAACCACTTGGTATATCATCGTCATTCACAATCATCCGACTCTTCCCTGAAGAGCCATATCAATCCATCATCACGATTCGGTCGCGAGCACAAATCCGTTCAGCCAGCGCTTAAACGGAGTTGATGAAGGAGAGGAGAGCAGAGGTGCGAGCGTAGACACCGGGGAAGCCCTCCTGAGCGCAGCCGTTGCCGAAGGAGACGAGACCAATGAGAGTCTTGGAGGAGTCGACGATGGGGCCGCCAGAGTCACCCTGGCAAGAGTCCTTTCCACCCTGAGGGAAACCAGCGCAGATCATGTTGGTGGTGATGGCAGAGGTTCCGTAAGAGGAGCGGCAGCTGGCGCGGGAAACGATGGGGACGGTGACCTTCTGGAGAGCAGCAGGGCTGCTGCCACCCTCAGTGAGAGCTCCCCAGCCGGCAACGACGGCGTTGGATCCAGCAGCGGGGTCGGATCCAGCAGCAGGAAGGCGAGCATAGCCGATGGAGCCGCTGGCAGGGACGGAAGTAGAGAGCTTCCAGATGGCGACATCCCAGTCCTGGCCCGAGCTGCGGTAGTTGGGGTGGACGGTGACGGAGGAGACGCCAACCAAAGTACCGCCGGATGCCTTTTGCAGGCTACCAGCGCGGATCTTGAGGGTGCTGACAGAGCCGATAACTGAGCTCACGGAGCAGTGAGCAGCAGTGACGACGGTGGTGGCGTCCAACAGAGAACCACCGCAGAGATGCTGTCCGTTCTTCTGAAGGCTGACAATGAAGGGAAAGTCACCAGAGGCAGCGGCAGTTCCACCAACAATATCGTCAGCGGGAGCGTCCTCGGGGAACTCGAAGTCGGGGTCCTGAGGAGTAGGAGCCGCAAGGACGAGCGCAGGGAGCGCGATGGCGATGATGGATTGGAAACGCATGATGATTGTTTCGAGTGAATGAGGCTACACGGAGTAGGACTGTGAAGTGATTGAAGTGAAGAGATAAGCGACTGACTGAGCTGGCTGATGATGAAAAGAAAGGGAAGTGACTCTGTACTTATACACAGACCATCGTCCCCTGATCATCAAACACGCAATCCAGTGCAGTGCCTCCATCGTGTTGTCCGGAGTCGCCAAGCGTGATCGACTAGGTGTGCACTTTGTCCTTCCGAATTGGGGGTCCGCTTCGGCTTGGCGAAGTCTTAACGAGAGTCCGCCCATCGTACCTTTGGCGCGCCGGTGCGTGCTAGGTGACCCTGTCCATGTAGGTACGTTATCTGTGTGTAGTATAAGCTTTCCGGCTGTTTACCTCACAACGAATGTGAAGGACGAAGCTGATCTCGCGGTTGCTCCCGTATACCAGGATCAAGGCGAGTCTTGCCTCACAGCTGCAGTCTGCAGGTCCGCTTCTCCAGATCGTTGCTTTTTCGCCCCTATCTCGTTCTAGCCTAGGGCTGCGATCTCAGCCATCTCTTGTGCTTGAAACATGTCGGAAATAAGACTGTTCCCTCTCATGGCATCAGGCAACCGTAACATAGCCGTCAAACATGGTTGTTTCTATGTCGCAAGAGGCCGTTACGGCGACGCTGTTCCCTAGACAGCAGGAGGCTGTGACGCCGTTCCATATCCTGGCTATAGTAAAGCCGAAGTACCATCGTATTTCCTTTGCCAAAGTCTTAGTTCTCGTAGAGTCCATCGAATCGACGCGATCTTATCTCAGCGTATAGCGTCGTCATGCGTTGTCTCCTGAAGAGGCAAGAGATTTTGCCACATGTGGTGTGCATACCGACACAAGCGCCGACCAGGTTGCTGTAACATCTCGTGGTAGGCGAACCACGATGCAGGCTGTGTATATTGCCCTACATGATCGGCATCGTACGTGATTTGTGCCATTTTGTCGGGGGACGAATAGTGTGTTGGTGTTAGGTTAGGCGTGACTAGTACGCCAGTGGGGAAAAGGCAGGAGGATTGACCTGCCACAACGGATAGGTCCGCATGGGCTGCTAGCAAAACACTCGCGCACTTGGCCCCGGCATGCACATTGCGACGTCGGAGATGGCGAGCATTAAGGATGTCGCATTATGGCGTTCGTTGGTTGACATCGGCTCTGGGCCAGGAAAGGCAGGAGACGTGACGGCAATGGAGGAGCTATTGGTAGGGCGGAGCTTTAATGTCTTGGCGACGCGCGCGTGAGCCGGCAGACTGCCGGAGGTAGTATCGATCTACACAACGGCGCTGAAACCTGCACATAGTATAGCTGGTATGGAGATCTCCAGTGCTTGCCGGTGGTTCACCGCATGTGAAGTGGTCGAGAAACAATGGCGGTCGAAACGTTGTGTTCAGCGCTCGGCCGCGTCCGCTGCCAGCCTCGGTACCATAATCAACATAACTCTGCTTCGATAAGGCCACTGTATACGTAAATTGCTCTCGTCAACATGTCTCTTGATGCGCCGAGCATGAATGCCAGATAACTCTATGCAGACATACTAGCGCAGTGCCTCCAGCCTCATCCGAAGTCTGCGTCATATGCAAGGTACTTCGACTGTTGCCTTGCCTGCACATCATGCGTGGCGCAGCTGCTACTAATACTCCTAACACCATCTCAACTCTGCACTGCAATACCTATCACATCCAGACCGAATGCCAGCTGATTCGAAAGGTCGTCGCAACCTCTTGTGGGCATTTGGATTATTCTCCCTGATCCTAATATCATTCCACGTTTTCTCGTCAAAAGAGATGGATAGCCTCCCCGCCCCTTTCATCATCGAAATCGATGGCAGTCCCATCGCCAAGGTCGACGGCAACGCCGAAGACAAGACGCATGCGAAAACAGGCACGGACGCAGCCATCTTTGAACTCAAGGGCAGCCGTCTGCAGTGCGACGGCCGCATTCTTGGACGAGCCATGGTAGAAGACCGTAGCTTCCTTCCAAAGCAAGTGTGGTGGTTCAAGGCAGACACCGATATGCCAGTGCATAAAGTTACTGCAAGTCAGGACGGTGACTCGTACCAATTGAAGTTTTCCAGTACGTGTATTGCGGTGATGTGATCATGCTCATACTAAATTCATGCAGACGCGCCTCTGATGGTAGACGATGGAGGGGTCTTTGCGGATCTTCTTGGGGGTGAGTATCCTCCACTGTGGCATCGAAATGACTTCTAACATTACCAGATAACCCTTCTAAAGTGGTCTTGAAGATGCAGTCGTAGTTATGGAGTGGTTGAATGCGGCAGTATACCTGATGTCTAACATTCATGGCATGTTCTAGTGGAAGTTTCAGTATGACGTCACCCGCCATGACATGTCACCAGCTGAGCAGCTGCACGACCGGCATCCCTGCAGATCAGCTTTATCTTTCCACAGTACACGATTTATGCGTCTAGACTATCAATCATATCTGAATTTATTCTTTCAGGCCTGCCTCGCCGTCTCAATTGTAGACCTTTGGCTGTTAAAGTAGAGTGGAGTAATCCCGACTAGTAGGTCTATGAGAGAAAGGGTTAACAGCCATACGAGAAACAATGTCTCAAAACAAAAATAGACATGGCCGCTGTACCACGTAAAGATCGAGAGGTGTACCTTATACTTCCTCCATATGCCGTAACAGAAGTATTCCAGGGTTTTGGGCATCTCCGTTGCTCATCGCGCGCAACTGGCCCTTCACGAGTAGTCTACGGCAAAAGTAACACCCCAACTTGGGTCGAGCCCCAGAAATCCCTTGTACTCTTCCACAACATGGGGCAGGCGAACGAAGCCTGATCCCATCCAGTCGAGCGCGTACTTCTCTTTGAGAACAATACGCATGGGCAAGTTGGAGGGTCGGACCTCGTAGCGGCTAATTTGCAACTTAACCTGCGTAACGCGGTGTTGTTTTATGTAACTGACCCAGGTCGCGTTGTCGGTATTCATGAGAGCCGTGAATGAGTTAATGGTGAGCTTTTCAACATTGGATTGGGCAGCTTCGGGCATTATTATGTAATCGGGTAACCGGTGCCTAAACTTGAGAAGTGGGAGGACATCAATGTGTTTCAAACAGTCCATTCTGATCCAGAGACGCAGGGTACCAGTCGTTTTGGAATAGCTCTTGATCCGTTTCCGAACGTCTTCGTTCAATCGGGAACCTCCGCGTAACACTGGAAAGAACGCTTTGAAGTATCCTTCTAGTGCGAAGAGTGGGAAGCGATGAGTAGACAGCCACAAAGGACGGAACTCAGTACGGATCAGAGAACAGACTTGCGTCAAGCCGATGTAGGGAAGGGGTTTCGCTTGGGTGATGGGAGCTGCTTTCTCCTCGACTGCTTTTCCGCGTCTGGATCTCTTTGGCTTTTCATGGGTCATAGGGAAGCAGCGGAAGCTCCATTCGATCGCTATTCCGTAGATTCGATTGCGTAGCTCTAGGTCCAGTCAGTAGAGTTTAAGTTTCGGGCGCACAACAATGACTGACCTCCTGGCAGGTCGAGGAACCTGAACACCTGATCTGGATCTACCACCCATGTCGCGTTTGACACCTTGTCTGCTTCGGGAATGATCGTGTCTTCTATGGCAGCTGCCTGGGCCTTTCGACGTTTGTTTGGGGGCTCGAAGCTGCTATTGCAAATGGCTCGCTTCATGCCAGCGCTCTTGCCTGCGCATTTGCTGTCGGCCGCCTGTACTGTCTTCGCGTTCCATCTACTGGCCCTACATCACGTATATTAGCTACTATAACAGATCATAGTCGATCGCAACACTCAACAGTACTTACTTGGCCGGCATGGGAGGTGTCATTGTTGGTTTAAGGTTGGTGGATGCAGGAGAGATATTGCAAGAGTGAGGTTCGATGTTGCGGGGTGCGTGGGCGTGGTATGGGCCGAGCTCGGACCCCATCAAAGAGGGCGGTGGATACGCGGTCACTCCCGCGGCTGATGCCTGGTTGCATTGTGATCGGTGTATGCAATTCTGATTCGCTTGTCCGTGGGGATAGCTGTTTGCTCAAGCGGTTGTGTGACGATGCTGACACATGCAACCCGGAGGTACAGTACACTTGCGGATGTTCGTACTATATACCTCGAAATTGTTCGTAATAAGCCACGGACATCAGCGCGGAATGGCTCGGATTTCTCAGCTCACGAGAAAGATACAAGAGGAGTCACTGAGGATAGGTACGACGTCTTATTGAATTCACTGTCATACCAGTGTCAGCTAGGGCTTCTGATGTTCCTTTTTATGAGATACGAACAACCACCTTTCTGAGTTATCAGACGCCGGCAGTGAATTCTGTCATGTTGACCAGCCAGTTCTCCCAAAATCTGAAACCATCGATGCCTTGCTCGCGACACAGTGCGCCAGCTTCTTCAGCCATCTCCAGCTCTTCCGTCGCGACTCCAACGCTCCAGCCGAATCGCTCTGCTGTTTCTTGAGCAGTGACACCCCTGCCGAATGCTTGCCAGTCCCAGGTGACCTCCATGCTTGGTGGCGCTTGGTGTAGCGTCTTCAGCCATGCTAGCAGACTCGCAATAGTCTTCTCATCGGTGCGATCGCGTCCTTGTACGACAAGCAGTCCGCTCTTGAACTGACGGAGGCGCACGGGAAGTTTCAGGGTATCCCACATTCGAGCTGCCTTCTCAAAGTCGGCCGGGCTTACGAGCTCAACACCACCTCTTGCGCGGTTGAAAACAGCCCATAGGTCTACCAGGGTCATGATACCGCCCTCTTTCCTGAGTATACCTCGAGTGTCGTCTGTGAGCCATTCTGCCAAGTTCCTTGACAGCTCCGATACGTATAGCGACTCAGACCCAGACCCAGTACCGAGCATGTCTTTTGTTGTCACTAAACCGAGCGCGGAAGCGGATTGAGATGCCAAAGCATTGGCTTCCGAGGTGCCGTTAGTCCCTAGATTGGCTTGCGATGCAAATTGTTCCGCCAGTGCTATGATCTCTTTCGCGGAAGTCATAAGCGCATCCAGATCTTCGAAAGCGCTTCCAATCATGGCCTCGTTATTCTGCCTCTGCTCCAAGCCTCTTCGCTCCAGCCCGGCAATGCCGACCACACGAGGTCGCTCGACCTCCGTCGATGAAGCGTCAGAGTTGGCTGTGTAGCTGTCGCTGAAAGTACCGGAAGACGGCCGTGGCTTAGGAATTGGTGGGGCACTTTGAAGCAGCCACTTGCGCTGGACTAATGCATTCTTCAGGCGCTCGTAGAATATCGGACCTCCACCTGCGCGGAAAGAAATCTTGATGCATTCGACAGACTCAGGCTGCAAGGGCGAAGATAATGTTGGACCTGGTGACTGCGGCCTAGTAGGTTCTTGAAGCATGTCCAACCTCTTATCCATGGCTGTTGTCAAGGATGCACCGCATATCTCGCAGTTGAGCAGAGAAGGATGATTCTGGTAGGTACATCTTGGGCATGACGACGTTCCTCCAGCGCTTGCGGGAGTAGGTACACTACTCTTCGTATCTTTAGGAGGTGGGCCAGGCGCTGGTCTGTTTGAGATGGCTGCTATTGCTGCCTTGACTACATGCACGGTCGGTGGCTTAATTCCACATGCTAGACAAGGCGGTATGGGTGTACGTGACGCGAGTGCGGGGTCGAAGTTGGACGGGACCGGGTTCGAGAAAGAGCAGATCGGGCACACCCAGGTCGCGCTTGCTGGGGGCGGTGGTGCCGGGCTACTGTGTCGCGGAGGAGTTGACGAAGATGTGGCCTGAGGATGCGAGGGAACGGACGCGCCACGCGTCAGCTGCTTCAGGGGCTTTGGATATAATGTGATCTTGGGCGACGACTTGAGGAAGCCGGCCTGCATGTCGTTAGTGTCGGGTGCCTGTACTCTGCACATAGAGGGATGCATACATAGAATTCTGGTTTCTCGACGTCCTTGAGGAAGATGGCGACGGAGTTCTTGCGCGGCTCGCTATGATCGACATAGCAGACGCGATGCGAGGTCAGGTATGACTGGCCATTCTGGTACTGGGGGATTTTGAATTTCCTATGTGCCTGGTCAGCAGCGTGTAAGAGCCCTGGGAAACATGCGCGTGCCCCTCATAGAGCCCTACGGCGTCTTGGACGAAAAGCAGCGTCTCCTCCGGCAGGAGCGACGGGCGCAGTGCGGTTGTGAGGTCGAGTTGATGCAGGAACATTCAGACCATTCGCAAGTTGGAAAATGCGAGGTACGTCCATCGCATTGGGTCGAGTCGACGATGACCCGATTCCGCCTGCATTCACCAGGCCCGGGCCCAGCAGTCGTCATTGGCCAGGGCTAGCTTGCTTGCGGCTAGACACACGCTAGTCATCGCCAAGCAAAGCGCGACCACTGCGACGCAAATCAGTCGAGCGGGCCGTCGCTTCACTCTCACCTCCACAACAATAGATCCATCTCCGCGCCATCTCTCCCACATCTCTTTTTCTCACCTTCAACTACTCACACAACAGTCAACCCGGTTTTCACTTCTTCTGATCTGCTTGCCTGCTTATGTCGTTGCCCTCTGCCACTGTAGCCTGGTCCCGGCCAATGCAGTCACCCGCGTATAACGCAGTCAACCCACGCACCACACTCCAACCTGCGCCCGCGCCCGTTAGTCTTCTTACTCATACGAGAGTCTCAATCCACGCTCACACACGCCAGCAGCCAGTCATGGCTCCGGAAGCCCCAAAGAAGAAGGTCGAGTGGCCTCCCGCCGTCCGCGAATACGTTAGGCGTGCTTTCGATCCGCAAAACGCCATCCCTGGCATCTCGCAAGCAGACATGCAGGCGCGACTAAAGACAACCATCGGCTGGTTTGCTGAGCGCAACTCGCACGACACTGTTCATTGGCCTACATTCCCTCTTCCCCAAGAGCTTCTCTTGGAGGAGCGAAGGGCGGCGGCTCTTGGAATGCCTGCTACTGCTGTTCCCAACGGCATACACCCTGCATATATGAACGGCTCAGCCGCAAACACTAACACATCTCCAACCCAATCAAAGAAGCGCAATGCCCACGAAGCTGAGGATGCACAAGTCGAGCAAACACAAGCCAACGTTCCACCGTGGCGCAAAACTAACCTAGCATCCCGTATGACCTTTGCCGACGGACACAACGAAAAGCGCCAGAAAAAGAACGCTCTCCCGGATGCCGCAAGTAAGTTTGACCAGGCTGAGCTTGACAAGCGACGACAGCGCTTCCAGCTCGGCAACAATGGCACCAAGACGACGCCCCCATGGGGTTCATCGCGTAAGGATGAAGACGAAATGCCCACTGGACCCGTCGTCGGAACGAACGAAAATCTCGAGAAAAGCTACTTCCGCCTCACGGCCCCGCCCAAAGCTGAAACCGTCCGACCGCTCCATGTGCTCAAGAAGACTTTGACCATGCTTGTGGAGAAGTGGAAGGCGGAAAAGAACTACAACTACATCTGTAATCAATTCAAGTCGCTCCGCCAGGATCTTACTGTTCAGCACATCAAGAACGCCTTTACTGTCAAGGTGTATGAGATCCACGCCCGGATATCATTAGAAAAGGGGGATTTGGGTGAGTATAACCAGTGCCAGACGCAGCTGAAGGCACTGTATGCGCAGAACTTGGGAGGCAACCCGGCTGAGTTCAAGGCGTACCGCATTCTCTACTTCGTATATACGTGCAACAAGACCGACATGAACGACATGTTGGCAGAATTAACCCTCGCAGACAAATCCCATCCATGGATCAAGCATGCTTTGGACGTTCGGTCTTCGCTTGCCCTTGGCAATTATCATAAATTTTTCAGACTGTACCTCGAAGCAGAGAACATGGGCGCCTATCTCATGGACATGTTTGTCGAGCGTGAGCGCCTCAATGCTCTAGCTAATATGTCCAGAGGGTATGTATACGCATCCAGCTTGATATCGGTCGTTTGCTAACAAGCTGTAGATACGTAAATGTCACACTCCGCTTCCTCACTGACGAACTTGGTTTCGACAACGATGAGATATGCCGTGAATTCCTCGAAGCCCACGGTGCACAAAACGTCATTGAAGACAAAGGCGACGGTCAATATCGTGTCAGGATCCGAGAAGTCGCATCTCAATTCGAAAGCCTGCGTGCCGCCGCATTCAGCAAAGTAGACATCAAGGGCCAAATATGAATCGACCTCGGAGCCAGTACAAACTTCTCTTCCTCTCCTGCAGTATCTTTATCCCGATTTCGAGTTATTCATTTGCACTAATTCACCACGATACCCTGCGCCACATGGCACGTCACGCGTGTCTCGAACTGCGACCTTCCGGTATCGATTGCTTCTTTCCCGATGTCAGTAGTCGGAACATGGGGTTCCCGCCTCATGCGTTGGATGCGCGGAATCTTCTAGTGTGTTTCTCATACATCCAACGTCTCAGATGTTGTTCATCACCTACCAAAATGGATCTTGGTGAACTTACGGTACGTCATGGGCGTGCATGAAGGAAGTGGGTTGGAAAACAAAATGGGGTAGAGTGGACTTGGTCTAGATGGCTATGTAGGATTTGAGCCCACTGGCTCGGTTGTGGTGGTCCCTGTGTCACAGAGGTTTTCGGCTCGGGTGCGTCCGAGTGCACGTGGGGTTGGGAAGACCGGCATTACGACGGCATGCCCCACGGATGTGCGAAGATCGAACGACAATGTGGCCATACCGTGGGCCATCAGGTGACGACCGCTGGGGTTTGGAGTATGGATTGTCTGAGCTGTGGCTGGGTCTGCTCCTTTTTGGAAGATTGGCTCGAGGCGCTCTGAGTGAGCCAATGAGATGGCGGAAGAGGGTTTCGAGGCCGTGATTGGGTAGGGTGCAATTGTTCAGCGGCAGTTGGCACTAGTCACAACCGCTGGAAGTATTCAGGGCGTTCGTATAGTCGCCAATGCATTGGTTTATGAAGTTTGTGTTGAGAGCGTAAGCGCGTGTGAACCGCGTGGTGAGATTTATGAGAGACTACGAAGCCACGCAGGGAGAGGAATGTTTCAGTCGGGCCGCGTCAAGCATCAACCATGAGGATAACATTTGAAGAGGAGTATCGATGACTGACAGGAGAGGGGCAGAGAGATTGGGTTTGCATGTGGAAATGATGACACGGCCAACGTAGGCATTAGTATTGTGGGCTAGCACGGTGGGTGATTGGTCGCGAAGGCATAAATGCAGCGCGGATGTTGGGGGCTGCGCCGGCGTGCAGTGACAGAGGCGGGAAATGTGGTGGACCTGCAGCTAGGCGTTTGGCAGGCTGATGGTGTGGGATGCTCCACCGGGTCGGGCATAATTGTATTTTAGTAGAGATTCCACATTCCTGGCCGGGAGCAAGTCAGCGCACACGAACAAAGGTCGATGGGATTCGCCGCCTTGCGCTACCCGCAGCTCGTTTGTTCCGAAGCGTGCCAGGCATAGAGTGTGACGCGAGAGACGAATTGCCAAGTGGTTGCAGCTGGCAGGGCTGGGATCCCTCGCGGCGTGAAAGCACCCGCTCATTTCTTGTTCCTCTAGTGACTGCGCCTCTTGCAGTACCTGACGACGACGACGTTGGCCGCCTATCTAAGTAGCCTCACCATTGTCTCTGAGGGCCGGTGCACGATTCAAATTCACCCTCCTCCGCCGCGTACTCGCCCCCGCACGCACACGCCGCATTCCCGGTCGATAGTCATAGTAGCAGGAACCCCGAGTTCCACGTCGAGCGCTCACCTCCTGACCTCTCCTCTGCTTCCTCGTTTGCTGCCGCGCAAGGTTGCGTTCACTCTGCACGATGAAGGTGCGTTGCCTGCTTGCTTTTGCCGCCACGGCCGCCGCTGCGCCCGTCGAGTCACGCTCCGCATACATACGTGCTAACGGTGCTGCTCTAGTTCCGCAGGAGTATGAAGAGTGAGAAGGACAACCGCCCGCACCACATTTCCATTCCGCCCAAGGACGCTATAGCCATTGTCCCGCCAAAAAAGGTACGTAGATCAGCGTCGGGGTGCTTGGGCCCCACTCTGCTTCTTCCACGAGGCGTGCGCGCATGAGGGCAGGGCAGGCGTTTGGTGTTGTCGACACAGGCGCATTGTGTGGGCGCCTGCGCCTGTGTCGACGACAGAGCAAGCCGCGACATGTCGCTATATCATGATGCGCGCTCCCCGGCACCCGCTTCCCGATAGGGCAGATGAGCGCGAAGCTAACAGCCATCTCATTTCAGGTCATAAAAGCCCTCTACGACTACAAGCCCGCCGACCCGAGCCCAACTTCTGGCTACCTTGGCTTTTCCCAGGGCGACTTTCTGCACGTCGTCGGGCGCGAAGACGACAGCGACTGGTACGAGGCCTGCAATCCCCTGCACGGCACCCGCGGACTGGTGCCCGTTTCCTACTTTGAGGGCGTAGGCAAGACAGTGCGCGATAGTGGTGGCTCCGCGCCGCGCTCTTCCACACCCCAGCAGCCGCAACACCATCAGCAACCGCAGCAACAACAGCCCCACGACTCAGGCTACCAAGAACGCATCACGAGCCCGCAGCCCTCGGCACAGGACATCATGACACAGCAAATGCGTATGTCGCGCGGAGGAGGCCGCGGCGCCATGGTCTACGGCATCGTCATCTACGACTTCAAGGCAGAGAGGCCGGACGAGCTAGAGGCCAAGGAGGGCGAGGCTATCATCGTCATCGCACAGTCGAACCCCGAATGGTTTGTCGCAAAGCCAATAACGCGACTCGGCGGTCCTGGCCTCATCCCCGTATCCTTCATCGAAATCCGCGATATGACGACTGGTCAGGCCGTCGCCGACACACAAGCAGCAGTCACAGCCGCGGGCGTCCCCAAGGTCGAAGAGTGGAAGAAGATGGCGGCCGACTACAAGAACGGCAGCATACCGCTCGGAAAGCTCGAGACAAATTCTGGACAGTCGCTGCAGCAGGGCATGGAGCGCATGAGCGTTAGGAGCAACGGCGGGCACAACAAGGCTGGCTCGGTAAGTCGTCTACATGCGGGTGTGCTTTTCTCGGCTGACAGCGTACAGGTCTCCCACTCACGCAACGGCTCCGTGGCGCAACAGCCAAGAAACCAATACCGCACATCCGACAACCTGCTTGCACCCATCAGGGCATGCGTGCCACGCTACTGCTTCGCCGACGATATCTTTTGGTTCATCATCGAGTGTCAGATGGAGGACGGCCGACACTGGGAGTTGCAGCGACTGTACCAGGACTTTTACGACCTGCAGATACAGCTGATAGCAACGTACCCAGTCGAAGCGGGCACAAGTGGCTCCGGCGAGCGAACACTGCCCTTTATGCCTGGGCCTGTCACCTACGTAACCGACAACATTTCCAACGGGCGCCGCGCCAACCTCGACGAATACATAAAGAACCTCCTCAAGCTAGGACCGCACATCACACAAGGTCACCTCGTCAAGGGCTTCTTCGCGCCAAGACAGGGCGACTACGAGATAGACCCCGACATCGTCGCTGCGGAAGAGTACCGCCTTTCGCAACAATCACATCAGTCATCGAACCCCTCACAAGGGACGAGCAGGCAGTCGTCCGCAGATCAGTTGCAGGCCACAACACCCGTCACACCCTATTCAACTGGCTCCAATTACCCCTCTCATCAGCGCGGTCAATCTACGGCCTCGCAGGCATACTCATCGAATCTGAACCCCCCACCCATGAATCACGCCCACTCCTCCTCATCCACCGCCACCAGCACAGGCACGTCTTCTGGTCTCAAGATCAAGTTCAAGTTGGAAAAGGAAAATGACAGCGAAAATGACAGCTGGCACGTCATACGTATGCCCATTTCGGGCAGGTTCGCCGACCTCTACGATAAGCTTGAAGAGAGAAGAGAAATGGAGATGGGGCGGCGCCTCGAGGATGATGAGGTCCTTGAGGTCAAATACGAGGACGGCCCAAACCACATATTGCGCGCGATTGAGAATGACGAGAATCTACGGGCAGCAGTCGAACGAAACGACAAATTGACGCTCCACGTCAAGAAGACATGGTACAGATAAGCAACGGAACCAGCCATCTTCACCTCACTTCACTTCGCTTCTATTTAATTGCCCTTGGTCTTCTTCTTTTACAACAACCGTTGTTCTCCCCCGTAGCTCTCTTAAGGCTACTATTCTCTATTCCCCCACTTTCGGCGTTGCAAAAGGTTTTCATGGCTTCCGAAGAGCAGTCTAACTGGCGTTGTTGGGCGTTCGGCGGAGCAATGAAGTGCATGACGGCAGGCGCGGGATATTTTTACTGGATTTGTGTTTCTTTCGAGACTTTGGATCTATCACAAAGATGTTTGATATGTTTGGATATGGGGGGTGTTGGATTGCTTGACTTGCGTCATGGAGGGTTCTGGATGATATACACAATTGGATGAAATGCGGGGAGAGGGAGATAGCGTGATGTATGGGGATGTGGGGAGGGAGAGGCAAAATGAGAGACATCTTGCGTGCAGCTTATCCTATTCTTTCATCGGCATGTGAGGTTTGGAGTAGCCCGCACTCACGATGCAATTCCGGCGAGCTAACCGTTTGAGTCTTGGGGTCCCTCTGTTCACATGTGCTACATGTAGCTGGTGTGGCAGGAGCAGCCCGGGAGGTTCGGAAGTGGGTCAAGGCAACTTCCTTGTCAGTGAACCATCTAGGCCTCAACTCCATTGCTTACTACTACGCAATCTTACAGCGAGGTGATATTCCAATGCAAAGATACGATGGCTGATTCTCTATCTAGACTTCTTGTTAGGCAGCCGCAGCCCAACCTGCGACCCTTGTGCCACAGCCTGATCACAGACAGCCGTCATCTCGTTACATCGCAAGCGAATCTCCCCCACTACGTAGGCTGACAAGCCACCGGGGCCTCAGCACTGAGTGGGGCTCGAGAAAGCTCGTTCGTCAATGCTTCGGCTTATGAACAGGTAAACTCACTAATTGGGCGTCGTGGGTAACTACGAGCTATAATGAGATGGCCTACCGGCAACGAGTCCACTCGCGACAGCTTGACGCCCACCAGGGTTGAGAATATGGTCATGAGCTCGGTCTTGGACGTGGGCTGAGAAGTCGTGCTGCATTCGGGTGGCACAGCTACATGGTTGCTGCCTTCTACCCCTCTATTCTCAGCCTTGTCCATCATCTCTTCACATCACATAGCGCTTGAGCGACGATAAATTTTCGGAAACCTGCCATTTTTCGCCCAATGGTGTAACAATAGACATCAGGATACTAGACATCACCAGATCCACGGTGGAAGCGGTCAACGTCTCGACAGCAATGGGTTCCTGCGTCAACAATTACACCATGAGCACCGATCGGATATGCGAAGAGTGTGCCAAAATACCTTGGGACACGCTGTTTGCCCCAGAGATCCGTCTAGAACCAGAAATTGGCGTTTGGTATGATGCAGTGTTTCACAGAAGCAAAGTTGACCAAAAAACAGAGTGTCGAATCTGCCGATTCTTCGCAAAGGTTCTCAAAGATTGCACCCGGGGTACCGAACATGGACGACGCTTCGAGATAAGTTGTTATTATGCCGCTGGTTTGGGCTTGGATCTTCCGTCAGCATTTCTCGAAGTCGAACATTCGGCGAGCGAGCATGCCGACTATTACGGCGGCGTCGTACTTGCCTGCCAACCAACATCCCAGGTGACTCGAAAAGTGTTAGAGAAAGCCTTCTCTGGATATGTATTCCCTCAAGATCTACCAACGGTGAAGAAGCCGTTGCTAGACCCTGGCCAAAATCTATATCCAGCTGGCGTTAACGTTGCTCTCTTGAAGTCTTGGCTGGATGTCTGCATCGAAAAACATGACCACCGGTGTCGCCCGAGACCGATCGATGGTCTGAAGGATTTAAAAGTCATTGATTGTGAGCATCTAAGGATCGTTCCTGCGCCGCCTGCATGTCGATACGCAGCATTGTCTTACGTCTGGGGCAAAGAAGGCAAGAAGGTCGGCTCGACCAACATCCGGGAGATAATCCCAAAAACTGTCGAAGACGCTATTGAGACAACCTTATCATTGGGATACAGATACCTCTGGGTCGACCGATATGTAGGTAGACCTCAGTGCCTTTCAGTCCCTGCTTCAGTCTGCTAAGTGTTCAGTGCATCGATCAGTCCGACGCACAGGCGAAGCAACACCAAATTATGCAGATGGCAGATATATATGCAGCAGCGCAGTTCACCATCTTCGCTGCGGCTGGCAATGACTCGAATCATGGGCTTCCTAGAGTACGGCCACATTATCGGGGCTTCTCCTCCTGTTGCGCATCCACGAGATCAGTGCAGTTAATCCATTTACCTCAAACAAGCCCCAGCTGGAACCTACGAAAGTTGTCACAATCTTCGTGGGCTTCGCGAGCGTGGTAGGACGTCCGATCATCACACCATGCTCATAATGAGCTGACCGTGCGCTCAGGACATTCCAAGAGTGTTACTTCTCAAAGCGGCGTCTCTTTTTCACCGACAGACAAGTCATTTTCATTTGTAGCACAGATTCATACTACGAGGCAGATAGGCCCCATGGCGGCGGCGGCCCCTCCGAGGACGCTCACCTATTACTGCCAGGCTGGTTTGCCAACACCGTAAAACTCGAGGCGGCTGACACGATGATTGCGTCAATGAAAGTATTGAAGCAATACAGCGCTCGCACGTTATCCTTCGACGCAGATGCGCTTAACGCCATAATTGGTGCGTTGAACTCTTACGCCAAATACGGTGTTCAGCACATCTGGGGAGTCCCTTGGAAACGCTCCTCGGCAGACTACTCACCTGGTTTAAAGGACTTTCTCTCAACTAGCCGCAGTGTTAGACGGGATATCGACATAGCATTATTGTGGAATCACGAAAAGCCAAGCATACGCCGCAACGGATTTCCCAGTTGGTCGCCCCTCGGATGGAAAACCCCAATCGAATGGTACTGGCAGAACAGACGCCGCCTTTCAACCTACGTCTCACCGGAAGCAAAAATTGTACAAGTAAAGTCCACTAAGGATTTCCACAAGCTGTATGCTCCAGCCAACCCCGACGAATCCACACCAGAAGAACTCTCGCAGTACCTCAAAGTAGAAGCACGAACCGCAATGTGCAATTTGCAATTCAAAACTGAGAGTACGTGGGAAAACAAAGTTGCCAAACAATCAGGGATTGAAATATCACTGGGTAATGGATGGAATGCTATTGCGGAGGTGTACTGGGACCTGCCTCCGGACAAGGGAAACGAACCATTTTTGAAGTGTGTTCTACTGCCTGGAGCAGAATTTACCAAATCCACCGTGAACGAGTTGCACGCTCATGTTCTCATACTTGAGCAACACGGAAACCATTACGAACGTATAGGTATCACTCGACTGCCCGCACATTTTGGTGATACTTATGACGGTTTCACTCCACTCTTTCGTCTCGTGAACAAGTTCGGCCGTGTCTTTGCAGGATACTCGAGAAAACCTTATTACGCAGAAAAAGAAATTCCGTCTGCTGCGATAACAGACTTCTGCTGGTCGGACCACTTCCAGCCGGAGACTATAATCCTTGGCTAAGGAAAACTTTGTGGTCTCACGTCTTCACGTTAGCTTATCTTGCCCTGACCCTTATGGTAGTAATGATTCAGTATTTTAAATCCTAATCATGGCCACGATACATCATTCACGTTCATTCCGCACCAGCTACGGCCCTGTCACACTCCCATCCGTCCCCACAATCACCGTCCTCGGTGCACTCGCCATAAACAAATGTTCGTCCTCCGCAATCTTCTTCGCCGCCTCCGGTGCGCTGATGATGCTCATGAATGTCAACGCATGCGTCATGTCTCGAAACTGCATGGTTGCCATGGAGTCGTAGTCGACGGGAGAGCTGGCGTTTACAAAGGCAGGGCTACCGCCAACGTAGTATCGTGTGTGGATAACGGGGAAGTTTGAGCCCGTGAGTGACTTGACGAGTGGGATGTGGACGTTGTCGTAGTGGTCGGCGTATTGGGTTAGGTTGAGGCCCGGGAGCATGGTGCCGAAGACGAGGGCGGTGAAGTAGGGGAGCACCATTTTGGAAGTTTTTGCAGTGCAGGATAGGTTGGTACTGCTACAGTAAAAGACGAAAGAAGTATTATGGGGTGTGTAGATTTGGTTGTGGTGATGAAGGTGCGCCCGCGATATCGTGGAATGAATGCTACCTTCTTATATCGCCTATCTCGGTATTCTCCCAAAGCCTTTGGAAGGAGCGATAAGTTCATTTAAATGTCTTGTTGGCTCTAACTGCCACGAGCGTACATTCCACGGGGCTTCTCGGTAGAATGCATAAGCCGGCATTCCAGCCAGACGCCACCACCGAGGGCTTTCCGAATGTATCGATTATACAAGAGCGTATACCCAGCTAGAACGCCTAGTTTACCATGGCTATGTCGCTTTGGGGATGGATCGCGAGGCGGGACATTTCCAAGGTTACCATGAGGGCTGTTCAACTCCACTATTATCGGAGTTGTCGGAGCAATCGCGCTTCGTACATCATGTTACGACTCACGAATCCTTTTGAGATGGGTTGTTCTCGCTCGCAGTCGCGGCGGTTCTTTTGTTGACCGTTCCTAGAGGATCTCGGACTAGTCTGGATTGAGGAGCGTACGCGAAAGTGCGGGGCCAAGGCGGCCGCCGGATCGCGGCAATTGGTGCACAATTGGGAAACGTGGCATAGAGCCACATATTACACCAGAGTGCAGAGATGTGTAAGTAGGCATGAGAGCTAGTGACAAGTGTTGCAAGTGTGTCTTGACGTCGTCACTTATCGATAAGGAGGGTATGGGAGAAGGGTAGCGTGGTAGCGATGGTAGCAGGCAGTTCGGCGGGCCGATGACAACGCAGCCAGACCCACACTGCGCATGGACTGTAGTTATCGGAGAAGGGCCGCTCAAGAACATATAATAGCTGCTCCCATCCGCACGACATCTTCTGCTCTCTAAGCTATATGTACTGCCAAGCGCAGTCTCAAATATTGCGCAGCCATGAGCCAAATAAATCTAAGCAGCAAAACACGCCACTTCTACTCGTAGCCGCGACTTCGTCGCGAACGCCAATGTGCACCTTAACACTGCACCAACCTCGTGAAGCTGATACTCCCCAGTAGTTCTCGTTGCGTTCCAGTCTGCTCCAGCCAGGCCATGCGACCGAATCCCTGCCAGCTGAAGCGAGCTGACCATGGCTGATGACCGGAGGCTGAGCAGCCATGGCACCCATCAACCCCACCAAGGCACCAGTTCGCGTCTGATCTAAGTAAAGACCCAATGCCACATAAGAGCTTCTCGCAAACCACGAGCCCACAGAAACATTGATCCAACGCAGCTGTGTCTTACAATTCGAGTATCTTGCCCGACATGTTCAGTCCCCAGCGCGATGCGAAGCGCCACTCACACGGCCACCATCTTACGCCTCAGGACGCCAATGCAGAGCGAACCCGCAGAAGGCGACACAAGGTCTATCCAGGTGATAATGAGCAAACATATGGTTCTTCGAGTCGAGGGTATCGTTCCGATGATGAACCAAGGCGCCGGCATAGGCATAACGGAGACAAAGATCGATATCGCGCCAGCTCTTCGCATCACCCAAAAGATTACAACCGCCGCAAACAAGACTCCTCTAGTGATACTGAAGATGATTTGGTGCGGTTGCGGGTCGCGCAAGAACAAAACGTTCGAATCGATGCTCACCACGAGAGAAGCCGCTCAGATAACAGAACTTACGGCGAGCATCGTTTTGATGATTTGTTGGAAGAGCGGCGCATCCATCCTGCACGAAAACCAACGCCGCTTGGAATTTCGCTTTCCCCCTTGGCTCACCACACCAATGCTCAAATTGAAGGAGGTCATGACGAGGTACGAGTGTATGAGAGAGTTCAGCTAACCAAACCACACTCTGCGAAGTTGGCCTATGGCGATCATCGTGAGCATAACCGTGTGCAAATCGATGGGGCCGAACGATCCATGGGGCGAGAGTACGGCGAGCATCGCTTTGATGATGCGCAATTAAACAACGCATCATCAATAAAACTCCCCGTTGGAGACCCTCGGCATATGAGGAACTTTCCTTCGCTACCACCATCGCTACCCAATGAAGCATCATTTGCACCGAGATCAAAACACGATGCCAATCGTGTGGATATTCGAGATGGGGTTACTGATGATATTTCTTGGTCGCCAACGGACATGCCACGCAGCAATCGCGTATCACTACCTGCGAGAGTACAAGACTTGGCGTCTACTTCGGATGAGCGCATTCGGCAAGATGAACTTGACAGTCGGCCGTCTACAGCGGGTCATAACGGGGCCTTCAGTGCAAATACAAAACTCCCACGACTTTCTATCTCTCAGTATCCTGCTGCATACTCACAGTTCCCATCCAATGTTGAAACCCCGGGCGACTCAACTTCAGGAGTTGGTGAAGATGGGCAAAGACCTCGATCGGCTGGAGCAGCTTCGAATGCCTCCTCAAGAATCATGTCGTGGCCTCCATCGTCACCTAGCTCGGGAGTACTGGGCCCAAAAACATACCAGTATCAGCCATTACAACCCTCTGAAATTCGACTAGTCAAGATTCTGCCGGAGAGGATGTGGAAGCTAAAATGCGAAATTGTCCATGTATCGCTTCAAAGCCAGCCGGAATATACCGCCATCTCGGTAAGTCGTCGCCACAGTTCCAAAACATCCACTAACAGTGAGCTTGTATAGTATGCCTGGGGCGACGGGGTTGACACGAGACCACTCATTCTAGAAGGAACTACAATCCCTGTTGCAGTCAGTCTTCACGATGCACTGAGGGCAGTACGTCGCAAGAAAGAAGACATCTTCGTATGGGTGGACGCGCTCTGCATCGACCAGCAGAACAAAGACGAGAGAGCCACACAAGTTCGATTGATGGGTCAGATCTACATCGGCGCAGTATCAGTGGCCATCTGGATAGGGCCGGAGTATGAAGAGAGTGCACTAGCACTACAACTACTCCAGAGAGTGGCCGAAAACTCGATCGATTATCAGTACATAAAGTCTACTCGCAACCCAGACTCTATGGCGCTTCTCAATTTATTCAAGAGAGACTATTGGAAGCGACTTTGGGGTAAGTGAACATAGCCCACTCTTTGTGTTTGTCGAACTGACCGTAATGAAGTCGTACAAGAGGTCCTTCTCGCAAACAACAAGAGGGTATACTGTGGTTCCTCTGCGTTCGATTGGGAAGTATACCAAAAGGCAGCCGAAGTCTTTTGGGGCAGAGACAGCGATCCACACATCCGCCAAGGACCATCAAGTTTTCCGGACCGCGACGCTCTGAAACAGCTTGGAGATGAGTCACTATTAGAGGTAATGCGGGCATGCAGGAAGAAGTTAAGCGAGGATCCACGGGACAAAGTTTTCGGCATTCTGGGTTTGCTTTCGGACGCTACACAACGCGATTTCCCTGTCGACTATAGCCAGTCCGTCAAGACGGTCTACACAGACGTTGTCGACCACCTCATCTCGACTACTGAGAGGATTGATGTGATTCGCGAAGCGATACACTTCCCTCTGCACGTCAATTCTACGGGCCTTCCAAGCTGGTGTCCTGATTGGTCGCACATTCCAGAGGTATCTGGCCTGGGGCGCACTCTCAATTTTGCAGCTTCGAGTAACGCAAATGGCCCAACTAAGGCTCAGTATTGGTTCCACGATGAACGACGAAAACTCGAGATCTCCGCGATCAAGATCGATACAGTTACGGCAACAGGTGTCGCCGTAGGCACATTCTGCGCTGCTCAAGACTATCTAACAGCCTTTCTGCAATGGCGCGCAATGTTGCTGCATGAACACAATGTAGAAGAAGGCAATGAGACCCACGCAATGCACACCTCCTTCTGTAGGACGCTGAGCCTTGGACAGATGCCGCCAGAATGGAGCCAGTCAGGCATGTGGCACAACCTCTGTTACCACGTCTTCGCCGCTCTAATACGCGAAAGAATGCCTCGCTTGCCGATGGATGAAGATCTCAAGCGCCATGTGGGTACGACAGGGCTCATCGAGCCCAAGGCACGGCGCACTTTCCTGCAAGACCATTTCGGCAACCGTATGATGGGACGTAGCCTGTGTATCACAGCAGGTGGATTGATCGGTATGGGATCGGGCTACATGACAGCGAAGGATATCGTCGTTGTGCCGTTCGGCTGCTCTACGCCTATCTTACTTCGTCCGGAGGGCCGTCGCAACGAGTATAGGTACGTGGGTGACGTCTATATCGACGGATACATGCACGGCGAAGCCCTGGCACAAATCGAAGCAAGGGACCCGAGAAGAGTGGTTTCTAAGTACATGCTCTGTTGATGTATGGACGGTCGTACTAGGCCATATATGTTGCGGCTGTAGAGGCGTTTTGGCGATTTCGACACATGAACCACCGAGTATATAACACATGGAAGTGCTAGATCTGTCACATACGACCACAGAATTTTGAGATCACGGCTTCCCGTCCGCTCAGCCCTAGTTAAGCAAGATATCGGCGGATTAGTAGTCAGGTGGGTGACCACTGGCGAATCCCCGCTGTTGTATGTTTTTGCACGCAGCATCATCTCTTTTATTTTATTTTGAACACCTGCTCTTCGCATTCTAACGCCGACCTACGTTGCTGAGGATCAGTTGTGGTAACATCATCGTGTAAGCATTGGATGGTGGTGCTGAACAGCGCGCGAAAGAGGAATCTCAGTAAGGCCACGCGTGTGTAGCAATGCGTCATGTTTTTTTTATAGCTAAACCTAGTGATATGCTCCTTGCGATATAAGTATATAGTAAAGGTAATGTCAGCATTGGAATCTGAAGGTTTTGCAGATTGATTGAACCTATACAAGGTAACTTGACATCTAGATAGTCTCCCCGTAGGGCGCGCCCTCAAGTTTGAACCCACCGGGCTGCAGCTTTTGAAAGACAGCAGAGGGATCATACTTCTTCGCAATCGACTTGAGTTTTGCCAGCTTCTCGTCTCCGTAGCTCGGGATTACGTTCTGGTATGGTCCAGCATAATTGAGGTAGATGTATCTTGTGTACACGTTTCGGTCTTTGGCCTCAGCCTTGGCGGCGTTCACAAAGTCTAATGCGGCTTTGTTTAGTTGATCATCCTTCGAAGGGTCGTCCCAGACCACGTAAAGTAGAGTATGCATGAGTGGACCGTCGGCGGGGGAGAGACCCAGTGCGTTGCCGCCCTTCTTGCTCATTTGCTCCATAGCCGGTACGGTGAAGGCTTGGAACGCCAAAGCGCCCTGGTCGGCTAGCGGGCCTACGTCCTTCTCGTGACGCGCTTGCAGCCAGGCCATGAAATCCCTGTCGAGCTTATATGTGGCAGCCCAGAATGCATAGCGGCGGCCTCCGGGCATTTGGTTGGTGAGCATGACCGTGTCGTTTGCCAAGGTTCTGTTCAAAGTATTTGCTACGAGTGGAGGGATGTCAAGGTACTTCTTCAGAATAGCAGGTGGATTGGTTTCGTCAACGGGCTCGAGGTACTCCAGTTGGATTTGGGCTGCCGCGTTGCCCGCTGTCACAGCAAAAGACAAGATCTGGGCTGATTTGGGGTCTTCGGTAGCGCCCTCAGCCATTGATGCAAAGGCATCGATTAGCGCTGGGTAGCTGGCTTGCGTATAAACTCGGGTGCCGCCCCACATTAGCCCCTGGGGAATTGTCTCCAGCTCAAATCTTGTAACGATACCGAAGTTGTTGCCGCCTCCGCGAAGGGCCCAATACAGATCAGGGAACAGAGTTGGGGTGACCTTCAAGATGATTCCCGATGCAGTGACGATCTCGTAAGACGCAACATTGTCGCATGCGTATCCGTAAATACTGGACTGGTGGGAGATGCCGCCACCAAGAACAAGACCGAGGCCTACATCCGACGCGCGCCCACCAATGACAGCGAGGTTCTGCTCTCCAAGCTTTGTATATACCGCCCCCCATCGGTTTCCGGGTCTGATGAATGCAGTCTTTTTGTTGCTGGAAAGTGTGATCTCGTTCATCGCCTCCATGGTAATGGTTATGCCACCCTCAATGCTAGACGCGCCTGGGAACGCGGTGTGTCCTCCACCCTTGACTGCAAAGGGACATTGTGTGAGGCGGGATACTAGTATCGTCGTCGATACGTCAATCGCCTTCGAAGGCCGGAAAACGCAGGCTGGGTTGATAGAGGCTGCCTGATTTGACCAGTATCCGCTCGTGAAGGTATCGTAGGGTTCTGAACCGCTAGAGAGTAGCTTGCTTCCGAAGATGAGCTTTAGTGAGCTACACTGTTGAGTATTTTAGCTGAAGTCCTCTACACAACTGACATTACAAATTTCTTACAGCGGCGGTACACGGGCTAGAGAGCGAGCGCTTGTCGACCAAAGCAGCCAAGTCGGGAAGAGCCGAGACATTGACGCCATTGGCAAAGAGGGCTTCAGTGATGTTGAAGTCAGTAGGCTCAAAGGCGTCCTGGGCGACTGCGTTGCCAGCAAGGGCTCCAAGGATGGCAAGAAACGAAGCCTTCATGCTGTGCTTGGATTGGAGGTTCGGTGGAAAGAAGCTGGAGCTCTCCAGAGCCATTTATTACTCTTGAGGAAAGACATTGATTCTGCGCGACGTTTAGCGACCTTACCTGCTGGGCAGACATCTCCTCGCGCTTTGCAACTTCAAGGGCCCCCGAAGGATCGTACGTCGTTGTCTAGAAGCCGCCGCAGTATTAACCCGCTGCTTAGCTGCATACCGCGCCGCAATTCGGTTCTGCCGTGGAGCCTGCATCGAAGAGGTGGCGCTGCCTGAGGCGAATGAGCATACTTCAATCTCGGAGCATTGACTCAACAAGAGTCGCGTGCAGGTACGCGCATGTGCAAAAGCTTGTGCGATGGAACAACCGGGTGCGAGTCCATTCTTCGCGTAAGCGATGGAGCCCTTGGTGTATGTACCTAGGTAAGCATGGATGGAAGCGAGATGCAATGTGGTAAATGAAGCACCCTCTACGCGTTCCAGATGATTAGTGGTCTAATCGTTGGCTTTAATCCGTTCTATTGCCCTGAGTATTACACACAGGCAGCGTGTCTATCGAAAAAGAACGTGGGCAATACGTGTACGCCAGATGAAAGTTGAAGGGCGACCCTTCCTTCCAGCCCGTGGTACGGGGAGAATGGGCCGCCCAGATGCTGAATAAGCGCTAGACCGCGCCGCGCCTCTAGCACTGTGACTGGGTGCCACCTGCATGACACTCCGCGTCAACTCATCCATTGCCTTGGCAAAGGGATTGCTCTACCCGATAACAATTGCATCTTGGTCTGCCGCAAGCGAAACGAACTGCAGTATCATAGGAGGGTTTTATGCTCCGAAGGCAGGCGAGTAGAAGAGCGAGGGCACGGAATTCGGCAGGCGCAAGCGACTTCTCCAGTGCCACCCTTCACCCGCGAGGAGTTTTGTGCGCCATCTATCTTGTCGTGCTCTTGTATACAATGGAGACGTGTATATCTGGCGCATGGCTGTACACTCTGCGTTATCTATTCAGAACTGACCAACGTTCGGTAACTCGGCCATGAACAAGTCCCCATCGCCATCGTCATGCAAGAGTAAGTCTTGAGCTAGGTATACTATAATTACAACAGCGAGATCTTGGATAGCCTTGCCAGCCCCTAATTACGATCAAGCAATCAGTGATTGCAGATCCGGTGCTGGAAATTGGGCATGGTCCTTCGATCGATGTGATCCCCTCTGCCGGTAGACACGAAACCTGAGAGTAGTCTTACGCCGCATGCTCGCATGCACTGACACGATAATGATATCGAATAACTAGCAGGTCTTGGAGCATGCTCCGACGATCAATGACTGATATTCCCCATTGTGTCTTTGTTATCTTTGTTTGCTTCCGATCTACACCATTTCAGCAACAATGTCGGCAAAAACGAACGGTTTCGCCCAGGGAACAGTGCTGAAGGTTGCATACTCTATGCTTGGCCTGACCAGCTCAGTCGTCCTTGCGAGGATTGGTCTCAACATCATCAGGCCGAGGAGACTGACAGCCTCTGACTACTTTGTGTTCGTCGCCTTCGCCATTTATGTGACGATGTGCGCTCTCTACATTGCATTGTCTCCATATATGCAGAGAGTATACGCTGTTTCGAACGGAGAAACACCACCTTATTCGGAATTGAAGCATGATAGCATGCTGATGGCGAAGATGGTTTTCATTGCCTTCTGTATGTTTTGGGCGGTGCTGTGGTCCATCAAACTATCTTTGCTGCTGCTTTATAGGAGATTACTGAACGGTATCTCTCCACGCTGGACCTTTGTGTGGTGGTGCATAGCTGGAATCTGCTTAGGGGTAAGATATCACAGTTATGCTGACTTTGGCAGCAATCACTTGGGCAACAGCTGACATTGAAGACAGACTTTTGTTGGCAACTACGCCTTCTACTTCCAATCATGCGGCACCATACCCGGGTTCTGGACAGGAGGATGCGTAAGTCCTTGTGCTGCACAAGGTAAACAGCGGGCTACCTACTAACCACATCACGCTATAGACTGGCGAAGGCCCACACCATACCCAGCTCGTCAGCCTCTACTACTCGTTTTCCGCGGATATTTCAACAAACATGATGAGTATGCCATGTAGCACTTATGCAGCCCTAGTATGTTTGCTGACTGTTGGGTCGTACAGTCATGGCACTTCCGATATGGCTCACCTGGAATCTTCAGATGCCACGAAGCAAGAAGATATCAATCTTATGTCTCTTTGCGACGGGCGTCGTTTGTGTTCTCTTCGCCTGTCTCCGAGTCACTCAAGTTGCGATTAATGCATCAAAACCCGAGGCTGCAGAGCAACCACTTGATCCGACTTGGCTCGCTATTTGGGGTATGGTGGAGTGTTTCATCGGTAAGTCGAGAGCCAAACACCATTACATACAATCGCTAATCTGTCCCAGCCGTCATCATTGGCTGCTGCCCCGCGTTCGCCGTGCTCGTCAACGCATTCCGTTTCAATAACTCTTACGATTCGCGCGGTTACCGAAGGCAGACTGATGGCAACGTGGATAGAATCACACGGAGTAGATTGGAGCTCAGACCTTTTGGAAATAACAGGACCTCGAGACCAGGCCTTGGGCAGGGACTGACGGACTCACACTGGGCTGGCATGTATAGTAGTCAGGAAGAATTACGGGCGAAACATGATGGCATCATGGTTTCGACCACGGTAACGCATGAGCAAGACGTGATAGATATGCTTAGAAGACCATAACACACAAGCTCGCGCATGGGCGTCACTTTCCAGTCACTAGATATAAACACTCGCTGCCACGTAGCTAGCGAGAATAAGGGCGACCAGTAATCACATACCTCGCTTCTACATCCACTCTTCGATAGCGGGTCGTGGGTCGTATACAGCATCTCTCTCGTGGTGATTCTGGACCACCTCTTCTGGTTTTGACCAAAGAAGCCCTGGAACAATTTCAAAGCATCAGCCGTTACACACGAACTATGTAGTAACGACTGTGATAGTCATTCCCGCTATACGTTGAGTGATCTTAAGTTCACATGTACAGCCGTTGGCCCGCTGTATGCTGCAAACTGATCGATGACGTCACACGCCCACACCTGTGTTGGTGTGCAACACGGCACTCCTTTCCAGTCATCGCAAAATTCCTGTGAACCACCTTTTTGGCATGCCTTGGGCCCGAATAGGCATAGTTGACCTGACTTGGAAAGGATCGAAGCAGGGAAAACACGGGAGGAGGCCAGATGTGGTGGGTGGGGTTTGGTGATCATGATCGCTCTCCGCGGTCCTCGGAACCACAGATCCTGTCAGCTCCACACGTTCACCCATACTGTGGGAAAACATCAAATCTCAATAGTGAAGTGCATACAGAGATACCATGGCTGCTTGACTGCTAGTATTTAGCGCGCGTTTACGAGCCTCAACGGTGTTGAAGTCTAAGAGTCCAAGCTAGCGTTGTGCGGCTTCCGATCGCCACTGATGCAGTGGCTTGCCGTCGTTAGTGCGTGCATGACGTAGAGGGTAATTGCGGCCCTACGCGTCTTTCTTGCCATATGAAGGCCAATACATTGCAAGGCTACCCTCCTCCCTTTGCTTTTGGACCTCCATACATTCACACCTACGCACACCGGACGCCTAATCCTGAACGTCAACATGTCGACCGGAGGCGTGGTCTACAAGGACCTGCTGCCTATCCCCGATACGGATCCTACAGAACATGAGGGGAAGTCTAACACGCTACGAAATGCGCCTACGGAGAGCCATGCGCTAGCTCTAGAGGCTGCTAAGTCAGCGCCTCCGGAAGAGAAGGGTGCAGCACAGATAGCTCACGGAGATGAAGTGGTGGACCTTGGATGGAACGAGCCAAAAGAACTCGTCGCGAAGCCGCTCGTCGGAGGTCTGGGTAACGAGGACTTGTGGCTGTTGGTTCGACGTTTCAATAAGGTGAGAGCGAGGTCTGAATACAAACCTGCAATTGGATGCTGACTATAGGTAGCAAATGTACCATGTCAAAGAAATTCCAACAGCGCCTCCCGGGGGTTTGGACATGAACATTGCGGATGAGGAAGAGTTCTCGCCAGACAAGCTTCGTGCCAATATCGAACGCTTGTATATGACTATAGTAAGCACTTAGGGAGTAAGTCGTGAACCCGCTTGATTTAACCGCGTATAGGGCATTGGTCTAATCGGATTCGGCAAGCACATTGTTCGCATTCGCTCATGGAGGGAGACGCGCCGCACTGCATGGTTCTGCTCCGCATACTTTGCCGCCTGGATTTTTGACATGATCGTGCCCCTGATAACGGTGACTTTAGTTACGCTAATTGTCTACCCCCCAGCTCGTGGTGCTATGTTCCCACCAGCACCTATCGCTCTTGTCAGCTCTAAGGGAGGTGTACAGAAACCGAAGTCTGGAACTCTAGGTAGTACGGATAGTGCTACTGGAGCGCCTGAGAATCACAAGGGTGAGGCTGTTGAGCAAGAGGCCTCGAATTTCGTCAACGGGTTTGCGTCGATAGCGCTATCGAGCGCGACTGGCAAGCACCCCCAGGGAGAGCCTCCAAACGAAGACTCTCCTGACAGCAGTGTACCGGACCCTACTAGGCTCGCTATCGGCGCTGCGGATGCAAGGGATCAGGCTGCTGGTGTCAAGCCCGACAAGCACCACGACAAGACTAAAGTTCCCATGGAGACTGCCATGTGGACGAAAATGAGGCCTATTATGCACGGTATCGCAGATGTCACAGACACATGGGAGCGATTCGCGAAGTAAGCAACCGTCTATCAGCGTTTACCTGAAATCACTGACATGATCACAGTATGCTTGAACCGACTCCCCCATTCCCGAAGAACAGGTCTCATCTTCGACTCGGAGTCGTAGTAGCACCGCTCGTTCTTGTCTCACTATTCGTGACATCGTACATGTTCATGAAGGGTGTCACTTTCGGCGCCGGCTTTGGCTTCTTCGGTGACCCCGTCATACAGCGAGGACTAGCGCTTCTTAACAGGAAGTTCCCTAATTGGCAAAAGCTGCTCGAGCTCCGTAACACGCTACTCAAGGGTGTACCTACCAACGCCCAACTCACCGTCACCCTTCTTAGAATCGGCGAAGCAAACAAAGCCCCACTCCCACCACCGCCTCACGTAGCGCAAGCGCCAGAAGAGAAGCCCGTCGATATCAACGAGGAAGAGTTGCGCGCCACAGGTGCCGACTGGCCACTAAACGCAACACAAGAAGAACTCGATGAAGCCATGGCCCACGATCCCACTACTGCGCACGAAACCGGCGGCGAAGATATCGACCAAGCTAAAGACAGCAAGCATGGCAAGAAGGGAACTAAAATCCTTAACTTCTTCCGCGGCACTGTCAAGGGCGGCGTCGAGACCACCATGACAGCTGACAAAGTCAAAGCCGCCGCCGGGTCCACTCATGCCAAGAACAGACTGGGTGCTGTACCACGTAGAGGAGTTGATCTCACGTCCGGTCCCGTCGAGTTCAAAGCCCGACATGATGGTAAGAAAGGGCATGTGTATATCACTACCAAGTCCACAATTCCGTGCATCGCCTTTTCCACAGACAATACTATTGAGAAGATTGGTAGCGCAGATAGAGAAGATCTGCACCCCTCCTGGAGTCTACCAGTTGGAGAAGTTATGGAGATGAAGAAGGTCGGTGGCTTTGGCTGGAAGGCGAAGTTGGTTGTCGGGTGGGCCATGGGACGGGAGGTTGCTGATGGATTGATCATTACTGACAGGCAGCTCAACGAATACCGCATCATGGCGCTTCCCTTAAGAGACGAGCTGTTCAATCGGCTAGTGGCTATGGGTGGTCAGAAGTGGGAGTGCTGGTAGAGGTTTAGACGATTCTCACCATTCTGATTCCTATGAAAGAGTACGTTACATGGTGATCTCATTGCTTGAAGAATAAGTATCTTTTTCTAGCCGTGAACTCCCAATCATCATTCCACCCTGAGGCATACATCCCGTCAACCGTGCTCAAGCACTGCATGTATACTCCGCCGTGGCATGAATCAAACTACTTCTAATCCCACCTTCCTCCACATTCAATGCCATGAAGTCGCCCAGGCCCCACTTACTCCTTTTCCATGTCCATTTCATCGTCACCGTCGTCCTCAGCAGTAGCAATGGCAGTGCTAGTGGCAGCAGCGACTCCTGCATCGTACGAGCTACAAGCCTTCGCAGAAGCCAACGCCAGCGACTGTTTCATTACCAGCTTACTGGTGTTGGTGTTCAAGCCCTTGGAGCGACACATCTTCTTGAGGTCGTTCTGATTGTACTCACCATCAGCATCCACAAGCGCCTGCACAAGATTATCCTTTTTCATCTTCTGCGGAAGATCAAGACCGCGACTCTCACACATCTTCTTCAGATCGGAAAGAGAAAGGTAAGAGCGCGGATCAGTGTCCTTGGGGGCCGCTTTCTTGGTCTTGATCACAGCTGGAGAGGCGTCTTTGTTCTTCTTTGCTTCCTGGGCCTTGGTCTTGGTTTTGAGCTGGGCGTTGCGCTGAGACTTCGAGATCCTATTCGCGTTGGCTCGAGCAAGGCGGATCTGGGCTTGAGCGGCACGGGTCATGGCGCGATGAGCCTTCGCTACTTCTTTGGCTTGGCGCTTCTCGGCGATCTCCTCTGCCTTCTGAGCGTTGAGCACCTTGGCATCATTCTTGATCTTAGCTTCCGCAGCTTCCAGCGCGTCCTTCTCCTTCTGCTCCTTGGTACGGGTCTTCTCACGCATCATGCGGAACTCTTCCATCTCCATACGGCGGGCGTCGGGGTCATCGTCCACTTCGGTAGGAATGCGCGCTGTGCCTTCGATGAGTTCATTGTAACGGTTGCGGCAGGCCTTGGCAGAGAAGAGAGCATGTTTGTTCAGACGACGCATATACTCGGAGACTTTGCGGAAGCGCCAGGCGCGAACGCGCTCCAGCTCGTAGTTGACCTCGATGTCGGCAAGGGCATAAGCTTGAACCAGAAGTTCATCCTGAAGATTCACATTAGCCAACTCAAAGAGGAAGAGTTAATTGATCAGACACTTACATCAGCGTATTCCCACTCCTTGTATCCTTCCTTCAGAAGGAAGTCAACGTTCTCAGCTTGAGCAAGACGAATGCGCATAATGCGCGTAGAGATAGACTTCTGGTCGTAGCGAACACGACCATCCTTGGCGAGTTTGTCGGCGATCTGGCGATCACTGAAGCCCTTCTCACGCATCGTCATCATGAGTTCGTCATCAGAGTCCAACTCGTGAGTGACACGCTTATGATAAGCTGGAAGACTCTCGCCCTTGCGACGGTCATGGCGGCCGAAAGTACCGGGCTTGCGCAAAGGCTGCTTGTAGAGGAAGCTGTTGTCTTCGTCCAATATGAAAGCTTCAGCGTCGCCAGTTTGGACACCAATAACGGACCGCTGGAGACCTCTGGTTTTGGAGATGTTGTTGGTTCGGACGCGCTTGCGCTTCTGACCGGTCATGTTGTCGTCATACTCGGGATAGTAGTCGTCTACCTCATCCTCGTCCTCGTCTCCATGGATACCGAGATCTTCATAGCCGTCGAGCTTGAAGTCGCCATCATCGGACTACCTAAGGTTAGCGATTTCCTGAAGGTCAAGCTGTATACTTACATCATCAGCTGCTTGAGCAGCGTCCTCGATATAGTCGTCGTCCTCACCACTAGGACTACCGTTCGCGTCATTCAAGTCGTTCTGAACGGGCTTCGCGTCGTCCGACCCGTCGCCTACAATTTTTTGTTAGAAGAACACGCAGGCAAGCCAAGTACGATAGTACTTACCGTAGAAATTGAAGGCGTCATTAGCCATGTTGCGGATTACAGTGGCGGGAGTGACGGTGATGTGTATAGTGTCGGTACTGTGAACGGTGACACAGTGATTGATTCACTGATTGTTCTTATAGTTCTGGTGTACTGAAGCACCTCGGGGTATTCTGTCAGGGCTGCAGAGAAGCATACGCGTTAATCCACTGTAGGCGCCAAAGGTAAAGGTGGGTAGTCCGACTGCGCACAGTGTGCGGCTGGAGGCTTCAGTGAGGCTTCAGCAGATAATTCGCGCAGACGAAAGATGTATTGACTGACTTCCCAATTATTGTGGTCGATCGAGATGGTGGAGGAAAGATGGAGGATTGGAATGAGATACTGTTTATATAGCGGGCGAGGTGCAGGCGGGGGTGCAGGCGATGGACGTGAACAACGAAAGCACGTGATTGCGATTCCTCTCTACTACATACATGTAAGAGATAGGGGCAGTGGTGAGAACGCAGCTTTGGAATAGCATACCCAATATTCAAGATATGAACAACGTGTGGGTTCCCGTTACAAAGTGGAATGATCTCCTTGAAAGCTCGGATTTGGTCAGTTCTGGAGTAATCAGGAGGCAAACCACAATATGTGAATAACTGCGACAACCGCTTTGAAGTTTACGCAACATGGCTCATTGAGGGTGCGTGATTAACGTCACCGCTTGATTTGCGAACTGTACTATGATGCGGTGATCGGTCTCTTGATATTAAGAAATCGGACATAACCAGACGAAACCACATACCGGTCGGAAACAAACATGTCCTCCGGAGGAACCACCAAGCTATGATTGATCGTCGCGTGAATGATGTGGCATTGTAGTTCTTGAACACCTACTTCGGTTCTGGCTAATCAGTGGGCCGAGAGCAGGAGGTCAAACTAGTGACGGCATCAACGCGAATGAAAAATAATGCCAACAGAGCCTAACCATCATAGCTCTGATGGAGATTTGTTGTAATATCAAGGCTGCTGGTACATGATCCGAACGATTCAATAGACACTGATCTAGCGATTATGAGTATTCGAAGTCTTCCAAATCCAAGTAGATCTTTCTGAGTGCAATGCTTGGGCATGCATGGCGGTTGTTTACAGTGGCGGATTCGTCGAACGCTGATTTTGGAGAGGATATCGGGATATTAGCGACCGAAGCTGCGAAGAAAACCGTCGAGATTGTCCATCCAGGTCCAATCAGCGTTTGATTTGTTTCAGACTTTTTCCAATCTCCTGCTGTCGGGGTGAGGTTTGACAGGTCGTGACGTGAGAAGTCAGGAGCCGCGCTAGTCGCCCCTCGTGGCGTGGCGCGAGCTCTAGATCGAGACCCCTGCCCATGACGTAACACGTGTAAACGCGGGACAACAATCAGGGCTTCTACAGCGCCGACGACGCCATAGCGAGTACCGCCGAGCCTAGAAGATCGCCCCCAAGCATTCCACGTCAAATCTAGAGTGCGACATATATCCTACAAACTCCCAATCTCCTAGGGCGTCTCTCACCACACCCGTACCTGCCACCAACATCCAACGCAGACGCGCACATCCAATATGGCATCCTATTTGGAGAAAGTGCGCCGCCAGTCAAAGCAGCTGTTCCCTCAGTCAAAACAGAAGCCTGGCGCCCCTCCCATTGAAGACCCTCCCAAACTCTCAGAGTCCGCCGTACCGAAAGTCGAGGATGCTGCCGTGCCAAAAATCGAAGAACCCGCTGCTGGCCCTAGCGGCCCCGTACCCACTCCACCGGCACCAACTGTCACCAACGCCAGCGAAGAAGTAGGAAGTGAACCTGTTCTTGATGCCGAAGACCAGCAATTCCTTGAGCGACTTGCCGCCATCGCCGCTGAGCCCGAAGGCACACCCCCACCTCTCCCTCAACGTACTGAAGTAGTCGACGACAACGGCGAGAAGAAGGTCGGCAGGGATGCGCAAACAGCCCTCATGGACAATGCAGACAAAGTGCCGCTCCCCATGAGTCCACCCGAGACCACTGCTGACGCTAGTGACAAGGGCAAAGGGAAGGCCGCTGAGGGTGGACTGGGTAGGAAGAAGAGTGTCATGTCCTACTTCCAGCTGCCCAAGTTCGCCAAGAAGGACGGGGAGAAGGCCTCAAAAGACAAGAAGATCGTGGTCACGGAGAAGGACAGGACTCAATTCGCAGACGACCTACTCGCTGCCGCCGAATCCGCCAAGGCTGCCGAGCTCACCGATGCGCAGAAGGAGGACAAGGAGTTGACGGATATTCTGGATCAGCTCAACCTCTCAGCCGTCAACAACCGCGTCTTTAGCTTTAGCAAAGAGTCGGAGGAGCTTCTCAATAAGTTCACGCAGGTTCTCAAAGATCTCATAAATGGAGTACCGACGGCCTACAACGACCTCGAGAAGCTCTTTACAGATTACGACAACCAACTCAAGAAGATGTACGGTAATCTACCACCTTTCCTACAGAATCTGGTAAAGAGCTTGCCTGCCAAGCTCACAGCCACTCTCGGCCCAGAGCTCATGGCTGCGTCGTCGGAGAAGCCAGGGTTCGATGCACAGGCTGCCGGCAAGCCCAAGGGCAAGAGGTCTATGCTTCCTCAAGTGCCAAAAGTACCGAGTCTGAAGTCGCTGGTGTCCGCTCAAGGTGCTGTTGCGACGGCGCTGAGGAGCATCGTGAATTTCCTGAAGTTCAGGTTCCCTGCTCTGGCAACTGGAACCAACGTCATCATGAGTCTGGCAGTTTTCGGTACGTATCATGTCCACATCGTATGGCGATCAAGCTGACTTTATCTAGTACTGCTCTTTGTATTCTGGTACTGCCACAAGCGCGGTCGTGAAACCCGTCTCGAAAAGGAGCGCCTCGCCGCCGAAGATGGCCAAGCTGGACGTATTAGCAGCGCCTCCTCTATCAACGAAGAAACCGACTCGATCTTTGGTGATCAGTCAAAGGCGAAGGCAAGGGACAGCGGAAAGATCACGCCTGCTTCTCCACCTCAAGAGCCACTCATCATCAAAGACAACAAAGAAAAGGAGGAAGGACAGTCAGCATCGGTAGCTGATCTCCCCAGTGTGTCGCACCTTCCCGATCCAAAGTCGGGAGAGGTACCCAGGACAGCTACTCCACCTCCTGACCGCAAGTAGATTTTGTGACAGCGGAAGCGAGGCTGAGGTATTTGGTTCAGATTGATATTCCCTATGCGTATACCCTGGCTTTAAGTAATACTTTAATCAACGACGCATCATGACGCTGCCAGTTCAGTTTGGGATACTAATATTCTGCATTGTATCTCTGTCTCTTCATGTCGCGTAAGAGCACTGATCTTATATGCGCTGTCATCCCTCCCCCCTCTCAAGGTTTTCTCGCATGAATCACCACGACTTCAAAGTACGCATGGACCTTCCTCTCCTTCACCCCTGACCTGAACTTAGCAAAGAAAATCTGAGCCTCCTCGACCGACCAGCCCATGACCTTGGTCAGCAGATACAGTCCCCATCCCTCTGCTCCTTGCGTAATATGCAGCAGATTCCACCTTCCCAACTCTTTCATATGTGGGTCTGCCGGCCACCCATTGACAGGAACCTTGTATACTCGCTCTTCAACATCCTTGAAGCCTGCATTACGGATATACGTCGACAAGTTCCAAACCTCGTAGAAGGATTTGCCGAAACACTCAGATGCTTCATGGAAGAGATCGCTCCACTGAGACAGCACGTGTTCTTTGGTCAACGTACCGTCGTCAGATTTGAACTGGATGCTCATTTCGAGTTCGTGGAGGTAGCCGCCTGGCTCGAGGTTGTTGTAGACTTGTGTGTAGAGTGCTGGCCACTCACCGATAGAGCCGTACAAGGAGCGGATGTTGATGAAGTCAAAGCGCTGTGTGTATGTCCATGGGAGGGTGATGTCGTCGATTTCGAATTTGCAGTTTGGTGGTGTGAACTGGGGTTGGATAGGGGAGAGGTCTACGCCGAGGATCTCGGCACTGGGGTATTCTGGATTTTGAGTTACTTATAGTATCCAAGAGAAAGGAATGTCTTTGGAGTCATTCCATATGAAGAGAGAAAGGGCAAGAGACATACCGTCAGCCATGTCCATACACCAAATTCCTGTTCCGCATCCAAGATCTAGCACCCTCTTTGGCTCTTTGATAGGCGCCAGATGCAGCTTCTGGTTCAGCATGATCAGAAACATGTGGTGCGCAATGTCAAGTTGATCATTCTGGATCTCGTCGTTGGGACCCCAATAATCGTTTTCGCCCTCACGGTACTTGTGGTAACGGCGGCCATTTTCGAAGCGGCCTTTATGGATGGTTGAGGCGATGGATGTTGTGTCACTTATAGCGTCATCGTCGCCTAGAGCCGAGTCCGTGTCGTTTGTACTATCCTACTGATATTAGAAACTCCTTGAGAAGATACTGAGCCGTGTCAATTATTTCCCGGCGCATCATGTTTTGATGGCCAGATGTTGTGAGGAAGATTTTGTTTTACTTACAACTAGCACAAGTGGATTGACAAGTTCTGCTGTTGATGCAGGACCTTCCACTGTGTCTGAGGGAAGCCCCGTTGGAATTGCCTGATCAGCAGATGCTTCAGCTGAATATATCGAAGTGGTCACCTCTTCTTGTGCGTCAGATGATGTAGTACGGTCCTTCAGTGGCGATGCATTTTTATCATCTTGCGGCGCAACGTTCGCGGGGCTATTTCCAGAAGTCGTATTATCAGATGGTGCTGTTGCTGACTCGCCCTCAATTGCCTTCTCTTTCCCTTTTCCAAGATCTGCCATCGTAGAGATTATGTTCGACACTATAGATCAAACAATGTCACCAATGAATAGCCTGGCACAAGGGTTTTATCGCTTAAGTGTTGTTCAGGCCACCATTAGCGGCTGTCAATGCCAGTGTTAATAGCCGCGACTGTGCCTCAATCGTACAGCAACGGCCCGGGACGAAATGGTGCAAGTGGATAAGCGAACGTACAAAAACCACCTGCTATGACGTCTTTTGATGGGTCTTGAATGACTTCAGATGCGGAAAAAGTACGGAAAAGTTCAAGATAACCATCCATAAAAGGGAGAAACGGTTAATAACGGTAGATGCCGTTACGAAGACCCTGCCCAGACTCCAACATGATGAAGGTGCGCCTCTCCACAGGGCTAGAACAAAATGGCGCTGAAATCCGAGTGCTTCACACCAAGAACGTGCGTACAAGGGCAAAACGTGGCTGTGGATCGAGATCGCGGGAGTTTCCTGCAAGCTCGACACAACGCATTGTAACCCGGGTTTCGACCGGAGACTTCTCCACCGAATGATTCGTTGCGGTACGTTTCGCGACCCGACGGTGTTTGATTGCGAAAATGTCAAAAGTCGAGTATTGTATCGTGTGAGACAACGTTGGAAGACTTGTCGCTGCGGTGCTGCTGTAACTCGCCCTATCAGCTTATGCGTGCCTCAATCGCTCAGCTGGGGAACCTTGGTAATCAAGGACACGACGCTAGCGCAAGGAATCTTGACATGCCGCGGCGCTTGCAAACTACTCCGGTTCCCGCTATCCTCTGTAAGGAATGGAACCTGGTTCCAGATGTCGCCATGACTTCCGTCAAACGTTGCTTGTTGGTGGGGCACCTGGATGTTGACAGCTCATGGCTTTGGTCACCATGCAGCTGCGAGCTCCGCACCTTCTCCAATCCTTAGATGGTGCTTGACCGATCAGAGCCAGTAACAACCGTTCAATAGGAGCTTGCAGCAACGCTCTCCGCTAGTTTCGTAGCGCACAACGGCGCGTGCTTTCACGAAGGGTTGCCCCACTGATGGGAAGAACTCCCATTCATCATCTGCAACTCCAAATCCTTGCCTTCTGACATCACTCCAGGCAAGCCATGGAGACTGTTCCGCCCGAGTCATTGCTCGACAGCGTCTCACGGCGCCTGTACGTCGTCGCATTCGTCGCTGTGGCGTTTTTCGCTATCGGCCGCATACGACAGCACTTGCGTCTGAAACACTTCGCCGGGCCCAGGACGACGGGATTCTCTTGGCTGTGGCATTCCAGAGCTGTTATCGGTGGCCAATCTCCTAGGTACTACGGTGAGGTTTGCGAGAAGTACGGTACGTGTCAGGAAGGCAAAAGTGCTACGCGATCTGGTGGCCTTATACTGATACTCCTCATAAGGGCCGATTGCCAGGATCGCACCGAACCACCTCATAACGTCAGACCCAGAGTATTGGGCACGGATCAATGCGGTGCGCTCACCGTATAGGCGATCATCATGGTACTATCATTGTGCTCGGTTTGAAACGGGAAAAGACAATGTCTTTACGGATTGCGACAACGATAGCCACGATGCAAGACGGAAGAAGATGACAGCCGGGGTACGTGGATATACAATCTGTACGATGAGGCTGCGCATCTCTTTTGGAATTCTGCGCAGTTGGGTGACCGAATCGCATCTACTAACATGTTGCAGTACTCTGGTAAAGAGAACCCGACACTTGAGCCTTCAATAGACCTCCATGTGAAAGAATTAGTGAACTTGGTGCGGAAGTATGCGACCTCAAAAGCATCAACGAAACCATCCCAAGCCATGGATTTGGCTCAGAAGATTCCTTTCTTTACCTTAGATGTCATCAGTCACGTGGGTCTGGGAGAAGCATTTGGTGACTTGAATGCCGACAAAGACCTCAAAGACTACCTAAAATCGAGCGAAGAAGGTCTCAAGATTGGAAACACGGCCTTTGCAATGGGCATAGCCTGGCTCAGAGACACGCCTATCATTGGCCCCGCTATCAGTCCATCGGAGAAAGATGCCAGTGGGTTTGGTAACATGATGGCTCAAGCACGAAAGATAGTCAACTCCAGGATGTTGAAGTCAACTGAAGACAAGTCTGATATGTTTGCATCGTTCGTCCGTCATGGTCTCTCTGGAAACGATCTTTGTAAGTGACATGAGTGTTGTAATCCGAGATGCTGGGCGTCGACTGACCCACCATGCCTAGTCCAAGAAGTCTTCGAGCAGATTCTCGCTGGGTCTGACACTACGGCTGCTGCCATTCGGACTATTTTGCTTTATGTCATGAGTCATCCGCGCGTATATGCAAAGCTGCAATCCGAGATAGATGAGGCTGTCAGAAACGGCACGGCTCCCGCATCTCCTGGTATCATCTCAGATGCAGAAGTGCGCCGCCTGCCATATTTAGGCGCTGTCATCCGTGAAGGAATGCGAGTAAGTCTTGTCCTTCTTGGAAAGAACATGGATCTTTGACCCAGTATGCACTAACAACACACTTCAGATACATCCGCCAGTCGCCAACATCTTCTCCAGAGTCACTCCAGATGAAGGAGATGTTGTAATCATCGACGACAAGGAGTATCACATTCCCGGCGGCACCTTGATTGGCTACTCGGCCTGGACGATGCACCGCAACAATCCAGCTCTTTACGGAGAGGACTGTGGTACCTTCCGTCCCGAACGCTGGCTGATTGACACAAAGGACGAGGATGCGAAAGACCGTCTAACCAGAATGACGAAGACCAACGATATGATATTTGGCTACGGTCGATGGCTTTGCCTGGGACGCAACATCGCGTTGATCGAGATACACAAGTGCATCTTCGAGTTGTTGAGGCACTTTGATCTGTCGTTGACCAACCCGCTGGAACCATGGAAGACGTTCAACTCGCTTGGGCTATGGGAGATCAAGGACATGTGGGTGGATGTCACCTTGAGAGAGTAGAGCTACGTTGGTCTGCGTCAGAGCGGGAGAAATTAAAATCTGGCGCAGTTGTTGCATATTTCATCTGGTGTAGTCGAAATCATAGCAGATTGGTGTTCTGACGCGTTTTGCTTTGCTTGGTTGTAAGGGCAACATTGATGCTCGAGTTCCGAGCAGCCAATCGGCTGATGCGCAGAGAGCGACGTACCAGCGATGAATATGTCTGAGCCTGGGAACTCTCCACCCAAATATGGCAGCATTGACCAAAGTCGCATAGCTCATATTCTGAGGACAATCGCCATGTGCGCAGACCTGACGGATATCTCCAACAGCGACAAACGCCCGTGGCGGAAGTAATCCGGAACATGGCGAGAGCGCTCCATATCAAACCAACTATGGCAGCCACCTTCGCCCGCCATCACAACTTCGACCAAATCCCCACGTACAATCACGGTAACGCCATCGCGACCCCACAGCCTCCTTACGATGCCTATGCCGCGTCGCATCATCATGTCGCAGTCCGCCACAGCAACATGGCAGCCTATTGCGAGCCTACCACCAGCGCTCAACATGCTGCCAGTATGAACGACAACGGGCAACAGCACGAGAATAGCTACTCTCCAGACGACACGCCTGGAAAGCGCGAAAGTCTCCAGCATGGCTTGGCTGGCCAACATCACGGTTACAGGATCCACAGCCCTACGTCCGAAGCATCTTACATCGGCATCCAGCACAACTCGGCACGCGCACCCCTAAACAATGACGCGCCCGACCGGCAATTCGCTATGCTCCCGCCTTCCAATTCGATACACGCTTCATGGCAAGCCCTCCATGATTATGCGCAATCGCACGCCTCGGAAAACGGATACGCGCTATCTATCAATACGACAGCTAAGAACCGGTCGCGCATCAAACTCGCCTGTGTCTGCTATGGCCAACCAAAGAATACCCACAAGCTTACAGCCGAGACGAGGGTCAGAAAGAATAGGGTCAGCTATAAGACAGGGTGCAAAATGTGGATCGAGGGCAAGAAACAGGACGACGGAACATGGCTATTGCGCGTCGGCGAACCACAACACAATCATCCCGGACGCGAGAGTGCTGGATGGGCTGTACAACGGAAGAGGACATGGGGTGTAGTAGGGGGTCGCATCGGGGTGGGAGGCGTCACAGCGAAGGAAGAACTCGCCAAGTCGAGCCTGATGGATAACAAGGATACCCTCGACGACGTGGACGCCGAAGCCGACGGCGACGAAGACACGATCAGCGCATCTACACAGGCACCAAAGAAGTCGCAACATAGTCTCGAGCGAGGAGGTCTCGTGTGGAAGATTGTCGAACAGGAGATGCTACGAAAGGGCGAACCCAACCAGGGTCGCGACCGAGGCGTAGGAAGGACAGTCGAGGTGCTACAAGCAAGACTACCCGGCATACACATTTTCAAGCGCGACGTATATAACATACGAGCGCAGATAAAGAGGGCTCGGAAAGCAGCAGGCCAGCAAGTCGGCGACGGCCTCAACAGCTCAGACGACGAAGCTGAAGCCGACGCCGAAACCGATCTCCACGACACCGTACAACTCAACGCTGATACCAGTACTCATCAATCAACCCAACAAGCCGCTCCGCAGAGACAAAGCACATACCACCACCCCACTTCTCGCGCCCTCAAACCGCCCGCACCCTTCCCGCTTGCCCGAAAAGATTCACGCATCGATCCTCTACTAGACAGCCGTGGGCCACCACCACCACCACCGACGCCTTCCGAGGCCGTCGATATAGAAGTCGATCAATTGAGGCGGGAGAATGCAGAGCTGAGACGATTATTGACGGAGCGGACGAAGCAGGTCAAGGAGAAGACTACGGAGTTGGCGGACAGGGCGAAGGAGATCAAGGACAAGACTACGGAGATGGCGGCACTGAAGAGTCAGGTTGAGCTGTTGAGTAATATGATGATGACGAGTGGGAGGGGGTTGATTGGAGGGTAGTGGGTAGATGGATCAGTGGCCTGGAGTGGAGTAATGCGTTGAGGTAATGAGAGGAGGGGTGTATACCCACCTGTTGTATGATAAAGAGATATGAAGATACGCAAAGGTGATCAAATTTACATATATAATCGTAAGCAACGACCAATTGAATAAGCTAATCAAAAAGACAAGAGGTATCTCAGAAAGGTATCCGTAAAAACAACCCTCCCAAAAGGTTCCTTTGCAAACTCCCAATCAACATCAACGTGGTATCTAGCACCAGAAACTCCATCATAAGCTCATAGTCAACGCATTAACCCGTCGCTCATGTCACGTTCTCAAATGACGTGCTTCACGCCTCCTCGACCATGTCCTCATCCTCGCCCTCGGCGAGCAGATCCTGTTCTTCACAGCTACGCTCCACTTCATCAGCGATGAACTGCTCGTACTCCTCCAAACTCTTCTGTACGTGGAGTTTGAAGCGCACAATGTCGTCGAGCATTCGCTCGATTTCTGTGTGGAGTTCTTCGCGGAGGGCGTTGGCGCGGAGTTGGAGTTGTTCGTATCTGTAACATATCATTAGCTTCGTCCATAGACGCTATAATGGAAAAGAGCAATGGAGAACTTACTCGATGTTGACGGCCATCTCTCGTTGTACCATCAGTTGTACGCTTTCTCCCAGGCCGCTACGCATACGGCCTAGCTCTTTCTCCATGCGCTCAATCTGTGCGTCAGACTGACTCTTTTGCGTGTTTGTGATTTCGCGGAGCTTTTCTAGCTCTTCTTCTGCTTGGGCTACGCGGTGGCCGAGAGCTTCGACTTCGGCTTGCTTGTCGTCCATGGCTTCTTTGATCTTGTCGAGGAGATCGTGGTTGTTCATGTCAGCTTCTAGGGCTTGGTTGCGTCGTTCTGCAATCTCCTTGCGGAGTGCGATGATATTGGCCTTTACTGTGCCGCGTAGGTCTAGGTTAAGCAGATGTGCTGGTGAGTACCCTGTGCCTGCGTCGTGGAGAAGACGGTCTGATGCGTCTTGTGATGAGCCGCCCATTTGCGAACCTGAAAAGTTGGGGCCATCTGTAATAGTAAGGACAAGTTCATAGTCTTGCCCCTTAGCGTTGACGGCTGTGGAGGGGATGACGCCAATCTGGTAACCCAGGTTGTTGTAGCGCTCAATCGTTTGTTCGAGCTCGTCCAGTTTGCGGGATGCAGCGACTTCCTTCTCCGCAACACGCTTCTTGGACTCCTCTAGACGGACTGTCGTTGCCTGCAGGGAAGTATCAAGGCGGTCTCTTTCATTTGCCATACGGTCAATATCCGAGATGGTCATGCCTCGACCGTCAATGATAGCTTGAAGCTCTTGCTGCTCCTTCTCGGAGGCCTCAAGCTCTGCTTCAATCTCTTCGATCGACTTCTCCAAGAATGAGCAGCGGTCGCTGTACTTCTTGACCTTGGTATCCATGGAGTTGTTGTAGTTCTCGAACTTGACGCGATCTTCTTCCAGGATACGGATCTGCTCCTCGAGCTTTTGAATTCTGGGACCGGACTTGCCTAGCTCTTCGATCTGGTCTTGGAGGTACTTGTGCTCAGCCTCTAGAAGGGCGACCTGCTCATGGTGCTGTGCATTTGCAGCATCAAACTTCGCAGCCATTGTTCGGATGTGAGGCTCCATGTGTTTCTTCTGCGCCTCTTCATCGTCGTCGTCGTCTTCTGCAGACAGCCAAGTGCTGTAGGCGTCTGACAAGAAGTCAAAGATGATGCGATCTCCAGAGACGTCGAAGCCAGCCTCAAAGCAAGCGTCGTCGTATGTACCGGTCTCATAAGCCTGCATCAGGCGTGCCAATTGCATCATCCAGTGCAAAAGACCCAAAAATGTGTACCAGTTGTTTCCACCAACAGCCGCGATCTGGGATTTCATAATCGACTTCTCGAATGGGTAGCGCATCTGCTTCAGCAGTACTGGCACCTCTTGGTCGATTGATTTCTGAAAGCGGTAACTGGGATCAATGCGGTTGTAGAGCCATTGAAACATGCAGTTGAAATCCTTCTGCGTTGGCGAAGTCATGGCTTTTGCTGAGAGGACATGTTTAGACTCCATCTCAAAGTTGTTTTGGGTCAGGTATTCGAGCAGCTCCTGAGCCATGTGCTGACGGGTGCTTGCATCTTTGAGTCGCCGTGGGTCCGTCGGGGGGACGGATGGCATAGGCGCCTGTTGGAAAAAGGATTGTTTTACACCAGATTGTCCAGTTACATGCGAGGCTCGCGATTTGAAGACGCTGCTCCTTCGTTGTGCGCTCTGTTCGAAGTTGGGACCAGAAGGGGGGGCGGGTGTTTGGAATATGGAGGCGCCAGGCGCAAAGCTCTTGCGCGCACTGCTTGCGCCGAAGTTGCTTGTCGAATTACGATGTACTGACTGGAAGCCTTGCGCAAGGTCTGTTCCAGAGGATGAGCGTGGGAAGAGCGGCTGGCTCGGGCGACCGGGCGCGAGGGACATTCTACTTCCACTCTTCGACCGGGCGTGATTCGGAGGGAATTGGGGTTGGTTCATGTTGTTGATCGAGCTTGAGCGCTTCATGGCGGAAGCGGGCATGGGAATCGCGGAGGAGTTGTTGTTTACTGGTCCTAGAGTCTGCGCGCGTGGTTTAGGAGATGCGACGAGAGGGGGTTGCGAACAAGACTCACCTGACGGCGCACCGAGAACATTCCCGGGTCGGCCATGTTACGATGTGTTGTTACACTTATGCAGCGATTGTCGGTCTGCTCGCGACGTCGCGGGTCAGGAAGGCGGGAGGCCGAGTGGGATAGGGCTGGTGTTGATGCACCCGTACCCGCCTATGCAATGTTTGTTGTGATCAGGGTTTCGCGCTAGCCCACCGCAGCAACGCGCGTGGTCCGCGCCACGTGGGGTACGTTTCTTGCATTGTTGACGTCTGATTATCTCGGATACAAGGCAGGTAGAGTCGGTAGTAAGGTAAGAGTGTTAATTTATAGCGACCGGCGGCGAGAGATGCCATGGCCAAATACGCACCGTCGAAGGGAACGCTAGCAGGTAGTGATATGTAAAGCCAGAGTAAATGAAGGCTGCCAACCCCGTCGTCCTCCCCAGTCGCCACAAGATCTCATCTAGGACGCACTCATACGTGCCACTTCATCGCTATACTGTATCGACTGGGGTATCGTTGTGCACATGCAAGCCAAAATAATGATGCCACAAATTTTCAGAACTCCAACCTGTGGCCCGTGAAAGGTATAAACAATAAGGACATTAAACTCGAAACCCGTTAGAAATGCATCATCAACATGCCCCCGTTGCAAGTGTGTTTTAGGCGTCTACCACCGTGTCGACTTGGGCACATCTGCCTTTCCTATGTCCTTGAACATGTCGTCGGCGCCGAGACTCAGCGTGTCCTCGTTGACACCGAAGGTGCTCAGGCCTGGCAGCGCCGGAGGCGGCGGGCCCTTGGGCTTGGGTGGCTGCGCGGCCTGTACGGCAGGTTGAGAGACAGTGCGACCATTCGAGTAGGTTGTGGAATCCACAGTGCCTTCTGGAACAGATCCGGAGATGAATGTCTTCCTCTTGCCGAACCAACTGCCGCTCTTCCTCCTGCTGAGACTGGGTGCTTGACTGTTGATTGTAGCCGGCGAGCCCGGCCTGTCCGACTTCAAGCTGTCGTTGGACGACAGCGTTCGAATGCCGAGGAACTTGCGGACGGATGCAGGCCGCTTGCTCGAAGGGCTCGTGGGGGACATGGCGCTGGTCGCATCGCTGGTGCGGCTCTGCTGGAGGTGTGCATCCGCCGAGTCCTCTGACGCTTTGCCTGGAGGCGGCGACTCTGTCTGCGGCGGGGAACCAGGCGACTTTGGGGTAGGATGCGACGACAGTGGGCCTTTTCCAGGCGTGGGCGGGCGAGGTGACTCGGGCGGGCTGTCGAGCGGCGCGGGTATCGACGTGCCCTCGGTCAAAGAGAAGTTGATGGGCGAAAGCGTCAGTGGCTTGAACGAGAACTTGTTGGAGCCCATTGCAGTGTCGTGGTGAGAGATTCGTATGGTAAATTGCGGTGGGCGATCAATAAACCCAAGTTGCGGTGGAGTGGAGGCAATTGAAGGCTGGGAGCGACGCGGCAGCAGATGAGAGAGTCTCGCAGAAGCCGCAGGCGGGTGGAAGCTCAGGAGGTGCTTTCGTGAAGCGGAGTACGGGCCAGGGATTACACGACGGTTAGCAGGGATCAGCGCCCTGCACCACACCAGAGGCGCTGCGGATACGGCGCGTCAGCCTCGACCTTCCCCAGAAACACGCCCTGCCTGCTGCCCCGACATCAAAAGGAACCAGACGTGGACAAAACACGCGCGCGTCAGCAACCGTCGTGCAGCTCTGCATGAATGCGTGCCTGCATCGCGTCCCCTACGAGCCTCTAGCGCGACAACTGTACCATAGAATGCAGTGGGTCAGCCACCCGAGTCAGCGTCAAGGCATAATGCAGGAGAGCCGTGCCGTACGCGCATCCTATGTCGCCATCTGCCTCCGCATGTCGATTTGATTGAGACCCTTTCTATGATCTTCAACGGCTATCTAGGCCCATATCGCACTCGCTGCGACATGCATCAAACACGCACTGCAGCCGTGTACCCCTCCAAAAGTTTATCCGCCACATGGGCGACCCCTATCGCCGTAGCTTCCGAAGCACCCTGATGTCATCGCTATGCACAACCTGATCCGGGCCACTCTTATCTTGTCTTGCGCTGATGCACCTCGTCCAATTCGGTAATCTCGTCGAGCAGTTGGCATGTCTCTTGTGGGTTCGCGATCCACGCCGTCGTACATGCTAGCCGAGCCTTGAAGTCGTTCGCCCCAGCGCTCAAGAACTGGTCGCCAATGTGCAACGTTTTGCTGCCCTCAATTCCTCCAAAGATCCGTTGACAAGCAAGGACACCCCAGGACTTATCTCCGATGTCGACGAATACGTCGTTTCCGCCGTTGAACGCGCAAAAGGGGAGACGCTGGCCGACGTCGGATATTTCCTAGCCATGTCAGCATTGCAAGCATTCCACATGGTCTCAAAACCTACGAGTATCTTTTGCACGATCAAGACGGTCTCTTCCAGTGTCTCTCGGCAGAACTTGTGCCCTTCCTTTGGTACGATGCCCACCGCTCTTTCCTTCCGGACGACACTTGCCTCCATGCGGAAGTTTTTGACCGTATCCCTCAGTGAAACTTCCGCCAAGTCAAGCAGGTCCTTGATGTCCGACTCATGCCACGAAAGCATTTCTTTGAGTAGCCATTCTTCTCTCGGAATCAGGCGCAGCAGAACTGGACTGTTCTCGTCGAACTTGAAACAGAAATTGCTTTCGCCGCCCATGATGATCAGATTCTGTCGAGCCTCTAGGGGCAGATCGGATGCCTGGATGGCGTCTAGGAGCCCGTACAGTCTGCCATAGTATGGCTTCGCCTCTGTGTACCCTGCGGCTGTGACAATGCCAATCTTTGATCCACGACGCATGAGCTGCAGAATCTTGGGAATGATTGGGTTGTCTTCTGTCAAGTCTTTGCCGTCGTCATACAAGGTGACATCTCCGTCAAACGTCACGAGTTCGAGTGGACCGTTGCGGATGAGACTCATCACTTGAGCTGTGTTCAGGACTAGACGCACGTCGTTGAAAGACGGAGGCACGAAGCGCCGGTGGCTGATGAAGCGCCGCTGATCTTGCCAGATGAAAGCGTCATGCAATGCTAAGGACGTAAAGAAGTTCGCTACTGTTGGAACGAGAAGCTTCAACTTTGATCTGTCGGGTTTGCCATCTTTCTGGTGTTGTACTAAGTTGCGTTAACCTTGCGATTTCGCTGTAGACCGCCCAGACTCGCGCGGCTTCGATGGCTTCAAGACATACTGTGGTCGTTGATGATCTCCTCAACGTCGCGTAAAATCTCCGCATATCGCCGTTGGGCAATATTGGCTTGGTGCTCGACTGACTCATCGTTGGGCTCGAATACTGCTGTTGGGTGGGAGTGTAGGACGAAAGGCACGGCTAGGAGACCCTTGGGTAGTATAAGTATGTGCCTCACACTGTCTTGCAAGCTGGAAGACCATTACCTTGATCCACTCTATCTGTATCGTTGCATTAGCTAGGCATTCTGGTTGGGTATCACAGGATACTTACGAGCTGGTCTCTCCTGTGGGTCTTTCGGGATATGTTAGTTGTTTGAAGGCAGGTGCTTGTCAATGTAATTTATACACACCTTGAGGGCATCTGCCACACGGGAAGCCATCAAGTTAGCGTTCTTGTCTCTGAGTCGACCTTTGGGGATTGTAGCCGTGGCTGGGACTTACATTCTACGCGATATCTGGTAGTCATCTTGCAAAGCCTCAATCGGTGAAGGAGGAGTGAGGAGAAGTGAAGGACACAGTGACTGTGAGTTGTCACTGTGACCTAAGCTGTCTGTCCAAGCTTATCGGAGACCGCCGTTAGTGGCTGGAGAGAGAAGGGGCCATGCACATGTGACCCGGTGGTATCCCCGCGCAACGGTACACTAACGCCTGTAAGCTGCTTGGTTCCCCTCTGCAAAGCTACAAGTACCTTGCTTTTGATTGACGATTGCGCGTGCAACGTGTGCCATTCGTGGGTTGCATGGGTGAAACCACAATCGATAAGCGGCGATCTGCAACGGCCGCTACTGAGCGACGGCTTTTATGCAAGGGCCCACAGTGTCGGACAAACCACAGGAACCCAGCCTGAGCTTCACCCAAGCTCCCCGGCTGCCTCCAGAGTCGCAATCAAAATGGACCCATTGAACAACGTGGCTCTGCGCCCATGGCCCGCCGCAAAGAAGGAGGAGCTGACTCAGGATGATCTGCTGTTCAAGATCGAGCAGCTGGCGAGCGAACGCGGGCACTTGCGCAACATCACCGAACAGTCGCTACAGGAGGATATTGACGCAGGCAAAGATATACCAGACGGCGCCGCAGAAGGAGCCGTTAAGGAGAAGAAGGAAAACGAGGTGCCTTCCCGGCAGGAGCAGCTAGAGAAGGTGTTCAAAGCCGGGCAGGAGATGTATAGTCATCTGGAGTACGTCTGAACGCGAACGCGCTGTATGGAGGATCAATACTGACCAAAGACAGATGGGCCAAGTTCGCTGCCACCAATGCGCTCGATCTCGTCTCCCTCATACTCTCCCAAGACCCAAATAAACGCGCCCTTAACTTCTTCAGTCCGACGTTTCGAGAGCAAGGCCTGAACCAGGGCATACCACTCGGCTCTTTCGGCATGAGCAAGGAGAACCACGAACATCGCACTCGCAAGCCGGACGAGGTACAACGAGTTCAGGATCTCGCGTCCAAACAAGAAATAGCTGCTCAGGGAGCACGTATGGGGGCGCTCGATTCTTCGGTAGACGAGATATTGAAGGCCGCGAAACACTTGGAGAAGGAGATCCGTCGAGAGACGAAGTACTGGCATGAGATAGTGTCCGTCTCCGACAAGGGATGGCCAATTCAACGACTGCGCCAGAATGTACGGCATTCGCCCTTTGCCGTGCGTTATGGACTCCCCGAAGGTAAAGACTGTTCATTCGTCGCATCTCTTTCCTTAAGCTAACAATGTATCAGCAAGCGGTCATTTCAAAGCGCGTGGCTTCGCCCCTCTCCAGATGGACAAGGACGGCAGCATCATTCTCGATCCGAGTCTCGCGCTGAAACCGAAGACATTCCGTGTGCGAATCAGTGTCGACGGCAAGATGACAGGCACATCACAACTCCCTCTCGACGGCGAGATTTCAGCCCGGTCTCTCGAAAAGTCTATTCAACTTGCCCGCGATTCATTGCTAGAGGAAGAACTGTACTATGAAATGAGTCTCGAAACCCGGCAGCTGCGAGCATACGGTGTCGAATTTCGGGATTCTGTCATTCACATAGACGTGCCTAGTGTGGGCAATGCATCGCAAGATCGAAAGCTGCTCATCGATTGCGTACCCCGGGACGATCCTATAGCGAACAACCAAGGGCATGAGTACGATTGGCTGGCTCGCAACACCGCCGAGGCGCTCCGACTGCTCCTAGCCCATGAGCACAGCATGCGTCTCTATCGGAGATCACAGCTTCCACCTCCCTTGACAGGCCAAAAGCGGGATAAGCCTCCTCCACCTTTGCTGCGTACGCTACTCGCGGTATACAATCACATTGCAGGTGTCGACTCGCTTTATGTCTACCTTGGTCGCATCGCCAAAACGCTGAATAACGCAGGTCTTGATGCGAGCCTGGACACTACGCGTGAGACGTCTTGGGCGGTCCTTTCGGAGAGCTTGAAGACGACGCCGAAGAAGGGCATGTCCGCAACCGATCAGCTGCTTCAAATCTTCATGAAGCCGTTCGATGGGAAAGCGACATTGACCCTACCCACCCCGAACGGCACACAGCCGGAGAGTCTGGTCATCGTTACACGCACGATAATCGGTCAACCGACGTTTGGCACAGAACATAAGCTCACCCTTCCATCCACTCTGAGTTCCGATCTTGGCTTATTCCAGCAGCACAAATTTGCTACTGTCGAGGAGCTGAAGTCATATCTAGACTGGATCATGTCCTTACATATCGCGCATAGACTTTTGAAGAGCGAGTACGCCTCGCGCGCGCAGACGAGAACTCAGGATCCACGGCTCTCGATTCGTCAAAGCAAGGAAACCAAGAAGGGACTCAAGTCTACAAAGGATATCAGAGTTGACTTCAACGACGGGGAGCTAAAGGTGACTGCGCTGGCGGTAGACGCGGCGTCGGAAGCGGAAGACGGGGAGCAATCGCATACTTGGACTGAGACAGACGATAGTGCTTCTCTAAAAGACGTTATCAAAGAGTGGGTTGGCTAAACAACCATGGGAGAAAACAAGTAGTAAATCAAGTCCATGATGAATCTAATTAAATCAAGCAGATTTTCGGTCGCTTGCAACATGCATATCATGGCGCCAGTGGTGTTGCACCCAGCAAAAGCGGGGTGAGCCGTCGAAAAGGTTAGGCCGTAAGCGGATAGCTTCACTTCGTGCAGCCTCAAATCCACATCAGATCGTCCCGAGGTCAATAGCTCCTCAGTTCTACCCTGGTACCTGACATGTTCATGACGTTGTAGACTAAGAGTGCCGAGCCGCAAACTGACGTTCACATACTATCTGCCCAGATGAGGTAATGTTTACAGTTCGCGCTTGCATGCTCGAAGCTATATAAACCGCCATGTCAAGCATCATGCCGTCAGTCTTGATACCCGTCATTAGATTGTCGTCGCGTCCAACATGCTGTCTCTTTCTGTACTAACGTTGAGCGCTCTGCTTCCTGGGCTGTCCAGCGCACAACGCATTCGTTCTGACCCCGGTGTTGCCGGCCCACCTCTCGAAATTGTCCATCTCTATAACGATCAATGGCCTACCGGTACCAACACGCCGTAGTAGTCTCCTACATACACAACGACTAACATCAGTCCCAGGTATCACCGTATCGAAGGGCGGTCGTAAATTCTCAAACTACCCAGCAGGTCTCGATCCCAACAACACCAACACAGGCACCAACAACAGGCATGCTGTAGCAGAGCTCACTGCCAACGGCACCGAAACACCGTACCCAAGCGCCGAGATCAACAATCCGCCAAATGGAGCCATCAACTACACAACCACCCCACCAACAGGCGCAAACTACCAAAACTACCTCATCGGCGTTCAAAGCGTCGTCCTCGACCCTCAGGACCGGCTCTGGATCCTAGACACAGGCCGCGCATTAACCGAAGAAGGCACCCTCGTTCTGGCATCCACCGGCGGCCCCAAGCTCGTTGGTGTTGACATTGAATCCGATACGGTAATCCAAACAATTGTTTTCCCTCCTACGGTAGCATACCCAGACTCGTACCTCAACGACGTGCGCTTCGACCTGCGTCCTTCCGTCACTGAATCTGGGAAGGGTGTAGCGTACATCACCGATTCGTCATCCGAGGGTCGCAATGGAATCGTCATTGTAGACCTAGGCACAGGCGAGAGCTGGCGCCATCTCGACGGCGCACAGGAGTCACGAGCGGAGCGCGGTTTCGTGCCATATGTCTGGGGCGAACCGAAATACTACATCCCCGGTCCTGGTCTGCCGCTTACCACCGTTCCCTTAGGAAGCGATGGTATCACCTTGTCCGCTGATGGCGAGCATTTGTACTTTGGCCCTGTTGGTGGACGCACGCTATACAGTATTCCCACCGAGCGCCTGCGGGACCGCAGTCAAGCGTCTGAGCTTTTGGCGCTGGGTGCGGTGAATAATCGGGGTGATAGGGGTGTGAGCGATGGGTTTGAGACGGATACGAATGGATTCATCTATGCGGGTAATATGGAACAGAATGAGATTGGGTTTCATAATCCGAAGAATGTGTCTATGACGTTGTTTGTGAGGGACCCGAGGATTAGTTGGGTGGATACCAGTAAGTCTTCATTTTATTGTGCTGGTGGTGTCTGGATGGTAAACTGACGTGTTGTAGTGTCCGTTGGAAGCGATGGCTATCTTTACTTCACTGATAACCAGCTTGCTTTTAGTTCGTCCTTCTATCCTGGTACGGACGACAGGGAGAGACCGTTTGTGCTGTTCAGGGCGCCTTTGCCTAATAACGGCTCAAGAGTGCTCTTGCAATAGAGTTTCGATGGACAGTACCACAGTTTCATGATACAACTGGACATATGTGCATATGCCATAGAACGTATATAGCTTTGAAAATTACAAAGTCTACGTCTTACCAAACACGAAAATCCCCTTGCCGTCCCTGTAGCCCTCCAGAGTATCCTTGACCTTGCCTATCAATTCGTCGCCCTTGGTATCCCACTCCCACTTGATCTCATCAACAGGCATATCCCTAAACTCGCCCTTGCGTGTCATATCCAGTACATCGGCGACCGTCTTCTGCTTCTCTTCTGGATGTTTCTCCGCCCATCTGCTTACCCAAAAGCCGTGGAAGTGGATGTCCTTGAAGATGAGCATGGACGCGGGAATAGTCAAAGGCTGCTTCGACATGGCGCCATAAGTAACGAAGTGCGATGAGGAAGAAAGCAGTTTGGCCATTGCGGTAGCGGCCTTTCCGTTCACGCAGTTCAATGCCAAGCGAATGGGAGCGCGACCGCCATTCGTCCATTCTTTGGCCTGGTCTTTGATGCCCTGCGATTGCAATTCTGCATCCGTGATGACGACATCTGCGCCCAGCTCTTGAAGTTCTTTCTTCATGGCCTCTTCCTTGCTCTTGTCTTCCCGGCTACGGATTACGTTGATGCTCTTGTAACCCCACTTCTTACCTAGTTGGATGGCGGCACGTCCGACACCTGAGTTCGCTCCATTCTGTATGAACCACTCGCCTTCGGAGAGCGTTGTGAAGTCGCGAAGCATTCGGTATGCCGTGCATGGGTTTATGGAAACGGTGCCGGCTTGAATCGCGGTAATGCCTTCGCGCATCTGGTCGTCGAGCTTTACAACATCGTTCGTGGTGGCGCTTGCGTGTGTCCGCCATGTACCAAAGCCGGGACCTTTCATGAAGACCCAGTCGCCCTTCTTGAAGCCTTCCTTCTTGACTCCCTCGCCCAACGCTATTATCTCCGCCACACCTTCATTTCCGGCGACAGCGATTGGATTCGGTGTGCCTAGGTTGGTGGTGAATGTCGGCTTCGAAGGGTATACGCCTTGGATCTGGTTGATATCGGCGGGATTGATGGGCGAAGCGAGGAAGCGCAATGTCATAAAGTTGCTGTGTGGGGGCGAAATGGAATGACCGTGCAGAGAGAGCACAGTGGGAGGCTCGCCATATTCGGAGAATGTGAGGGCTTTGGCTTGTTCGTAGCCGTATGCCGAGATGTAGCGGCGCTGCGGAAGTCGCGATACGGCCGGGGCTAGGTGTCGTGTGCGGCGCAGACACGACTGCGCTAACCGCGGAGACGGCGAGATGATTTTGGAAGCCATCGTGAGTGGCGTAGACACTTTGGTAGCGATGTGAATTGGAAGCCTGCGGAGCTCATGGAAGATGTTTTGGAAAGATGGAGCTATGACGTTTGCTAAAGCCGAGGTTTGGTGGAGTAACGGAGTCCATAACAAGCATCACTTTCGACTCAGCTACACATCTGTAACAATTCTTGATGCGCAAATGTTTTGACGGAATGAATTCACATTCTACATACTAAGGTAGCGCGGGTTCCGAGTCTCGCCTTCAGCCCAAGTCTCTGCTATGCTCCACTGTTTCTCATAAGCTCGCAAGAATACTCGCATCAGGCAACGATGTGCCACAGCCTGCGCCATGAACTACGTACGAAGAAGCAATAAGCAGCAGTCGACATTCACATGCAAGACGGCCCAAGAGGCGCTTCGTGAAGGTTCCCGCCAGCTGTGGGCATCTAGACGCCACTAGCACCGCCCCGCATACGTCATCGCCCATGCGTGTTGTTAGGCTGCGCCCTCCTTGAACTGGCAGGTTGCTGCATACCCCTCTTGCTACAAATAGACCCTTTCGCCAACACACCCTGTCCACTGCATCACTCAAAGACTCACAATACCCCTCAACCACTATACCACTACATTCAAATCCACCTCAAAACACCTGACACATACATCAACATGGCTGCCACCGTCAACGTCGAGAACATCTCCACCAAGACCAGCGAGGATGAGATCAAGAGCTTCTTCTCCTTCTGCGGAAAGATCCAGTCACTCAGCGTAAAGCCTTCAGGCGATGACACACAGTCTGCCTCTGTCACCTTCGAGAAGGCCGCCGCCGCAAAGACCGCCCTCCTCCTCGACAACACACAGCTCGGCCACAACTCGGTCCAGGTCACGTCCGCTAAGAGCATCGACGAGATTGCCGGCGAGAAGTCTGCCTCCGCCGACGACGCCAAGGACGGTGATCATCACATCGAGCAGGAGCAGAAGCCCCGCGCACGCATCATCGCCGAGTACCTCGCCCACGGCTATGCCATCTCCGACACGGCCATCGAGAAGGCCCTTGCAGCAGACAAGCAGAACGGCTACAGCACCAAGTTCATGAACGTCCTCAACAACTTCGACCAGAAGACTCAGGCTACACAGAAGGCGCAGGTCGTCGACCAGAAGTTGGGCATAACAAACAAGGGCTACGCTGCCTTCAACATGATGACCAGCTACTTCGACAAGGCTGCTTCTACACCCACCGGACAGAAGCTCCGTGCTTTCTACGAGCAGGGAAACAAGACTGTTATGGACGTCCACAACGAGGCCAGGCATTTGGCCGACCTTAAGAAGCAGAAGTCTGCCAGCGAGGGCGGTGTCGCTACTGAGAGCAGCGAGAAGCCTGCCGAGGGTAGCAACGAGAAGAGCGGCGAGTCCTACGCCGCCGCCGCCGCTCCTACTTCCTAGATGCGAACACCTTTGTGCTGACGACGAAGGACTGGAACGGCATTTCTTTCGATTCAACGATTCCCACTTGGTTTACAGTCTGTATGAATACTTGCGCATGATACCGATGACGGCACGAGCATGGAGTTTGGAATAAGATAGTTTAGCAACCTACAAAGAAACAATTCTATCTAGTAGCCATTGATCTTGACCACTGTACTATGCGTAGTGATGTTGCTCTATTACGCTCTTTTCTCGGACAACCATGTAAACAATGTGGGAACTCCAGAAGACCTTACTAAGCATGCAGAAAGCAGAAAAGACAAAACCAACGTTCCTCACATCCCTCTAGTATCCCCATTCTCCACTGTCCAAAAGGCTCTGACTAGCCACAAAGCTGAACCCTCCAAAAGGATTGCTAGAAGCCTGACTTTCAAACATCAAGTCGTCAAACTTCTTCGTCAGAACAGGACTCAGCGGCAGATCAGTGAAATCTTGAGCAAAGTTCTCCGCCAACTCCGGGTCGGTAATGAGTGGCTGAATGGGCGGTTCCAGCTCCCTCGCTTCCAACTTCTTCCAATCGATCTTGCGGAAGAACCTATGTTTCTTGATATTCGGCAGGTCCTTGGCCATGTTGAAACCTAGGCGCTTCTTGGGGTCTTTGCGAAGGAGGCGAGTGAGGAGGTCCTTGGCGTCGGCGCTGAGGTAGTAGGGCAGTGCGAGTTTCTGCTTTACAATCTTTTCCTGGATCTTGGCGTTGTTGTTACCCGTGAACGGAGGAGCGCCAGTGAGAAGATCGAAGCCAAGTGCGCCCAGGGACCACCAGTCGACTGCCGCGCCGTACTCGTGACCTTGGACCACCTCCGGGGCCATGTATTCTACGGTACCGAGGATGGAGCGGCAAGGGCTATCTTCGTCAAGACTGACTTTGCTGAGGCCGAAGTCGGTAAGAAGCAAGTGGCCCTCGGAGTCTAGTAGGCAGTTCTCTGGCTTGAGGTCGCGGTAGATGACGCCGACTGTGCGGTGAAGGTGGTCGAGCGCAAGCACCATTTCAGCCATGTAAAAAGCAGCCACATCTTCGGAGAACATGCGCTCAGCAGCAAGGTGGTGGAACAGCTCGCCTCCTTGGGCATACTCGAGAATGAGGTACAGCTTCTCCTGGTCCTGGAAGGCATAGTAAAAGTTGACGATAAACGGGTGGCGGTTCACACTCTCTAGGACATTTCGCTCCGTCTTGGTCTGTTCGATGAGCTTCTTATGCACAGTAATGGAAGCCTTCTTGAACTGCTTCTGCGCGAAAAGGCGGCCTGTCGCGCGCTGCCTAACCAGCAAGACAGTGCCATAGCTGCCCTTACCCAGACACATCAACGGCTCAAAATCCTCGGCCGTCATCTTGCGCGCCATGCCACTGTTCAACATGGTCGAAGTCTTGGAGAGCGTGTCAATGCTGAAGTCCTCTGCGTTGAGGTCGATCTCGTAGCTCTCCATCTCCGTGCGGTCACTGTCACTTTCCCGGCCAGACATGCTGGTGTTGCTCGACAACTGCGATGTGACCCTGCTCATAGCGACACCCTTTCCTGGGGAATCCTTCATGGGTGAATCGCTCCGTGGGCCTAGGTTCAGCGCCTCCAGCTGGGCTTTGAGGTTGCTGATGCCTCCCGCGGTGGACTGGGGTCGAAGCGCCGGGCTGCTGGTAACGCTGGGCAGTCCAGAGCGCACAGGTCCGAAGCGCGGGGTGGTCGCGAGAGAATAGTCCGACTCCTCCCCACCAGACGTGACTGGAGTGTGAAAACCCCGGGTGACGCTTGTAGCTTGTAGTCCTGCTTTCAGACCCTTCTTTTTCTTCTTCTTGTTCTTCTGGGCCTTCTTGAACACAGCGTCGAAATCCAACTTGTCTGGTCCCTGCTGCTTGCCTTCGGGGCCGGGCTGCACTGCGCGCTGTGGCATAGGGCTGACGATGTTGATCGGCGGGGTTCCTACGTGGAGGGGCGCTTTGGGTGGGCTCATGTCCATTGGTCCCGGAGCGAACATGTCGTTTTCGGGAATGGCAGGCTCAGGGTTTCGCGGCGCGTTGGCCGGAAGTTGGGCATCGTTCTGGTCGAATGCGAAAACCATGGTAACGGTAGTGAGGGGTAATGCGATAAAGAGTCGTCACTCTCCAAGCTGCGCCCGTATTCTGCTCAAGTCAGCATTTGCGCACGCTCTAGAAAGAAATTTGCGCACATCCAACGCCGGTCTTGGGCAAACCAATATTACAGTCCGCCGCGAGGATTCACGGCGGAACTCCTACCCCTAGCCGAACCAGCGACGCGAAGGAGGCGTCCGTCTTTCTCAGGCCTGAGCTCAGTGCGGTGTAGGGGAAGAAGGTGCCAACTGCGGTAAGCTGAGCGGTGGGTAGGAAAGCGGTCGCGGCGAAGGAAGCAGAGCCCATAGATGGTTGTAGTGGAATATTGGGAATGGTAATGGTTGGAGCCAGGATTCGGTGCCTGGCAGTAGATCTGTCTGGTGGAAGTGTCGCGGTGTTGGGAGAAGTCGTGTTTGAAGGGGTTTTGGCAGAAAGGAACGCGATCAGCGGGAGATGCTCAATCGCCTGGTTCTTAATTTGGTGCCTTGGCGGGCTCGAGGTGGCATGTGAATGAGCTTGCGCTTAACTGGTCACCCGCCCCAGATCCACCTCCACACAACACTCGGAGATCCACCCCGTGCTTTCATTTACATCATATTTGCATGTCCTGCCAATGTCATGCGCTTGCGTCGCTGATGCGATTGTTGTTGATGTTGTTTGCTACCACCCGCGCTGACACTGAAACTGCGATCGCGTCTCAGCCGACAAAGACAGCGCGACGCTGATCCAACGCGTCTCTATTTGCGAACGAGTGTACGCGGCAAGGGCATCTATTTGCTGCTGTGAAAAAAAATCCGACTTTGATCATCGCGAAATGAAGCGATCAGCAATAGCCCTGAGCGAGAGCTATGTAGCGCCTTCCTCATTTGTTAAACGTGCCCATGGAACGACAAAGCGCAACGCTTGACGCATAGGGGCGCCACGCGACGAACGCAATCTTGCACATCTCACGCCCACCGACCTGCTCATTAAAAGACTAGCTTCACGAACCTGCCTGCAGCCGAAATGCGCGACTTCGTCATCCGAAGCTAAGCGGTGCTGCTGCTGGGGATTGAGGTGGTCCGAGCGAAGCCGCGCTGTGACAGAAAGGCATAACGCACAACACGAGTTATATTTACCTTAAATGAAAATTTCTCCATAAAAGCCTTCCTAGCTCAGTGGTAGAGCGCGTCACTAGTAAGCCCATGGGTTGCAATGACGAGGTCGTCAGTTCAATTCTGGCGGAAGGCACATCGTTCTTTTTGCCTCATCTAATGTCCTTATTATATCAAGGTTGCGATAGTTTTGTAACGTACTGAATGTTTTTTAGATTGTGCTCGTGAAGAAAAAACTGCCATTTTTGCAGGCTGCAACAGGATATCGCAGTTGGTAGAACGACTGCTAGAGCGCCTGTCATGTGGACCCTGATTAACATGTTCCCAAAACGCATCTTTATGAAGCTTGCCGATAACATAGACGTTGACCTCGGCATGTCGCCAACAAAAGCTACTTCTGCCTCAACAATCTACAGCTAGATGCCTAGCGGTCTATTGGGGCGACTTGGATATTCATTGCCTTTGTTGTCATCTGATGCAGCAAGGCTTTATGTGTCGCTTCTGTTGTTGGCACTGCAATACGGTTGTGCGGCTCTTCGCTAATAGGTCATTGTAGGGATTGTCTAAGTACCATGGGATAGCGACTATACCAGAGTTCGCAACCACCATGCTCCCCGTTCTACATGAAGCCCTACATCTTTTATCACCGGACCAGTTCGCCTACGCAGTCCTACGGCTATGATCGCACGACTGGAACCTGACTCTTTGCCTGCACTCTACATCTGGCATAAAGAACACTAGGCCAGCGCCGCCCAGGGCTCCATCGCCATCCAGAAGTACAATCTTCTCTCCTTATTTCGGCTCTTGAAACTCCAAGTTGAAATTTGCGCGCCTCAACACTATTACACGGAGAACTTTGTGCAGCAGTATAGTTCGACACATCCATCTTATAAAGCAAACAGAGCCGAGAAGACTAGGAATATGTGGATATTATTATGATGTCAACTCTGTTCTTGTAGACGCGTAAGCTTGAAGTGCATCTGGCTAACTAACCCCCCAGCGATAGTAACTCAATCCTCTTCTTCCTCCTCTTCGTCGTCCTCTACTACCCTTGGCCTCCGTCTTCGCGTTTTCGGCTTGAGAGTCTCCTCGTCGCCCACCCCACCTAGGCTTGGACTCTTGGTAGACGGCAGCTTGCCCTTGACAAGACTGACATTCTTCCTAGCGTCGTCCAATGTATTCCTCGCAATCATCGACGTTCTCCCTCGTCCGATCGGCCAAGTTGCCAGAGGTTGTTTACTGACAGCGAGCAGGACGTCTCTCTTCACCCCCGGCTTGTTGAGGTGGGAGTTATGCCCAAGGAACTGCCTCGAAAAGCCCCTCAGCTCTGACTTCTCCTCTTGGTTGACTGCAAGTCACTATTGTCGAGTTCTTAGCTACGACAAAGGTACAGACGTGCTCATTCAGCAGCCCAAGCTTGCTCGAGAGATCTTGATCTGTGGGCTTCTGTCGTGTCGTGGCACAAAGCGGAGACTCTAGAATCTCCACGCCTGATACAGGAAAAAACTGGACGCGTCTGCAGACTACATTAAGATAAACACATGCAAACTGGTTGACTAAGAGTTGATGTAGGCTCTAGGGTGTTTAAATCTTTTTCCTGAATGACGCAGGGGTATCGGAGTGTCTGTTTGGATCGCTACGATAGGCTGTGAGGTAACGAAATTAATGGGTGAGTAGATGAAGCGACGCAAGGTAACACCTTCTCTAGATGTTCGCGGTATCGGATCTTCAGTTCGGATACGTTGCCTGTATGCCGGACCTGGTCCTTGAACTTGGGAATGGTTCCATTCAACTCAACGAGGAACTTTTTCATTCTTGTCTTGGTCGCCAGGCCATTGAAGGCTTCGAGCTTCTTGTCAATGTCACTGACGCTGCCTTTGATCGCCCCGTCATCCGCCATTCCTTGAACGGTATTCTACATGAAAGCAGGCCAGGAAAGGAGAAGCGGATGAGAAGTGGATGCAGCGAAGTGAGTTCAGATGCGGTGCCTCGTACAAAGGTTACGCCGCGTGGTGAGAACCAGCTGAGGAGAAGCAGATGGAGAGACCAGGAGATGAGAAGCGGACGATAATTTCGGTAGATAAGAAGTGAACAAGGAGTAGATGCCGCAAGGTGAGGTGAGATGTGGTGCCTCGCACCTTCCCAACCTACGCGCCAAGCAAACATCATCTACCGAAACACTGCACCCACCATTCTTCGCCGCGAGTCCCCCGCAGCCTTCATCCTCACTTTCTCAGCGTCAGACTGTACCTTACCAACTAACGGCACCTGCGCGAGCAAGCTTCTCAGCAGCCCGACGCAGAACTCAGTATCAACATTATTCTCCACACGCTAGCCCTCCAAAACCTTCACCTCGCACACCTTCTTCACTCCCTACAACCCAATGGGACGCGATGTCTTTGCTCCCCCCATACAAGCCCGCCTCAGCCGGGATGGCTGCGCGAATGGCTGCGCTGAGTAGCGAGTGCAAGGAGAAGCTCAAAGCAACGTCGAAGCCGTCTCAGTCCTACGATAAGTCTGCCCCTAGTACGATCGCGGAGCGAAAGCAAGCCCGCGGCAACTACTTCGAGTATTACAAGACCATCTATGAGATCGAAGACGAGAATGCGATGTACAGCCGAGAAACGCTTATTGATTTCGTTTGTGGGTTCGTCGAATGTATAGCGACGACGTCGGAGGGGGTACTCTCCGACAAGCCAAAGGCATTTCATATCCAAACCCTTACGTTAATTAGAAACTAACACCTCCCAGGCGGGTACACTCTACCAGTACAAGCATAGCCTCCAATTCTGAATTGATTCGTTTACGCACAACTTCAAATCCATCGAGACTGAATATAACTCCCGCGTAACAAGGCATATTCATACGGTCGCCGTGGAACAAGAGCTCCCGACAGGACGTCGAGAAAAGAACGAGCTGGGTGATTTTGAGCCCAGGCTGATGTATGCCGAGGTCATGACCCTCCAAGAGGGTGTGCTCAACACCAAACACTACCTCGCGTGAGTTCTCGCATACATCACCGCTGTGCGACACGGCGCCTCCACGATCGGAAAGAACTATCACAAAGGCGCTCCGCTCGGTGGAGCAATGAGTGAGAGTATGCCCACACGCGCTGAGTCACACACGTTACGCTGGTCTGACGTGAAGGTGGAGAAGTTCGAACAGGAGAATGCGTGTATTGTGACTTTTCGCTTTCTCAAGGGGCATGAGGATCAACAGGGCAACGTGCAAGGCTCGCGCGAGTTCTTTTTTGCCCCCAAACAAGAACGCTTACACCTGGGCCTGAGCGCGCTCCTGTACGCTGAGGGTAAGGCGTGGACGCTCGGGAATCAGATTCATACACCGAAATTCTACAGCATACACGCGAGGCTTATTCGTCGACCATCTCGACGTTCTGCTTAGCGACGGTTCTGATCGATTCCCCCCGACCAAGTCAGAGATAGTCTGTCAGGCCGTGTTTGTCATGGCAACTACGGGGTGTCAGCTCATCACCGACCAAGAAATGCGAGCGCATGCCCTGAACAGGAAACACCAAGACTTTTGTCTCTCCGTCGGTATCCTCTGCTACGTTACGATGTATGGGTTCAGACGACAAGCCGCGCAGGAAGCGAAGAGTATGCATTCGACCCGGCTAACCCAACCGCTATGCTCAACCACGATCAACATGGGTTCGGGAGAAAAGACGTAACCTCATTTAGGCTGGGCGGCGAAGGACTCACAAGCGTATCAATCCGCAAGTTTTTCTCTGCATTTAACCGACTCGTAAGTACTCATTCTTTCCGGTTTCTCCTATCTACTCAACCTTCTCGCATGCAGAAGACATTTACTGATCTCGTGGACCTATAGTGGGACAAGAAAGCATCGGCAGAATCATCAGGCAGTTCTTTGAAAGAAGAGATTAACGCACGCGCACGCCATCTCATTACCTCGGATCCGCAGTACGAAAAGTTCGAGGCTGAACTTCACAACATCCTAGCATAAGCCCACGGCAAGCTCCAAGAACACAGCCCCCCTCCCCCCTCCCCCCTCGACGACGTATACTACATCACAGCCAAAAACAAAGGCAAATACAAAGCGCTGGTACAAGGTACCGATCAGCCTGCATTCCTAGAAATAAAGAAAAGGTTGGACGAGCACCTAACGCTGCGCAAACACGGCCGCAGAGTTATTACTCAACGCGCCAAAGAAACCCTGCGCAAGACATTGGGGGGTATATCGGTGGGCAGGCAAGAGATGGAACGGCAGGTAGAAGAGATGGATGACCGAAGAGAACAAGAAGACGAAGTGATGGACGCCGAAGCACTGGATAATGAACGGGACGAGCCAGAGGCCTGGAAGGGATTCACACAGGGCCAAATGCTCATGGTGGAATAAGATGAAGAATGTGAAGGAACATTCGAAGAGTGGGAAGCATTTGTTAGGCGCTGGGTCAGCAAGACGGAAGACTTGATCAATGGCACGGAGGAGCTGCGCTGTTTTCTATGCGTAGCAGACCCTACCATGCCACAAGGTCCGCTTACTCCCCTCTCTACGAAGCATGTACACTGACTCTATTTAGCCGCAAAAGAAAAAGTATGGCTCAGACTTCACATTGACGAACAAGTCATCCGCGCCTTCAGGATAGACCTCCGAGATGCCAACGGAGGAAGGGTCGTATGCCTGCTATACCAGAAACCAACGCACAAAGACCAGAGATGGTTTCTGGAACACGTTCGAAACATGCATGGCAAGCAGATCTAGGACGCGGATAGCTCAGAAGCAGATGAGCATTAGCGGGCCATTGCCGCAAGGACAAGGGCCAAGGAAGTGGTGACGTTGTCGATGTGCCTCTGGTTAAAGGAGCTGCTGCTACCTTGCTCCTCCATAGCTTCATCCATTTATTCATGCTGATCCACTCATTCATGTTCATGCACCCATTCACGTCCATCTATTCATCCATTGGAGTTACCGACAAGCTCTTGTGTTAACGATACTTCTCCGTTCGAGAGAATCCGATTGGATAGGCACCTATGGATTTCAGAAGTTGTCAGTCGCTCGTCTGCTTCGCATCACTGTAGTACTATGTGATGAAGCGGATGGACCAAAGTACATCACACACTCAGATGTATGTCAGAAGAGAGAACCGGCAGTTGGTATATTGGGTTCCAATAATACTTAGTGCCAGCTGCCTTCCACCACCGCCTCTCCAATACAAATTCCAGCACCGCCATCCTTCAGTCTTGGCAACCTCAATCACGACCTAGCACCAATGTCTAAGACCTGGGGATTGGTAAGATCCTAAGCTCTCGGTAAACGCGTCGTCACACCTCCTCAACGGACGTAGACTCATCCCTCCGGTATGACGACTCAAATGAAACCTCGTTCCAATCCAGTATGTCGATACCCTGGAACTGCTTTCCTTCGATCGTGTAGGCGTCGCAGTACTCAGGTATATAACCACAACCAAAGACGCCAGTGTACAAGACATTGACTGGCGCATCGGTCGCGGTCGCTCCAATTGCCAGTCTACGATCACCGGAGAAGAGAAAGCGCCCGAGAACCCCTAGGCCAACTTCCTCCTGGGAAGTCTCGGCATTGCGGATAATCATGGGGTGTTTTGGATGAGTGGCCTTGAAGCCTTCGACTTCGACAGCGGGAGGCTTGGGGTTGTAACGGCTTTCGTGATGAAATAACATGCATCCCACATGAACTGCATGGTTCTTGGCCGAGTAGTGGCAGTCGTCGTCGTCGGTATCCTCGTCGTCCACTGGAATATCTCAGATGAACAGGTAAGAGGGAGGGCCGCGGAGAGATGGAACGGGCGTGTCCTCCTGTGCTTTCTGTTAGCATGCGCTAAGAAAGCAAGGCAAGTACACTTACGGGGGAGCAGAGCTATTCGATCTGGAGCCACTTTTCGACGCCGCGGATCTGATCCAAAGAGGTGATTGACATGGCGACAATCACGGGAGGATATCACTGGCTGCGATGTGTTGCTGTGGAGGAAGGAATGTCGATTGTTGGATCCAAGGCGTAAGAGCAAATCGAGGGATAGAAGGTATAGAGATGCCAAGGATGAAAGTAAGAGACCGGGGGAACCGGGTCTCCTTTTACTGCTACTGGAATGGTCGGGGTCTTTTTCTTTTTTCTCGATATTCGTCACAACTTGCCAACAGGAGTACATATTGTGCCGTTGTGACTTTCTGTTCACTGATTTTCGGACTGCATTACAAAGATCCTGTTTCGTTTTGGACTATGTTGTATTCTTTCACTGCTATCGAACTCTCAGTCTTCATGGTTCAATATTCTAAGTAGGGATGAAGCTGTTCTTAACAGAGTCTAGACTAGTTTGTCCATAGGCTGTTCTTCACATGCAGACCTTCTGGAATACAGCTGAACATAGGAGGGTGAAGGGCGCACGGTTGTATGGTGGGGCTCCAGTATAGCGATGTTGCCACTCGTCTCAGTTGAAGAACTGTATCCTCGGGATACCCAAATCTCTGCAATTCCGAGATCATCTCTATCTGGCCGCTTCAGGTACGTGCTGACTAGAAGAGGTGTGTGCTTTCCCGAGGTCGTATTCTCGCATGCGACATGCTTATTTATTTGTGGACCGAGCGCCATAAGTCAGCTTGCTTGATTCCCCAGCTTCTTACACCTTGTTGACTAGGATACAGAGTCGAATGGACCATAGGATGTGTGCGACGAGCCGAACACGTGGGGCTGCTCATTCTGCGAGTACAGTAGTTCTGACTACTCCGAGACTAGAGACTACCGTATGACATCGGGACTTGCCATTCCCTATTACTCACCAAGGTAGATCTACACGGCTCTTCCCCTCATATGCTCACCAAGGTTTAGGCGGCCAGTGAGACCATGTAGCTTGCTACCTTGGTTCGAGACATGCAATGTCGGCCAAGAGAGAGGGTTTCTTTCGTTCCTTTACGTGCCAAGGGCGAAGTCGCATTCTATACGAGCATTCTACAGAAAGAAACCGATGATGTTGGTCTGTATCGACGGGATCGGCATTTTGATTAGAATCACGGCAGAGGCTGAGGCCGTTGCGGGTAGTCGCGGGCTGCATGAGAGCCAAGACAACCAAGCGTCTCTTTTTCTTTCGATCGCCGAATATTGGCGAATGGTTTCAACCAGTGGTCAGCCAGCATGTGCGGTCAGCCTTACTGCGGCCGCTTTGAGTAGCCGTTTCCCCAGCCACAACCGTTTTGGGGCAAATAGCGCCTCTAGCGTAGGTCGATGTAAGGCATACGATGTACTGAAGAAGAAGTTAGTAAAGTGTCTCACTGGGCCAGCCATAGCAATATAGCCATATTAACTGTCGTGTAACCTTTGAAGATCTTCACCACATTGGTCCCGCCAAGCTCTTTGAGATCATCACAACGACGAATCACCACAGTACTTCTATTCTGCGAGAATCATATGCTGGTTAATGCATGCACATACTCATCGCCCAGAACAACGTCTCCGCGTCTCGACGTCCGAATACCTCCACACCTTATGCGATCAGCTTACCACCACCGTCATTACCAGTCAAGAAACACCGTGCAAACCTCATCAATGCCATTCAATCATCGCGGTGAGCCATTACAGAACGCTGAGTGGGCGAAACGACAGACTAAGATGTGGTAATAGCCTCAGGAAAGCACTCAACCCCGAGACAATGCTCCAGTTTGGGACAGTGATAACTTTGTGTGCGTCTGGGAGGGCCGAGAGAGTTGATCGGTCGAAGTCAGCAGTGATGAAGAGAAGAAGAGGACGATTCGAGGACGAGAAAGTATAAAGAGTGGCCAGAAGTCGACCTGGAAGAACTCACCAAGCTTCAACATCACAACATCATTACCTTCACTATTTTACCAATCTTTCGCTCAACACCCCCTCAAACCATCAACATGCGTTTCTCCACCATCTCCATCGCCGCCCTCGCCGGCCTCGCTGCCGCAGCTCCCAACGCCATCGCCAAGCGTGAGAGCCAACAGATGACCAATGTCATCTCCTTCGCTGCCCAGCAAGCCGACTGCAGCATCTTCGACTGCGCTGCTGTTATTGGTGCTGGTGTCTGCATTGCTGCAGGGCTTGCAACCGTACCCGTTGGCGTTGCCGCAGTCGTGGCCTGTGTCTCCGGTGGTGCTCCTTCGGTATTTCCTCCTATTGTCTTTCCAATCCCCACTCCCACTGACTTGACTCAGCTCTGCGGCTGCGCTGGATGCATCGACGCTCTCGGTGACTTCTTGACCGAGAACAACCTCTGCCCTGAGTAGGCAAAGGCGATTGGCATTCTCGAAAACCTTTTCGAATCGAGGGATGGAGTGTTCGGAGTGACAGTGGTCCATCAACATTAGACCTGCAGTGTCTGGTGTAGACTGGGGTGACGGCTCTCACGAGCGACTTGCATGTATCTCCTTGGTGGTAGTTTAAACACACTCGCTCCTCAATGAAAACGCTGGCCAGCTCAACTATTCTTGGTCTCTTTGCTTTGTGAACGCGTAACATGACAGCGAGCCAAAGTTGTCCTAGGTGTTTTAGTCTTCACGTGTGGCTGAATAAGGAATTGCAAGTAAGAAACTGAATGTTGACTGTGTGTTGATCGTTTTCATGCTTCTATTACGCGAATCTCTATGTCTACTCCTCATCCCCAGCTTACTCGCAGTACCTGGTATGCAGGGTTGTGCAGTAGTGTTAACCTAACGAAATGTAAAAGTTTCATTATATGAGAACACAGTTGTAGAAGTAGACTAGCTCCTTTTTTGACCTCGTCATGTCATTGATAGGCTTAACGCCGCCCTATGTTGATACAAATGTACAGATCATCCCCTCGTGTGGGCAGATTACTTCGAACGGAACAGAAATGGAAAGTCACGTATTGGTTAACTTAGTTGCAGGTACCGAAAGTGCCCTGGCAGCCAGCACCGCAGTGACCGGTGGTGCTTCCACACCAGCCGTACTGGGAGCAGCAGTTCCCGAAAGAAGAACCAGAGCATGTGAAGCCAGAAGTTCCAGCGCAGGATCCGTCAGTGGATGCCTTCTTGGTGGGGGCAGCTGCAGCCTTGGAGGTAGTGGTGGCGGCCTGCTTAGTGGCGGACGCTCCAGTACCAGAGCAGGTACCGAAAGCAGAGTTGCAGCCGGTGGAGCAGTGGTCGGCAGTGCTTCCGCACCAGCCGTACTGGGAGCAGCAGTTACCGAAAGACGAGCCAGCGCAGGTGAAGCCAGAAGCACCACCGCATGAGCCGTCAGTGGAAACCTTGCCTGCAGCAGAGGCGACGGGAGCCTTGGAGGTAGCAGCCTGGGTAGGCGTAGCAGCCTTCGTGATGGTAGGGGCAACACCGTTGCTGCCGCAGTTACCGAATCCAGATTGGCAGCCAGTTCCACAGTAGGCCGAAGTGGTACCGCAGTAACCGGCAGAGCTGCAGCAGTTGCCGAAGGTAGATCCCAAGCAGGTGTATCCCTTGGTACCACCGCAAGTAGCATCAGTAGTAACCTGCTTGGTTCCAGTGGCAGCGGGAGCAGTGGCAGAGGTAGTGGGGTTAGGCGCGTTGCCAGAGCCAGCGCCGCCAGCAGTGCGGTACCAGTTCGCCTTGGGGTCACCAAGGCAGTCACCAACGGTGACAGCCTTGTATCCCAGCTGGGTGAGGGTGGAGAGCATGTATTCGGTCAGGTTCATGGCAGTCTGCTCATGGATGTCGTGACCAATCTCGAGCCACTGGTTGCTGGCGGCGGGACCGCTTGTGACGTTGCCAAGGAAAACATCCTTGGAGTATTGGATGAGGGTGGTGCTGTCGTGTTCATAGTCATCCTATTAGTAGTATTAGCAATTGAACCCCTTTCAAGCGATCAGGGAAGTGCATACGGTATCAAGGTTGAAGTATGTGACGTGGTAACCGAGGTCAGCCATGTCCTTCTCGCAGCCTGACTCAGCAGTGCAGCTGGAGTACGGGGGACGCATATAAGTGGGGATCTTGCCGACGATGTTGCGAAGAGCCATCTCGTTCTTGATCATCTGGTTGTAACGATCCTGCTTGGAGATGGCACTCAGGTCCAAGTGGGTCCAGGTGTGGGAAGCAAGCTGGTGGCCCTCAGAGTCCATGCGCTTGAGGACACTGCTGAACTCAGGAGTGATGTCAATCTGTCCCTTGTTGATGTTGTTTCCAGTGATGAAGAAAGTAGCCTTGGCGTTGTAGGAAGCCATAACATCGAGGATGTGGCTGGTGAAGACTTTTTGGGGGCCATCGTCGTAGGTGATGGCAACTGTGCCGGGTGTGGTGCAACCGTAAATACCAGCGCCACCGTACTGGACATTGCCGACCTTGGTACGGGCGATAGAAGAAGTGTTGGTACCACCTGGGGTGGCGTTCTCGGGGCAGCCAGAGCCGTGCTCGTAGTCGCATCCAGGAGAGTAGCAGTAGTCATCTTCTGTGCCGCAGTAGCCTGCACCTGAGCAGCACTGACCAGCGGGACAGTTGCCGACACCCGCACCACACTGGCGGTCATCCTGACGGGCCACAACCTTGGTCTTGACCTGAGTCTTGGGTTGCAGAAGCTCGTTAACTCCAGTGAATCGAGCTCCAGTGCGAGAAAGTAGGTCGCGAGCCCGGAGGTCCCTCGGGTTCAAGCCAATGATGTTGGGCAAACCGGCGCCATGGGCGTTGACGAGAGGAGTAATGGCTGCAACGGCAGCGAGAGCGGCGGAGTAGTGCATGTTGTAAGAATGCGGTTGGTTCGAATTACGGAATTAAATGTTGTTTTGATAGCCGGATTAAGGAAGATGAGCGAGTGGATAGTGGTGGTCTATACCGACGACACACTGGAGGACCTTGGACCGGAACGAAAGACGGATCACAAGAAGGTAAGATTAGGACTTCGAACAGAAGGTACCAAGAAAAGTCATCACGGCATGCGGGTAGATTCATCTTATGAAGGGCAAAAATGATCGACGGTTAGCCAGCAATCCCCGTAAAGGCCTGGTGCTAAGGTTGACTCGCGTTACGACTAGCGCTCTCGACTCTTGCCTGCAGATGCTGGTCAGCGTAGAAAAGAAAGCTTGGTGTGCCGCGGGCCCCTGGAACTGGCGGATTTCAGCTCTCGACCCGCGGCGCCGGCTTCGCTTCGGGCGGACATGATGCGCGATTGGGAGCTTTCCTCATGGGTTGTTGGTGGCACGCGCTCCTTTGCCATGCAGGAACCGCATTGCTGTCACGTCGTGGAGCGAAAATAGAACGTGATAGTTGATCCGAGCCGTTTGAAACGTGTTTTGCTATCTGTGCCAACCGAAATGTTATTCTTGAACGCCTCTGACGTGACGGCTGTCGACCGGTAATTGCTCGAAACAATCAGTGATTCAAGCCGTCGTTCTCCACTGTCGCCTGTCACTATGCAGTCGCTTGGCGCATATCGCTTTCGCGCGGTCGCTGTTCAACATGTTGCGATGATGTTGCTGTGAGACGCTAGAAAATTATCACTCAGCTGTTGGAGGGACCCCGCGGGCGAGGCGATGTGACGTCTTCCATTATCGGTCTGGCAGTAGACGGCCCTTCAGCCATGGCGTTGAGCCACGAAGCATCGACCTGCACTGGCGCATTGGCAACAGCTGCCGAGCACGCCTAACCGACGGTTACATCTCTTGGAGGGAGCTTGTTCGGGTTAAGAGATCCACCCGGCATCACCAACAAGCCATCATGTAAGCAGTCGTTTGAATCCGAGTCTCTATCGCACAGCCGTGCAATTGCATGAAGTTTCGTCCGCGAAAGGTAGCATGATGCGCGATTCCGCTGCGGTGGAGAGTGTCTCTTCTGGCCCTTCTGGCCCAGGCACCCGCACTTCCGAGGAAAATTGGAGTCAAGTGGGCTTTCCGATGCCCAAGATGAGCCAATCACGTGCTTTGTCAAGCGAGGCCCATCTAAGCGCTCCCACCCTCAGCAGCATGCTTGCTTCCGCCAACACACGTCTCGATTTATCGATACTCATCGCGAATCACTGCCGTCTGCCGGCGCAGAAAATTCATGCCACATGATGGTGGCGTGCAGCACGCAACCACTGTTGCAAGCCGCGCAGGACACAGAACTTTTGCGACGATGCAATTGGATTCAAGGGGCACGGGAAGACCTCGTATCCCTCATCGTTTTCATGCAGCTAACCACTCGCACGTCTGATTCAGGCAGCATATCCAAAACCTCCACTCCACTATGGCATGCAGCAATGGAGCTGTATATTTCTCGGGAATATCGCAAGGAATAAAGGCCGAGTCTATTTTAATATATTGCTTTTCTGTTACGAGACAAGCTTTTCCTGAGATGACTAGGTACTTCAGCCTCGTTCCGATCGCTTGACTCGACGAAACGAGATTGCGATAGACAAACCCTTCTCGTGCGGAGGAGTAAGCAACAGCACGACCGATCCTTAGCAAATCCTAGACCTACTGCATTCAACGGCTGCGAGGATCGTTTGCGGCCAGCACTGCGACTGGACCACTGGTAAAGCTACCGGTCGCGAATCGAAGCTTCCGCTTCCCGACGCCGCGCGAGCGGGGATCTCAAGCATCACTGCTGGCCTTTGTCCGACTCAGACACTCCACCTCGGAGCTAGTAATCTACCCTGATACCAATGGCCAAAGCCGGGTAGCACGGTCAACTATCCGAATAGTTAATAGCAACTGCCGTTATGTATACTTTTTCTGCTCTTACGTCCGGTCGAGCATCCTCAAGGGGCATTTGAGCCAAGCAAACTATGTGGAGAAACAAGGCGCCCACCACCCGTATCGCTACTCCTGCTAAGCAAGAACAAGCACCTGCTCTATCCCATGGCACTTGGCGCATGCCGTATTTCCGCAAGTACTCGTATTGCAGGCGAAGCATGATGGCTGCAGCTTTGGAAAGTCCATGTACATGACTGACTGCCTCAGGGGTCGGCGTCCGACTGATCATCTAACGTGCTAGGAGACACCTTCCTTTTCTCCCCACTAACACAGATATTTTCTTCCGCCAACACACACCTCTGTCGTACGATTCCTAGGCTGTTATTCGATAGGTCGAACCAAACATTGCCCTATGCACATTTGCAAGCATCGGCAACCTGCGCGAACGACACACTTGGTTGTCGCACAGAGGGTTGGCATCCCGCTGCTGATCAGTTGTAGATCCTCCACGACGGGTACCTGCACGAAAAAAACCAAGATCAATATTCCAAATGTAGATCATTGCAACGTCCAATCGATATCGAGATGCGATGAAGAAGAGAGCGCACTTCGTTTGTCAGAATCCACTGTGGCTCTTTGGCCGACTTTTGCGCCTCCAAACAGAACTTTCATTGCGACCATCTCGCTTCATAGCGCACATCAAGCCGAGCATGCGAGGAAAGTCCGACGAAAAGTACGGCGAGATGATGGTTGCAATCTACAGCGTGTTCTTGCCAGTCATACACAGCTACATGCGCGTCCTGCATCACAGTCTAATACAGTCGACCTTGATCTACTTCCCTACACCCCGAGTGCTAGGCTATGCGACAATTGGAACGGAACAAGATCTGGTTGCTTGAAACCTCCACTTTTCCGCACCTGCCGACTCCCCACAGCACCGGTAGCCCGGTTCGATCAGGCGAACGAGCGATCTCTACGCCGAAGCATTGGCCGACGAAATCAACAACGTTGTGTGGCGTACTAGGCGTCCATACTGATCCTCAGCATCTTATGTCGACTGGGTAGATCATTAAACAGCCGAGTTTCATCAGGAGAACCAGCGGAGCCGAAATTGAGATCGTTCATGATATATCACACGTGCGATATTTCAAATACTCATATCCCCTAGATCGTGGCAAAGCCCTCTTACTATCTCCATCTATTCCCCGTCATCTCCCAGTCACAACCCCATTCCTCCCCGCAATCCCATTATTCACCGCCACAGCAAATGCAGCGATGTCGGAGTTCGTTGGTAATCCCTGCTTGGGCTTATCAAACGGGAAAACAACACTCTTCTCTCTCACCCCTAGACTATCTACAAACAGTACGTTTGGAAAGCTTTGCGGCGTGAAAGCATTCCACGTCTCGCTAATTAGGTCGTCGAAGGCGGAAGCCGCCATGTTCCTATATGGTATGTCAGTGTCTGGAGAGGGCTTGTGTATTTAAGCAGAAAAGGATAGAGGGAAACGAACATGATGGCTTTATCAAAGATCAACACATCCTCAGGTTGTTGTGTCAATGTCCACGAGAAAATGTGGAACATGTCTTTCCTCTGGCTTTGTTCCGCGACTATATTCCGGTTCAGCTTCAGCTTGGCTAGCTGATCGCTTTGCATAGTGGCGAGATTGTTGCTGTTGCTGTATTCGTCGTAGAAAGGAAAGTTGCGGCCCGAGTAGAATCCTTGGTTTGCAAAGTCGCCTAGTGTTACATCATCTGGTATCTGCGCGATGATGAGAACAGAGGCGCGATCTGTAATGAAGTCACCTAGACGGTGTGTGGAGAGATCGGCCGCGCCGGGGTTGCTGACGGTGTAGCGATTGTTGATGCGCTTTAGAGTCGTAAAGAGGTCGCTCAATTGCGTTTGCGTGAGATCTTTGTACTGGTTGTCCGTGTCAAGCGTATGGCTGAGGTTTATGATGATGAGTTCCTGGTATTTTGCAGTGAAGTCGTTGATGTGTTGTATGATGTCTGTAAGGGACTGCCCATTCCCACCGAGCCAGATGTCACCGACTTGGCCGTAGTGACCAGCCACCCACTCGCCTCTCGAGAGCACCGGGCGGAGGTCGAAGTACCGTGAGCCGGCCATAAGTTGTTGGTAGAAATCCAGATACTGGGTTTGAGTGTTGGCAAAGTGTGCGCCAATAGTACCAGGCTTGAACGTGCCCATACCAGCATCGTGGGAGCCTGGCATACAGATGTGTTTTAGCGTTCTGTTTGCCAGCGAACCCATGCTTTGCTGCATCCAATCTGCGTAACTGCCGCTATTTGACCACCAGGTTCCTGCTTCATCAGTGGACATGATCCAGTTCACAGCGGCATTATGCCGGAATCCTAAGTCGACCTTCGCTCCTTTCGAACTCTGCTTTGTCGACATGTCGTCCAGAGATATGGTGAGTGCATAGTTCGACGGCTTCCGTCCGAGTACCGTGAACCTATCCGATGTTCCGTCGATATTGTAGTATGCTTCACCTGCATCGTCACGGGTAGTTCCACTCGTCCTGAATTCGACGTATACTCTTGATGCCTGGCCTTAAGGTAGTCAGTGATAGTATTTTTTGTCAATCGAGAATGTACATACCAGCATTGATCGTTGGCCATGTCCATGTATCCATTTGATACGAATGTTGGTAACTCAAGGACCAACTGAACGGTGAACCGTTCACCAGCGTCAAGTCTCCGCCTATTGATGCAGCCTGTTTAGCGCTTTTCGTCACTTTGCATAGTTGGCTGGGTCGTGACTTACCCCAACCCATGATTGAGAGTTCTTCCGGATCTTCTTTGCTCTCTGAATGATTGTAATGAGCTGACTGCAGCTTTTGCTGTTGTACGCGCTCCTCAACCGCAGCGTAACCCGTAAACTCGTCTTTGGGTCCAGTCGCTCGCACAGCACCAGGCCGGACAAGCAACATACTTAACCCCCATCCTCCCCATGACTTATAAAACGGGCGCATAACGCCTGGAAGCCTCAAGCCCTGTCCGGTCTACTAACGGCACTCTACTGGGTCGGCCCTTCCGTCATTACAGGCCTCGTGCCGCTGTCAGCCACTCGATGGTAGTTAGTGGCTGTCAAAACAGGTCCTGAACCCTTGCAAAGCTGTCTATATCGCTGTAAGCGGGTACTTGCTTCATCAGATGGATAGAGCGGCGTAATGGTGGTGTTGTTGCTGCCACTTTCCTGATTGGGCCAGCTTTGTTGTTTCACCTTTGTACCCACCCACCAACAAGATCGCGATGGCCACAAGAAGACGGTTACAAGGCACCAACTCCGCTTGAAAGCATCCAATGCGATGCGCGAAAACCACCAAGGCGCGGTGACATGTGGTGCAGCGTGGCTTCGACAGGTTGTTGTGGTTTCGGTTGCCCTGGTCGCGCGTGGCAGCGCCGATACTTGCTCCAAGCGTCCGTTCCACGGCACTATCAGCGGCAAGGCGCTTGAGATAGTGCAGGTCCGAAGTCCTGACCCAAAGTCATGCGCACACACAAGAGGGGAAGCCAGAAAATTATAAAGACAAGAACAGTCTGGTATTGTGGAGAGCAGGAAGTGGTGACGATCCATAGGTTTGCCACGTGCTAGACAGTCAGGCATCGTTGGTCGCAGATGCGTGTCGGCCAAGTTCTTCATTTGTATCCACAAGCGCACAATGTGACGGACTACCTGTCAACAGTAATCATCCAACCGTCGTTCAGTACACTGCCGTGCGCATCGACTCCACCCCAGACTACACACGTCGCGCCGTCGACCTCTGTACCCTTGGCGATTCCGAAGTGCCCCCTCGCTCCCAGGCCTCGCTTTGGCTTTCCTGGTATCTCCTTTTCCTCTTCGCCTTTTGTGTCTACATATCGGTATATCGCTTCGGCCCATTGGGACTCATGCGTATCCCTCTTCATACCTGCGCGTATATTATCTTTAGTCGCTGCGGCCGTGGAGCGCTCGGGTGCGAGCTGCAATGCCCAGATGTCGTCGAGGTAATCTCCGTTCTCAGTCTCTCCGCCGACAGCTAGCAAGTAGTGTCGCCCTTGGCCTGTGGTGACGCCCACGAGTCCTGCATCTGCCCGCGCCTGGGGCGCTGTAGCGTTGCCACCTTCGCTGTCGTTATGCTTCACTTCTTCCCAGCCCCACCCACTAGTGACGGGTGTAGTCCCGCGCTCTGCATGTGTCCACACATGTGATGCGTCCACGTACTCGGTCGCACCTGACGCAAATGTCTCGATGCCCTTTCCACCAAACCGATAGAGGCGACTGCCGACGAGCGTCAGGCTTGCACCTTCCCGTGGCTGACCTGATGGAGAAGGTATGTTGGTCCACGTTCGTGTCTTGACGTCAAACGCAAGTGCATCGTTAGCAAGATTGTTGCTCGAGCATTCGCGCCCTCCAACCACGAAGATGGTTCCGTATGAGTTTGCTTCTGGCGGCTCGGGCACGTGCTTCGCAGGGTCGGCGGGGGCTTGCGGTGCCCTCTCGACGTAGGTCGTCGTCTTGGGGCCTGGGAGGTCTGAGCTCGCCGAAGCGTGGCCAGTTCGCTGGCTGGGAAACAGCGTGCCCTCGGCTGGATCAAGATAGGTCCAGGTGTTTGATATGGTATCGTAAACCCAAACCCGTCCCCTCTCATCTGTTACACCGTCTCCTTCGCCACCAAACATGTAGATGCTATCCCCAATAACTACAGCTGTGTGTCCCCTTCTCGAGTTCGGTACATCGTCCAGGCCATTTGCCGCGCGAGCTGAGTATTTGGTGTAATCGGCGTCGAGGACACCGCTCGATGGTAGAATGACAACGTGCATGTCATTGTCTGCGAGCTTGCCAGCTTCCGTCTCTCCACCAAAGATGTATGCGCGGCCTTTGACGACCGAAACCGTGTGGTGCGAGCGAGGGAGTGGGACGGAGGATATGCGCGTGAGGTTTGCCTTGATTGGTAGTGTCGGATGAGTTATGCCCTTGACAAGAGCTACACCGGCCTCAAGGAGGTTCTCGGCTGCGTAAAGCACACCGGCTGCTCCGGCTTCCATCGTTGTTCAGAAGAGGACTATATGCGCGTGAATGAGGGTTCCAGGGTTGGAGTGAACAACTTAAGAAGCAAGTGTGTGAGACTTTCAACTGATCCGAGTGCAAAGGGTATGGTGTGACTTAGAGGAGGGATGTTGTATTGTACAGCTGTGAAGTTTACCACGAGGGTGACGTCATCACGCGAGACCCTTGTCGCCCTTACGCGTACCCTTCACGGCAAGCCAAACAAACAATGAAAGCTGTCTACAGATTCAGAGCATCCGTCTCGTCTGTACATCATAGATCCATTACCTTTTAGACACCGATGCACTGTACCGCTACTTCACGGTTCCAAGCATAGCCTGCATCCTTTTCACAAGCCAGCTACGACCGTCTACACACGTTTGGAAGTACTAACATCAAAGAAAATTCCATGCAGTAGATGTCCTCCAGTCTTTGTATTAGATATTGGGTGATAGTTGGTCGGATTTGACATATCGCTCGACCTAAGCGGTTGTTAGTGATGTAGCGTAACACGCGTGTCATGTTCCGTACCGTATCAATTGAGGCCTGCAAGAAGCTGCGCGCCTCAAGACCAACCCAAACCTTGAGCATCGAAAAGTCGCCTCCACGAATCATCGAGGAGCCACTTTGTGCACCGAGTTGTCGCAGTATTGGTAGAGCACTGGCGACGTTAGTGGACGACTTGATGCACATTGTCACATCACTCACCCGGCAAAGAGATCCAAGTTCGGGTTTAAGCTCCTTCCGATACCTTCCAATAGTAGGATACTAAGAACGACATTGACAAAGTCGCCCTCAAGGCGAACATGATGCGTTCGTACCATGGAAAGAACCTCGTTGAGAATGTCTCCAATCTTAATATTGCCGAGAGCAAAAGTACGGCTCTTGACTCCGAGCACCAGATGTTGCATGCGCAAAGCAAAAACTTCTCCATCAAGTACTGCGTCTGGTTGCCTGCACCTCTCCACCATGAGATGGCCTGCCTTGTAACCGTCAAACTCGGCGACAGCCTTGAAGAGGTCAAGGAAGTTGGCGCGGTTCTTCGCATTGAGCTCCGTTACCAGACCTGTGTCGATGAAGATCAGCTGTGGTCGATACCCTTCATTGTCAAGCTCCTGAAGCTTCGCTTTCCATTGTTGCGGGTTCTTCTTGTGTGGTCGCAGACGCTCGAGTACCTCTTCGGTAACGTCGAGCGACTCTTTGGGGCCGGTCGTCCGGTCCTCCTTCTTGGCGAATATTGAGACGTCCAATTGCTCAGGCTTGTAGAAACGAACCATGATGTTTCCTGGATGTAAGTCGGCATGAATGAAATTGTCGATTAGAACCATAGTCAGGAACGCATCTAGTCCTTCGTCTGCAATATCCTTTTGGAACACTCCGCCTCCATTTTGTAGAAAGTCTTCCATGGGAATGCCTTGAGCGAATTCTTCGATAAGGACATTGCGCGTGGTGTAATCAGTGTAAGGGTACGGGAACCAGGCTGTCGTCCGGTCCTTGAAGTTACGTCGGAAGAGAGTGAGATTCGCAGCTTCGATGCGCAGATCCAGTTGCAGTCTCATCATCTCGCCAAACTGTTCCACTTCGTCGGGAAACGATAGCCACTCCATAGTGGGTATGGCATTGATGACAGCCGCGAAGAAGCCCATGATGCGCAAGTCTCTCCGGACGATCTTCTCAATGTTTGGATGCAGAACCTTGATGGCAACGTGGCTAGATGGTACCCTCGAGGGTGAGCTCTTGAGCGTCACGTCGACATTCTTCTTGATCCGCCGCGCCAGATTAAGTTCTTCCCGGTCGATGCTGTTGTCCTCTAAAGTTGCAAGATGCGGCTTTAGCTTTGCCTTGTATACCTGTGCTATGGCGCCGACACCCAATGGCTTCTCGTCAAACTCCTCAAAGATGTCATCAAAGCTCTGTCCGTCAAAAGCCGCTTCGATCGTTTGCTTCGTGACTTGCAATGTGTGCGCCGGGGCGTTGGAGTGGAGGGTCGACATGATTGAACACATTTCGGTTGGGAAGACATCTGTTCGGGAGGCAGCCCATTGTCCGAGCTATTATAGAGTCAGTCTACTTGATATCTCCTGGTTCCAACGTAATGGCACGCACCTTGATGAAGGCTGCGCCAGCCCTCTCCATAGACCCGACCAAGAAGCCATACCACCATAGTGTCCCACTCCGCTCATTGTCTTTATCAGGCTGTCGTGAACCAAGCCATATCGCAGGTATTGTCACGATGACCGGCACGAAGATGATGATGAGGTGGAGGAAGCGGAACCCGGTGGCTATGGGCTCGATTATGTAGTCCTCAATGAAGAAATATATGCCTCGCCTATACTTTGCAGAGTGCCTTAGCGCATGGGGCACCTGCTCGTCGAGCTCCTTCCGCGATGCCTCCAGCATGGCCTCCTCGTGCGTCTTCTCTCCATGGCCCGACTTGTCATTGGCGACGTCAACGAAGGCAAGTGGACTGAGGATCGCGCCGCCGGCAGCTCCCGCGGCTGCACCGGACCATAGTATCGTGCGACCCTTGAAGTTTGGAGTCGCAAATTGTCGGCGGAAACGAGAGGCGGCGGTGGATGGACGGGTGAAGGCGCGGGTTGCGAGTTTGGGCAGGCCTGGGCGACAGCATTGGCGACCAAAAAGGAACGCCGTCCTCATGGTACCGGATGGTGGGCAGATGCGCGTACGGCTTCCATAAGGCAGGTAGCAATGCGCTGCTTGACCTAGGCCGCCGGTCGTGACGTCGGTCGGCGTAAATTCCATGTGACGCCGATCTGGCCACCTGCCCGCGGGCTCCTCCGCGGCCAGCAGCTCGAGGCCATGCTGCCCCTCTCCTCCCACCACACCCGTCACATGGCACATGCCCCATATCCGAGCCATGCTGTCTACTTCCAAAGGTTACATTCCTTTCCTGCACGTGCATTTCCGAGCAGTACAAGACATGTCACGTTGGATAAGCCTACTTCCCACCTTTGAATGCAGTTTCTGACGCGTAGAATACGAAAACGAGACAGTTGCTGAAAGCAGAGAATCCATATACAATTAATTATAACAGGCAAAAATAACCCTTTCCCTCGCCGGTGGAAATCTACGCAGTAATGAAGCCCTCGAAGCCCTTGTCCAGTGCACTTCGCGTCATTTCGCTGTACAATGGGAACCCGCCTGCGAAGTTCAACTGCTCTCGAATCTTGCCAGGCACGTTATCACCCATGTACCATGACTTGGTCTGCGGGAAGAGTGTCTTGTCCGAGAGCTCGGTGATCTTCTCCCGCCACTCCTTCTCTGCCTCGTGTGTGGCGTCACAGTAGTTGATGCCTTGCTCTCGAAGCTTGACCATGGCATCGACGATCCAGTCTCCTTGAACCTCCACGCACGTGGGTCCGTTGGAAAACGCCGTCGGTCCCTGAGCGCCGTAGAGGAAGAAGCAGTTGCTACATTTCTGTCAGTATCTGCAGTACGCTGGAATCTCCTGGGAACTTACGGGAAACCGCTCAAGCTCATACCCAGGTACGAGTAGGTACCGTTCTTCCACTTTTCTGACAGCTCAACACCATCGACATCCTTCAGTCCCATGTTCTTCATACCACCTGTCACTGAATCGAAGCCGGTTGCAAGGGCGATGACGTCGAACTCGTGCAAAGTACCGTCAGCCAGCACAATACCCTTTTCAGTAACCTCCTTGATCGGATTCTTGTTCACGTCGATGACCTTGTTGTCAGGCTTATCGAGCATCTCGTAATAGTTCTGCTCCAGACTCGGTCGCTTGGTACCGAAGGCATGCGGTGGCTCCAGAGGTGCAAGGATCTCACGCTTTTCAGGATCCGTTATCCGGGCTCGCGTCTTCTTTGCCCAGAAGTTGTAGGCCTCGCGGTTGGCTTTGTTGTCGAACAACAGATCTTTGTAGTTTGCCTGCAATTACAGTAAGTGCCTTTTCACACAAAAGCTTCATGCGTATCGCTCACCAGCCAGAACTCGAAACCGCCGTTCTCCCACATCTTCTCGTAGAATGCCTCGCGCTCCTCGGGCGAATCGTCGAATGTGTTCTTCTCAATGTAGTCGTACTGGAAGCCAGCGAACGTTGTTAATCTTTTCTTGAAGATTTCCTGGTACTCGCCCTGCTTCCGTCTGTCCTGCTCCTCCTTCGTGAGAGCTTTCTGCTGCATTGGGAGGCAAAGGTTGGGCGTTCGGACAAATTGGGTTATGCTGGCGGCCGTCTTCGATGTCTCTTGGGCAATTTGAACACCTGTCGATCCAGTTCCAATGACGGCAACACGTTTGCCCTTGACATCTACTCCGGATGCTGGCCAGAATGAGCTGTGATGGATCTCGCCCTCGAACCTGTCCATGCCTGGCCAGTCGGGGAAATGACGCTTTGCCGCGAAGCCCAAAGCCAAAAGGAAATATTTGCATCGCGCTGTACGGCCATCTTCGGTCTTTACGACCCATTTCGACGAGGGTTTATCGAACTGAGCCTCGACAACTCTGGTGTTGAATGCGCAATCTTTCTTGATATCCAGCTTTCGCTCGACGTGGTCAAAATACCGCTGGAGCTCTTCCGTGCCGGGGTATCTGCAGGACCAATTCCAGTCCTATCCGCTAATGTCAGCCTTCGTATAGCGATACGACAAGATTGCCACACACCTTCCAGATCTCAGGCATACTGTATTCGTAGATGGGGACCTGTGAGTCGACCCGAGCTCCGGGATAGCAGTTCCAGTGCCAGATACCACCAATGTTGGAACCAGCCTCCATAATCTTGCACTTGAAGCCCTGCTGGCGAAGTTTGTGCATGAGGTAGACGCCGCCGAAACCGGCGCCTACAATCACAACATCGGTCTCGAGCTCTTTTGCATAATTCTCGTTATTCGGATCCGCCGCTTCGTTCGTCGCACCGATGTCTGTCCGGAAGTGAACCATTGTGGGAAGATTTATTCTTGAATTAAGAGGAGGTTGGGAGAATGAAAAGCTACTGTCGATCCTTTGGATAGACACATCGTGGGCGACTCACTCTCTATATACACGTCAACGCACGACATACCCCTCCTGCGCGGATCCTGCATGATTGCCACGCTATCCGCAATCCTGCTACCAGGTCGCGCCCGATAACCAGGGCGAATTGCGTTTCGCCTTTGGGCTTTGCCACACTCCAGTAGCATTTCGGGATCACGCCGATCTTCTCTAGTATCCCATCCGACCGGACGCTCTAAGGGAATCAACAGAGATGTCGCGTGTTAGAGCCTGATACTGGATGTGTCTGGATGCGGAAAGACTCCGCGGCTACGCCACGCACAGGCGATCGAGACGGTTGCTCTCCGAATGTCTAGTTTGCGGGGTAGATACAGCTACCCCGGTACCCCGCATAACACCGTTCTATCAAGGCGAACATGATGCCGAGCAAAATACCGGCTTACCGATTCTGGTATTTCGAACAAATTGATTGTCGGCTGCATCAACACTCCTTTCTGTCAGGACTATACAACAGCTTGCTGTTCATATAGTTGCTTCTGAGACTACTATCGAATTCAAGTCTTACCCAAGTTGAACAATTTAACATGCGAACAAAGACAGAGTCAATGACTCGTGTTCGGAATCGTAAGCAAATAAGCTTCAAGCGTGATCACTACGCACTAGTTTGCATCACATGGGACCGACTGAGCCCGACGATCGCATCGTCACCTAGCCGTTTCAGTGGTGCATCGGAATCTTGCTGTCTCAGTATGTGCAACTGCATGGCATCCAAATGTTACCGCCCGGCCCGAAGGATCCTACCTGCGGAACCGCATCTTACAATGATCGAATTTGGACACTTGCGCACCTTTCTGAAGCCACCCGGGCTGCTTATAGGACTGGATGAAGGGAAACTCGCCTGATATCCTTCTGGACAAACATTTGGTACCTTCCAACACATGCGGGATTTTGTAGAATTGGTAGCAGTTGCGAAGCATGGGCGCAGCTTTGCGATGCATCTGCTGAGCAACGAAGAAGAGAAGACTACCAAACACCAAGAATTTTCCCAGTTCCGTCGTGGCATCCTGAATGAAATGCGAAGACATGGTCCCGGTTGGGTCGGTCCAGAGCTGGAATGGAGTCGGATTTCCACTTTGTCAACGGCTTACCTTAGTAACCTGGTCACGATTGACTTAACACGACTGTCATGATGGAGTACCAAGCGGCAAGTGGATGCCAGGGTTAGATTTTCTCCATTCTTCTAATCCTTGAGAAGAGACTCCCATCCTGTTGCACTACCGCAAAACATAGAAAATCATGCAAGCGACTTTTACTCGAGACTATGCCGACTTTCTCGTTGAGTCTCACAAGAATCCAATCACTAAAGGCGCTTTTCATTAAACCTTGCTATCGCTTCCGGCATCCAACTCGTGAGGATCGTGATCTGCCAGTTCTGCAGGAATCTGCCCTTTCTCACTGACCTCTGCAGAGGTAGAGGTCCGAAGTCAGTATATGTCTCACATGCACTTCGTACGGCCAGAACTTACCATGGCATGTGCCACCCCTTGATGCATCCAAGGAAGAACCGTCGGCTTCATACAGCACGGGTTTACTATGCTTGTTCCTATAGCGGCGGAACAAGAAGAAGGCCGCGAAGGCTGAAGCTAGCACTACTATCGGAACGGTGATACCTGTGGCTATCGCGACTTTCCGAGAGGTGTTCTTAGGAGCCGGCGCTGACTCAGGTAATGTAGTCGGTTCAGGTGAAGATTTTGGTGTTGTTGAGGTAGGTGTTGAGAATGCTGATTGCAGCGTCGATGCTGGAGAAGCAGAAGATGGTGATGGCAATGACGTTGTTGCTGGTACTGACGTTGTAGCGGCTATTCCTATGTCAGCTCAACGCCTTCTGGGCCTATAACAACGAATTACTCACCGACGATCTCAGCCAACTTAGACCCACCAATATCACAGTAGCTGCTGAAGACCTCCAGCGCCGTCGTATTTTGCGAAGGGTCATCTGGACATTTGGTCATGACATGGGCTCCAATCATGCTAGAGAACTTGGCAGAGCTCTCGTAGCAGACTATGTGACGGGAAAGCAGACGTCAGCGCATGTCTCAGACGCAAGCTTCGTTCCATAGTGGCAACTTACAGCAAGTAAATGACTGGTATGAGCCGCCATCCCCACACCCCCATTCCATGTTACGCACGATAGTCGACAACTCAAGTTCGGCACATGTTGCGAGAAGTTTGTATTCTTCGATCTGATCAATGAAGATACTCGTCGGACCACTAGCGCGTACTACGCTAGTGAAGGCTAGGAGAAGAGCAAGAGCAAGAGCGGGAAAGCCTTGCCTGCCAAACATCTTGGTGTATGCTAGCGTATCTTACTGGGTAGACAAATCGATATAAGCCTTCTTTTGTCACACCGGAGAGGCTAAGGGGAGAGTTGTGGAGAAAGCTGTATTGGCAGCGGACCGGCGTATTTTGTACGCGGGGCGTTTTCGCACATGTCGCAAATTACCCCGGCCTTTCTTCGCTGAAAATGGATGTTTGGATGTGGTAGCAAGGGCATATGTATGCACGTACTCGGACACGACACGGCTGAACGGTTATTGGACCCCGACATACGCGAAAATAGACATTGACCTCAACACACAGGCAAGGCTGAAGATATGAGCTGCAGGAACAATGCCGAACGAGAAATGATAGACGTCTGATAGCGACGGGTGAGAACATGGCGTTCTCTTCGGAGTCCTACATTTGCTGAATCCGGCGGGTGCGTCGCCATTTATCTCTAGAGTTTCGATCGGGCCAATGGGGGCGGCCTTTGGGGCGGCCTTTGGGGCGGCCCAGCTGCATGCACAGCGTCCGTGGAGGTACTCCCGCAGCTATCACAGACAGCCACAATAATCGAGGCTAGCCTACCCGTACAGTTTCGATGGAATAGAATTAGCTGATAATTTAGGGTGATGTCACGGCAAGTGTGGCTCGCAAGGCTGGCCCCATGTGTCTTCAAACTATGAACACAGGCGCATTCGACTATATCCGACCCCTCGCAAGGTTGACCTGAATGGCCACCATGGCATATATAGTCTTCGGGATGCAAGGACGATATTACTCACCAATTTTTGCCCCCTTCTGTTAATAGCTCGTATACATCTATCCACCACCAACCTTCACGATGCGCAGCCTTGTGGGCGTCGCTTCCTTGCTGGGGCTATCGACAATGCTAGTCCACGGGTTGGTACCAACGCGCAGGCAAACTTCAACTTCATTCGCAGGCAGTAATGAGTACTTTCTCCATGCGCTTTCTGCATCCGAGCAGAAGGAGTATGTCGAAACTCTTGCTGGATGGGGCGCTAAGGTCCTGAGGCTGTGGGGTGAGTAGCATCTGAACACGTTCGGAATAATTTTGCATCCTCTTAGCAGTGGACTTGAGGGAAGATCTGCAGTGCTGACAATCATTGTCCAGCGACGAACGTTGCCACAGGGTGCTTGAAGGGCAGCACCATCGAGAATTCTGTGCCACCTTTCGAGTCGACGGTCGGTCTGTACGATACCACCGTTCTAGCCAAGCTCGACGACACTCTCAAACTGCTGCACGACAACGGAATGAAGGCAATCATATCTCCCCACAACGCCAATACACTGGGCGGCAGCGCAGGGTGCGATGCATACTGCCAAAAGTATGGCGACGCACCTACCTTCTATTCTTCATCCGACGCCAAAGCCGACTACGACAACAGACTCAACGAGATGCTAAACTATCAGTCACCAAACTTTGGCAAAGCCTGGAAAGATATGGAAGAGGTCATTATGGCTTTCGACCTCCAGAACGAGCCGCTGATCGGGCAAATCGACCAGTTGAACGCCAATGACCCAGACGACTGGCTATGTGGCCGCGCTGGAGCATTACAAAGTGCTCTTGGGTCCTCTAACATCAAGGTTGCCACAGGCGGCGTCGGCGGCTCTCACTACTGCTGTGACCACGAGTTCAATACGCTGGAGAAGGCCATGCAGTGCGATGCCATCGATATCATCAGTATGCACGGATACATGAGCAAGGCGTCCGACTGGGCCTACTACATCACCGGCGATAGGGAAGTCTTGAGCGGAGCGAGAGCTGCAGGCAAAAACATCATGATGGAAGAGTGGGGCGTCTCGGTCGACTACCAGGATTCATTCGACACGCAGGTCCAAGTGTTCAATGATGCTGGAGTTCCTTGGGTAAGCATGCCGGTTATGAATCTTTCATGAAACACATGCTAACGTACGTTGAAGTTGTACTGGCAGATTGTTCCTGGCTTGGATGGCTCTGAAGCTGGAGCGCCGTCTAGTTGTGGTTATGATAGCTTCGAGATTGGCTTGGGTAGCTCAAAGGGCGATGTCGCTGGAGGAATTGCTGCAGCGAACTCGGCTTCGGCAGCGCAATCTTGGGCGGGCTATTTTTGATGAAGCCAATTTGGCTCGCGAGTGTTTTCATAGTTGCTCTTCCTTTCGTTGATGTATTTCTCCAATTTTGAAAGTGTAGGGTTTGGCAAGCGCGTGCCATTCCCTCGTGCCACTCCTTAGATAGACTGTGACATTCAGAAGTCATGAAGTAAGCGACTCATTCCACTGGCATAGGTCGTGTATCCAGAAACAACGTCATCAAACTAAATGCGTTTCTCTCTCGGAGTTGTTGCTGTCATGGCGCTGGGTGGTGGAAATCCAGCAGCTGCGACCGCCTGCGACCAATAAACTGAGATTGGAAAATACATGTGGGAAGGCATGCGATAAGACCCGTAAGGCCTGAATGCAATGATCAGAAGGATGCGCGTTGTACTTGCCAAAACTGCACGCACAGGCGGCGCGTCGACAGGACGTCACAAGACCCACTTCTTTACTGGCGCGTCTCCTGCGCGTGGGCACATTCGAAGGTTGCGAAACCTCGGAGCGCGAGATGCATTTTCTAGGTTGCTATAGTGCGCTATCGGTCTCGTGTACCTCTGACACAACAGATTACTCCGAACATCACGACTTTGACTCGACGATCTTTGATCTCTGCTTCTCAACAGAGCAGGAATCGGGACGGACGAGGCTCGGTACAAGTACTATCCAAAGGTCTTCCCATATCTGTTGATGTTATATGGTGTCCTATTGCATCATGCAACGCACAGGGCGTTCACCGTCTAGACGCCTTTGTGTAACGATTGGCGAGCGAAGGCAAACTCAAATTGATATGCTTGGGCAGCAACGAGTAATGCCAAAACGATCAGTTATCTTCCACCTGTCTCACGAATATCGACCACACCAAGAACATTGCGAAGGCATATCGAACTACAAAAGGCATGGGCTGGCGCGACGAGTGGCCCGATGGATTGAATGGAGAAGAGTACGACGGCAAATAGATTCTGACACTGGTGCGGGATGATGCTAGTCTGTTCAAAGATGTCTGGAATGTCCAGTTGCTCATCAATGAGATTGAAGAGAAGCTGCAAGTTAAAATAACAGATATCCCGACTATCGATAAAGGCTCCGACAATGATGTACATGTATATTCGTGGCTATTCTAGAGCCAGTTGATTCAGCCCTGCGATTCGACACGATAGGCTTGGTGAAGACAAGAACTCCGCTCGATGCAAATTTAACTTAGCTCGCCTGCCAACTATACCTTACCGACTTGTGCTTAGAGATTTCACCTCAAGATTCGAGATGGACCAGACTTGGTAGTTCATCTAGCTCATGACGACGTTGACTTCCCGGACTTTAATGTACGTGCTAGGCTGTCGATGGGACAATGTCAAGAAGCGTAAGTGGCAAGATTCAAAGCTAGGCATGGAATCAACGCTCCGGGGCAAGATGCTGCGCCCTACACGGCCGAAGAAACTACGTTCCTGAAGAAAAACTATGGCTCCGAATACCACTTCCTAATACAGCACGGGCTCAAGATCCACAATGAGGAAGATCGCGAAGAGGGGCGGGCCATCTTACGCGCCATCATGCGTGAGGATGAGATGTCCGAGCTGGAAGGGTCCGAGGATGAGGAGGATGATTTTGACGAGTCACAGTTCGAAAGCCATCAGGCAGACTATAACTTTACGGAACGCCAACTTGATTGGATCGAAAAGCACTATCGCAACTCGGAGCAGTTCATGATATGTTTTGGACTCAAATTCTACGATGATAAGGATCTCGAGGAGGCCAAGGCCATTATGGAAGCCATGATTGACGGGGATGATTAGAGATACCTTGAAGTGTTGCTCAGATCTCAGAAGAGATGCATATGGGAGCTCCGTTATACATCAAAACATCTTTAGCTGCTCATCCAGTACGCACAGATCACGTACACGTGCCCAACAAGGGGGATGTAGAGCTCACGATGGCATGAAGAAACCACGGTTCTCAAGAAAACCTATGGTTTCGACTTCCTTATTCTAACCATTGGTATCTTGGTAGCTTGGTGGCTAATGGGTAGTGTTCGCGCTTGAGAGCTTGTCGTGGTGGGTGTCAGGCTGGTGGGGCGGACGAGCGCAAAAAAAGAACACTCCATGACCATGGTTCTAAAAAAGAACAAAAATACAACAGCGGGGATTCGCTAGTGGTCACCCAACTAACTACTAATCCGCTGGTACACTGCTTGTATATGGCTGAGCGGACGGGAAGCCTTGTTATCTCCTGATTGTTTGCCATAGATGCCCTTAACTCCACCGTTTCCAATAAACAGAAGTCTGTGCTCACTGCATCAAACAGGAAGGAGTGACAGAACACATAATCGAGACATCAAGGGGCTTCAGTCTGTGCGTTTTGGGCAGGTGTAGCCTATCGACTAATTTTGATAGCCGCCGTGGCGCAACGAACTCACGTATTCAAGTTCGTTGTTAACAAAAGCGGCAAGTGGCCAATATTAGCACTACTGCTTCTCCACAACGGTTCCAGGAACCCTCAAACCAGCTGTTCCTTTCTGCATAGGTTCATTGCAGCCACGCAACAACCGCTCAATCACGTCTGTGAGTTTTGGCAAAGCTTTTGGGCAGGCACCGGTGTAGCACAAAATTTTGAAACCCTCCCGACTATTCTGTGAGCAAAACAGCAGCGCCAGTCAGCTCCCAAATCTTGAGACTACAACGGCCCCAACGTGGGACGTCTTGCCCGCATCCAGCCAAGTCAAGGGAAGGCGGCGCAGATCAGCTGATAACGCCTGCTCTGTCATTTGCTGTGCCGCACGGCCAATATGGTTGCCTAATGTCGCTACAGCCTACAATGCGGCACGACCCTCCTCGCGGTGCACCGGGCATCACTAACACATGGACCCTTTCTGTTCGTGCCAATGTATCTCATATCTCACCATTAAACGTTCCGATCCCTCTTCAAGGCTTTGAATGATCTAGCAGGTCAATACAGGTCTTACTCATGACAACCATCCTGTCCAACAACCGAGCGGATGCCGCGGAGCAATGTCGATCTTCAAAGCGCAGAAAAACCTCATACGAAAACGGACAAACCGGGATTTGCGACCAGTGCCAGCAAATAGACTTTTCTATGGTTGTGGAACTGTCTTGGGAGGCTCTGCAGGCAGCAGGTCAAGAAGGTTGCTTAATTGCAGAGCTAGGCACAAGATTAGACTTCATTGCCACGTCATGCGATGTCTGTCGGGCACTCCGTTCGATGCTACTCGATCCTTCTACCACACTTCAATCCCTCGAACTTCGTGCATACTCGACGTTTGGTCGTGCAAGGAAGGAAACCTTCAGACTACTGCCCCCTCGGTTGAAAGCTAGCGACCTCCCTCATCTTGCTGTTGTTGCCTCAACTTGCAAAGCTCATACATTGGATACAAAAACCAGATATGCTTTTTGCCTACCATCTTCGAGCCCGCATGACCGGATATTCGCTCCTCAAGTGCCACCATCGAATATCAACTACACCGAGATAAAGTCTTGGCTTGAATTTTGCAAGAAAACCCACAAGTCATTGTGCAACAAGGATGCGCAAAATGCACGGCCTTCAAGACTCATCGATTGTGGAAGCTCCTTGCCATCCCTGGTACAAGCCGCCCAATCCATGGTTTACCTGGCGCTAAGTTACACTTGGGGCTGTCCAGGCTCTGAAAACAGTACCACTTTAGCCATTACACCACAAACTACATTGTTATCGCAAATCTCAACTCCTGCAAAGACAATCCGGGATGCTATCCATGTGACTCGGGAGCTTGGCTTCCGGTATTTGTGGGTTGACAGTATTTGCATCGATCAGGCGAGTGATGAGGATAAAAGGTTACAAATCAACATAATGGATGAGATTTACGGTGGAGCTGAGCTCACTCTTGTTGCTGCTGCAGGCACAAGTAAGGAGTTTGGTCTGCCAGGTGTTTCTACAACACCACGAACGAAGCCGATGCCAACAGTTACTGTGGGCAACGTCCAGGTTGTTTGCACCGAGCGTAATCCTCAGCCCTTGATACGATCGTCGAAGTGGGCACAACGCGCCTGGACATTTCAGGAAGCCCTTATTTCACGGCGTCTACTTTATTTTACTGAGCATGAGACGTACTTTGAGTGCCATTCAATGCAAATTCGCGAATCGATGCGGGCTCAGTGGAAACATCTCCACTGTAAACAAGGGAAGCTCTACGACCATCTCAACTCGGGCCTTTTCCTTGGTCGGTTGGCTTGTAATGACTCATATATTCGAGCGCCTCGCCAGAGCTTGTTCAGATTCTATGAGCTTGTCCAACAGTATACACGACGAGAAATGACGAATGAGACAGACTCACTAAGTGCATTTCAAGGTATCATGCAGCATCTACAGAAGGGAAGTCGGCCGGTCTATCAAATCACTGGGGTTCCGTACCTATTTGATCCCGAATCCGCCGAGGAAACCCACAATTCATTCCTCATAAGCCTACTCTGGGTGCACGAAACCCTACCCCCCCGAGGGAAAAAAAGATTGCAGCTACCTCATCCCACTCGAAGGCACTTCTTACCTTCTTGGTCGTGGGCGGGATGGAAGGGATATGTCAACTTCGTCACTCGAACAGACAACAACACAAAATACGGCAAATTCGAAGTTCTAGCTAGAATTACCCATATCGAGGTGGAAGGAGCAAACGAGCTCGAATCTTGCAAAATTCTCAATGGGTCAAAAGAGGTGTCAGCAAAGTTGCCTCATGCTCTTCTGATCAAAACTCGCCTTCTTCGACCTGATACATATTCCCTCTCTTTCAGCGCCACGAGGCCGCTGTGTCGCATGACTAGCAAATTGAAACCACCCGGGCGTCATCCTGAATGGGACCAATCCCGTTCAGTACCCCCAAGCCGGCAGGGCAGAAAACCACAGCCTCCACGATACTATCCTGGGTTCAAGGGGGAGCTTTACATGTGTGATGGGCCTAAGTTTAGCACGCAGCTGCCGGAGTATTTTGCTTCAAATGGTTTAGAAGCTGCTCTGCTGGCGACACATCCAGGGTTTTCTCGTAAAGGCAGGAAAGATACTGCTATGATATATTTCATGATCCTTAAACCAGAACAGGACGCGTTTGCCCGTCTGGGACTTTTACAAGTAAAAACTACCCTCGAAGATTTGAGTCAGGATATAATGTTGGAAGAGCGGTTGATCAAAGTTGTGTAAGCCTGTCTCATGTATGCGTACTCGCATCCCACTAAGATAGTTTTGTATGTTGAAATCCGAATATAAGATCATGTGTATCTCATTGAATGTGTTCCAATTCGTTGCAAACTTTCCTCGAAAACTGAGTAGCTTTATCGTCAATAAGTGTCACGGTGGAAATGAGAAGACCGCCGACCATAGAGTTACTCAACGTGCATCGATGTTATGGGATCGTTAGAGTTGAATCGTAAGGCTCTGACTTCGCATGTAATTGTTCGTTATGAGGGCTCTATGAAAAGAAAGCCATACATGAGCTCTTTCCTGGAAAGGGAGAGAGAGGGATAGAGCGAAAGAGGGAAGTCGTAAGGGACAGCGTGAGCATATGAAGGGGCAACCGTGAGAAAATGACCTAAGACGCACCTGCATCGTTGGGGCTAAAAGCAGCGCCCTAAGCTAGTGTTCTGTTTGGGGGAGTGATAGTCATTGAAATGCTATTGCGGGAAATTGTTTGGCAAAGACCGATAACCGTTTCGAAACACCAGCACCATTAACATGGCTGAGCGGACGAGTGAACTAATTCTCAGTGTCCTATGGTCGTATGTGGAAGGATAGAACTCCATATGGTTTATAATGTGATAGCCATGCCGTGTAACCGATGCAGGGTCTGCGGCCCATAAGGTATTTACATGGCAGCGATGGATACCTTTGATCCGACAACAGAATATAAGAATTAATATAGTAAATGATAGTGTAGGGATCGGAGTCCACATTGATACCACCCAAGCGACTCTCCCCAGCAATTGCCTTCCATTGACAATCTGCTACCAAAATGTCAGTTTATCCGCCACCCAATCCGTTACTGCAAAGAAAACATTGTGACGGTGAAAGAAACTCCGGTTCCTCTTGCCAAGGATGTCTAACAAACGTGTTAGCCAATGTCTTCACTTCACCTTCTCTCTGAAACTTACACATCGGAATCGTCAACGCACAAATGGCGACCTGCACGCTCCCGACAGCGATAAAAAGGCCCTTGATCCCCCCACCTCCACCTGCTCCACTCCGCCGTCCAGCATCAACGATCCAGTCGAAGCCTTTGAACGTCAGGCCGAAGGAGAACACATTCTTGAAAACGAGGAGGCACGTAAAAGCTTCGATGGACATGCCGCCTGTATACGTCAGTATCTCAAAGCATGAAATGTACTCGGAAACTTACGATGCGCATCCACAATGTATAGAGCACTGGCGACAGCACCACACACCATACCCATAACTACGAGCGCGAAGAAGAAATCAGGCCAGAACCACCCGTACGTCGCTGCGTCTGCGCTGGTCCAGCCGAAGCCGTAAATACCAGCGCAACCTAGTATCATTTGTGGGATCACGAGTACCATGCGGAACTCGGGTTCATATACGCCATTGTTGAGGCGCGTGAGCAGGTTGGCGGACCAGTCGCTGATCAGACCGGTGAGGGCAAAGCCTAGGAGTGCACCGATGAAGCCGCCTGTATACCTTCACGGCGTTAGCATACATGGGTGCAACGTAGGAACGGGATGAACGAAAAAACTGGAAGAGGGGTTGTAGGGAACTTACATGTATCCTGTCTCCACCTCCCCGAACCAAAGCGGTGGGCCGAGCATAATCGCTGCAAGCACAACACCGATAAGGACCGTGAAGCCGATTAGAGTGCCTTGGATTAGACAAGCCCATAGTATACCCGGATGTAAGAACAGTGAGAACGGACGCAGAAGGAGGTGCAGATACCTCTCATCTGTTTTTCGCCCATTAAACGGCTTCATGCTTTCGAGCAAAGTAGCTTTGCGTGGCGGATCGCCCACCGACTGCTGGTCCGGAGAGTTTCCTGTTCCCTTTTCATCCGTATTTCCAGCTGCTTCGTGTTCAGCAGATGTACTGCTCGATCCTCTATTCCCCAGGATTTTCATTTCTTCTCCATCCTTAACCAGCAAGTTTCCCATGGTGTCAATGTCAAATTTTTCTTCTCTCCTGAACGCTGTTTCCGGGCAGTAGAGTATGACCAACGGTAACATGATTCCTGCGAATATGGCGACAAAATAGAATGTCCACTGGTACCCGATTCGATCTGCAATCACTCCTACCAAGACTGGCGTAAGGAACGCGCCTCCGAAGACGCAGAAGTTTGACAGCGCCATGCGAACTCCGCGCTCGTGGACGTGATACATATCGCCAACACTAGCTATAGGTCGAGATGCAAAGTTAGTGCACGCTTGAAGTAGGATTCGTAGATATCCAGGCTTTCAACTCACCATTAACAAGCGCCTCGAATGGAGCTAGCCCCACGCCTTGAAACACCCTCGCCCATAGAAATCCAGCATAATGATTTCCGATCGCGCCACCCCAGACACAGCTCACCACGACCACCACATTGCCTAGGAGATACACATGTCGTTTTCCCCAGATACGCGCTGAAGGTACGAAAAGAAACCCCGCGACCCCGACACCCAAGAGGTGGTACCCCGTTAATAGAGCCATGTCGGTTAAGTTGCGACCGAAGTAAATGGCGAGGGAGACAGTGTTGGCGGCGAGGATCGGAGAGAGGGTGCTTGCGATGACTGATAGGACGGACAAAAGAAAGAGAATGGTGTCGCGGCGACGAAGCGACCAGTTCTGTGAGAGTATTAGTCAACTATGTGCACTTGCCTCGACTTTCTCCGAGAATGGAACGTTCAAAAGACGTACAAGCGGATCATTCGGATCGTCACTCGGCTGCGGAACAAGCAGTATTGTCCCAGTTTTGTCGTACTTCAAGCCTGGCCTCCCTATGATACTTCCTGCATTTCTTTCTATCTCCCTCCGCTGCTCGCCTTCCAATACCTGCGCGGTCCCAGGGACCTGTTCGAGAGCATGGTCAGAGAGAATGCCGAGACCCATTGTCGCACGAGCTTATGAGTGCTTGTTGCGGTAGAGCGTCGCAGCAACTACGTGGAATGCATGCGAAAAACAGTATGGGGAGAAAATGGAGGAGGCTGACAGTGAGGACTGATGATGAAGGCTGACCGTGGTGGATGCCGGGGATGTTGAAGGGTCGAAGATCTGGGGTGTGGAGATCGTCCAATGGGCCGCGGAAGCTGAACAGGCTTCGGTGGAAAGCAGCTAATGGCAAATAGTAGCGGCCGAGCGCGTCCCGACTAGGGGCCGACGAGGCTTCAAACTTCGAATGTTCAAGAATAAGCCGCACGGGCACGGGGTTGGGCACATCAGCTGGATTTTCCCGCAGCACGTCGTGCAGTCGCAAGCAAAAGATAGACTTAGTCCATGTGTACGTCTGGGATATTGTATTCATCACCAGCGCGTGCGAAAGTAAGAGGGTTGAAGTTTTGCGCTATTCTTCACACCAACTTAGCCGGGCAACCTTGAAACCTTGGAAGCTCTCTCGACTTGTATCATCGATGTATGTAGCTTTATAGCATCTCCCTTGGGAGACGAATATCAACTAACTATGACCGAACAGAATGCATTTAGAATTACTTATTTCACTTCAGCACTAGTGCTACAGATTTGCCAACGGTTGTAACTACGCTCATGGGCACTACATCGGACGATAGAAAATATATTATGTTATTACACAAAGAAGTTCCAAAACTGTAGGAATGAACTATAAACAAGTCAGGCCATGTCTTCGGTGTGAAGAATGAATCTTCGCAGGAAGATGTTCTGGAGATGCGAGCCGGGAAGTATTCTGGTCCACGGCACGTCGGGTGCATGGCTAGGGTTGCTTATGAACATCGAGCGCTGAGCAAGTGTCCAATGGCGTACAGGAATAACAGTGTTCTCCTACAAAGCAGCGAGCAGTCCAACCATGGCGAGTCCAAGGCCGACTCCTGCGCCTGCAGTCTGGATGGGCGCTGCTCCAGTGTTGCCAGCCGCTGATGCTGAAGTGGGGGAGGCGCTTCCTGAAGGGGTCATGGAGGCGGTGCCAGACACTTGTGTGACAGAAGAGTTGCCTGCAGAAGGGGTCGCGCTGCCAGAAGGGGTCGCGCTGCCAGACGCTGTTGCGCTGCCAGATGGGCACGAGGGTTGGGTGTTAACCTCGATGTTCTGAAGCTTGCATATCTCGACTCCGAACTTAGTAGTCGCTGTGATACTTGTTAGCTGGCATAGGATGCGAAATGGCAAGCGACATACCAGCGATATCCGACTCTGAGCATGTAGCGAACACACAGCACGACACAGCGTCGATGGTCTTGCTGGCGCAGATGCATGCAATGTCAGCAACACTGCAGCTGCCTAGGTTGCTACCGAAGCACGTTTGCTGTGACTTCTTTAGCTATCGTTCGCCGGTAGTCGTTGTCAGTTACTCACAGCACATTGCGGGATCTGATCAAGAAGACCTTGGGCCAGAGCTGTAGAGCTCAATGCGGCGGCTGCGGCGATGATGGAGAAGCGCATATTGGCAAAGTTTTGTTTCTTGAAGCGACTGTGAACTGCGAATAACGATAGAAATTTGTTTAAGACTACTGACACGAGATGGAATCCGCGAGGGGAAGCTTGGTTTTGAAAGGCATCCGCGGACCTGTGGCAGCGCCCTGAGGGAGACCTAGACCTATGATGGCTGCCAATTTACAGCTGAATCATGCTTAGTTCCTACCTGATTGGCTGTCCGTTCCACCATTCGACTTCCCGATTGGCAGACTTGTCGACAGTCAAGCCGATCTACAAGCGTGTCCCTCTGTCGGGTATGCACGTCCTCAACGTAGGCCCGTGCTAGACCCAGATCGGATGTAAGCCGGGGATCGGCTCAATTGCTAGCAAGTCTGCTGATTGGCACTGGCGTACTAGCCCGAACCAAGACCAGGCCCTAGTCTGAATCAAAGGCGCACTCTATTGTCGCGAACTCGAAAGCGACCGCCGTGTTCTGTTGATACCCGAGCACGGCCCGATTGAGCCCAAGTCGAACCAGCACGTTGCCAAGTGTGAGACGATGCAGTAGGGCGGAATTGGGGGAGTTGATGATTCAAGGAGCGCAGGATGCAACAAAGTTTACTCAGCCTCGTAAAACAATGTGAATGCAGATGACTGTATGACTTTGGATGTAGTGCCTAGGCACTGTACCACGTTACCCCACTGCATCTAATGCGAACTTCAAACGCCGAAAACCTAAACACTGTAAGCCCATAAGTTAACACTTTGTGAGCAAAGTTTGGAAATGAGAGACTGACAGAGCGTTCGCCGCAGAAGCTTTGATCACCGACAGCCTCTCCCACAATAACTGCCTCCAATCCTTCGAACACGAGAACCTTACCAAATAGATAATAACAAGTGCAACGCAGTTCGTTCGAAAGACTGCCAAAAATCTCAACAGTAAGATTATAGACTCTTGATGCTATCAAAACCGGCCTCGGCGAAGCTTAGTGGCCGAAGGGTTCGGAGGAATAGAAGACGGCAATGCTTAAGATTGCGACAGGCGCAAGTGGCTTAGGGCGAGCAATTGTTGCTTGGTGACCTCGCCGGATTATATCCTTTATGCCGACGCTGACAGTTCCTCGATTCTGGAATGGTTTGTGTTGGTAACCCGCGCGAATTTTGATGGCACGCTTCAGATTGACCGACCAGTTTGGGAGGGTCGTGACTGTAACACATTCTTCCAAGCGTCCGTTACAAGATTGAATGAACCATCTGAGGAAACCTTTGATTCAGAAAGTCGTCGGTGCCTATGTGAATCGATGTTCAGCCATTGGCTTCTCCACAACATCTTCCGAAATCTAAACAGGGTCGCTTCTGCAAAGAAGCAGGTGCCGTCGTCCGTCGTTACTGTGTGCTGTAATTCGTTGAGGCGGAGCGGCGTGGAGCAAGCGGTAGGGAGTAAGCGATCATGAGCAAGAGGGTGCGCACCAGCAGGATATGGTAGTCAACAACATGTCGGGGGTCGGCATGTTGTAAAGTTCGCAGACCAGACTATCCTGAGGTCGCTTTATTCTGGTGTTTATGCCACGAAGAGAGAGCAAATTGGTCAAGTTCGACTCGAGCTCCTAGGGAAGGGGTACCGAAAACAGGAAGGCGCACGACTGCGTTTTCGAAACTGTGATTCTGGATCGATGTAGTGCCATTCAAAGATCAGAGACTCAGGCGCCTAGGTGTAGAGTAGTTTATACCTTTTTAAATGGAACAAGTGTGCTCCACTACAATTTCGAGCTTGCATTGGAGATCCGGGGCTGCTAGTTCAAGGCGGGTTAAACCCCGGAGCTATCCTCCGACCCACCCATCCACCAACTGTATCCTCTCATCGCTTGCCGAGACCCTTCCAGACTGCTTCTTCATCCAACGCGCTCAGTCTGATACCTTGCAACTCACAGCCAACAACCTCCGCGTTTCAAGCGATAACCACGCGAAGAAATACTTTCAAACAAGGCACTACTGTCTCCATACATGACGCATCTCAGCCCGACACAGAGCTATGATCAAGATCTGACACACTGATTACCTCTCATTCATATCTGCAGTCGGAAGGGGCCTTACCACTGCTGGGTCTACAACACCAGCAATCCGAACCTTCCAAGAGCTTCTGTCAACTTGACTGAGATTGGAGATATCGTTCGACTCTTGCAGCAGCAATTCGGCGATACAGATGTCCTTAGAGAAGACTCTAGTCGTAATCGCGCTTTGGTCCTTCTGCCGAACCTGCAACACCACGTCGTCTTCCTTGTCTTTTCCGGTCGGAACAACCCTACCAAGATCTGATCGGCGTCCAGAGGAGACATGTTTCAGCTCCGCTGTGCGCTGACCATCCGGACTTTCCACCGTCCAGAAGTTCTTCATTGCAGACCCGTGATGGCGTGGGTCGAACACCGGCACACCCGAAGTGTCTTTCACCTGTCGACGCCATGACTAAGACTTCATTGGCCCAGATCCTCCTCCAATGAAGAGCTCTTGGCCTTTCTCATCCACAAGGGTGACGTTTGAGAACAATCGATCGTGACATCTGACGTAGATTCTGGTCCTTTCATTCGTGATGGGGGCATCGGAGATCTCAAAAGGAAGTGAGCAGAACTCCAGAATTGCCGCCATGTCGACTGCCAGCTGAATAATCGATCTCAAGAGGTTTCAGAGGTAAATTGGTTGCAAGCATGTGCAGTTGCAGAAGCTGAACAACGTAACGAGACAGATGGGTATACTTGATCAACCGCTCGGCGAGGAATGAGGAGAATGCAGGTCGTAACACGAACGGGCCAGGAAAATTAACTGTGCAGCTCAGCAGTTCTTGGCTAAGACAATGTGACTCGCTATAAGCGATTTGCGTTGTCAGCCCTTACACAAGAAACCCCTTCCAGACATCGTGATCGGGTTTAACCGCTGGCTGGACCCAACACTTGGTCTCGGCATAAGCCGCCAGGGCAGAATCATCCACATTCACCCCAAGTTGACCTCTCCACGGACTACTTGAACTCGTGGCATGCGTATAGTATCAAGGATATCGCAAAGGTAATGTCTCGGTGATTGTCAATTCCATGTTGCTGCAAGCCATGCCACGCTGACAGGCTGCCAACTGCATTTACTCAGACGATTTCCTATTTGTGCTTCAGCGCAGATCTTTCCTGAAGACGGAGGATACCTGTGCATCGGTGTCTCTCCCAGATCAGGATTCTGCATCCGATCCTTGTTCTAGTTTTCTTAATTATGGTGATGGTATTCTCTAACTATGCCATGTCCATACCACTGTGGGCACCGAAAACGGCGATGAGTTAGCGTTTTTACCTCAGACTATCGCCTGATTCTTCGTGCTCATCATTTCTTGGAATGAGCAAGTACAATAACTCTGGATATTTCGTACATCATGTTCTTGCCACCGCTTCATTCTGGTATGCGACTCCAGTTCCATTCTATACGCACAGTCCCCACCAAGGGATCGTCAACACGTTTTCTCATCGATCACTTGCATTGGACGATGGAGATGCCGGAATCTTCTCGACGAACGGCCAGGCAATCCGAATGCGGACAATTAAGCTGCCACTTGCTGCGCCTCTTACTCATCTTGTCTGCGTTGATCACACCATTGGTGATGTGGAAAGGGCTTTCGGTTCTTCCCGCCTCTTCAGTGCCAATGGTATGTGTCATCTCAGAGTCGATGGCACCCGCTTTCCATAGAGGGGATATGCTCTTCCTCTCCAATCGGAGCAACCACATTCAAGCTGGCGAAATACCAGTTGTATGGTTTGCTGGCAGAGCTTTGCCAATGGTTCATCGGGCGATCAAAGTCTTTGACATTGGTGGAGATGATAATAATCCCTCGCCAAGGTAAGGCTATTCTCACAGCTTCGGTGTAGCGACGCCACATCTAACTTAACATACCATCATGGACGGACCTTCGTAACGAGAGACGAAATCATGGGCTTGGTCGTGGGATACATACCGTCCCTTGGATGGGTTTCCATTGCACTCCAGAAGCCCTTCGAGGCAAAACATCTCATACTGTTGCTCGTAGTTGCTACCATATCTGCCCGCTAGCTTAACAATAGCTTACTTCTGGCTTCACTTCTCGGTATTCTGTATCTCCGCAAGCCCGGATGTCAGTGTACTAGTTCGGTCATAGCCATGATCTTTTGCACAATTCTGTGTGTCTTGTATACGCATGTAAATGCCATGGGTAAATCAGATGGCCTGTTTAGTGATGGGTTGGAGCGCATCAGGCACCTCCAACGTAAAATAATACACGGTCATAGATCTTGTAGGGGTTTACTCTTGTACGTAGTGACGCAAGGAATTTGCCAAACCGTACTCATGTAAGACAAATCGGTTACCTTGACGACAGTCAGTTATACCGTTCTGATAAGATAACATGCTTCGCGGCAACATCGATTGGACACAGGAGATGTTTGTCAATCGAGCATCGAGATGCCGCCTGAGGGTACCTAGGTATCGACGTAAACCAATTATGGAATTACAAGCAAAGTGTAGTGAAATGCACATAAAATGAAAGCGTTGTAACTACCGCGTAGCTTGTCTAGACTTATATCGGTAAATGGATGCAGCTTCGTTTCATCACCTCCACTGCCAATATCACCATTCAACCCTTGGTTTACAACTACGATGCGATTCTCTTACGCCAAATCTGTCAATGATGGTAAGACATAATCACATCACGCAAGTTGATGCCCGTCTGGATAATACCTCACCGGAAAGGCATCTCGGGGATGTTTTACTTCATTCCTGCACGACCCTAGGCTTGGGCATCCCACGATTACCTCTTCAAATCATGGATACGAGTGAATGGTCTCACTAAGCTCATTTTTTCCATCTTTGATAGGTAACAATCATTAAATCACCTCATCGACGGAGCATTTTGACCAAAACAGTCCCCAATTGTTGCACTAATCGAAGCACCTGTCTTACATGCAAGTAAGCTTCTCGATCGAAACCTGACGGATAGTTTGAAGGACAGGTCTGGCAAATATCACATCCAGGAAGCCAGATCAGGTATAAAGTCTGCCTCGTCTACCGTATAACTCAATCTCCAGCACGCACATCTACTCATCATCCAAGGCAATAATAAGTCCAGCGAAGAACTCTTCAACCCAATATTATCGATATGCTTTCCAACGCCAAAAGCCTCATTGCTCCCCTTGCCCTTTTGGCATTGGCCCAGCACTGTCCTGCACCCTTCCTCGCCGCCTCACTATCTATCACATCCTCCACACACCTCATATAGATACCCGGGCTGACTAGTCTCTGGATTCAGGGCATGATGCTCAATATACCCCACATCATTTGTCTACTTTACATACGAAAATGGCCCGCTCCTCACCTACCTGCTACTTCCCGACCCCTCAGTCGTATCGCTCGATTGAGACACCAGTGGAAAGCAACGTGGCGCTTGTGGGGTAACCCGCAACTCATCGGTGTTGCTCCGAAACCGAAAACTACCAGCGGCACAGACAGACCTAGTTAGCCAATTTTAGTCTTCCTGTTCTTACGACTAGTAAAACTGCCGATATACTACTACATCAATTTCGAAATCCTACCCGCTTTCGTCAGCGCAGTCTTCGACGAGATATATCCCGAAGACTTCGCTCCAGAGAACCGAAGCTACTTCGACACTGGCATAAAATCTCTACACGAGACTTAATTATCCGGGCATACGTATCCATCCTCTGGATCTGGCAAAGCGTGGTGTACCTAGATGGAAGTAACGCCATACTAGCCTGTTTCTTGGTCAGCATCGGCCTGGACCGCCCTTGTGATTGGCCTCCTCTCTTTGGTAGTCCTGTTTCTATTATCTCTTTGAGAACGTTCTGGTCACGGTTCTGGCACAAGATTGCTCTTCAGCCGTATACGTGTATCGGAAGAGCTCTTGCTCGCCAGCTTAACTTCCGTTCCGACTCCTACGAGTGTAAAGTGTTCGTAGCTTTTTTCGAATTTGGGCTTTCTGGGGTATCTCATGGAGTTGTGAGTTGGCAGATAGGTCGTGATGGGTGGACGGACATTTCGTGGTTCATGGTCAACTTCTCTGCCTGTTTGGGAGAGACGATTTTCTTGCAACACTTCCTGCCCGCATTTGGTTATCAGAGAGAATTACAGTCAGTCAAAGAGATTAGGTTGAGTGCATTGGTGGGAAAAACATGGGTTTTCGCGTTCTTCTTCTGGAGTGTTCCTAAGTGGCAATATCCGGCCATGTACAAGGGCGCGCTCCAGGCAAGGCAGATGGCAGTATGGAGCTTGATATTCTCGAAGATGACTGTGAGCGCCGACCGGAGCTGAGCGGGAATCAGAATCCATTTATGAGTATGCAGCGAGATATGGAAAATTGCTAGCGATACGGTTAAAACTGCTGTAGAAGCCACGTACTGCACAGAGACTCCACACGCCACCCACTCTGACAAACATACCCACTAACACCAGTCCATGCAGCGAATGCGAAATGCTCAAACAGCCTCCCAGTCTAACAGTGAATGTCTCGTTTCGTCTCTACTCTTTCTCCACATCCATCGCCGGCGGGGGCAAGCCGGCGGGGCTAATCTCCTTGTTCAGCGACAAGCGCTCCGAACTCACAACCTCTCCTGGACTGATGATGTTGCCATGTGCATCTGCAATGGGGATATGCGAGGCGTCTTCGTCTCTCTCGTCAGATCTGCCGCGCTCTTCGCTCTCCGTCATGTTGTGCTCCTTTCCCTTCACGCTGCTGCTACGCTCAAACGCTTCGGGCACTTTCTCGCTGAGGTCGATGGCAACGAAGGATTTGGGAAGTTTGACACTAGACGACGTTAGTAGGAGTTTCCAGCGCAAGCCGAGAGAGGTGGATTGTGCTTACGTGTGGAATTTTGCCCGAAGAGTCTCGAGAACTTCTTTCCAGTCTTGGTGGAGAGTAAGGCTGCGACGTGGTGCAAAACCGATCATATGACGTGAGTCAAGTTGTCTACCTATGTTAGCGACTGTTTGATTGCATTGCGCCGGTTTGTAACTTACACATCGAGCGGAGCAAAGGCGTGGCATCCTGGCGATAGCGTGATGCGAATGCTGTAGTTGAAGGTATGCGGCTTGTCGTCGATACTAGCATTCTCCGATTCGTACAGCTCGAAGTTGATCTGTGACAGATAGTCGAGCTCTGGGATAGCATTGCGTTCGATCTTGGTCTTGATACCGCCCTCCAGGATGCAGTTGAGCAGTGTGTAGATATGCGACTCCTTGGTGAAGTAGAAGAAACTTTTCGGCATGTCAGATGCCTGGAGCTCTTCTAGATCTCCAACAATCTCCTTAAGAAGTGGTAGCGATGTGAGCAAGCCGATCTCTAGCTTCTCCTCACTCTCGATACCGTATTCCTGGGGCCCGATGTAGTCGAACAAAACCTTGCACAAATGATACATTTCGCGCAGCTTGACCAGTCTCGCATCGGTCTGCGCTTTGGAGGCTGCAGTTCCCAGGCCCGAGTACAGCTTGAAATAAGACTCGTGTACATAGGACGGAGGCGCTGGGGCTTTGACGGTAATCTCAGACTTGCGCCTGAAACCCATACGGTGGGAGAGGCTACCGCGGTCATGGGTCTTCTCCGCGCTCTGCTCCTTTGCCTCGGCCTTCAGCTGGGCATCTGACGGCGTCGGACCAACCGGTATAGACTTGGCCGAGCTGTTATCGGGTGTGGTCTGCTTCGATCCGTCTGCAACCGAGTCCTCGTCCACGAAGCTGGCATCGGGAGTGAACACCCATTCAAGGAAGGCGCGGTTGTGGAGAGCGTCGAACTTCATGGTGTCGTATAGCTCGGATATCTTGCTTGGGTCGACTTTGTCTGCGTCTCCAAATTCCTTGAACAGCTTCTCCCATCGCTCCTTGAACAACTCAGGCCCTTCATTACAGCACCAGCGTGTTTGGATATGATTAACGTTAGTGTACTGAGACTGCCCTGGCGTTTGTCCTTCCGAAGGTGGAGAGTTTAATGCAGCTAGTGAAGAGATGGCCTCGGACTCAATTTTCTTGAAGTTGTGGTTCATGACACGCTGGTGGAACTTGATCAAATCCACAACTTGCCGAACGACAATGTATGGCTCTGGTACGTCCTTTGGCCACGCGAACTGAGGCGGGGCTTTGTCGCCTGCACGTAGCAAGGTCTTGAGCTTCTTCTTGACTTTGTCCATGACGTCCTTTGCCGCGTTCGAGTCATCTAGGAGGTCCTTGCGTACTGAAATGTGTTCAGACTGGTACTGCTCCTTCTCCAAGAACGACGCTCCAAATATCTGTGCGCTGGTGGTCACTCGTCGCTCTGAACTACTGAAGATGTGGACATCATCTAACACATCCCTGTTCATCAACAAAAGGTCGTTGCGGAAGTTCGCGCCCATGTCCTGCGTTTGATGCCGAGCGGAGTGCGTCGGTTCGCCTCCCCACTTGATAATCAGTTGGAGCTTATCAAGAACCATGTTGTTATCTTGCGCAGTGATGCGAGACAATGTGACACCAGACATGGAATCACTTCGGTTCTTGAGTAGCTCTGGTTCGTCCTCGCCGGCAGCAGCAGTCTTTTCAGTGCCCTCAGCAGTTGCTGACTCTGGCTTTGGGGCTTCCGGTACCTCTTCGGGTAGAGTTTCTCCTGGTAGCAACTCTTCCTTCCGCCTTTTGCGGAACATGGGCTTGATTTGGACTTTGGTTCCAGGCCAGGCGCCCTTCTTGTTGAGATACAGTTGCAGCTCGCGCAGCTTCTTAGTATCCTCGAGGCCTTCATCTAGAGCTACCTTGACTGCATCGCTCACGCTCTGCAACGCTATCTCTCCGATCAGCAATACTTCGGCTTGGTGGCCCTTGAGCAAGTCGACGAATGGTTTAGAATGGAACGTGTACTTGAACTTCTGTTTCGGGGTCCTGTCCGCATGGCGAATGACTGACACGACACCTTTGAGCTTCCATTGCGCCGCAGTTGCCGGAGGAGGCACCTCCAGGTGATCTTCCGACATTGATCTTACCTGTTCAAGATGGAGGTCGTCGTCGTC